CCTGATCAATGGTGAGCCACAGCTTCATATCGTGATAATAGCTAGACTTAACCAGGAAAAAAATGACCAATATGGCACTTGTTCTCTGGTAAAGGTTGTATAACTTAGAGCACAGTTTAAAAATTGAAGTAAATGTTATATCAAGTGGTGCCAGCATTTCGTGTGTTCCTTATAGATGGTGAGCCACAGTGAAAATGTAACTGGCAACCTGATACTTCTTTTTTCATATACACTGATGAATTTCATATGATATGAAGTACTGACTATAAGTTGTAGCAGTGGCTATATACTGTGATGTCCTTTTATATGGACTTCTGGCTGATGTCAGGCTATGTTTGTACATTTTGGCAAAGTGTGGATGCACCGAGATTCAATGCTGATAATCTGCTATTTATTATAAAGTGAAGTATCTAAGCCTTTCAAAACTTAGAGCAGCAGTTGCATTACTGTTCAATGCCAGTGTTGTATGACTTCATAGTTGGTTGTGAGCCACATCTAATCATCCTAAATACACTCACAAGTTAGCATGCTAACTGGCTGTGATAATCTTATATATATATAATATGGAAGAGTGACTAAATCTTACAACAGCAGTTGTATGCTCTAAATTAGAAGCCTTGCATTACTTATTGAAGTTTAGCAAGATACACACAGCCATTCTAATGATCTGTGAACACTTTGAGAAGTTCAGTATACAACTTACCATTTCTCTGCATGATACTATGTGTAATAAAGTACAACACTTTATATGCGAGATATGAAGTTGTGGTTAGTTTTGATCGTAATCACTTAGTGTTATGTGAAGAATTCAATATTGTCTACCTTTAATGAACTTCACGTGACTTGCTGAACTGGTCAAGGAATCACACTTTTCTTTTTAGTCTCTAAGTACACATACATCTACATGAACATAATGGCTCCTATATGTATTTTCTTCTATACATTTGAGATTCTTCTTTAATACATTTTTCATCTACATTAAATGATGGTGATTATATAGACCTTATCTCACAGCTAGATAGATTCTTGACAAGCTTATAAGAAGTCTATAGAGCTCGGAGTGAAATATTGCTAACTCTTCCAAAGTGAACTTTGCTGTTTTTTGAGAAGTAAAGCTTGCCAATCACTTAACATTACAGTTGACTACATGTTGTCTTGAAAAAGATATATTTGTCATTTTCTAACAAATGTCTGGCATTTAGTTATATGAGAAGCAAAACACACTTCATGAACTTAAGTGTAGCTCTCTCCAAAGAGTTACACTTAATTGTTATTGAGAATTAATATCTGTTAAGTCACAATATAATATTGCTACTCCAAGTTGCAGTTCATACTCCACAGTATATAACATTGGCCATAACTTTCAGATGATACTCCATTGCATACAGACTCATTACAAAAGCAGTGCCAGCTGGTCGTTTAGCATTTTTATATGTGAAACTATGGCTAATAACTCCATCAATCAGGAACCATCAATCAGGAACTCATAACGTGGTGGCCCTTCACTTTATACAACAGCTGTTATCAATTCCAGACAGTGCTTCAAGTTGAATTAACTTTACCAGAGAAGGACCGCCAGGTTAGTGAAGAATCACCAGATTAAGTCTAGCCATTGTCAGGATGTGAAGCCATGGCTCAATGTCTATCAGAAACTCATGAAATGGTGGTGATTTACTTTATATACCAACTACTATGAATTCCAGATATGCTCCAAGTTCTATGAACTTTGCCAAAGAAGGAGAGTCAAATTGCTGAGTTTTTTGCTGGTTGAGTCTCACATTCACCAGAATGTGAGGCCATGGCTCACCATATATCAGGAACTCATCGAATGGTGGCACTTCACTTTATAAATCTCCTACTATAAGTTTCAGACAGTGCTTCATGTTTAATGAACTTTGCCAGAGACAGAGAGGCAGGTTGGCAAGTTTTTACTGGTTGAGCCTCAATTTCATCAGAATGTGAAGCCATGGCTCACCATATACCAGGAACTCATAAAATGGTGGCATTGCATTATATAAATCCTCTGCTACAAGCTTCAGACAGTCCTCCAAGTTTAACAAACTTCACCAGAGAAAAAGAGCCAGGTTGGCGACTTTTTGAAAAATTGAGTCTCGCCATCACCAGAATGTAAAGCCATGGTTCACCATATATCAGGAACTCATAAAATGGTGGCACTGCGCTCTATACAATAGCTACAATAAGTTTCAGGCAGAACTCCATGTTGTAAAAACTCCACCAGAGATGTAGTGTCAGATTAGCGATTAGGTAAATTGCTGAGTCCAGGCACTGCCAGCATTATGATGGTAAACCAATCACTGACTAATAACACCATGTCGGTGGGCCCACTGCTCAGAGGTACCCCTATGGTGGTGAGCCCATCGGTAAATAATAGCATCATGATGATGGGCCCGCTGCTCAGACATACACCTATGGTAATGGGCCCACTGCTCAGAAGTATCTCTATGGTGGTGGGCCCACTGCTCAGAAGTACCCCTATGGTGGTGAGCCCATCAGTAAATAATAGCATTATGGTGATGGGCCCACTGCTCAGAACCACACCTATGGCAGTGGGCCCACTACTCAGAACAACACCTATGACGATGGGCCCACTGCTCAGAACATCACCTATAGTGATGGGCCCACTGCTCAGAACAACACCTATGGTGATGGGCCCACTGCTCAGAACATCACCTATGGTGATGGGCCCACTGCTCAGAAGTGCCTCTATGGTGATGGGCCCATCGCTAAATAATAGCATTATGGCGATGGGCCCACTGCCCAGAAGTACCCCTATGGTGGTGGGCCCACTGCTCAGAACAACACCTATGGTGATGGGCCCACTGCTCAGAACATCACCTATGGCGATGGGCCCACTGCTCAGAAGTGCCTCTATGGTGGTGGGCCCATCGCTAAATAATGGCATTATGGCGATGGGCCCACTGCCCAGAAGTACCCCTATGGCGGTGGGCCCACTGCTCAGAACAACACCTATGGTGATGGGCCCACTGCTCAGAAGTACCTCTATGGTGGTGGGCCCATTGCTCAGAACTACCCCATGGTGGTGGGCCCATAACTCGAGCCTTCCCTTCATCGCCATGGGCCCATCGCTGACAGCTCCCTGTACAAACCAATGGGCCAACATCCGCTGGCAGTCCAGTTCATGACAATGTCAGGGTAAATGGGAGTCCAGTTCACAAACATGACTGAATGAGCTGCACACATGATCGGGTACTATTGTCAGACATGATACTCGTAAAATCGCATATCAGGATTGCTATATGTGCAATTTTCCAAATGTCTGGAAGCGACATACAGCCAATAGGGTTCACATGTGAGAAATGTGACCACCCATCCTCCACACCCATGGTGGCCCTGAAAGTACATAGGTATCAGTGCAGCCCATCACTACAGTGGCCCCAATTGTCGATGTCAAAGTAACTGTTACCACTATGACCACAACCTGACGACCGCACACAAACCCTTTCAGGATGTGCACAGCCACCCCCACAATCAGACCGGATCTATCTGTGATCGCGCGACAATGCGTGAAATTACCCCAACAGATCTTGCGAATTCCTGCGGACAAGACCTGGATCACTTCATGTCCAGGAATAAATAGTTAAAACTCTGCAAGGTTCAGAGTTTAATTTCTGCTGTAGACACCTTGTTTTGTCGATTGTCAACTGAATTACAGTGGTCTCACCAGCTTAATTACAAGAAATTACAGGTTGGTCATATTATACACAACACTTGGGCCCTTTGTGGATGCATTATATTACAATTGGAAGCACCACAGCTGTCTTGGTGCCTTGGCTCTTTATATCATTTGCTCATGTCATGTCACCTCATATTGTCACCTGCATCATCTACTTGATGATGCAGTAGTTCTTGTGGTCTTATAGAATGTGTCTAGTGGAGGAGGATGCAACAAGGCGCTGTCACCTTGCAGGCATAAGTATTAGGCAGTGCTTGTGCCCTGGTCTAATCTAATCTCATTATATATTATGTAATCATTATACATTACTGTACATTTTCGACCAACCCAGCAGAGGGTGTGACCTATGACCTCAAGGATCCTAACTGGCCAACCAGCAGGACCAGGTGTAACTGGAGACAGGACATAACATAGCGGCAAGGCAGTAGGGCAGTGACATCGGAGGTGCCAGCTACAGCAAGTGCAGCTACCATGCAGCTGCCAGATGGAGCCGCTGTATAGCCAATAGCTACTGCTTGTGACTGGAAATTAGTGGAGATGTGCGATGAACAAGAACTGTGCAATTTTAGCACTGCAGATCAGAAAAAAATGCCTCTTTTCCATTTGTTTGAGGTCAGCGTTATTGTGACCTATAACACATGTCCAAAATCTGGCAGGCCATTGGCCTTGTGACCTGTGACCCGGTGGGTTGGTCAAAAATGTATAGTATTTGTATGTGCATCTGTATATCAGGTACGCATCAGTGTGTTCAAGTCAGAAACTTAACACACCACTATCTTGATAAATGCACAACACTCCTGAATAGAGCTTGGTGCAAAGTATCTAAGGCTTAGTATGATAAGATCTCACCCCACTTTACAATAAGAAAGAATAAGAAGAAGAATAGTCTTATTTCTCCTTAAATAAGGCAATAAGAGGGTTAAGTGAGTTTAACTTTTTCTAATGTGTTTTTTCATACATCTTACTAATCTGCTTATGTCACTGAGCCTCCATTTTTTGTATATTACTCAAAGTGTGATGTCAGATGTTTAATCAAACTGCCACAATACTCTCCTTGCTATTGTTATGTATCTTTCAAGCTCACAGGATGCTCTGCTGGTTATGAAGCATATATTGGCTTTCTGAATAATGCAGCCTTACAGCATCTCTGAGGACAAAGGATTCACAGTGCACATTGTGTGTGTCCCACAGGTTGCAATCTGATTGCAAAATACTGTCAGCCAGTTAGAGGCCAAATATTCCTGCTGCCCGATTTTATCTAAATGTTAACCATTATAATTTAAGGGCATGCGTGGTGTAGCGGTAACATTGGGTCTTCCCAGGTGGACAGTTGGCCTAGCTCCGGGTTCGACTCCCGGCGCATGCATTTAAGAGGTTATTGGACGTTTTGTTTTTCAATGAAGACCCTACTAAGTTTAGGGTTAACGTGGCAGTATCCAACGCGTGCGCGTGAAGAGTCAATACAGTGTCCACTCGAACGTCCTTCCCGGTTAAAATCACTTAAGATCGAGATAGCAAAATATACATTATGTTTTACAGAAAACACCACGGCACGAGAGCACGTTTCAAGCAAGTTGGGTGTGCAATCTCATCGCCAGATACGAGGGGCTAACTTACGTAGGTCAGAGGTACGGAGATGAGCATGGAGGTGAACGCGGCGTAGTTGAGGGTGAGTTGTCGAGAGATCGCTCCTGACTGCCGGAGATAATCCGTATTACGAGCTGCGGCGAGAGCTGGCAGCGGTGTAGCGACGGAGAATGAGGAATGAAAGATGGGGAATGTGACGGGGCCCGACGAGTAAGGGGGGAGCGTAGCCCGTGGGCGCGGCGAGGCGAGGCATGGACGAAGGGGAAGAAGTATAATACGACGAGTTCGACGTGGGCGAGGAGTGCAGGGTGGTGTGTGCGCAGCAGGGCTAGATACTTACGTTCGAACGTCCGTGGCGTGCTGGATGGGTAATGCGGTTACTAATAGCGAGGTACATGCTGCGCTCTGGTGTGGAGAATCGAGTGATCACAGTGAGCGTATTACTCACCGAGCCGGGATAGGAAAGTCAGAAGAGCGGATGGAACGAGAGGTAAGTGCAAAGGACCGTGGTCTATCACGTACAACGGCAGCAGTATTGAACGGAAGTGAGTAGGGTGGAGCTTGATCAGGATCGACGGGGAAATGGGGGGCGACGGTGATAGGGGGGACGAGCTGATATGGGGCGCAGGTTTGGGGCGTAGTGATGGGAGAGTCAGAAGCGCGGCGGAGGAGGGAGAGTGGAGAGACGATCGTTGACATGAGGGACGGCGTCGAGAAGAGAAGAGCAAGTCGAGGGCAGGACCACGGGCGCTTGCAGTAGAATGCCGGGTCACGTGGAAGGGATATAAAAGTTTGCGGACGCGCCAGAGCGCGTCTGCGGTGGGACATCTTCCTCCAAATCATCTCTGATTCTTCCCGATCCTCTTTCTTCAGCTCGTACAACGCTGCCGGTAGTCGAATATTCAATCATGTCTCTCCTCGCCGTGCTCCCCGCCGAGCTCCTCGACGCCATCTGCGAACCACTCTCCGGCCATTCCTCTTCGCTTGCAGCCCTCGCGCGCACCTGTGCAGCGCTCGCGCCCAGCGCCACTCGCGTCCTCTACTGTTCCATCTCCGTTAATGCTTATGCCCGTACCCTCCCCGCCGTCCTCACTCTCGCCGCCCGACCCAGCCTCGCAGCCCTCGTGCGCTGCTTCTCCATCATCCTCGACGACTCGACAGAGCTCCCACTCTTCCCCGCTTACTATGTCCAGCTGCGCACCGCCCTGGCGTACATGCACAACCTTTCCCACCTCGACGTGCTCGTCCCTGCTCTTGCTTCCTGGGTCCTTGCCCCTCCAGGCTCTCAGCCCTCACCAATCTATACCCACCTCGAGTACTTTGCATGCGCGTTCCCGCTTGACTCCTGCACCTCTGCCTTTCTCGCTCGTACCCCAGCCCTGCGCGCCCTCCAGCTTTCCGCGTCCCCGTCTCCCACGCCCGTCCTGCTCCCCTCTACCTACATCCCCCTCCTCAGTTCCTACACCGGTCCAGCCTCACTCCTGCCCCTCCTCTCGTCTCGCCCGCTCACCGCGCTCCACCTAGCTGGCGACCTCGCCTCAGAGGACGTCTTCTCGCAGGCCGAGGCCTCCCTCGCCGAGGACGAGCACGGGCCCGCAGGCGCCCGGGTCCAGGTCCTCAGCGCGATCACGAGCGGCGCACCCGCCGAGTTCCTCGCCGCCCTCGCGCGCGCGTACCCGGCGCTCGTCTGTCTCCGCGTCATGACCACCTGCGCGTTCTGGGACACGCCGGACATGGTGCGCCCTTCCCCCCCCCCCCCCCCCCCCCCTTCGTCCATCCTTAACTGACTTGTGATTTTGCGTTGCAGACGTGCTATACGCGCATCGCGAGCATCCTCGCGTCCCTCCCGAACCTTGCCGCGTTCGAGCTCTCGGGCATGCACTGGGAGGCGCGCCCCAAGGCCTCCTCGCCCGGCCCAGAGAAGGAGTGGATCTCCCCGCCTGTGACGCCCCGCACGGCCCACGAGCTTGCTGCAGACCCCGCGCTCGCGGTGGAGGGCCGCGAGAGCGAGCTCGCTGCCGAGTTTGCAGCGTGGGGATACTACTGAGCTGCGTGCGCTGGGCCATCCCCCCTGTGATACCTCCGTTCCTTTGTCCCTCCATCTGTCACACCACGAAATACCACGAAAGTAACGACGTTCAGCCCTCACAGTGCCGTGTTTCCCCCCTTCCATTTTGCGCCTATACCGGCACCCGTAATGTCGCCTCCATTTTTCGCCTTCCCTGTTCTTGGCCGCCTCGCGGATGCTCGCTTCCCGGTTTATCTATTTCGCCGCTCTCGCTGTTCCGCTTTGCATACTCCGTTTTTTTGGCACCGTGCTGTCCCGGCACTCATAACTTATTAATTTCTCCGCCTCCGTCTCCTCTCTGGTCATATTCTCTCTAGTGTCCGTGTACCCTCTCCGCATGCCGTTTATCTTCATCTCCGACTCTGCCTTCTTGCCTCCTCACGCCTCATCCTCTCCTGCCCGCGTCCATGCTCTCGTCCGCTTGTTTCCCTCATAGCATACCGTAAATCATCTCACGTCCCGCTCCGTATTCTGCATACTGCTCCCTTGCACGACATACTTACTATACCTACGCATGTAGCTCGTCCACGCGATCGCTAATATATACGTTCCCGCGCCAGGATGGCCGTCCCTCGTGTTCTACTGCTCCGTGTTTGACTCACTGTCGAGTGATTACACTAGATGATCTGCGGGAGTGGCATGCACATTGCAGATTCCCGCCGGAGATCGTCCGCAATTTGAACGTGATATATCGGAGCGTGCGATTCATTTCCGAGCAGACAAGCTATTGATAGGGATACAGTATGTATAGAAGACCCGGATGATTGCCCTGGTGTAATATATGCAGGATCAGACACAAACAGACCGACGAGAGACTACTAATGAGTGAGGAAACATACGAGACTAGAGCGCGGTATACAGTAAATCCAAGAGAGGTCCACGAGCAGATGGCGTTTTCGAAGCCAGGCCAACGGGCGAGCTTGCATCAGTTGTAGAAACGGGTGGAGATACCGCTCGCGGTGAAATCCGCGGCGGCAGCGAGGGGGTAGCCCTCGCTCGGCGTGCCTGGTGGCTTCTTCCCCTGGCCCATCGCGCGAACGAGCTCCTTGATGCGCTTGGCTTCCTGGCATTCTGCGTGGGGCGTCAGCACTAGGCGAGCCATGGGAGATGCTTCGCGAGGAACGTGGGGAGGAACGGGATCAACAGAGGGAAGGAAGAGTATGAAGAGGGACAGAAGGCGAAATAGGAAGCACAGAAAGAAGAGAAGAGAAGAGAATGGAGCCAGATACGCACTAGCTTTGTGAACCTTCCAGTCCTCCTTCTGGCACTCCGGACCACAGTACACGGCCTCCTTGCACCCGCCACAGCGCTTGAACTCGGCGACGCGCTCTTCGAGGCGCCCGCAGTCCGGGCGGGAGCACTTGCGCAGCACGCATGCCTTTGCCTCCGCGTCGCCGTCCGCCCACGCCCACACGCACGGCTCCATCCACAGATCCTGCGTTAGCCACAGGTAGTCGTGCGCCTGCTCGGGCCCGTTGAACGTCCGCGCGTCCATGTTCAGGGAGCCTACCAATGCAGCACCACGCGTTAGTAATCACAGAAGTGTGTAGAGACCAAGCGGGGGCGCGCACGCGGCTGCTCCACCTTGCCGAGGATCTTCATGAGCACATGCGGGTTCACCTTGGCACCGATGCGCAGGTACTGCCGCGCGAGCAGGCAGTCGCCCCAGAGGGTGTACGCCGCCAGCGCGCCCGAGTACGCCATCGCGCCCATGCACCACTTGCTGAGGCTCTCCACGCGCGCCGCGTCCATCGCCGCGCGCGACGGCGCCACGAACTCACACCCGCCCCGCGGCGACGACCTATCGTCGCTGTCCTCGAGCCAGAACTGCACAAAGGACAGCGTGTCCGCCGCGCGCCCGACTTTGAGCAGCACCGAGGGGAGCCACTCGCGCTGCCCCATGTTGTCCCCCGGGCAGAGGCGCAGCATCTCGATGATAGTGTTGCTGCGATGCGATAGATATCGCGCCTCAGTTTGTGCGACGCGCTGTGGGAGGAGGGTACGCACGCGGACTTGTCGAATTGTTTGTTCTCGAAGTACAGCCTCACGAGAGCTTGCAGGACGCGCATGTATGGGCGTGTCTCAAGGATGCCCCAGAAGTTGCCGACGTGGTCGCTTCCGTCCTCGAAGCATTTGGGACCGAGCGACCGCTGAAGGTGCTTGCGGCCTACGGGTGCGGCACAAGGAGAGGAAAGGTATCAGTACAGGTAACGGTCTCGAAGACGCCAGAGTCAAAGATATGTGGTACACACCATGCTCTTCGGCGCCCTCAAGCACTTTCACGGACACGTTTAGGTTGGGCATAAGGAATGCCATCTGGACAGCCGCGTCCAGGTTGTTGCCATCCTCCATCGCCTTGAGGAGAAATGGCAGCGCTTTCTCGGGCTTCCTCTTGCGGCAAAGGTCTTCTGCTTTTTCGAGACTAAAAACATACAGAAAAAGGGCAGTCGGTGCGTCCATGGACAATTATGAGATTGCAGAAGGACACGCGTACTTTTTCTGCGATTCCTTCGAGACAGTACCTCCTCCCACACCTAAGAACGACTCTGCGCCCACTCGCCTGTTCATGATGCTTATAATTTGTAAGGTAGCAGATGGTCTGTACAGAGATATTAATGAGTGCACGTTTAGTACGACGCGTCCGGGGCGTTAAAGCAGCACGCGAGATCACGAGGTGGCGTATTATGGACTCGTCACGAGTCACACACGTCACTCAATTCTCCAAACTTTCCAGCACCACCGCTTTGCACGATGGCAGACGTCGCGGCAACAACACCTACGCACGCCGCGTCGGATCCCATGATCGACGAGGGGGAGGAGGACGAGTCTAAGGTGCGGTCGAACATCTGTGTGCTTCACGTGAGAGTGTTAACCCCTCCGTGCATTTGTTTGCCGTCTCTTCGACACAGGAGATCCTCCTCATGAAAGAGCGGGTGGAGGAGATGGAGCGCGAGGCGAACAAGCTCAGAGAACTCCAAGCTGCGGCGGAGAAGGCGGAGCGTAGTGCGTCCGAGGCAAACGATACGAGCGTGCCAATGGAGACGGAGGAGGAGAAGGCTGCGGCAGACAGCCGAAGTGTTTTCGTGGGAAACGTGCGTCTTATCGGACGCTTACTCTCTCATATGCCGTCTGACCTGCGTGCTGCATACAAGGTCGATTATTCCGCAACACCCGAGGAAATCCAAGCGCATTTCCAGGCATGTGGCACGATCAACCGAGTAACTATCCTTTGCGACAAATTCACCGGACATCCGAAGGGGTGCGTGTATACGCATGCTCGGCGTTCTTTACAGCACATGTGATGCCTTGCTGACTGCGTGATGTTCCTCTACAGCTACGCGTACGTCGAATTTTCGGAGCCTGAACACGTTGACACAGCATTGGCGATGGACAACTCGCTGTTTCGCGGCCGCCTGATCAAGGTATGCTGTCTGCGTCATGCATGCTCCAGACGACTTACGTGCTGGTCCAGGTTACCGCAAAGCGAACAAATGTTCCGGGGTTTAACCGTGGCAGAGGGAGAGGCGGCTACCGTGGTGGCTACCGCGGTGGATATCGAGGTGGTTCGTATGGGTACAGTCCCTATCGGTCGCGTGGGAGGTGAGAGCCATCTGTTTGTCGGTCTCGAAGACTGTGCTCATCCAAGCAACAAGGGGACGAGGACGTGGATTTTGACCTCTCAAAAATGGACTTTGGCCCATACGTATCTGCATTGCTCTGTATTCTCAGTATGTTCGATTGTAAACCCGGGTGTAGATGCCCTTCTAGTCCGCTCGTATACTACTAATCTGTTCTCTGTCGAGTGTGGACTTCTCGAAGCATCCAGCACGTTTGACTGCGTTGGTCGGGAAAGACTGTTCCAATCGAGCTCGTGGGTGCCACAGGAGTGGTTGTGCTGGATGCCAAGTCCAGCGTTGCTCGGAGAACTGTTCCACTCGGCACAACCACTGCATCATTAGATTGGCATGACACCAGGCCGCTGTTGGTTCGGCAGCTATTCAGCAGTAGCGATACTGCCGTTCGCTGGTTATTGATTATCTTCGATCTATGTGAGCCCTCCTTCGTACCAGAGGATAATTTTCCAGTGATTGGGTTTTTTGTGCTACAGAGTCCAACACAGCAGACACTGATCAGGATCTGAGGATGTCCTCCGAAGCTCGGATCCGATAATATTCAACATAAAGGGTACCCACTGCACAACCATTTACACATCGCGTACGTCCCCACACGATCACGAAGCAAGGCTATTGCGAGCAGACCTCACCGATTGTGTTCATCCACAAATACGTTAGGTCCTCTGCATGAGGAAGGATTAAGTACAGGTTAGACGCACTGGCATCGTCGTGCACGAGCTACATGCAACGGGAAGTCCCTAAAGGTCGACGAACAAATAACATAGAGGCAAGATATCTACTCTCACCGGAGCCAGCGTAAACAGAGCCAGAGGCAGTCGAGCTATAGTCACCGTGCTCGATGGTGAACGCTCACGACATAACTTACACAAGAAGTAAGACAGGAATATTAGCATGTACATAAAAGTGAACAGACCAGACCAAATAATGAAGGAGCGGCTGTCATCCATAGTACGAGAGGCTGGAATCGAGCTCACACCAGCCCCGGCACCCATGGTGCTCACCAGCCTACGTAGTGTCTGTGCCCGCACAGCTGCAACGGGTCGGGAGTGATTCGTGTGTTCATGAGCGAATTCTTGCACATATTATGGAGGGGTTACGGCGCGTGTTAACCGTTGGCGTTGGTGTAGCCTACTAGTGACTAGACGACTCGTCGGAAATACTTCTACCTTTGCGACATGGATTTCACTATTACGTTCAGCTTCGGATGTTCTTGGGTGTTCGAACAAATGAGTTACTCTGGCTCTCTCTGACGGATAAGTCAAGGGTATATACGGACATTGAAATATCGACCTCCCTCAGCTTCCGAGTCAACCGGAGATTGAAGACGGCTCTAGCCAGAGCATCAGTCTTACTGGTTAGGACCTTGGTTTGGGCAACTGCGTTCTCTTAGAACGATGCAAGTCGACAGGGTCTTGGACGATATAATATTATGACGGGGTTAAGAAGAAACTAAAAGAACCTGTAAACCGATGTAGAATTAGCTGTGTCTGACGAGATCCGATCGATGTCGATCATGAACGTCCCGAAAATGGGCTTCAGCAACTTCGTGAACTCCAATATCTACAGCATCCGATAGCAACTTGGAAGGAACATCCCGCGGTAGGGGTCGGCTGATTGCACTTGATATAGTGTACATTTTTTAATCTGCTGGAGTACACTTGGTTTAGAGATGCAAGTTTGGGCTGTCACCTTTGACGTGCGCGCGGTTGCGACCTTGAACGAAGTGCGTCCCTGCTTCCCTGACCAACACGGTGTGCCGAATTAAATATTTTTCAAAGTCTTACGACCGCGCTCTCGCTCTTGTCGATCACGAATCACAGCAACGCATCCAACGATACTACCACCAAGTAGACCGGTTTCGTGAGTGACCTGTAAGATCTGATCTCGACCTTTTCACCAAAAACTTTCACCGTGTAGGGGGCCTGATAGGCCGCCTGTTACCTCGTGTCCTCTTGAAGGAAAGAGGGGTACCTCCTCATCGCATGGCGTTCAGTATCACTGAAACCGGGAAGCCATTCATTGCGAGTATTCGCTCTGCTCACGTGTTTGAACCGAAATTCACTCTTTTCTGTGTTGTTCTTACTGTGGTTCCTGAAGCTAGACGACGGACCATCTTAGTCACCCCATTGGGTATAGCATTACCCATGACAGCGGGGTCATAGCCATGGCATTCGCGAGCGGAGTTGACCTCCATCCTGACCCTCCAGCATATAGGGTCGGCGTGGATATCATGAGATTGCAACTCCCGAAGCGGGAGACATTCGCCGGCTTTGTGGACATTGTAGGCGACCAGGTACGTATATAAAAATACAATTTGTAGCTATCATCTCACCGGTTTGCTCCTTTCTAGTTAACCGCCTCCGAACGAGAGCTTTTATTGCCATCTCCACCATCACCGCCGTTGCCTCCGTCGGAAGCGCTCCGTCGATTTTATCTCATCTGGACTTTGAAGGAATCATTCACTAAGGCCCTAGGGATGGGTCTTGGGTTTGAGTTCAGAAGAATAGAGTATGACGTCGTCCAGGACATCGTGCGCATTGATGGTGTAGTTCCCCGAGGCTGGGAGTTCATCCGGTTCGAGGTAGAAAACAAATTGGGAGATGGACAGGATTCCGAGATGTATGTAGGTGTATCTGCTAGGTATGTCGGGGAAGATGGACAACAGCAAGAAGAATGCAGGGTTCAGTCTCCGGATGTGCGCTCATGGTTGAAGGTCTACGACGCGACAGAGTTCATCCAGCGAGCAATCGAGGAATTGAGTGTGGAGTAGGTGGTCCGTAGTTCACGATTCTAGATCTCACTGGCGACTATCTGTATACCTACCCAGTTCGTATGGTAAATTGGCATTGTAGGTGCACTTATAGTTTGACGAACATGTCAGGCACGCAAGCGCCAGAATAATCTACCACGTGACTGCTACTAGTACGCTCTCCATTGAGTGTGCTCGCTGCGGCGGTGCCGCCTATCTGCTCTCTTTCTCCTACTACCTCGGTCCACAGCCATGCCGCGCGTCCGCTCCTTACGTTCTCAGGCCATCTCCCCCAAACGTGACCTATCCCCTCGGCCGTCCTCTCCAACTTTCTCCGAAACAACCAATGCTTCAGTTCTCAACTTTGGCCCCGATGGACCAGAGAAGATTATCACCCGGGCGAACCTCAGAGTCAGTATTCAAGCGTATGAAGACGTGAGCCTAACGTTCTCACTTGATCTGGTTGAACACCTTCTAAGCTTATACAGCTGTTGAGCAAATGTGCAGCTTATCGAGCAAGCCTAGTGGCCATGTCCAGGGCTACCGCAGGCTTTGGTGACGCCATAGAAGCTTGTGCAGGGTGAGTGGACACGAGACATTGTGTTACGTTGAGCTATAGTTGTTATCAGGCTAAAGGGCCCAACGTACGAGTCAGGAACTCGTCTCCAAGCCGCGTCCGGCTTGCACCTACTCATGAGCAATCATTACCATATATTGGTGAGAATTCCTTTGCTCTCCACATGAATGTGGTGACTAACTGGAGCCCAGGCAGATACTCTGGATAAGCAATTTGAGAAACCACTTCGGCAACATCTTGAAAATTACCGCACAGTCGTTGCCGTGCGTGCCCGGTCACTGGGGGCGAGTTCCGTTACCTATATTAAAATGCTATTTTTATAGGATCGCTCCAACTCATATGAAAGGGCCCTGCACGAAAAGAGTAGCATTATCCGGCAAACTGAGATGGGTAACATGAAGAAGAAAAATCGCAGTTAGTGAACTCGTTGGGCAAGTATCACGAATACTATAATTCTTGACACGATTGCTGTGCCAGATCTGCAAACGTTCCGAGAGGCTTTATCTGTCCTGCAAAGACAGGTAGACGAGCTGGATGAGCTGAAGGCCCACCACTATCAAGAAATTGTGGAGCACGAAGAGGAAGTATGGGATGTCGTGCAAGGCAAGGTCTGCCTTGTCGTGCGTTTCACGCTCGACGTCTTTGATAGATTCACATCCAAGGCGTAAGCTGGCTCACATGGCTAGATTGTGTCTTCGCTCACTTCTTTTTGACATATTCACAGGTCAGACCCTATTATTGAACCTATGCTTCAGTCCGTCCCTGATCCATTTGACGTGTATGGCCCTCCACCCTCCAAAGACCAGATCTTCAGCATTCTCCCGCCTCTATCCGTCATCGCCAATGCCCCCTCGTCATCACCTAGTCCACTTACTTCCTCTACTCCTGAGCTGGAAGGAAGCGATGGCGTCGCATCGGGAAAGAACTCTTGGGCACCGAACCCTGGTGGATTCTTCCCCGATACAAGTGCGGCATGGGCTGATGTTGCATCACCCCCTGTCTCCCCACCTCCCGGGCCGGCCTCTATGTCAATATCTCCCGCACGATCTGTGTCTCCATCAACAGTAGAGGTTTCCGTAGGAGTGTCCCCACCATCAACAATAACACGGCGCCATTCGCATCCAGCTCCGTCAACCTCGTCAATCCACCATCCACGGAAGTCGGAGTCAAAGCTGCGCAGCGTGCTCTCAGTTATTGACGAAGGCCAACCTCGTTCAAATGGGAATGCTGAGGAGAGACCCGTTAGGACCGCATCAGAATCATCAGCGTTAGGAACCGCATTGCCGACACCTAAGGCCCCGGGAAGCCCGCCCTCACACTCAGGGTGGAGCATGTTTGGCTTCTCAGACTCGTATAATCACGACAGAGGTGGCGGCGATAATGATACCACTCCCCGAAACTCGACTCTTATTCGAGCGCAGTCACCATCAGAATCACCGTCCATAACCCCGGAGGACACACCCCAAGCGGAACGCAGCCGCAGCCCTAACTCGGATGTGACTGTCGTCCCTGTAACGACATAGCACATACGGACTTATGTTATGCGTCTTCTCTTATTGTATGGGTAGTTCGTATATTATGGTTATATGTTCAAGTTGTCGGATACCTCTCATTTTATTGCAATCTAAATCTTCCTCAGAACATTCGGATACCACGCCGTTGGCTTGTTCTCGATATATGTGCGCACTATATCTCCTCTAAGCTCCTTTCATCCTCTTTCAACTGTAGCGCACTATGAGTAGGTTGAATACCATATTGATCAAGCACGTCTCGACCGACAGGGGCGGGGCTTCTGAAAAGTAGGTCCGTGCCTGCTCCTGTTTTAGGGAAGGCGATAACATCTCGAATGGACTCTGCTTTGCAGAGGATGGCCATCAGGCGGTCAAATCCTAGGAGTGGTTCATTAGCCACGTATTCCTGGCGGAGCAACTTCGTACCCACCGAACGCGAATCCTCCATGTGGGGGGGCTCCACAACGAAGAGCGTGGAGTAAGTGGTGGAAGGATGACTTCTCTCTCTCATCGAGCTGGGATAGCAGGGTCCTGTGAGAATATGCCTTGAAATATGCAGCATGTCACATACCTGAAGTATTTTGGTGAAGATAAACTCCTGCATGCCGGCATCGTGGATTCTGACGGAACCTCCGCCAACTTCCACGCCGTTCAGGACGAGGTCATAGTGTTGTCCCCGTACCTGCAACCAATAACCGTGAGCATGATATCTAAGAAACCAAAGGAACTCTCGCAGCCACCTCATCAAACCGCCCTGCATACATTTTTTCGATGTCTTGCCACATTGGTGCAGTGAACGGGTGGTGCGTACTGCTTCTCCGGCCATGGGTAAGGAATTCTTTATCCGCATCCCCGCGCATGAACAAAGGGAATTCAGTTACCCAGAGGAACTTCGGATCAGTACTGATCTTGTAGCCCAGCTTTTCAGCCGCAGTTGCAACAAGAAGGCGAAGACGACCTAATGCAGTGGAACCTCCCTGTGCAGGGGATGAGATCTGAACGCACGAGGTGGTGAAAGCATCTGAATTACCTCTGGTTTGCGGTGTCGTTTCATTAGCCACACCGTTCCTCCCTCACTTATTCCTAGCTCATTATTAATGTTCTTGCTTGCCGACTCCCCCCGCTGTGTCAGTTCGGATATCAATTTACTCCTTTCGTGCCATGTCGCATCAGATTCTTCGGTGACCTCGATACGTTCCTTGAGGGTAATGCATTGAGACTTTAGTACATAGCTAGAACAAGAGAAACCACGTCGTGCTTACGATGTATTCCCGTTCTTGCCTCTTCAGTTGCTTTGCAGCGACCCCGAGGTCATCAGCATCGGATTTGCTGACCACCAACGCTTCAATGATTTCTTGCCGTTCAGACAACGCAGCGCGGGTTGAAGGGGGTAAGTGAGGCGTGATGTCTTGGATCTGATGCCAACTTCAATCGTCGTTCAAGGGATACTTAGTCAAGACAATGCACCTCCAAGCCGAATCGCAAGTCTGGTTTGTCGCTCCCAAATCTGCTCATCGCCTCTTCGTAAGGCATGACTTGGAAGTGCGGTAAGTCAATCCCTTCGACTGTGGACCAGACACGGCGAATGAGCTTCTCGACGACATCGCGAACCTCAGATCCACCAATATTCCAGCTCCCAGTACCCGTGTTGCTGTCTTGGCTGTGTTCCTGACTTTCGCCCCAGCTTACCCATGCCATCTCTAGATCGACCTGGGTGAACTCTGGCTGCCTGTCCTTGCGTCCGTCTTCGTCACGGAAACAACGCGCCAGCTGGTAGTAGCGATCTACTGCACCAGACGCTACAAGCAGTTGCTTGGGCTGCTGCGGTGACTGTGGAAGAGTATAGAAGAGAGGCTGAGGTAACCCGACTGTCGGCTCAGAATCGGGAGACATCAACGCTGCACCAGAGGCAGACACGACGCGGGTCGGGACAACGAATTCCCGTGCTCCTTCTGGTGTAGATTTCAGCAGCATAGGGGTTTCAACTTCAGTGAAACCTGCGAGAACAGACTACATCAGGAACGGTACGTGACGAATTAGCGTCTTTACTTACCTTCCTCTTCAAAGACGGTTCTCATTAATCGAGCCACCTCGCTACGCTTCCGGAGGTTTTCTGTTAAGGCTGTTCTTCGGAGGTCCAGATGGCGATATCGAAGTCTAAGCTCCTCGTTTGCCTGCCACACCATAACATCAGAAGGACGACGGATGTGTAGAGGAGTATAAACCCTACTCCTGTGATGCGCGTACCAAGTTTTGTGAGTCGGAAGGCATAAATGGGAGATTACGATCGGCAGGATTCAACAATTTGAAGCGATCAACGACAACTTCTACATCCCCTGCAGGGAGCTAGAAACGGCAAAAGATTTTCAGGAATTGGGAACGGACAGAGATAGAGTACATAAGCAAAGCATAATCAACGGCAACTCACTGCTCTCCTCTGTCCTTGGGGTCTCATTCGAACTGTTCCTTCTACAAGGACAGTAGACTCTATCGGGATGTCACGCATGGTCTGGAGGACATACTCTCCCGCATTCGCCGATACCACCAGCTGCGTGGAGCCGTATGAGTCTTTAATAGAGAAGAAGGAGAGGGTTTTGTTCAATTTTCTGGTAGTCCGAGATGTATGACACGACAGATAGCTCAAGAAACGTGAACGCGTACCGTTCTGGCAAGAGCCAACCTGTAAGGACTACCCTAGACTCTGCGTCAGTCGAGCTCAACGCCCCACATGTGTGGGTGCGGCTGGGGAAAGGTGCTGATCCATTGTCAGAGATATAGCGAATTTATGAAGGATGACGCACCACAATGCGCCTTCTGAGCCCCAGTCTGCCCATTCTCCTGGGTCCCAGAGCTATGAAAAATATTGTCCGAGGAGACTGCGCTGTTAAAAATTTTACGGCGACAGCTTGGCACGACCTCGAAGATATTCATACGTGTCCATTGATTGCGCGTAAGCGGGTAACGGTGAATTCTAGTCGCAACGCGATGCATTCCTCGGCGATTGGACTCGACAGTACTGTAGCTCCTCCCAACTACTCGCCTGTATAAATGGTTACAGCGGCTGTCTGAAGGGTTTGAGATAAGAACAAGTGCGCTCTTTCCGTCAAGTTGTTGCGAGCTCAGGTCGTCGCGATCATAGAGTGGTGGGCCCGGGAGGCTCGGCCCGTGGACGCCTTGTCCACGTGGCGAGTTATCTTATCTGGTACATGCTAATCTTTCCGGATGGATTCTTACTGCGGACTCTTGCATTCGACTGGCGACCATGCCTGAACATAATGGTCGTCATTTTGTCTCGCTTGGAATGTTCATCATAGACGAATTTCAATATCGTGACGAAGACGATAAACCAAATGGGCGGACACTACCGCCACAGGTAAGTGTTCTCTCCCAAGTTCGCTCAGCACAAGCAGTCAATCCGAATCGGCGACGGTTTATTTAGATCGGCGGTGGAGGGACGTATGCAAACATCGGAGCACGCATTTGGTCAGTTCTTCTAGACTATAGTGAAGTAGATCTAAGGAAGCTAAGGAAGACCTCGTCTGATAACTTCACCACACCGTTTTGTAGGCTTCCTGCAGACAGGCTCGGCATGATCGTCGATAGAGGACACGATTTCCCATCAGATATGCAGGACAGGCTGGAATCATTTGGAGAAGGCATGTGGTTGTTCAGAGACAATCCCGGTTGCTTGACAGCTCGAGCCTTGAACTCCTACAAGGGGGACTACAGAGGGTATGGTCATCTCTACTGAGTTGTACACATGGTCTGAGCTCCATCAGGTTTGCGTATTTGACTTCACGCCGGAGGATTACGCCGCATGACCTGGAGAAAACCAAACTGGCGCGACCGACGGTTCTGCACTTCATTTGCTCTCCTTCTAGAGCAGCCGTCATCGTGTCAGAATTGCAACAAGACGACGAATGGGACCCCGCCACAGTGTATGAACCAATACCCGTTCGTACATCAGATCCTCCTACTCGACATATCTAATGTATTGCGCTTGCAAAGCAAGGACCGATGCATACCTGAAGAACTACCTGCCCTGGTTGAAGTACTTCCTCATATATCAATATTGAGGTATGTTGTCATTCATCGAGAACAACCTTGAAGATCCAATGTCTTATCTGTATCACTATTCGTGATTAGTCCCAATGCGGAGGAGGCCCTGTCGCTTCTCTCCATGCCCGCGACACCCACTAGGATTCTCATAGAAGAAGCGTGCCATAGACTCTTAGATCTTGGAGTTGGGCGCGAAGGGCATGGATCTGTTATAATCCGGAGCGGGGCGATGGGTGCATATGTCGCGACAAGAAGAAGAGGCGGAAGGTGGGTGGACGCATTCTGGACAGATGCCGACAGAGAAGCGCATATAGTCGACGTCACCGGTTAGCAATCCATTTTCCACTATACTTCCCTTCTTCCGACCATCTCCACACAGGTGCAGGGAACAGCTTTCTCGGAGGACTTGCTGCAGGTTTGCTGTTTACGGACGGCGATGTGCATGAAGGTGCGTGGCACCTATAGTACGGTCTCGCACAAACGTTGATATGTTCGTCGTTGACCAGCTACACTGTATGCCACGGTTTCAGCATCATTCACCATCGAACAAGAAGGTTTACCTCGACTTACACACACTGAAACCAACGACGGCGAGGCGATTGAAGAATGGAATAGAGACTTGCCTCGAAGGAGGCTCAAAGAGCTACAACGACGCCTGCACAAAGTTACAGAGTAGACAATAGATCGTAGAAGAATTACGGACAGTTTATGGTACGTATCAGCGAGCGTATGATCATACAGCAATGTACAACTACTTGTTCGGGTGTCTCTCACAGACGATATAGAGTGATCATTGTTGGGCAGTCTGAAACTTAGCTCGACTGGCCGCGAACAGCTCTTCTTGCCGTCGGAGGAGTTCTTCTTCCGTTAGTCCAGATAACTCAAATTTGGAGACCTTCTTCTCCCGATCCTAGACAGCATAAATGGTGAATCCAGGCAGAGAGTAATCTATTAGGCTACTCACTTTCTGCTGCTGCTTGTGGTCTTTCAAGACATCTTGCACTTCTTCTGTGAACGACTCAAAACCAAGCCGCTGATGCAGTGTTAAACGACTGGTACGAAATTCGAAGGTAACCTGAGGCAAACCTTCAGAGCAGTGATAATATGCTCAGGCGCAATGGTCTTCTTCGATTCTTGCTCGCAAATCTCATTTGCTTCTGACGATATTAGATGAATAAATTCTGCGCATTGCAATACGCAAGCGTCAGCAAAACATGAAGGGCAAGAAAGCTAAACAAGTACTTCACCTACACAGCACTCAATCACCAAATCACGCGTCTCCTTCGCGCAACTTACGTCGCTGGGTAACAGTTCTAATGTTCGACAATGTTACGAAGTAGCCATGAATGCGCGAAGTTCTCGTACCTGCAATCATCTTTCCGACTGTCGCTTTCGGCAGCGAGAGCTCCTCATCAGTCCCTGGTGCTCCAGGATGTCCTTCACGATCTGACATAGTATCCTCGTGAGAGTGGACACGAGCAAGCCTTACAGAGCGCCGAAAAGTTTGAGGTACAATTTGTGAGGATCAGTTGCGCGCTGAAAGAGGCGCAGGATGCTTTAGTTTTATACGCGTCGACTCCATATTTTCAGAGTCCGCACGTGTTTACCTTGATCACAACCATGTCTGCGGTCAGTACTCTGCCTCGGCCATGTATTCTTTACTCCAACGACTAATCTTTTTATGGAACGATCATGAACCATTCAGGTTAACCCAGTCAACCCCAAGCCATTCATCCAGGAATTGACCGGCAAGCCGGTATACGTGAGGCTGAAGTGGGGGCTCGAATACAAGGGCTTCCTTGTCAGCACCGATGGATACATGAACCTCCAGGTGTGTGTTGCATGATCACTAGTACTGGACTAGAGTCACCGTATCCCAATTCCACAGCTTGCCAACACAGAAGAATTTCAGGACGGCAAGTCTAACGGCGCTCTAGGCGAAGTGTTCATTAGGTGGGCTCATTCTTTCCGTCGATTCCACGTCGCCAGACTTACGCGTCCCTCGTTCGATATCGCAGGTGTAACAACGTGCTGTACATTATAAGTGGCATTCTTTCACTTTGTAGCAATTCTTGACTAACGTGGCAACCGGACAACACAGAGAGGCTCCCCTAGAGTGAACATCCCGGTACCGTCTTTGTAACATTACCGTCGTCGCATGGCGTCAAAACCTATCGTGACTTCGGCGCTGCAGTGACGAACAGAAGAGAAGGCTCTCATCTCCGTATCTGCTTTATTGTGGCGTCGAGGTACATATTCTACTCATACTCGACATTGCTCGTTCTATGTTGTAAAGTTCCAGAAGCCGTTCTCAATGCGATGCTGTCCAACACATAAATTATCACGGTCTCCTGGCAAGCTTAAGTGCACAAGAATCTATCCTCGCTGACGTACAAGAGAAAAGATCTACACGTATTGGCAGAACAAAGGGAATGGATGATCTAATACAATCGTAAGTCCAGCCACACTCACGCAGTCTACCTCTGGAGACAACCTGATCGTCTTGACGACCTTTCGTTGTGTCGTAAGAGATCCCTACTCTTTGTCGCCATCAGATTTGACAGGTGATGGCATGTTAAGGCCAACCCGGCGAGCTGTAGCCTCAATTCTTTGTTCCGGCGTAAGGTCATGCAGGGGATTGTAACGGTCCAACAGCGTCTAGCCATCGTTGCGCTTAGGTTCTGACTGAAGCACTGCACAGATGACAAAGCTCACCTTGTGCATTCGTTGTGAAGTCAAGAAAGTTATGACATCCTGTATGTCATGTTCAAAGTCGGCCGACTGCTCGCCTCGGGGTCGCTGCTCAAAGATTGCGCGAAAGTTCGAGGCGACAACCGGATTCCTCGTAGTTCGTGGCGAGATCGACTAGGCCTCCAAAGATCAAGCTCAGACTTGGGAACAATAGGAAGAAAACGTACGGCCCTGTTCACCTCTCGAACAATCACTCGGTAGGCGGAGAGATGGGACATGAAAACGCTGGCTACTAGCCGAATCGAGCGAATACTGCTCAACAGTCTTGGCTAGATTCGGCTAGTGGCTTGAACGCCACGTGGTTATCTCGACTCGCTGTCCTTTGGCTGCGCTTTCATCTCGGCCCCCAAATATTATGCTTCGCAACACGGCTCGTGTTCGTCGTTGTGGCTTTGATTCCCCGAACATATAAAGCCACTGATCTGACCTCTTCTGCAAGCTGCATCCTCTCCACACCCTCTGGACGCGTCAAGTCGCACAGTAGCCACCGCGTCAACACACCTCCTCTCACACATGGCACGTTTCCGTTGTCCAAGTGCTTCCGCAGTTGACCTTGCTCCGTCTGACATCCCTAATGATGCGGCGGCTCGGGTGAGTCTACATTGCCACTTGTATTGCCCCTGCTTCTCATCCCAGTTGTAATACCCTCGAAGTTGCCCAGACACAGGTCGCGTATTGCAATCCCGTCGAAGCACAACAAGAAACATGGTAAAGCGAAGACACCTACGGGCATGAATGCAGGCCAAAAGGAACATATGCGGATGGCATTAAAGAGGGAACAGCTGAAATCGCGGCGAAATCAGCCTCAGTGGTCGTTCATTTACGTGTCTAATGTGAGTCTACTTATTTCTGGCTCGTTATCAAGTTTTGACCGTCGCGCAGCTCAATTCCAAGATCTCGGATGCCGAGCTGCAAAGGACCTTTGAGCGGTTTGGTAGAATTAGGCGTATCATTCGGCGAGCCAGCGGCGGTATTGTCGTGAAGGGCTATGGCGGAAGCGACCCGTCAATGGACCGTCAATATGCGTCCATACAGTATGTGAATCCATCATCTGCCAGGCGGGCACTCATCCTCAACAAGAGGAAGCTGAATGGAGTTGAGCTTGTGGTCGGCAGCCCATCCATCCTCACTGCGATACTACACTCACTGAACACTGTCACAGGTTTGCTTCAGTGCTGCCGATCTCCCGGAAACTGCAAGGATCATCCAGGAGCACATTAGACGGAAGCACGGACCCCCTCCTCGGACGTTTAACCTAAAGAACCCTTGGACGTTTGTAAAGTATGTGATTGTTGCGCTCCTCTTTAATACCCATTAATCCCTTTCTTAGGCGTCTTACAGTTCATCGTACTCAACGTTCGATTTTTCCTGACGATTCTCCAGGTATTTCTCACAACAGGCATGTGGCAATGGGGACGTCCTTTGCCATGACTGTCATGTAGCAACCGATTGTTACTTCCTACCTCTCCGCTCTCTCTTTGAAAACCAAGACAGTGCAGGTTAGCTATTATTTCTAGCTAAGCTGTACTGTCTTACGGTCTTCCTGTCCATCCGCTTCCACAATCTTTTTTTTGCCCTTTGTACATAATTAGACTTCAATTCATTCTGTTCCCCACTTGTAGCACAATAAACGTGACGGCGTGAACTAAGATGGAGAGGAAGATCAATAAGTCCTATGATAGAATAGAGTGTCTTCGTAAGCGAATCAAACCCAGCCGTCGCGAGAATATCCTCGTCAACAGCTGGCGGCCACCACGGTTGGCCAACACCAATCCGAGCAGCTCCATCTGAGCTGATTCGGTCTCTCGCTCCCTTCCTTTTACCGTCCGGCCCTGCGTACTGGATGGCAGCGACCTGGTAGTATCTACGCAGGCGTTAGAGGTACGAAATTATTCTCGTCCCCACTGTTGGAGCAGCAATTGCTTACTACATGCCACAACAGTGTTGTCTAGCTGTTTGATCGTTGCAAGCAAGATAACCTTCACTGCCATGGACCCTATGACTAGGAGCCCTGCACTCAATCCTGCCTCTACGCCTTTTTTCCCTGGTGGCATGCGGGGCGGCGAGGATGATGGAAGACTCGGTAGCTCCGGTCTGGCTTTCAGACTTTCGACTAATCGGGAACAGCAGTACAGCACTTCCTCGTCACTCTCGATCTCTCCCTCGGACTATCGTTCTGTGAGATCTTCTCCAAGTCCTTCGCAGGATGACCGTGGCAAGTTGGATGTTACCTTGCAGTTCAATCCCGCAGGCGCAGGTTCTCGTTATTATCCGGCAATCAATACGACGGAGGCCAATAGAGCACACTCCATCGCTCAGAAATCGTCCGTGAACGATATGACTCTGTCGAGTAACTTAGGCGGAAGCCAGTCGGGAAGTGTGTCGGGTTCCACCGAGACCACACCTGAAGGGGAGGAAACCCCGGGGCCGTCCTCGTCTAATGGTCAGTTGGCACCTGGAAACTCGCTCCATGGAAACAACATCTTAGGACGCGGACAGCACATCGTTACGCCTCCTGTGGTCTTGGATACTGGCGCCTCAAAATCGTCGTTCATTCATGCGCCATTCGCTTCATCATCTCCTGCTTCATCCTTAGACTCTGGCAGTCATTTCGCATCCAGTGCGGATCTGTCATCGAGCTTCGAAGCTCAACTAAGGGCTTCTCCTTTTATTCACGAAATACTAGATCGACTCGCTCGTTGCGAGTACTCGACGCGTGCGATACAGCGCGATTTAGGCGATGTTAATCGCAAGGTTGATATCTTGGTGGAGAAAGCTCTGAATGCAAATACGAACGGACCTCCGGAGTTCAAGGACCCTTTCGCATCCACTTCTGCTGTGACTTCTTCAAACGGCTTCTTCTCTCCCGGTCTCAACCCGGCTCGGTCATCTCTAAGCGCCAGTATAGCCCCAAACCAGACTGCCCCGACAGACGACATCACCTCGATTTCGAGTCGATTGAATACTCTCACCACCTCTGTTGGTCAACTCCTCGCGCTACAGACGCAACAGATTCAAGCGACATCGGGTCTTCAAAGTGCCCAGTTGCTCGGTTCGGGCATACAACAAGGCGATCTGAGCTCCAATCAGACCCTGTCTCAAGCAGTTACTGGTTCGATACTTGGTCACAATTTATCTAACCGCCCAGACATAAGGTCAGGTCCCCGTATCCCAAATCCTCCCATGCGCACTTGGTCTGCAGGCAATTTGGACATACCACTGCGTGCTACGGAGTCGCCCGCGGGTTTTCTAGGCCGTCAGGATTCAATATTCAGGGACAAGCGCCGTTCTGTGTCAGGGCTATTGCGCCGCGATTCGGTTGGGGTACGTTTTTCTATCTCTGGGTCTTCCGGTGGCTGCCACTGCCATTTGCGCAGTTAAGTTTATCTGATTGTGTGTCATCTGCCAGGGGGAAAGTCTATCGAGTACTTCATCGCGTGATGGCGGACCAATAATAACAAAATGGGAGCAGCTATCTCTTGCACCTGAACTGTTACGCTCATTGAATACGTTTGGGTAAGTTCAGTTCCCATATTATATGTGGTAATCCCTCATACGCTCGGCGTGTTCAGTGTCGGGCCACCAAACAAGATCCAGCAGCGCGCGCTGCCTTTTCTGTTGAGGGGCGCCGATATCATAGCTCAAGCGCCCCCGACTCAGGAGCGGATTGCGGCTTATGTGATTCCCGCCATACATACCGCTTTGATACATTCAATGGCACGGACGCCCATCCGTGGTCCACTTGTGGTCATGATCTCCACGACGGTTGATCAGGCTACACAAGCACAGCGTATGATTCGTGACCTCGGCGGACCCATTGGCATCAAGAGTGCCTTGGGTGTCGGTTCCGCTTCAGCCACCAGTGACCTCAGTCAAGAGCTGCGTCTTCTCCAGCAGAACATGCCACATATCATCTGTGGCACACCCCAGAAACTGCATGCTCTCTTCACAACTCCAGGGGGGTTATCCGGTTCTGAAGTGCGATTCCTGGTGCTCGATGAGGTCGACCAGTTGATAGCACGCAATCTGCACGATTTTGTCTTCAACATCATCAAATTGCTCCCTCCTCCCCGGTCGCGCGCGATCGGCACAAGTCCCTCTAGTGTCACTCCTGGATCATCTGCGCAATCTTCGTTCCCGATCTTCGAAAACGGCAATAGTTCCTCTCTTGTTTCACCCTTCCAGAATCCTGCGCGTAGATTCTCGGGGGTGGGATCATCTCCACCAATCGAACTAGCGAACAGTGGGTCTTCGCAGCAAATCGAGCGCCAGACCGCTCTCTTCTCGAACACTGTTCCCCAGGACGTTCTCAATCTCGCTTCGGCAATCCAGCTCCGGGAACCAGTTCGAGTACTCGTACGCCGCGACGGAAACGTCACGCATGCTGACACGAGTCAGGGTGCTCGAGGCCTTCGTCAGTTCTATCTGTATCTTGCCTTTACTGCTGGCGGTCGTTCGGATACTCCTTTACCTTCCGGTGGGTTGGGGATCATAGGCTCTGGTCGTGGTGCCTCTAGTGCCGAAACAGCGCAGGCTCGAGAGTGGAAGTTGGACGCTCTCGCCGATATCTTTGACGACATTGAGGTAACCCAGGCTATTATTCACGTCGGCGGTATGACTGCTCTGGATGCCGTGGTCTACAAACTTGCAAGTCGTGGCCTGGAGGCTGTTCCTCTTGTGAGTGAGATTGCGTTGTGGGGAGTCACCATCGAGACTGACTGCTCTTAGCACGGTGACATGAATGCTGGAACCAAGCTGGCTGCGTTGAATAAATTCCGTAGCCCTACTGGTCTCATGCGGCAACCAGCTACGAAGGTCCTGGTGGTCTATGACGTTCAGGTCAAGACACCTGAAGTATCGCAAATACCTCTCATCATAAATTACGGTAAGCATGGTCTTGAAGTGTGCTGAACTCACTGACCTCCCTTTAATCTGCTGTACCTCCAGATCTGCCCAAGGCCGTGGAAGAATATGCCCATCGGTAAGCCATTCGATGTTTTCATAGTCGGGTTGCCTGACCGCGTCATGATAAGTGTTGCTCCTGCGATCGCTCCCAGTTACTCTCGTGCGGGTGTGATCATCAACTTTGTGACAGCTACAGGTGGCGATGTAGAGATGCTGCGCTCTATAGAGTGCTTCTACAAGTAAGAGTCGACTTACTCTTCTGCGCGGAGTAATGAACTGAGCAATGTCTTCTATTCTCGCCTTCAGGATTAAATGCGTGAGTATCATTTCTACTGCTTGAGTCGTGGACTTGTAATTGACACTCTTCCAGCCCGAAGTTCCCCTTAGCCTGCGCGACATTGTCTAATTGCCGTCTCTCTCAAGTCTGTGTATCCCTATCTCACTGCTTTCTCGGTTGAAGCTTTCTCGTCCATTCATGCTGCTTGCTCGCTATTTATATCAAGACGCGTTGCGCATTCTACTGTGTTATACCCTTGATCATCCCACACCTATCCAGATGTCTCCTTACTAGTCGCAGGGTCTACGCCCTTTGCCTACACTGTATACTGTATAGTTTCCACTGAGTCCCTCAGGTATTACGAATGGCGTCTATCCTGTCGTAATACGGACAGTGAGTATCTTCAATGTACTATCTTCGCTGCAGCTTGCTAGTTCCAAGTTATCACTGTATGGTCGCCATATTAGACGGTGGATTTGATCCACATGTGCGATGCTGATGGACATTGAGTTGTGAGGGTCGTCATCGCTTGCAACGATATCTCACCAAGAGTTCATGGTCAGGTCAAGCCTCCATTCTGTTGCGTCCGCTTCAGCAGACGAGTATATAAGAATCCCCCCAGATTCGAGCCCTACAGCCAGTCTGCGTCTGGCATGACGATGAACCCTTATGAGTGCCATCGAATGATAGACACCACTAGCCCACCTGTTGTCAGCATTTACAGTTGAAAATCCGATGGCGGTTGCAGCCTCTTTGGTCTTTATGGTCGCTACAGCAGTCCACTTATCCCAGGAACTTGTATCTTTAGGATGCCATATCTTGACCTGAAACAGCGACCAGATGTAAGTAACACACACATGGAGGTGATTTGAGACCGACAGTTTTATCGCGAGACGCCGTAGCAAAGATGTCGCCTTCATGCGCCCAAGCACAGTCCCATATTATGCGAGAATGCGATTTATCGGCCGTAATTGGGGCATATCCGTCTGGTGATTGAACGTTTGCCAAAGCAACGGACAAATAAGAAGACCATGCAAACCTTCTCCGTTCCTCTCAAACAGGCGCCATGAGCGATCTCGGGATACTGAAAGAATGAATCTGTCGTCCGGACTGAACGCAATCTGGGTCACCGTTAATGCATGACCTGCCAATGGTAATCCCATCGGCTGCCATTTATCCGTATCATAGACACGAATAACAGCGTGCTCGGGGCTTGTGGCCTTACATGCTGTCGCAGTCAATTTCTTGGAACTGGAAACAGCTAATGCTATAGACTGCGGTATCATCATTATCATCAGAGGGCGGATAGGCAATGGACGGCAGACATACTTCGTAACCGTGGCCGAAGACCTTCTCAATCTCTGGCCAGAGAGTGATCGCGGCCAGCTCTCCCTCGAACGGTCGCCTTCTTGTGCGATCGGCATCATGCCAATCGTTAAGCCTTTCGGACTGAGAATTGACTACGGATTTATCAATGTATATGGCCAGAAATATCCATCACAACACTCACCTTCGCTCACAGCTTTGTTTGACAAACCGAGGGGGGGAACGGTGGCCGCCCGCGGTCTTTCGTTCTGAAAGCCAACCTCAGCCCCATCAGATATGATTTATGTCGGGAACGTTTGCTCACCTCTTCCACCCCAAAATGAGCTGTGCCTAAATTGTTGATGACATCGACGAACTCGCGTGGTGCTTCGAAAACACGGGCAACTTTCTCGTCTGCGATGCTGACAAAACGTAGGGCGTCTATGAACGCGACCCCAACAAGGTCATACCCATGGACTTGAGGACGAGCGAGTTCATGCCATACTGGAACGGATGAGCCATCTTTGTCTGAAGTCCGGACTTCTCCATGAATCCGAGTTGTCTGGTCAAGCCTGCAAAGCCCTCAGGAATAGGCTGGATTCGACATGCGGAGAATGGAAACCTACCCAGCAGATATCAGGTATTCGCCATTTGGACTCCACGAAAGACCTCTGACTGCGGCGTTGTGCCCGCTGATGGCACCAACTTCGCCCCAATCCTCGTTGTGATTACTCGGCACTCCACTTTCGGCATTTTCATCGGTAGCACTGCACCGCCAGCGTCTCCATCCACCACTCCAACCCCACGCAGATGCTTCGAAACCACCACAGGTCCAAAGCCCACCAACGAAACCTCCTAGTCTCTGGCCTCCTACGTCGCCAAATCGTTGTCTGTTAATCCATATTGAGGACGATCCATCTGTCGTTGGCGTGATGATTGTGGAAGGAGACCAGAGAATGAGGGAGGAATCGGTTGAGGTGGACAAAAGTGTCGGGACAGAGGTTGAAGGAGAACGGGGACGCCAGGAGAGCGAAGTTACACCGGCTTCGTGACCAACAAGGAGAGCATCGAATGTGATGGAGTACTGCAGCGCACTACTTGTGGTCATTAGCAAGCCGACACGTAACACGGGGAACACAATCACTAACCCATTTTGACTCTTCACTGTCAAAATATGGCGCTTCAGAGAGATTTGGCGACCACCCTCTTCTGCGTCAGTGAGATCTCCCAAGGAGACTTCGAACGCGTCAAGCAATTCGCCACTCAAGTCGTTCTCGGGAGCCGAAGGAGTAGCTTCCGTGGGTTTCTTGGTGAACGGCTCTACATTCCACAGTCGAATTGTCGCATCTTGAGAGCCAGAGGCCAGGATGAGAGGTTGGTCATCCAATACAGGCTGTCGGAAAGCAAGACCTTTGATCCAATCTTCGTGCCCGGAAAGCACGACAGACGATACAAACTGTCCACAACGTGAGTGGAGTTGAAATTATCTAGGGGAGTGAACAGCGTTACCAAGTCTTCGGATCGAGTCCATATCTGAATATGCCTGTCGGTGCCACCAATGGCAAGAATAGTAGCTGGAAGAAATAAGACTGCATAAGAGAGCTCAACGAAGCGTGATGCAGACCTTGTGTTTGCGGCAAAGTGGAGACTGCGAGCGAGAGGGGGTACTCCCCTCTTAACGGAATGGTTTGCACTTCGTCGAATGCATCTAAGCCGGCTGGTCAATTTTCCTCAGCTCACACAAATAATGGATGCCGTGCCTGACTCATTTCTTGACGCAAGACTCCAAACCTTGACCGAAGAGTCAGAGGCTCCTGTTACCACAATCTCATCGAGCGCTGCTAGCGCGGAGACAGCTTTCTGATGTGCCTGCGTGACACAGCTTGACTTCCACTGCAGGCGACCATGTTATTGAAAGAAGTCCGCTAAGCATACATGAGGCAAGCATGCCTGTGTGCCTTTCTTGGTCCACAACCTCATTACACCCTTGTCATCCGCGCTAACGAAACGGTCATCCTGGATGAAACGTACGCAAGTGACAAGACCCTCGTGCCCAGGTAGAGTCTCATACACCCCGCGGTCATACTCATCCTGTGGACAGTAAAAAGCGTTTTTCCAGAGATTGGGATCCTAGCGTACCTGGACATCCCACAACGCAACTAACTTGGCGCAGCCGAAGGCTATCAGAGAGCTTGTAGAAGCATCTGCAGCATGAGAATGTCTATTCGTCGACGCAGATATGTAGGCAACACTCGCGGACGCCATCGAGCGCGACGTTGACCTGGAATCAGCAAGTTACGGTTCAATGAGGTTCACATACAAAAAGTAACTTTCCATTCTAAGCTAAAATCGCGATCACGTGCTTGCTATACGTCAGGTTAAATTCAGAGCCGTCTTGAACTTGACTCAAGATCTTGGATATCATGGGCATCCTGGGTATAGGCGTTGATATCCTCCATGTGCCTCGTCTCGTTTCCCTCATCGAGCGCAGGACGGATAAGCGTGTTGCGGCCCGCATCTTGAGCAACCAAGAGTTCGCCGTATGGGAGACCTTGCCATCATCCGACCACGTTCGGCGAACTCGTTTTCTCGCAGTTCGGTGAGAATGCCACTTGTATGTTACTTTGTAATCTCTAAATAGATTATGATCTCCCAGATGGTGCATCAAGGAGGCCGCATACAAAGCCATTTATCCTCTCGCTAGGCCGACGTGGAAAGACCTGACTTTCCACGGCTTGCAGGCTGGCAAGAACGACACAAAACCCACTTTAGAGTATCGATTTACCAGCTCTTCTCCAGCCTTAGGGAAGATACACGTCTCCGTCAGTCACGATGGAGATTATGTATTTACCGCGGTCCTTGTCGAAGATCCACCAACACATGCAACATCTGCCCAGTTCTGCCATCATACAAGATGAAGCTATCCTGGCATTCGCATGCCCTCATTGGCTTTTATCGCATGGAAATACAGACGGACAACCACGATCATATCGTCCGGACTACAAGTACATTTACTTCGAAACTCAAGGCATTCATACGGCCTGCATTCACGGAACCTTGATACCAGCTTGGAAACCGGGGCGCTCTAGCGCCTTCGCCAGCCACCCCTGAGCATCGAAAGTTATAATCAGCCGCTTACTCCACAATCGAGGCGAAGAAACATACCTTGACGTGGGGCCACTCATCGAGGCTCTCCACTCCCGCGATCTGGTGGAATCTGATCCATGCAAGGACGTTTATGTCAGCGATGCTGTACGTGCCTCTTCCAGGCCCAGCAAGCCAGTCGCGATCAGTCAGGCGGATCTCGAGCACGCCGTATAGACGCTTCGTCTCGTCCAGGTAGCCTGCCTAGCAATGTCAAAACATAGCCGACGAGACAGCTGAGATCAGGCGCGTACGCTTTTTCGCGTACGGGACGACTTCCGGAGCATACCGCTGGAAGTGGTTCGACTGTCCCTGCATGGGGCCGACTCCTCCGTGCTACATACACCGTCAGAACCTACAGGCCCTCCGAGAGGGAAGGCTTGACTCACGGCGAAGAAAATCCACTGCAGCATCTCGCTGTAGTTGTCCGCATCCTTGTCCTTGTCGAAGCCGAATTTGTTCTCCTTATCATAATGCTGTTGGAGGTATAGGAGGATCGCGGCAGTCTCAAAGACCACGAAGTCCTTTCGGGAGCGGTCAACAAGCACCGGGATGCGTCCGTTCGGGTTCAGCTTGATGAACCAAGGCTCCTTCTGGACGTTGGTACTGATGTTGATGGAAAAGACGCTGTGTATTCGCGACAAAGTCAATTGCCGTGGACACGGGCGAGTCGATTGTTGGAGACTCACTCGTAATCGGGTCCTTCATATGTTTGCTTCAGCTCTTCGAGGAAGATGGAGACTTTGTGACCGTTTGGTGTCGGACCCGTGTATAGGAGGAGAGGTTTAGACATGGTGTCTGCTTAGAGGGATGTTCTGGAGCACCTCCAGTGCCTCATCATCTCTCCCTCTTATATCACCAGTCGATCATCGCTGTCCAGCCGCTAAGTGAATTGGTAAGCTAGGTAAGGACCACTAAGCAGCGGAAGCGCAGATGATGCAATCGACATGCTTCCTGCACCACTAGCTATCAACGTATATCATCCCGTTCCCTTGCTGAGTGGTTAACGTTACATTCTGGCTGAGAAAGCAGCAAGTGCTGCGGCTATATAATCAATGACGAACGGTCGACGGAGCCGAAGCAAGGTTCGCATCCGATAGACAACACTAACGTATACAGGAACGAGCACTGCAACGGCTATTGTATCCGAATACGGTGGGTACAGATCTACTAGATATACTGCATCTGAGACACTAGAGGAGTTTGCCCCACCATACACATCGCTGGGCCGAGCTGACATTGGGCACGATACTGCCAATATTGATATTGCCTGATGAAGTGATGAGGGCATTGTCCTTGTGCAACCACGGTCACTGGCAGCACTCGCTGAGCAAGACCTGTCGTCAGCGAACGCTCACCGCATTGACGCCCTGCATGTTTTCTATGGCTCCGAACCACGCATACCGTTCCACCCATTGCATGTCGTCCATAAATGCCTGCGTAGCGTCCATGAAGGTGACAATGTCCTGCAGTGAACATTGGTTATCCGCTTGGTTATAATTCTGGGTATTGCAAGAGCGTCAGAAGGGATCAAACAAAACCGCATAAGAATCATACCTGGCATGCCCATTCTGTGACCCAAATAGGTCGTTGGAAAGTCTCATAGAAGTCTTCCAGATAGACCACGAATGGCGTCGAATTAATATCATACCAATGCAGGGCAACGAAGTCGACGGTGCATCCTCCCTGACATGCATCCAACCATTGGAGTAGCCATTGCTTCCCGACAGGCGCAGAGCTAGGTGCTGGAGTCCCTATCAGGATCCCTTGAGCCTTAAGAGGCTCTAAATATGCCCTTCATAGAGACGCTCCGTCTGCTGTAGATAGTTTGGATTGAGCTGACTGCTCGGGCTCATTGAATCCCAGGGCATGGGTGACATGTTGGTACGAGATGGTGTTGTTGATTGAACGTTCCCAGTCGGATACCTGAGATTCACGCCAGAGCATCGGGACGAACTCTAGCGTTTGGTAACCCACGGAACTAGGGCTCCAGGTGTAGTACCTAAAGACGTTGATCGAAATGAGATAGAATGAACTTAGAAATGTGAAAACACGTACCATTGAGCCCTGCTTGTGATCATGAACTGGTTCATATCCACGTACGGACCATTGGGCCAAGCCAATCCAGCTTTGGAAGAGCTGCCTCACAGCACGCGTAGATACATTAGATGAACGTGCAACAGCACGACGCGGAAAGGATACCAGGATAATGAGAAGAAGAGCTAATCGGTAAGCTGCCATCGCAGGGATTATCTATGCAGAAAGCTCGGTAAGAATAAGGAATTAGCGATGCACGGGCAATTAACCGCCGGTAGCAGTAGGCTCAGCGTGGCTTGCTACGCATTGGACATGATATCAGAGGTGAGCAAGAGCTGGCTTCCATCGTGCTCGCACAAAAGCACTCACCACGTGACAGACCCGTAGTCGGACGCACTCGACGCACTCTGAAATTGTCCCCGTAACGCTGACGACTGAGTAGGCGGGCAGGCGGTCGAAGATTCACTAAACGGATCAGTGCTTAGAGTGCTTGTAGCTACCACGAGTTAACAGTGTACTCACCTTGCTACAGCTCTCTTCTGATAGGGTGAACAATTTCCTCCAGAATGTGAGAGCACGAAGATCCTCGAGGATGCATGCAGTAAGCCATTCCTCGAGCTTCACAAGTTCCACAGAGATATTCACTACCTCCATTTGCCGGAGAAGCTCCATAAGTCCGGGAAGCCAGTGCTCAAGAATTTCTTACTGTGCCGAGCATCTCCAGAGTGTTGAGGTCAGAGGAACGTACTCACGGAACGCAATCTGCGTATGGCTGTAAATCGTGGGGATCGTCCGAGCGCATGGAGCAGGGCGTAATGTAATTTGTGTGTGTACATATGCTACAACCTTAACAAAAACGTTAAGCGGATATTACGGTATGTCCGAATTCTAGGATGGACACTCACATTCGTCCAGTAATGGGATTGAATTCTCCACAATTATACGCGTGAATGCAGACGGAACATCACCCGCGAAAATGAGGGACGATACTGAGATCCTAAACTCAGATAATGACAATGAGTACTCATCCAGTGACAAACTACTGACTACTCTTGCTCGAGAGTGGGACGTGGCCACCAATCCGGCCACCAATGTGATACGCCCCACGTCCGGTCATCTCCATCAACCTTGAGCTCGAATGTCGCTGTGCCATTTTCCACAGCAGAAACATGTTCCAAGCGTAAGAGGGCAAGACCAACGCCATGGATCGAACTAAGGAGCTTCCCTGTCCCACGTGGCCGTGGTTTTGGGGCACCATCGTCCTGCGTAGAGACATGGTGGGTACGAATGTCAGTATCCGAAGGAAATTGTGTTGCGTCGGCAGTTGTGTCACTGAGTTACACCTCGTACATTAGCATGTCATCATAATTGGTATGTCCGGAAAAACATACCCGCTGTCCTCAGGATGAATTACCACGGGTAGGATTCGCTTGCGCAAAACGCCTGTGTGGTACGTGCGGACCGTCAACTCCTGACCAACGTAGCAGCCTTTCCTGAAGTCGACTGTCAAGGAATCCCAAGAATATTATCAACAATAAATCTCCAAAGAATATAGATATACTGACGTGCGCCCATGATATCCAGGTTAGAGTCCATGGGGAAAGCATGGGTGGGTGGGATATCTGTGACGCCCTCGGGCACGCCGTTCAATATCCTGTGTAATAGGTAGTCATCAGATGATGCGACATCGTGAGTCGATGCCTCCTGTGCTGCATGCTACTCAGAGTCTCAACGCATTTGAAGTAGTGCCATCGCTCACGCTTGTCTCCCTTTCTCACCAGCAAACGATGACCCATGCCAACTGCTCTCCGGTCTCGCAGCACTCCCGCGTCTGCTCCCCATGGCCATTCTGGCTCGCCATCCCAGACAGGCTCTACCGCTCCACTCCGGACTGCATTCCACTGTCTCTCCGTCTCCCACTTCTTCTCCTCGTCGGAGCCCCATGCAGACCAGACATCATATTCCTCTGTTACATCACGCAGCTTGACCTTGGAGCGCAATACGTATTTCTTGAGCATAGGCAACAGAGGAGGTGCCTCGGACGACCTGGAGTCGCACTCTATGAGGTAGCCCCGGTTTCCGCTGGGGCTAGGATGAGCATAGATAAATACGTCGTACAGGACTCTACCCTTGAAGAGTACAGGTCAGCATTTCAGTAGTTACGATACGAGATACTTGCCTGTGCGTGCAGGAAGGCAGAGAAGAAATGGTTTTGCGGAGATTTTGGTATAGTAGAAGCAACGATGCCATTCAGGAACTCGGCCGCATGAGACCCAGTCACAGACAGGATGGAACGCTGAGGAATAGGTGCGATCGTAGGCACATTGCGAACGAGAGCGCGAACGCTGCGAGGTAGCATATCCGAGTACTAACCAGTCCGCGCTCTCAGTAAGTAGGATGTGCGAGCCATCCGAGTGACCGCGGACGAGAACTTCGGGAGAACTTCGGGGGTTCTCAACTGCACCTTCCACTCGATCCATGTCCTCCTCCTGCGAAAATCTGCGCGCAGCTCTCAAGGAGTGTCTGTTGTACTCGGATTGCGTTGTGAAGCAAGGCCACTTACCCTCAGAATGTCTCCGAGAGCACACCAATGAACTCCCGGAGCAGTGTCAGGCTTTGCGGCTAGCGACTTTTGAGTGCAAGAGAGGCATGGTGCGTCCTCGTATAACCTGGCGATCTTCGGCATTGATGAATCAACCTTGCGTACTACGACTAGTTGGATATGAGGAAACGATTCCGGGGGAATAACGTCAATGCACCGGTATTCACCCCGTCGCATCCAACAGAAGACAGTCGATAGGATGGAAGAATACCCCTCCTTGTTCGCGACATATGACTGGGTTGTACATACCTTTCTCGTATCTACCATCTGTTCCCTGAATTCCCTTATAGCTGTACACATTGTACTAGTAAGCAGCACCCGATTTTTCATCTCTGCGAATGCCCACTAATTCCTAGTATTATTGCTAGTCATATCACTCATACATGTATGATCAACAAGTAGGAGTCCACTCGAGACTTCACTTCGTGTTTCTTTGAATTTTCCCTCTCTCGGAATACTGAGGCACGCATGGTACTGGTGTGCAAAGTTCCTGTGCAGGAGCCGTTCAGCCGCATTCACTACTGCCGAGCAATGCTCGCCTTTGGTCTACAGAGGGAAATATCCATGGCGGATGGATTCCACAATTTCGTCCCTCACACGAAGGTGTATCCATCTTGGATTCATGTGGTATAGCGTACTTCGTGTACTGTCACCCAAGACTCATCTGGCCTTCCTATGTGTTCACGGAGGAACATCGATTAGAACTTTAGCTGAAGGTACAATTTGCACCACTTCTCACCGACAAAACTGTGCTCAGTGGTCATGTCGGTGAACATTCGTGAAATAAGAGATGTTTACCACATCAGAATTTACCAAGAAGCACAAGAGGGACAAAAATGAGGTTGACTGGCAATAGCCATGAATCACCTTAGAACAAAAGATTGGAAACCATGCCCAGAACAACGCTGAGGTCTGAAAAATTGGTAATGTGGCATTCGAGTGGAGGCAGAACACGGAACCCCCTAGTAAAAGGCGAGGGGGTTGTCTGATTGCAATACCTCCTGCCACAACTACGTGTGGTCAGAATGGGCAGACACGAGCCCGAGCTTCGCATTTTGTTGAGCTCGCGGGTATGCAGTCACGTTACCAAACCACTGAGAACTTGACCGTTTACACCAAGTTTACACCGACCCTAGTACGGTCAGATAGCACTTGAGACATGTCTCGAGATGATAAGCTCAAGGTCGTCGCTTCCTCTGCCTTAAGCAACCTCTTCTCTACGCACAAAGTGCACACACCGATATCTGCTTTTGACCTGCTCACGCGCATCATTGCCTCTGGTCCTCCCCCAGCAGGTCTTCTCCCAGGTCCAGAAATTCCGCCCTCATTTCGGCTCACGGACCTCTCCCGCTTCGAAGCCATCCTTGAAGGTTTCGCTGAAGAATGGAATTTTGGGCTCGTCGAAGTGTCGCGCGAAGAACGCGACGGCGGGCTTACTGTCATGGACGTGCAGCTCGGCGAAGCAGGACAGCAACAAGCAAGGGCGGTTGCACAAAGCAGGAAGCGTAAACGAGTAGTGGACGAAGATGCAGACTCAGCTGCTGGCGATTCTGAGGAAGATGAAGAACAGCCGAGGAATATAAAACCTGCGCCAAGCACCCTTGCCAGTCTCAGCAGAGACATGCGGGAAATCTACAACATATTGCAGCAGAGTACCGCGAAGGGGCGTCTACTTGCCGAACAGGTGTGTCTCGTCTACAGCTATCGTTCGCTCTTGCGACGACTGATGCTCTTCAGTTCCACACCGTGAACGGAAGCTTCGAGCCCATCTGCTCACACATAACCAAGGATGAGTGTGCCAAGTCACGGCGTCTCTCCTCGCAGTCTAGCGCGAATGGCCTTGCAACTATCTGTGACCGCATCCACTTCCGCCCGCTCCTCCGCCCCCATACTGATCCTACGCTTGGTCACTGCTCCTACTTGAATACGTGTTACTCCGAACCTACATACGCGCAGTCACCCTCTATTCCACCTCTTCCGTCGCATCGCGCCGTGGGATATGGCGCCCAGGGAGGGGGTGCTGTTAGCCTCCCTAGTGGGCTGGGAGCAGGCGGACGTGGTAAGGAGAAGGCTCCCTGTCGATATCTCCACTTCGAAGTGGACTGGGATACCAGCGACGGTGCGGCTTACGTGGAGAAACGCACCGAGGTAAAGAGGACACCGTTCAAATTGGGCATTGGGCTTGGTCCGACTGGGAAGGAGGGAAAGGTGATGAATATATATTTACCCGGGGAATGTCTACTTCTAACGTGAATCCACACAGCTCCCACCGCAGTGGCTTAACTGTGATTTACGCAGATTCGACTACTCTGTCCTGGGCAAATTCCATGTAATCATGGCCGATCCACCATGGGATATACACATGAGCGTGAGTTCTTCCGATTCGTTCGTGTATTTGTTCTACCCCGCCTCAATGGCATGACGCCTCTGCCATGTCTTCGTGCAGCGGTAGATCAAATCCTGGGACTGCAGAATATCCATTGATTCCCTTGCTACTCAATAGCTGCCATATGGCACCATGACCGACGATGAGATGCGCGCAATGCCCATCCCAGCTCTTCAAGACGAAGGCCTACTTTTTCTGTGGGTCACTGGCCGTGCGATGGAGGTTGGGCGAGAATGCCTACGTGTATGGGGCTATACCCGTGTCGATGAAGTCGTATGGGTCAAGACCAACCAGGTATTATTCTCTTAGCCGCCGAAGTCATCATGATTTCACATCACCTCCCATCACTTTCTGTAGCTCCAGCGGGTTATCCGCACAGGACGCACAGGCCATTGGCTGAATCACACGAAGGAGCACATGCTTGTCGGCGTTAAGACCGTGACAGACGCGGACGGAAAGCTGAAGTTCCCTTCATGGGCCAACCGCGGACTCGACACGGACGTTATTGTCTCCGAAGTGCGCGAGACGAGTCGCAAGCCAGATGAGGTATACGGGATGATCGAGCGCATGTGTCCAGGAGGAAGAAAGATTGAGATTTTCGGCCGGAAGCACAATACGAGGCCTGGGTGGGTGTCGTAGCTGTTTCATGTATTGAAAATGGTCGCTAATTTATGTTGCATTTCACTCCCGCCCAGTTGGTTGACGCTCGGGAACCAGTTGGGAACCGACCAGATCTATGAGGAGGACCTTGCTGCACGGATTAAAGCACGGTGCGTATCCCAAGCAAGCATCGTTTTCACGATGATTGGTCTCTAATTCAAGAATCCTTGTCACAGGTATCCGGAACGGGTGATCAATGCATCACAGGCTGGTGGAACATAGCAGATTTTGTAAGTCCTTGCAAACAAATTGTTGTGTAAATTGCTATCTGGACTTGGACATGTTCGTCGACTTGCTGTGACTACTCACGCTTGTACATGTAACTTTTAATGTATCTCTAAGATCAACTGAGTGCGGGACGCACTTTTGCGTCGTTAGGGCTGCGCGATGGTCCAAGTGACCATGAACCAGTGCAAAATGAACCAGAAGAACTGAGCAGCCCTACGTGTGAGCCTGCGTGAGCGCTGTGTGTCGGTTATTACCGGGGAATCGGGACAGCAAGTTCACCGTCACCGCGACGAGCACTACAGTCCTATTTTCCTTCGTTAGTCTGCTTCATTTCCCTGTCTGTTACTGGAGCTTGACTCTTCCCTATCCATAGTTAACGATGGCCTCAAAAGCAGCCGTAGCGGCGGTGGTAAGTGAAGACACATCACGCGGAACTGTGTCACTTAGTTTTACCCTCGGGTGCGAAGGATTTCGCCCGCGTTTACAACTCGCTCGGTCTTTCCAAGGGTACGTCCAAGAAGGCATGAGTTGCATGGGATGGTCGGGTCTGATTTTTTGGGGCAACACCAGAGACCATCGCCAGCCTGCAGGCGTTCCGCAAGCGACACTCAGACGCCCAGCGCACGCAGGCGCAATACGCCTCGCAGCCAGCAACAGTAGATCTTGAACACTACCGCTCGGTGCTCAAGAACAAGGCTGTTATCGATGAGGCGGAGAAGATCCTCCGCGAGTTTAAGCCCGTCACGTATGACGTGAGCGCGCACATCAAGGCTATCGAGACTTTCGAGGTTAAGGCAGTGAGTGTCTACTTCCGACGGCTCACGGTTACGCGTTTTCGGGGAATGCGACAGCTATTTCGGACGTGTTGTTGATCGTGGATTGTCGACTGCATAGGTCGCTTCAGCGAAGGAGACCACGGAGAAGATCGACACGGAGTTGAAGGATCTCCAGGCAACCCTCGCTAACATCGAGGAGGCGCGTCCCTTCGAGGATTTAACTGTATGTATACACTTCGTTGTCCCAATGTTGTTTCATATTCTCCACCTTTTATGCAGGTGGATGAGGTTGGCGAGGCACACCCCCAGATTGTCGCGACCGTCGAGACGATGATGAAGAAGGGCAAGTGGTCTGTGCCAGGTATGTTCGCGGTCGTTTTCTTTAACGCCGAGACTTACCGTGACGGGGTGCACTACAGGCTACAAGGAGAAGTTCGGCGATCTCTCTCTCATGTAATCTGTTGTCGTCATTGCAATAGAATTCGGAGGGGCTTGATGACGGGCTTGGCGAACACAATGGTCATCGACTATGTCTGTCAGGACAAAAATACACGCCGTCCCGTAAAAGATCAAAGAATACAGCAATAATCCTCAAGTCGTGTCATTCCTACCGCGCAAGCTATCGACCGCGAATAAATAGCAATTGGGATCTGACTATGCTACGGAGGTATTGACAGACAATCCTACACTCGACTAATGGCAGGGACAGACGAGGGTAGAGGTGCGTGTGGGTCGTGGCAGACATAACAGTGTGCAATAAGTGAGCCTATGGGAATGACAGAACCAGGGTATATCGGAGTGGAAAAGGCACAAACCGATGGAAACAAAGGAAACTAGAAAAGGTCCTCCAGTGTCATTTGTTTTACGATGTCCTATGGGTGAAGGACTAAGTGCGAATACCTCAGACACAAAAGAAGACGGCGTACCGTGTTCGACACCATCTGCACGAACTCCTCGAAGCTGAGCTTCCCGTCCCCGTCCTTGTCCGCCTCCATAATAGTCTTGTCTACTATCTGCTGCAGCTGTCCGTCCTTCAAGTTGTTTCCTACCATCATCTTCAGTACGAGGAACAGTTCTCCGTTTGATATATAATTATCCCGATCCATGTCGTACACCTTAAATGCAACTAGATTAAAGCAGTCAGCGGACACTCCAAACTCAGCAAAGGATGGACAAACATCGTAGCTTCTCTTCTCGCCCTCCTCGACTGCTAAACGCACTCAGTCCACCGACGAACTCCTGGAAGTCGACTGTGCCTCCACCGCTGCGAGCGCCGAGACCATCAAACGCTAAGGAGCGTTGGTCAAATTAAGACTCACTCGTCATCGAAGATAGCAATCAATCTTGACGCTAGAGGATTGTTCGCGATTTGAGGTATCTGCAGGAACTCTTCACGGTCAATAGACCCCGAACCATCGCTGAGTTACATCGAAAGTTAAGCATACATATTGAGTAGGACATATTACAAATGCTTCCGCACCTGTCTAGCTTCATGAATCGTTTCTTCAGACGCTCCAACTCGCTCGCATTGACTGGACAAAAACGTAGGCACGGACGTTTCATTCTAGGCTGCATAAATATGCCAGTGAAGGGTAGGACGCACAGTTGGACCGCTTTTGCATGTCCTCCATGAATTGGGATGCTAGACATTGCAGGGCAGGACGAAGTGCTGGTCAGTGGAGTTCGACCGCATACAAGGAAGGTTGCGAACGTGATTGGCCCATAATTGCTCAGTTTGCGCGTTTACTGTCACAACTGTTGGGTGGAAGGTCCAGGAATATGTCCGGTGTAGAGAGGTGGGGCGGAGGGGGAAGGCAGGAAATATGATAGCGGCGCGCAAGTTCCGTCGAAGTGAGCGCTGAGCTCGAGCGCCGCCTCCAGGACTTTGACCAATAACCACAAAGACGCCGTGAGAAAACATTCCCATCTCGGGGTGTCTGCCTTCGTGCCATCGCCCACGACGTCGAGGACGAGGATAGCCTATGCATATGATCTCGTGCAGATATGCGTTCAGGGGACATGGTGTTTTTGACCCTGGTCTTGCGTCTCTCTGTGAACCGCGATCATTCATACTTTCCAGAAAGCCGAGGATGATCGTGCACCGCCTTGCTCGTCACTTCACCGCGTTCCGTAAATCCAAAAGGTCCTTCTCTATTCTTAGTCGTCATCTTGATGCAGCTTCTACCGTATTCGCCTCTGCTGCGAGGCTCGAACGTGTGGAAGATCCAGAACTGGTGCTGTCTGACGCGCAGCGGAGGACCATATATGCACTGTCGACACCGCCTGGTAAAGCTGGGGTTGCTGTGATCAGAGTATCAGGGCCAGATGCTCTGAGGGTGTGGTCTTGCATGGTCATGGCGAACTCTGATGCGCGTAGCAAGGATAAAGCTCGCGAGACCGATCCGGAACCTTGGAAAATGCATAGATGCAAAATCATCCACCCGGAGAGTGGTGAGTCGTTAGACGATGGTCTTGCAGTTTTCTTTAGAGGTACGCCGAGTAGTTTCTTCTCAGTAGAATGGAGACGTGAAAGTGCATTGTGGACAGGTCCGAAGTCATTTACCACTGAGGACGTCGTGGAAATGCATATTCATTCCGGCCGAGCTATAATCGCCTCTATCCTGTCCGCTCTGTCACGACTTTCTTTCTGCCGCCCTGCCGAGCGAGGAGAGTTTACGCGGCGGGCTTTTGAGGGAGGCCGCCTGGACCTCACTCAAGTAGAGGGATTGAAGGACTTGATTGATGCCGAAACGGAGAGCCAGCGAAAAGCTGCGCTGAAAGCAGCTGGGGTGGGTAAGCGTACTTTGTTCATTCATAGCACGGCATAGCCGACCACGTGTATCAGGGAACTACGAGGGCGCGATTCGAGAGTATGAGAGACGAGATTATCAAATGTCTGGCTCTTGTGGAAGCACTCATTGACTTCGGAGAGGGCGAAGAGATTGAGAAGGGCGTATATGAGTTAGGTAACGTCGTATTTTCCTTTCTTAATATGCTCAGTATCTCAGACGTTCTTTTTTCAATAGCTCGAAAGCGGGCATTAGTGCTCTATCACACCATACAACATCACCTTTCTGACAACAGAAGAGGGGAGATCCTGCGCTCCGGCATTCGTTTGGCGATCTTTGGTCCACCTAACGCTGGTAAAAGCAGTTTACTGAACTTCCTCGGTAAGTTGACCTGAGAGAAGGCTGATTCCAACTGACTATACAGAATGTAGCCCAGCGAGAGGCAGCGATTGTCACACCAGTCCCAGGGACCACTCGGGATATTCTAGAGCTTTCATTAGACATCGGTGGCTTGCCTGTGATTGTCGCTGATACAGCGGGCCTACGGCATACCGACGATGTCGTCGAGAAGATTGGGGTGGAGCGGGCGAGACAAACGTTAGTCCTCCATTTATTGGTCCAATCTGAGATGCTTTAACGTGAATTACTGCAGGATAGACAAGTCTGATGTCTCGCTCTGTGTACTCTCGCTTCCCGAACTCACTCTCTCCGGGACTATCCACATCCCACCAGCCATCTCTTCCCTTATATCTGAAGACACAATTCTGCTCCTCAATAAGGCAGACCTTGTTTCTGCTTCGCATATTAACGCCATCTCCAAACTCCTCGGGGTGAAGCATACATGGCAGGTCAGTCTGACTTCAGGCGAGGGTACACAGGCGTTCTTGGAAGGGTTTGGTAGAGCTCTGCAAGAACGGTGAGTAGTCGTCCGTAGTGACTTTCTACAGGGATGCTCATACCATGCCCAGTTATGACATGCTGCAGGAGCGAGTTTCCGAGATTGAGGAGCCACTGATAACTCATTCTCGGCACCGTGCCCATCTTGAGAGTGCATCGAAGTTCCTTCAAGCGTTCCTGGACACCCGTGGGTTCTCTGCAATTTACCTGACGAAGTAACTGCTCATGCTATAACGTAGCTGCTGAGGACGTCGTGTTTGGTGCCGAAGAGCTTCGCTACGCAGCGCAGGCCATAGGGAAGATCTCGGGGTTGATTGACGTCGAGGACGTACTGGATGCTGTATTTCGTGACTTCTGTATTGGAAAATAACAATATTTGTCTGTTAATATTAAGTCTTGATTGCATTTTGTCTTGACACTCCAGTCATTTCCCAATTGTCCGTAGCCTTCGCATGGGCCTGAGACTACGCAACCGTTCGCAGTGGGATCTACAGATTCGAAGTTCAGTAGCATGTGGATCGACGATCTCGGACGGACCGAAACGATCACACCGAGTCGGACGAGTCTCTGCAGGACCCAGATCTTCGTTCACAACCACGACCGCGTCAAGTCTCTAGGGTCGACCACTCTGGTACAGAATCTGTTTTGAAAGTGTAGGTTGGGATCGACCATGGCGATTGACGGTCTCATTGTTCTTGATTCAACTGGGTATGTCCGAGTGTTCTGACCAGGTCCTCTTACACACTCATACCCATTCAAAGACGTCCTATCGTTCAATCAGGCTTCCGTGGATCCCCCCCAGCATACCCTATTTTCCACATTGACGCGCTCAACAATGCTCTCGCCAACGCGAAGCGTCCAGAAGACGTAGACCCTGTTCTCCCAGTACCCCATCTCAATGATCCGGGAAGTGCGTGCTGTCATGTCAAACGCGGAGAGTTGAGGTTCTTGTGCCCTATCAGTGGCAATTGTGCGTTGCATAGCTGTGCGATCGTATGAGATACTTATCTGCGTCGTCGCAGTGGACCCGCTGTATGCCTTTGCCTTCTTGCAAACATTCATTGATATTTTACGTGAATACTTCGGCACTGTTTCCGCAGATACGCTAAGGGAGAATTTTGACGTGGTATATCAGGTCTGTTTTTGCCGAACGTATGATTCAGGCTAGTACGTATCTTACTCCTTGGGTATTTTCGTGCAGCTACTAGAGGAGACCCTTGATTCCGGCGGTCATCCCTCCACTACTTCCACAAATACTTTGCGTGACATAGTTCTGCCGCCCACCCTTCTGCAGAAGATGCTCAATGTCGCAGGCGTATCCGGCCTTGCCAATCCAGGAACGAACACACATCCATTCGCTTCGCCGATACCTTGGAGGAAAGTGGGAGTCAGATATAACAACAACGAAATCTATTTCGACGTGTCAGAGACACTAGAAGCGATCGTGAATAAGTACGTTTGCAGTATCATTCCCTTACTTTCCTATGGACGTATCTTACTGCGTACGCATCTCAGGAACGGCACTCCTGCCGCGAGCAATGTGTGGGGAAAGATAGAGTCCAATTGCAAGCTGTCAGGTAAGCACTGGTGATTCTGGCGCAACGTAAGCAGTGTCTGACTCACTATCAGGGACACCGGACCTACTATTGATACTCTCAAATTCAGCATCACTTGCAGATGCTTCCTTCCATCCATGTGTTCGGTGAGCCTGCGCGATGTTTCCAACAACTCTAGGACCATCGTTTATGCATATCATCTGTGACCATTAGGCTACATCGATGGGCTCGTGACAAGGCACTGTCATTTGTCCCCCCAGATGGCCGGTTCAAGCTAATGGAGTATCGCTACGCTCCGATCTCAACTACCGCACAACATCAACTATCTGTGCCATTTGCGATGCGTAACACGGTCAACGTTGAAGAGTTTGGAGGTGAGTAATGCACTAAACTACACACGAAACGATGCTCGATATTCGCGGTCTTGCTGACCACGGTCTGTTTGACTCGTCCAATGTAGGGTCCTTTGACGTGACCTTCACTTCGCGCCTCACGACCCGTGCAATGGAGAACGTGTTCGTCGAACTCTACCTCGGCGAAGGCGCATCTAGTGCGAGCTGTATGGCCTCACAGAACGCGTCATGGAGCTTTGATCTGAAAACAATGGTGCGCCGAACCTCTCCAACGAGCGTGTCCCCACTCACTTGCAATTTCCACACACTAGACCGTGCGATGGGAGATGAAGAATGTGCCTCCATCCTCTAGTTTCAACCTGCATGGCTCATTCACATCTACGCAAGTATCTGTGCCGCCATTTTGTTCATGGTCTGCGACTGACGTGCGCGTGAAACCAGGGCGAAACTTCCCCGCCCAGCTCGTGCGTTCCGCGTACGGTTCGAGATCCTCCAGCACAGTTTCTCCGCGGTGAAGATTGACCAGCTCAAACTGACCGGAGAGGTGTACAAGCCGTACAAGGGGATGAGGGGCAAGTCTGCTGGAGATGTGGAATGGCGGTGGTGATACGCTCATGGTGCATATGTGGTATGCATTGTCACGGTCGCGGGGAGGTGAAAGAACAGCGGACATGTGCAAGTATTTCGACAAAGAATAGTGCGTTTCACTAATCCCATGTTGTGATACCTCAACCCGTTGCAAAGTAGAGACGATTTCATCAGAATGGCAGTCGTTTCAGCTTCAATGCAACGTATAATGGTTACACAGTGAGCGTATACAACAAGCCTTGATCGCCAGCACCCGCAGTAAGAAAATCCCCCCTTCTCCAAGGACTAAACTGGGGATCCTGCACGCAAACATCAGCTATGATCCACACAATCAAATAGAACGAAACGGACCGTCAGAAACTCTGGTCGGGCAATTGAACGTTGTACTCGCCGATCCACTAGTGTCCTCCTCACGACGGCGATGCACTATCCCCTCAGGTTGCCCAAGGGGCTGTAAACCGGGTTGTGCCGGAAACACATAAGCTCGGGCGGCATGGTATAAGAAAGTGGTCTGAGCAGAAATTGGGGTATCGAATATTTCCGGGACATCTAGTTCTCGGATTTTGTTGGTGGTTTGCTTCTGGAAATTTGACATTTTAACAAGATCTGTGAGATCCACAAAAAAAGAAAACCTGACGACCAGTTCTTTGAACAAGTCATCTGCCACCTTCATCGCTTGACGTAGTAAGGCCTTTAATTCGCCCCTCAGACCATATATTTCGAAGGTATTAGCTGAGTCTATACGCTGTTGAATAAATGTGACGGAGGCTTTGCCAGTGAGTTTGATCAGACGTCAGAATACAAGTTCAGCATGTTATTCAAACCGTGACTCAGTGTCAAAACATACTTCTGCATGTCAGCATCATCTGCAGGAAGAATGCAGGATGGCGCATTCTAATCCTCTCCCGTTCATCTTGTGTGAGAGATTAGAATACTTAGCTGATCAAATTCTGCGATAATCTTTTTCACAGCGTCGAAGTTTCCAGTGGTCCTTGCAGATGCGAACTTCTTGAATGGCAAAGAGGCTTGAATGAGCGTGGCTGCACCTAGTATTATGCTAAGAGCAGATGCTGAATCCCCAGTAATCGTGCATCCTGGGCCGGACATAGTTTCTATTTTCCGGGATGTAGATCAGCAACATCGGGCAACGGATGATTCAATAATGGTACATATTGGGTTCTTCAGGCTACATCCTGTCACCCTGTGCTCTTCATTTGTTTAGGTTCTTTAAAACAGTATCCCCACAGATCTAGTATACTACGGCTCAACCGCTAGCAAGGGAAAGGAAGGTGGTAACCGCACGGGCCCGGGCCGGGATCTGGGACTCGAGAAGCGCATGCTTTTCAGCATGCACTAACCTCGCGAGGTAGGTAGGTCAATTTTTTGGGGCGAAATTTCGCCGAATTTTTGTATTATATATATTTTTAGTGTGGTTTTCGATATAAGATAGACCTCACTCATGCCCAACCACTCTAAGCGCCGTGACATGGTTGTGACCCGACAGTTGCCCGAGAGTGCTATTGATTTGGGAGCAATAAGTCAAAGTCTGATACCCGATATGGTAATGGATGGTGTGGTAAGGGCCACTTATCAGCCAAATATTTACCTGCTGGATGTTGGCTCTGTTTGGTCGCCGTTCACTTTGGGTTGTTGCCAGCCTAATTTCTCTCCTACGAGGGCGAAATAAAAAAATGTGCTCCCTGGGAATATTCAAGAAGGTATTCATTAACAATCCCCAGGGAACACATTTCTGATAAAGGCTTTGTGGAAAGAGGAATTAGACGAGCAAGCACTTTCGCCCGCCATTTTGGTGTAAGCGTGACATTAGACGCCCGACACGAGTGGTTGGATATGAGTGAGGCCTATCTTAGAAGTAGATACAAAGCGTAAAGTAGGAAATAAGAGTGTGAAAATCGAGAATTATGTATCGTACGTGTACAGTAGAAAGTAAGAGTATGAGTGCAGGAAATGTATTTGATAATGTTACTTTTTAATCTTCTTTTTCGCAGCTATGACGTCAGGTAAGTTCATTCCTCGTTGTTTTGCAGAGGAAGTGATGACGTCTTCATAGCCGGGTGAAAGAAGAACAGTGATTTGGGAGATATCAGCGTAGAAGGCATCCGCGTCGCGATAGGACCCCGGCATACGCTGCAACATGTCCGATCCGGATGCGGGTAGAAGTGACCCCCAAATCCGGCCAACGTCCGAGACTAAGTGCGGGTAGAACAGGCCAAATCCTGGCACTCCACCCGATCCACTGTGCGGACATAAATGGACCGTCGCCAGCATGTCCGATCCGGTAGTGCGGACATTTTTGGACGGCCGGGGACAACCTCCAAGGCTTCGCCTTCTCCGAGTAAGTGAATGCCCGATACGTGGCTGTCGCTGAGTCGGAGTCAATATGTTTTCCGCTCGCGCGTTCAGGTTGAGCAAGCAAGTCAGCATTTGCCTCTCACCCTCAGCACTGATATACAATGACAAGCCCATTTCTCTTACATGCGGTATTAGACAGATTGGACGTTGAACGTGTCCTAGACATGTAGCCGCGGCCGGAGGGTCAGGATAGTGTCTATAGGTTCAGCAATGATGCGTAGCATGTTCTGCCACCGGAGACAGTGTGCAATATCGCATCTGCGGACATTGTGGGAAAATTCTGCCTTACATTGTACATGTATGACCGGCTCTTGTTGCCTGCGGAAATTTTGCCTTACATCCTTTCTCAGCCAATCAGATCGGGGGAATAAGCATGTTTACAAAAATGTACAACTGTCTGACATTCTACCATATATGTACAATGTTAGATGGGATATTTGCACAATATTAGATGTCCAGATATAGCTTGCCGTCTCCGGTGCATGCGTGTCCTGGGTGATTTTTGCGCTTTTTTTGTAAATTTTGGCCATTTTCAGAGGTTATATCGGCCATGCGGGTATAAATGGACCAAATTTGGCTAACCCGATCCGTTGTGCGGGTATTTGGGCCCAAATGGTGTGCGGACATAAGGGCCAAAATTCGGGGATTTTGGATCGGACATATTGGAGCATATGCCGGGGTCCTGTCGCGATTATGTCCTTCGAAGTCTTTGTCCCACGTACGCTGTCTCGTTATGTTCATCGACACCTTTGCGAGTGCTCCTTTCAATGCTGATTCGCATTCATTCGGATGGAGAGCCTTAGCATTGCGTAGATCAAAGGCGGGTAAGGGGATACCATGTAGTTGCTCGCAAGATTCACACATGTTCCATGTATGAATGCCATATTGAGCATCCAATTCTGTTAGACTGAGTGTGAATTTTGAATGAGGAGAATAATCTTACGTGCTGGTGTTTTGTCAGCGTCATCGCTCGTGTCAGTTGCAGTGTCGGATGAAAAATTGCACATTCGGATACACTGATTAATGGCGACAAATGCCAAAGTCCATGTCTTCGACACGATAACCGTAAACGTGAATATCGAATGCGTCGACAGAGGAAACGACCACTTTACATTCCACTTCACTGACGACTACGACGATGTGCGTGCAAAATATGACGAATTTCGTAGTATTCATCCTGACCTAATATTTGACAGGAGACCGTACTCCTCCTCATTCCTCACGGTGGATAAGAATCATACAAAGCTTACCAGGTATCGTTGTATTAGTAGCGTATCAACAGTGCAAAGCACAAAATATAGCCGAATCCAATCGAATGAGTCATCGTCTGTTACTCCATTTCGGCATTAGCCAATGGTAATTCTCACAAGTACAGGGGGTCCCTATTACACACTACTGCGGAATTGTGGGGGAGGAAAGAGACCTCTCTGCGCTCGGTAAAACTGTATGATATCTGACCTCTGCTTTAAGTCTGTACATTGCCGAATGCTCCCACAGTCTACAGCCTCGAGTTACAGCAACTTGGTCGTGTGGCCAGAAATCGATGCAGAAGAAGTGCCCTTGATTCACGGATCTCAACTCATCCTGCAGTTGCCAAGCACCGTCACAGTGGCCATTTCGGGAATAAGTACTCCGATAACAGAGAAGACAAAGACACTGTGATTGAACTTCATTCACCAGAAACTTGTTCTCTGACGTGTGAGCTGTCCGCAGTTATTGTTTTCAAGCAGGAAGTCTTTATTGTCAAGAATTGTGGGTCCAGGTGTATCCCATGCCTGTCGCGGTTGATCAGCTGCGCCCACGTGCATGGCGGGCGTTGAGTTGAACTTCCACGAGTCACTATGCGTGTAACAAAGCACATTCACTGATCTGCCTTTCACCTATATCTCGACGACATATTCTGCGCCCAAAATCACAGCGATGAGCTCAGAAGAACCCACCGTTGACGAGATTTTTGGTGTTCTTCGGCCGTGGGAGGCACGATGGAGAGACCGGCAGCAGTTTTTGGAAGCTCACGGATACATGCTACGACCACGATACCACCCTGGCTGGACTCCTTCATGGGGTGGAACAGGGAAGCACCCATTGTTTTATGAAGACGCGATTACACTTCCGGTCAGTAAGGATGCTCATTATTAGTGTACCGTTGCTGAACAAGGTTATACAGCCTAGAGAACATCTCATTGATGCCACTCGCATAGCAGACGGGCGACTCGTCTACATCAAGCGAGTAAAGACTGGGGACAACGAATCAGAAATTGCCACGATGCTGTCCGCTGAATCCCTCCTCCACGATCCGATGAATCATTGCGTACGCGTCCTCGAGATTTTTCAGGATACAGAGGACCAGAGCATATCTTACATGGTTATGCCCTTTCTTGTCCTCATAGACAGTATTCCCTTTGAAATAGTTGAGAACATCGTTGACTTCACTGATCAGATTCTTGAGGTATGGTGGATCTCCTCCGTTGCTATCACCCCCGCTGATCCCACGTGTTCAGGGACTCGTTTTCATTCATAACAAGGGGGTCGCTCATCGGTGTGTAAACTACCTACATTGGTCGAACATAACATTAACGCAATTCGCGCAGCGATTGCACGTACAAGAACCTCATGATGGATGTGAATGCGTTGTATCCTCAGGGCTTCCATCCAGTGAACGATCTCTTTTTTCCAGATGGCCTGACGCCTCTACCCTATCACTCCCGTACCGACGCTCCAATTACATACTACTACATCGATTTCGGGATATCCGTCGTAATACCTCCGGATGTTCATCCCAAATTAGCTCTAGGGGACAACGGACGCGACCAGGAGGTCCCAGAGCTTTCTCTTACTATTCCCTATGACCCATTCAAGGTCGACAGCTTTATCATCGGGAATGTGCTACGACACGAATTTCGTGACGTATGTCGCGTCACATTTAATCATACGACGGATCTAATAATTTGTACACAGAAATTCTCTAATGTCGACTTTCTCATTCCTCTGATAGAATCAATGACTCGGACGGACCCGCATGAGAGGCCAGATGCCGCTCGCGCTCTCACGGAGTGGCAAAATATTCGTTGTAAATTGGGGTATATGCAGAGAAGATGGAGACTGAGACCCCGAGGAGAGACATGGCTCTGGAAGGTCATTTCCGACGCAGTGTCGTTCGTCGGCACTACTTTCTACCTGTGCAAGACAGTCTTTGGATGGGTGATCGAAAGTTCCGGATGATCAATGGATACTACGGAGGTGTTCGGCCTCCTTGTCTCGTTCTACTTCTATCTTGCCTATATGAATGTAATATTACAGCTTTCGACTACGCTATGCAATGCTTTGGTTACCGCGCGCAAACGTGAGTGTATTGCAAGCACTGGCAATTCAACGTTGTTCACTGCAGTCGGCCGTAGACAAAAACAAATGAGCGACACTTCTCTGTACCCCTTAAGAAAGGTGTACGTCGGACATCTAAGCAGTGGTTGAAAGATTATCATGACCACTAAACGTAACACAGCTGCCGCAGTGCCACATCCCCTGTGATATGGAATTGATAAAAATGACTGGTCGACAAATAACAAGGGGGTTATGCCATCATGTCTTCCATGAGCATCCGTAATACGAAGGCTGTACGTCCTGGTTGTGACGGCTCGCACTATTGTTGTCCATACACACATGACCGCCGAGTCCCCGAACTTTGTAGAAGGGTGATGGTCGCAGGAACAGGAGACAGATGACTCACAGATGGTCGACGGCTTGTCGAGGGCCGAAAATGTTTTCTTTTACCGCGCATACGTGAATTGAGTGCTTCGCGTGTGAGACTGGGCCATCTGGGAACAATGGATGACGCATTAGCCCGGTGGAATTGGCGAACAGCAACACGGACCCACAAGGACCCCAATTCATGGTAGTACATGACGCGAACCTGCAAGAAGATTTGGCTGTCAGGTAAAAATTCACGCTACACTTTATATACGTACATGACTTGCAGCAACAATATTGAAGATTGTGCCTTCCAGTACACAAACACCTCAGATACTTATAGTGGACGCGGGCGCATGCCAGATCGTCTAGCCGAAAGTGTAGTATCTGCACATCCACGGGTATCATTGATATCCTAATAGACCGTATGACAGTAGAGAGACGATAAAGATGAGGGTAAGAATATTAAGCAATATTACCGTTTCGTACCTACAGCCCATCCGAACAGCTGCCGCACGGCGTAAATAGTGACTCTAACAAAACAGACCATATCCAAGAAGAAGGTGTTCCGCGTTTCCGTACGGGACCGCAGCTCCCATCTGCGCTTGTACAACGACAAGCTTGTTCGCACTTTACGCCAACACTCCAAAATATCTCGCGCGTCAGGCCTGGACGCAGGATCCTCACGAGTCATGGGATCGATAACGGTAGACAAAAACTCCACATTGAAGTATTCCTACACGACACCAGGTCAGAAACGAAGAGCGCGCAGAAGAAGCGACTCACGTCGTGCACTACGCGTCTAAACAAATTTCCGATGAGAAAAATATCTAGTTTGAACGGATTATAGGGGGCATCGGACGAGAGTTCTGGTGGTTCTCGGTCTCGACCATCGTCACCAACCGCAAGCTTAGGGTCAACGTCTGGAGGAATATGCACCGAGATCCCAAAATCAACGTAATAGTATATGATAGATACGCTGGATCTTGCAAGAGGTTTTGCTGGCGTTTCGCCGTCGGGCAAGAAGGTATCCTTCGCTGGATGAAAGCCATGCGGGTACATGGCGCTTGCATCCATCATGACATTCTTGTATGAGCAATCCCTGTACCCACGGCAGTCAGATGGTACACTGACCCGCATGTAGCCTGTATCCAGCATACCGATGTGCTACTCCGACCTCGTGGAGAAAGACGAGACCCTGGAGCAATCATATCGGTACATCGCACGATCACAGAATAAGCACCCTGACCTCCAACATCTGTTCCACAAAGTCTGCCACATCGTCAACAATAGCGAAGGGAGGGTCATTGACGAGGCGGAGAAATGGCATAACCATGTACGAAATAGTGGGATCGTCCGAATCCTCGAAAAGATCGACGATAGGAACACATTTGTTCCGTGGATCCTTGAGAAGAGTTTCGGATGACAACATAGTGGCGATTCGCGATTCGTTGTCTCCACTCTGTACCCTCTTGACGTACACCATCTTGTCATCGGAGATTCGTGTGGCATCTATGAGGTGCGGCCGCGCCTGAAGAGCAGTAAAGATCAAGCGACTCACGCGTAGCTAGACACTCACCGGAAGAGCCTTAGAGTCTTCGCAGAAAACAGGATTTCTTCTTGTACCTGTCCATGAAGGGATCCAGCCCGGACGATATCTGGGACGTAACATATATCCGCGAGACTCAAGGAACTGCTGTCTATCCCTCCAACGCTCTTCATCGGGTTCCAGCTTCCTGAAGGTCTGGTCAGCACTCCGCAAGCTCTCTGGGGATAGACCGGAGATCAGCGCAGCCATTATCGAGGTCTGGAGGGATACGGTGGGAGGGAGTGGGGTATGAACGAGCTGGTAGGAGGTGACGTCTCTACTGGTGGATGTCGCTAAGAAGTGAGCGGTGTCATGGCAATGTGCAGACAATACCGTGACTGGATCGATTTCATGTGGACCCACACGCAACCACAACGCAAGTTGTGCCCCCGAGAACAATAGCACGTCCGAAAATGGTGGGGCTTTGTCGGCGGACGGCGGACATGATCCCTCTCCGCGATAGTGATCGGGATCTTGCGATCTCTCACGATGTCAGTCATTCGCGAACGCCGCTAAGCCTCGCTAAGCTGACCATTGAACAAATTCGTCGCTATATGGCGTCCCTTCTCCTGCAAGGGAGGTCCGTGACTTCTATAAAGCCCGTCCTTGCAGCTCTACTCATTTATCACTTATTCAGCGTGTTTTCTACCTCGATACTGCCAGGGGCAGAATCCCGTTCCTCCTTGCGACTTATTCTTGACACTGAGGTTGAACCTCCTTGAAGTACCTCCCAAGCCAGGCTTGATCAAGGCGTTCATAGGTAAACCTCAGCTTTGCTCTTACCGTGTAGTCCGACCAGTATGCAATAGATATGCCGATCGACGTATTCACCATTCTCTCCCACACCATGTCGGCCTTGAACAACGGGTGGAACTTGTACTCGAGACTCGCGAAATCCCACAAGGCACACGTCAACTTCGAGGCTGAAGAAGAGTCGCTGAAAGTCGCCATGTCTCAGATTCAGCAGACTAGGCAATTGATGGATGAGGTTCAGCCTAACGAGCGTCAGAAAATTGAGCAGAGGCCCCAGTTTTTTTTCAAGCTCGCAAACAGACTGAATACGTATGGACCTATCGGATAATTGTGCTACATATCTCACTCTTGTTTCAGGCTCTGGGATAGGTTACGCTATCTCTAGGAAGACCTCATACAGTACAAGACGAATCATGACGAAGCTGCGCTTCACCGCCAGAACCTCAAACAGACACTCGAAGAGTGTTTGAAGGACACCAATGAAGTCTATTTGGATCTTCTGGTACTGTTTATTATACTCTCACGTTGACGGAGACGAGCTCATCATTGTGTCAGAAATCGACCAATGCTGCCAAGGTAGCTGGCGGAGGTTCTAGGAAATTTGAGAGGGAGCCTTGGGAACCCACCAACTTTGCTCTCTTTTATCCAGCAGGCGCGTTTATCGTTCCTCTTTCAATTCCTGTTATGCTGCACCTTTACTGACGAAACGTTGCAGTCATTCAAACGCCCACCAATACTCTGCGGAAGCGCACTCTCCAGGATGGTAAGAACACGAAAAGAAACCGACATTCCACGATCACGGAGGAACATAGTGCGTTGCTCAGGTCGAACGACGATTTCTTTCGCTTATAATGTTTGTCCACAGTGCTTAGGGATCGATCGAGCGCAGAGCAGATGGCGTAGCGTTGCGATAAGTGTCGGCCTAGATGACACGCCGAGCATTTCTATACTTTCACTCTTCGCGGAAGCGTGCCATATTTGTAGTGTGTACGACTCCGTACCAAAGGCGAACAGTGGTCCACGTAGTATTTGGCCTGTTTTCTAGCCTCCCTGTCCTTTATGTTGTTAAATGCACGTGTATACCTGTACCAAAGCCGCAATGATCCAGCGAATTTCTCAGGCGGAGAGAATGAATGTTGTTACAGTATCAAGTTACAGTGATGGTACTGTAATATTTCGTGGGTATTAGGACGTAGACATTGCAGCTCAGTTGACAGTCTTGGTACCGTCTAAAGTCCTAGCTTTGTGGAAGTCCTATAGAATCCCTCACCTATCATGAGGACCCAAGGACTCTACTGAGGTCCTCCAAGTCCTCCAAGGTGCTGGGAACGTGTTGCTAGAAAAATAAGCGGCACGACCCATCGCAGGCGCTCACATGCACATGCACAAGCTGTCACACGCAAAAACTTTTCAAGCCATGATTCACCGAATTCCCGCCTGCGGTGTCCGTAAGGGACACCACACAAGTGTAGTTCTACTTCTGGAAGACTCGTATGATTAACGAAAAGCTCTCCGAGTTGGATTCCTGAGGCACCAGAGATTATCGCCATTGTTATGGTCTGGAGCGATATGGTATGAATGAGCTGGCAGATTTAAGAAGCCGTCTCCGACAGTTGATGCCGTTAAAGAGTGAGCAGTACCCATGGTAATGCGCAGACAATACGGGATCGATCTCAAGTGACCAACACGCGATTACAAGGCAAGTTGTCCAACAGAACAAATAGCAGGTCCCGGGCCAAGAAATTGGTGAATTTTGCCACCGAGCATATTCGAGTCAGCATTGGTAGATTCAACCGTTCTGGAATACGTGTGAAGGAGTCTTCAGCCACATCTCCCTCAAGAGCCCACTAGCAAGAATGAGAGAGCAGTGACAACTTTGACCGTTCAAGTTGAAGCGTTCGTAGAGGGTTACATAAGCACCGCGCTGGCGCTCGTTTTCTGTTGAAGTTGAGTCCCGCCTGTTGGCTGTAGAGACGCAGTCCTGGGCTGACTTCGAGGACTAGACGCATGGGAGAGCATGAGATGCGCGCGCCGATGAAAGCTGAACCTCAGGCTGTTTGACTGTGTGTGCCAAATCTCGATCCACCGTATGTACTCCGCGACAGATGCGCAACGGCAGCGCTCATCGCCACTCTATTAGGAAGGAACGATTGTCTTCCGCTAACTAGAGGCTGTATCTATGAGCCTACATCGCCACTTGCCTTGTCAGGCTGGCCTCTCGATGGCGTGCAGGTTTTTAGAATGGGGCAGCCACAGGAGGCATGATACCCTTCAAGTTTGCCGCCCAAACCACGCCGCTCGGCGGATAAAGCCTCATGCTCTACTTATCCTCAGGCCGCTATTAGTGTGACACAGGGCGAGTCTCATGCACATCAATCACGGTCTATCTCAGTCTATCTGCCGCGTGGCCTGCCTTTCCTCTGCTGCATTATTGTTCAATATATTCAATTTGTAGTCAAGAACAAAGAGTTCCTACTGTGGCATCTCGAAGCAACTGGCAGGTTCCTGTGCCTTAGGCTTACAGACTATGAACCACTCAAGGTGCGAGGGAAAGGGACGGAACATTGACGAGTTCTGACGACAGGTGATAGGAAATTGCCGCAGTTGTCATGCCTATTGCTCGAGCTTCTCTGCCATGGAGAGCTTTTTTGCGAGATTACAAGGTTGCAGCGGCCTTCAGCCGACGACATTGTATACTCCACGATGCGGTCCACGATGACTGTGCCAGGGAATGAATATCACACTATAGACTAGACAGCGCCTTTGTATCACAAGCACGACACTACCTGGATAAATAACCCTTTGTGGTCAAGAATTGGCCAAACTCCTGCCTTTCTACTCGTCCGCGAAAACCTTCCGACTGGTCGAGCACTCTCTGTACCTCCTCTCGCCCGGATTACAGAAGCCTTTGATCTACCTCTTTCAACCTGGGAGCTCGTCTTCTTATATTATCGAAGGTGCGAGCCTGCCGACTAGTTCACCAAGTATCTCTCATTGATTTCGTGTTCTGTCCACACTGTCGGTCACTTAGATGTCGTCTGAGAGTTGGCTGGCTGCTGTCGACGCCGTTTACTTTATACCTGGAATGGTCTTGTTCGTGGAGACGATGCACACATATTACGCAGATCGGATAGATGGCCAAAGGATGGAGGTGTTTTGCAAGGCCGCAAAGGCGGAGCTGGACAATGTTGACCATTATTTCTCGCGTCTTCCGCCAGGATCAGAGGCTTTCCAGAAAGCCGCTACGATCTACCCGGAGTTACTCACTCATATGAAACCCAGATTTGAGAAGTAGGCTGCTTAAGATCAGCTCTTTTGTCCCGCTCGCTGACACTAGTCTTCCTAGTATAAGACGAGATGTCATGGACTCGTTAAATGTGCTTGTTCCGCTGCTGTATCGGAAACAATTCAGTGCTCGTGACTTTCAGCACCCGTCGGTAAGTGTGCAGGCTTGTGGACTGGCACATAAAGTACAGGTTAATTCTAAGCTCTGATCCGCATTCTTGGCTGCACAGATACCATCTGAGAGTTGGAGGGCTGCTGTCGACGCTATGTACTACATACCTGGAAGGATCATCTTCCTGGAGGCGATGCATGGATACTATGCACGATGCCAGGCAGATTGCAGTGGCGACTATGGCAAAATGCTGCAACACCTTTGCAAGTCCACGTGGGTGGAGCTGGAGAAGGTTGACTACTACTTCTCGCGCATTCCGCCAGGCTCAGAGGCTTCCTGCAAAGCCGAGATGCTCCGCCCGGGTTTACTCTCTCAGCTGAGACCCAGAGTAGAGGAGTAAGCCATCTTCCGTTGGCTCTGTGGTCCGGCTTACTGACGCTAGTCTTCGTAGTCTGAGACAGCAAATCACACACCTCGAAGAAAGGTATATTCCGTGGTGGAATCGTAAACATGGGGACGCACTGAGGCAACAAAATGGTAATCAGGACTTAGAGCACTTGCTGGTAAGTGTCGCCTTTGTAAGTCTACAGCATTCACTGATGGGAATGCTATAGCTTTCGATTGAAACTCTCACTCTGAGAGAAGCGGACAAAGACAGGGTGGAGAAGCGCATACCATTGTTCGAGGTCAGCGACCCACATGGCAAGACTCACATTGTTCCATTGTAGGACCTGGAGTCAAAGGACGTTACGTTTTTTTCTCAATACCTGCGGACATTCTTGTTGTACACTGCCGGATATCCTTAAGTCATTGTATCACACATGCTCGGTTTCTGCAGGGGCAATGAATGAGTGCACCTGGATAGCCTACTACATAGGCGGCTTCAGGAGGCTCCACGCCCTCTGGCGGGGATCAGGAAGTAGCTGGTCAAGAGGTGTAATGCGAGCCGGACAGCAACTAAAAATGTTGAACTGGTGTTCGTCAGGCTCGACCACTCGGAAGCAATAAACGATGCATCGATACGACTGAATCAACGGCGACAATAACGCGAACATATACTGCAGCGGTCACGGGTTCGGAGAGGATGGTCATGGATCATGCCAGTGAGCCACGCCATAGGCCGTCCTGGAGAAAGCGTACTTTTGATAGCTCGCTCCCGACATATACCCAAGGGAGGGTTCAGGTTTTCAAACAAGTCATAAGCATTTGCAGCGGTACTCGTGCCGTAGATTGCATGCGCCAACCAATACGACATCTTCGCGCCCATGCTGTTTGCACTTACAATTACCTCGCATGCGCGTATCTCACAGGAACTGTCGGGGGAGATACAAACGACAAGATGTGCAGCTTACCGCAGAAGTCATGAGGAATACACATGAGGACTCGTCTGTCGCCACGAAACTTGAATGATAAGTCGCCAAGTGGGAGGACGGGTAAGTGAGAACTGTGTCTGACAGTCGGTGTCTGTCAGAATCAAAGGCGGATATCCTGAACTTACTAGAGACCAACGTCACAAGTACAAAATGTCATTGAGAAACATTTTGGAGACTGCTCGTGGAGCATTGTGGTGCCAACGGGGACCGACAGGGATAAACAAGGGATTTAATTCATTGGATGGTTCGTTATGTGCAGGGCTGGAGTATGTCTCCGACGAAGCACTAGCGCCGAGCTCTGGTTGGAAATCGGGTAAGCCAGGCCATGAGCAACCGTAAATGAACACACCCATCCACTTCGAAATATCACAATTTGCGATCTTTACGGGATTAGTACTACGGTGAACGTAGGTCCGCGTTTCAAATGTTCATCCGATCTGGGGTGCGAAGAGACTAGGTTACCTGCTGTAAGTGGTGAAGAAAGTATGTATTGTTGTCCGGATCCTTATCAAACAAGGGCGGAAGGGAGAACTCGTTGAGACCTGTAGGATGTGCAACGACAGTCACGTAAAGCGTCCAAATAGATTGACCCCTTGTACTGGACTGGCCCATTAGTAAGTCCTCAAGTTGTCGAAAGGAGCGACCAAGGACTGATCAGCGTGGGATGGAAAAAGTGATATCGCAGGGCCAAATCGTCGAATAGTGCCCTATCTTTATCATATGTCTGGCTGCGATTCGCTATAGCGCCTGCCAGAAGCTCTGCTGGTACACTTTGACGACCTCACTGAACCTCGCCGGTCACCTTTTACATATATCTTATGACATCTATACTCACCGTTGAGTAAAGAATACAAAAGCGCTTGTTTCCCCATCACAACCAACTTGGTAAACGTCTTACCGGATTGATTGATATCATGACCGCAGGACACGACTTATCCCCCGGGCAGCCGCAATGGGTGACCATGAGCTTCCGGTCGCTCCCTGTGACACACTGCCAGACAGCGATCGGAACACTGTTGGACGTCAATACTTGGGGCGGTCGCTAAGGCATGGACTCGGGATAGAGGCGTGACCTAGATTCCAGGTTTGTATCGTGATGGACTCATGGCAAGGTCGCCATGACGTTGTGTTTTCCATCGAAATGTGAGGCATGAGTATTTGTACGTCTTACAGGCTCGTGTTATTGTTTTTTGAAAGTACTGTGAGTTCCTGAACTTCATCCAAGAACCAAGAGACTCACACAGTCATTATATGAAGCGGAGAACTAGATGAGCGACGTAAAACCATTCACATGGACTTAGTGATCTTGGAATTCCATAAACTGAACAATAGACAGCTCACCAGTGAGACCAGATCAGGGGTTAGTTACGCGGACCCACAAGGACCCTATTTGCATACAACTGTACACATCGATTGGATGCAGACACCGATGCACACATGCAAGAACAAGAGTTCATATGTCATTCAGCTGATCAACAGTTGATTTTTCTATGCTACATCTAGCCTCGGTGAATCCTAGGAAATGATAAGCAACACATCCGTAATAGCCCCAATATAATAGAAAACCTCCGAGAATACCACAAGAAGGCTAGGTCTCGATCACCCTTGAACATCTACAGCCCATCCGAACAGCTGCCTGACAGCGTACATCGCTACTTTGACGAAGCACATGGCATCCAAGACGAATGTGCTCCGCGTTTCCTCACGAGACCGCAGCTCCCACCTGCGGTTGAAGAACGACAGTCCCTTTCGAATTGTGTGCCACTGTTGCAGTGCGTCTTGGGCATCGGGCCTAGATGCAGGATCATCTCGAATCATCGGGCCGAAAAGAGAAGACAAAAATTCCACATTGGAATATTCCTAGGTCACAACCGTTGAGAAGGACAGGAGATGTAGAAGAGATAACTCACATCGTAGAGAAGACGTCGGAATAAATTGCCAATGAGAAAGACATCGAGTTTGAACGGGTCGTATGGGACATCAGGCGACAACTCCGGCGGCTCTCGATCTCGACCGAGTTCTCCAACGGTGAGTTTAGGATGGACGTCAGGAGGGATGAGCACTGAGATGCCGAAATCGACGTAGTAATACCGGATGGAGACGGTAGAACGTGGGAGAGGTTCTACTCCGGTTTCTCCATCGGGCAAGTAATCCTCCTTCACCGGATGAAAGCCATGGGGGTACATAGCACTTGCATCCATCATAACATTCTTGTACGAACAATCGCTGCAAGCAAAATGAGGTGATTTGTGCATTTATTACACAAAGTCAGCGCGCACGTACCGATGAGCCACTCCATTTTCGTGAAGAAAAACGAGACCCTGGTATCATATTAGCACACCGTCCAGCGACATGGCCAAGAACTTCACCTGCAGCATCTGTTCAATGAAATCTACCAAGTCTTCGATAATTGTGAACGGGGGATCATTGACAAGACGGAGAAACGGCATAACCATGTAGGAAATGGTAGGATCGTCTGAATCCTGGAACAGATCAATGACGGGAACACAATTGTTCCTCGGATCCTTGCGCAGAGTTTCGGACGATAACATAGTAGCGAGCTGTGATTCGTTGTCCCCTGTCTGAACTCTCTTGATGTACACCAGTTTGCCATCCGAGAGTCGAGTGGCATCTATGAGGTGCGGGCGTGCCTAGAACCAATGAGCATCGAGACTGTGGACCCACAGGGCGGCTCACACTCACTGGAAGTGTCTTCGCATCCTCACAGAACACAGGGTTTTTCTTCGTACCTGTCCATGAAGGAATCCAACCCGGACGATATCTTGGACGCAGCATGTATCCGCGAGACTCAAGGAACTGCTGTCTATCTCTCCAACGTTCTTCATTGGAGAGAAGTGTCTTGAATGTCTGGTCTGCCCTCTGCCAGCTTTCTGGAGATAGACCGAAAATTAAAGCAGCCATCGTGGAGTGACAGAGAGAGACGACGAGAAAGCAGCCACGACACGCCGACGGAGGTACCCATGGAGATGCGGAGACAATACGCTCCTTAATAGATGTGGACCCACAGATGACCACAACATTTGTTGACCCATTGAGTCGGAGAACAATAACACATCCGAAACTGGTGGGTCTTATCGCTGAGGGCATACAATTCTCTCCGTGATACAGTGATCGGGATCTTGCGATTTCTGACGTGACGACTTGTTGATGGCACAGTTTCGGAGCCACTGAGGCCGCTACAGTAATCTCAATGGTATTACGAGGCCCAAACAGACTGGAGAACAAAGTTCGAGTCATATGGTGTTCTTGGAAGGTCCGTCATCTCTATAAATGCTGCCTAGATTTTGCCTCTGAGCCGCATTAGTTCTCCAGTCTGCTCTTCTACCTGTGCTGCCACCTGTGCTGCCAGAGGCAGGACCCCATCGACATCAGTTTTTTCTTTAACTGAAGTCGTTTATTCCTATCCTTGTACCTCCGAGTCTGAGGTTGATCCTCGTTCGCATATATCGTATTGCTTTGCAAGCCGGACTTGAACGTGTTCCAGGTGAGCGGACTTCAATCCTACCCTCACCATTGCACAGATGTCTCATACAGACGTGTAACGCTAGGTATGCCGATCGACGTATACACCATTCTCTCCCACACCATGTCACTCCTTAACGATGGATAGCACCTGTACTCGTGGCTCGCTAGCGCGCAGAAAGCTCACATCAATTTGGAGGCTGAACAGCAAACTCTGGAGCTGGCCATGTCGAAGGTTCAGCAAACTAGACAACTGATAGATGAGGTACAGCCCCAGGAGCGATGCAAAATTGAGCAAGTCAGACCCGAGTTCTTTCATGATTTGACCAATAAATTAAACACGTATGGAACCACGAGCGTTGACAACCGCGATTCATGTCTAACAAAATCATCAGACTTTGGGATGGGCTACGCTCAATCGAGGAAGGTATTCTGACCTACAGGGAGAGCTACAAGGAGAATGATGAAGTTGAAGTCGTTTCTCATCGCAAGGCACTCAAGAAAGCGCTCAAAGACTGCCTAAGAGATGCCAACTCAGCGTATATGGATCTTCTAGTAAGTTTCTCACACTTTCATTGATCAAGGTGAACTCACCATTCGCTCAGCAAACTACCAACGCTGCCAAAGACGTTGACAGGGAAGCTGACAGTCGACCCTGGAAACCCACCAACTTCGCCCTCTATTATCCAGCAGGTCAGCTTGTCCAATATCTCTCGCAGTGTGATATCATCCTCCTCTTTACTAACAATATGTTATAGCCGGCGGAGAACCTGTGAAATCCCTTTGGATGCGGCCTCCTTTGCATACCGAAAATCCCGAAGAGGACGAGGAACATGGTATGTCTCCAAGCTTGATGCTCTTTCCATTTTGCCGACGATGTTTATCCACAGAGCAATCAAGCACGCCGGGGCAGTGGGTGTAGCGTGGCTGTGGATATTACGTTGGCACTTCCGGTATCTCGACAACAACACCGTTATATTTTCATCTCGGATTGTAGCACATCCTGCTTGTGGTCTGTACTCTGTAACGACGGCGAGCATTGGTCCGTGCCCGTTGACTCTCTAGCCTCGGTGTTGTTTACGTTGTAAGTGCAAATGTATTCCCCGTGCAACGGCGACACTACGTACATTCGGACTTTCGCAGAACATGTGAGATTACCGAGCGATACGTCGTTCGACTCGGACCGTCGAAAGTTCCGCCGTTAAGTTGTGGAAGGCAAGCGAGCTCCACAAAATGCAATAGCGATCGCACTCTAGTCGAGGTCTTTTCTGCGGCCCGGGAAGTACTTGAGCCCACAGGCGAAAAGGGGAGCTTTCGAACCGAGAGCTGCACAACTTGAAGTGGTGCCTGAAGGCAACGGTCATTTTCGTCAAACTTTCTCCGCGGTGCAATGATCAGAATTTTGCTTACGGCAGGCACGGTCGCATATTACTCTCGTACTCAGCGGGAGTGCTCTGTTGTGTCGAGCGGGAGATTGGTATAAGCCAACGGCAACGCAATGATACTTGACATGCATGGTGGATCGCAGGAGCGGTTTTATGACATTCTCTCCTTGAGGCAAGTGATCCTCCTCCACAGGATGGAAGCCATAGGGATACATAGCGCTCACGTCCATCATTAAGTTCTTGTACAGCGCGCTTGCATTCACCATTAAGTTCTTGGCTCTTGTACGAACAATCGCTACATCCATTGGTTAAATTGTAGTTACAACGAATCCAGACAAAGATAGATCGTACTGATGCGTTACTCTGACTTCGTGCGGAAGACCCTAACAGAACAATCTGAGCATATTTGTACAATTCCAACAAACCACCGTCACCTTGAGGATGATAATGCACCACCTTTTCTATGATGGCAAAGGGAGGGACATCGACACGGCGGAGAAATGGTATAACCATGTAGACTATGGCAGGATCTTTCTATCCTGAAACAGGTCGCAGATGAAAACACAATTGATCCCAGGATATTCGCTTGAATGCCGTTGATAACACAGTAGTAAATTATGACTCATTATCTCCAACTTCGTTTGATGTACGAGATCTTGTTATGTGAGAGTCGAATAGCATCTATGGGATGCTCCCGCGGAGAGTGATGAGTAGCGAAGCTTTCGGGAGGTTGATGAGGCCGCACTCACCAGAAGGACAGGACAGTCTTCATAAAAATATTTTGCTACAAACGTAGAAGAAATATTTACCGTACAAACCCGGGGCCCCTCAGCAGAGAATCAGATTGGCTGGCCAGACGCCGTAGTATCGATCGCGATGAAGTAACGACGACGGTGGGTCTCGAGATCCGATTACAGTATCATTGGCGAGCTCTTCAGCCAGTGAAGAATTACATACTTCCACTTGCAAGAACTCTGCAAGAACCGGGCCAGCTCTGAATGGTCATGATAGACATGATAGGACGCATCCCTGACACGAATAGTGCATCGTTAGACGGACATCTTGTGAGCATGACTATTCAGCTGCAGCTCACCTTCGCGATCGCCCAAGAGCCACGGGGTCTTCTGTGTCCCTGAGGGCCCGCTCTACGGGACCGCCGCCGCCAAAACCAGTTCAGGATGGTCATGGCGCGCGCGGTCCGTGCTACTGTCAGAGCAGCAACACCGAGAACGTGCTTGTCCTTCAACGTCGGGATGCCGTTGCTGCAACGTTCTTGTCATATCATGTTTGTCCCGACGCGGAGACAGGAGGACGGCGTGATGGATTGATGAGCAAACGGAAGCAAAATGCGACGTGATTTCTCGGTGTGAGGAGATGGACCGGGCCCCTAGGACATAAATGGCTAGCTGCCTCTTTGGGCTCCTGGCCGCAGCCACGCTGACCTGACCATCGCGCCTTTTCTCTCCTTTCCAGCAGTAGACGAGCTATGTCTCTCTTCGACCGCCCGGAGAATGCGCGCGAAGACCGTGAGGGCGCGCAGCTGACGCCGGCGAAGGCTGGGACGAAGCAGAGCCGAATGCGGTCGCCGTCGTTGTCGACGACGGCGGAAGGGTCGTCGTCGCGACTGCATGCGCCGAAGCGGGCGCGCAAGGCGATCAACTGCGAGCCATGCAGGACGAGCAAGCTCAAGTGCGACAGGTGCGTCTTCCCGCCTTCTCGAGGGAGCTCCTCGGCTGAGGCCATATCTCCTCGCTCTCCTCGGCCTTCTCAGAAATCGGCCCTGCTCTTCGTGCGTCCTCAGAGGTGCGCCCTGCTCCAACTCGTATATCTTCACAAATAAATATCTGCTCTAGGGACGACCGCGTCGTGCTACCAGGGCCTCGACAGCGACCCCGGCGTCCCCCGCGAAGACCAGCAGTACGTCTTCCCCCTGTCGTCTCCGGCAGACGCTTTGACCCCCCGACGCAACTCCAGCGTCGACCCCGCACTCGAGCTCTCCCGCATCCGTCAGTCCCTCAACCTCATCGAGTCCCACATCTACCACAACCCTGCCCACCGCCCCGTCTCCGCGGCCGCCAGTCTCCCTATCCTCCCTGTACTGACGCCCGCGTCCTACCGTCAGCCGCCGAGCATCGCGGATGACACGCAGGGCATGCCCCTGAAGACCGCTGCTACTGCAGAGTCGACAAGCACGCCGGGCATGCTCGGTCTGCAGGACTCTGGGGGTCTTTACGCCGGCCCAACTAATCCGGCCTCGCTCATCACGGTGCGTATGCTTTCCAGCCAAGTTCGAAATGATAGACCCGGTTTCGAGAATTTCGCTCGAGTTTGCGGTGCAGCGAAATGACGTGGACCAATTAGGCTCACACATTTCTGGATACTCGTATATTGTTCCAAGGCCCACGCGGTTGACTTCGACCACCGCCAATCATGATCCCACTATGAAGGCTGAAAGTGGTGATTTTTGTAGTGCGTTTTTGGTGAAAATCGCCCATTTGACTACTGTTTGCGAGAATACAACGAATGTCACATGGTGAAATTCGTCTTGGATATGATGGGTTTCATGCGGTTCGATCAAGCATTGTGGCTACAGGCGTGTTGCATTCACCAGCTTTCTGGGGTGAAATACCCCGTGTATTTCACCAGACGCGGATTCACCCCCTTTTTTGTGGCGAAAGAAGATATTCACCATGGCTCTGGGTGAAAGTCACTACTTCCGGCTTTCACATTGTCTAGGCTTCCTCCAGCATTCAGCCTGAATTTATTTGGTCTATGCTACTTCGCTGCACCACAAACAAGGCCCTTAAAGCGAAATTGAATGTGTCTATGATTTTGGATTTCGCTGTCTGTCATGCAGAACTCGCCTTGACCCCTCTATGTCCCTAGACATCAGACCGAGAGGATTCCAAGTCGCAGAGCCCTGCCCCGTCCCTGGCAGGCCCCAGCTCCCAGGCGGGCGTCATGGACGGCTTCTCCGCGACGAGCGTCGCGTACGACTCGGACCTGGTCCAGCTGCTCCCGCCCGTGGAGACGATCGACGGGCTGGTGGAGTACTACTTCGAGTACTGCAACTGGGTGTACCACCACGTGAACGAGGCGACATTCCGCGCGGCCTGGGGGCGGTTCAAGACGGGCCAGTGCGGGGACCGGGTGGTGCTGGCGACGGCGTGCACGCTGATCGCGCTCACGGTGCGGTACCTGCCCGCGGGGCACGCGCTCTTCCACGCGCTGCCGGGGACGTGCGAGGAGATCGGGGAAAAGTACTACGGGCTGATGCGCACGGCGCTGCAGCGGTACCGAGACGACGCAAAGGGGCTGGTGCGGACGTACACGATTGAGCTGATCGAGCTGCTGCTGCTGCGCACGCACTACCTCTCGTTCGCGCAGGAGGATCCGGAGGAGCCGTGGAGCGTGCGCGGGGAGCTGATGAGCATCGCGACCGCGATCGGGCTGCACCGGGACCCGGGCAAGAGTCGGTTCGACGGGGCGGAGGCGGAGCGGCGGCGGTGGGCGTGGTGGCACATCATGGTGCTCGACCGGTGGCAGGCGTTCATGTTCGGCCGCCCGACGATGATCGCGGCGCACCACTACAACACCGCGTACCCGGACTGCACGTACCACGGGCCGTTCCCTGCCGCGTTCTTCGGGCTTGCGGCGGTGGTCGGGGAGATCATGAACGACGCGGTCTCGTTCCGCTCGGTGCCCTACTCTACCGTGCTGGAGCAGGACAAGCTGCTGACGCGCTGGTACGACCACCTCCCGGCCGAGCTGGACCTGGACGATTACGCGATGGCGCGGAGCCTGACGAGTCCGGTGATGGCGGTACAGCGGCTAGCGGTGCAAAGTATTATCGTGCGCACAGCGTACTACCACTTCCGGTTCACGGTGCACCGGCCGTACGCTGCGCTGGTTGCGGAGAGCCGCGAGATCGCGGTGAGCAGCGCGTCGCAGCTGATCGGGCTCATCAGCCTCTTCCTCTCGAACAGGGCCGTCACGATCTACGGGCACTTCACCTGGCAGCCCTTCCACGCGTTCTCTGCCGCTATGTTCTTCTCCTTCCAGCTCATCACGCGCCCCGACCAGCCCGCGGCGTACATCTTCAAGGACAACATCCGCAAGGCCATGGACGCGCTCCAGCACTGCCGCTGGCTCGCCGTCGCGGACAAGGCGCTCACGATCCTCGAAGCGCTCGCCCCGCTCTACTCCGCCGAGCTCCTCACGTACACGCCCGAAGAGCGCAAGCGCCGCAAGGCGCAGGTCCTCCGCCTCGTCCGCACCCTGGCGTTCCCGTACCAGAACGCGCCCGGCGAGCCCGTCGCGAGCTCCCCCAGCATGCGCCACCCCTCCCGCAGCACCTCTGCCACCCGCTCCCCCCCGCAGCAAGTCTCGTCCCCCCTCCACGAGCACGGCCACACCCAGGTTCCCGTCTCCTCCGTCCGCTGGAACCCCTCCCGCCCGGAGCTTTCGCCCGCCAAGCCGTACGCTCAGCAGCAGCAGCAGACCCCGCCGCAACACTTGTCCCAACCGCAGCACATCGCGTACGTCGGCGCATCGCCCGCGCTCCCGCCGATCGCGTACACATCCCCGCACATCGACGGGATGCACCAGATGCCGCCGCAGGCGCAGGGCGCCTCGGCCGTGGACGCGACGTACATGCACCCCGCAGACGACAGCGCGATGTGGGGCGCGTCGATCGGGTTCGGGATGGGCGAGTGGACGCAGTTTATCGACGCGGTGCACCGCCCGGAGGGGCGTCCGCGTTGCAACGGGGATACTTGAGCGCGCACAAAAGTATGGGCTTTTTTTATGGTCATAATATAAACTGTAATATTGGTTGGGATGTTGGAATACTTTACGGCTTTGTAATTGTAATCTGCTCATGCTGTGGGTTCCAGCGTTGTAATATGTTTTTTAACTCAGTTCGACTGATGCTCGTCTGAGTGTCCTGTCGGTCAGGAACGAAACGAGGCGTGATAACGGACAGAGCGACATAACTGCATAATCAACATAACAAACTTATAATAGTGATTGCGGAAACGCGGAGGGTAGAAGTACAGGGCAACGCTCATTGCACAATGTCCATGAACTTCGTGGGAGCGGAGTGAGCGTCAAGCTCTGAATAGGTTAAAAGTCGGAGATCAAAGAACGGGGTCGATCAATGACAAGGGGGGAGGAAGGACGGTGAAAAGTATTCATGATACAGACGTTTGGAAGGGCAAGTGTAAAAGAGCGCGTGACAGGACATGACGCGGTATACAACAAGAAGAAGAGCAGAGGACTGGGGAAAGGTGTGTACGCAAGCAAGAGTGCTGTACGAGTAGCGTGTACGGTCGTAACTACATCGACACTCACCTCAGACGTGCAACACTCCATCGAGAGAATCCCTGGGGATGGCAAGAATCCCTCGGTTTTTCAACCGACGTTCTTCCTCCAACCGCGCCCTCAATTTCTCCAGTTGCCTCTCTTTAGGAACATAGCCTCGCCCCGTCGCCTGCGTAACAGTGGGCGTAACGCTGCTATTCACAAACGAAGACGACACTCGGTTATGGCTGGTGTCTCCGCTTGCGGTGCTCGAGCTGCTAGCGCTCTCGGGAATTAAACATAATGCGGCTGCGACCGCCGTCGCCTTGGATGAACGGGGAGACCAGGGAAGGGAAGGCATTGGGAGGTAATTCGTCAGTGTTTGGAATCGTGCAGCAAGCGTGGGTGACATGAGCGACGGGGAGGAAGGAGAAGGCTCGGACACCTCAGCTACGGACGGGCCCGCAGACGGGGCAGGAGAGTTCATTCCTGCAGTCGCAACGGGAGGGTGCGAGGTAACGGCATTACGAAACCTGGAAGAGGCGTTCAACTCATTGGCTACAGGAACATGACAGTCAATTAGACACACATACTAGTGAAAGGGCTGGAGGTATGCCTACTAGTGGGGCTCATGACAGCGATTGAGGATGACTTCGAAGACGAAGGCGGTGTAGCACGGCGCGGCTGGGGTATGAACGACGGAGCTTTGTTGGAGGACGGAGTCTTAAACGGAGATCCTGCCTGGCAGCGTGGCTGCGGAATGAACGTAGGCGGTGTACCTCCACGTTTAGCTGGTGGCGTCACGAAGGCACCGGGGGATTCGCGAGGTACAGATGATTTCACCGGTGTCGAGAAACTGGGGACAAGAATCGACGACGTGATAACCTTTGCAGCTGACAGACGCGGGATAGAGGAAGGAGAGGTGACACTGCGCTGGGCGCGGGTCTGAGAGGTGAAACTCGAGTCTGACGCATGGTCGACGAAAGGGTCAGACACAGAAGTGGAGTTCTTCGCCGCAGGAGACAGGACATTGTCGTGTGCCGAAGTGTCAGGTGTTTCAAAAGCGACAGGGATATTGAAGGTGAACTTGATCCCGCCCTCGTCAACTTCTCCTACAAACTCGTCATCCTGATCTATCGGCTCTTTGTCCTCAGCTTGGTCTTCCGCCTCTTCCTCTTCTTCGATGACGACATCCAAAACATGTTTCGGCTCATCAATCTCCGGAGACAAGACTTCCACGCCAACATCAGCAGGTAAGACGAAGGGCGGAAGGTCATCATCATCATGAATCAAAGCCTGCGAGAATAAATTCTTGCCGCTTTCGACTGAGCGAAGCCTAGACCCCAAAGGGGGAGAATTATCGACATCTTCCAAGCAGCCGAAGAAGTGATCAACCTCTTCAGGCTCACGGCCAAACGTCGAGACATCGTTCGATCCGGCGGGGAAGGTCCAAGTCTTCGAGAGAGATACCCTGCGAGAATGAATAGGCTCGATGGGAATCGGAGAAGGAATGGAAGTAGGTGAGGACGAGTTTGAACGACTGGCGGTTAGAGCGGGCACCGAGGCCTCAGTCACATCGGTGCGAGAATGAGAGTTCGGACGGCCATAGTCACCCACAGACCCAAAAGACGACGTAGAGAAGGACGTCGGGAAGGCAAACAGATCATCTTCCTCTTCATCTTCGTACCTGGAGAGTTCACCAACATCTGAGCCGTTGGAGAGTGTATCCTCCCGGCTGTCATCCTCGTCGACCTCTTCGACGACTTTCAGTGCCATTGTACTGAAGCCAGGGCTGTCAATGGAGTCGACATCTGTAAACGAACTCTCCGAGTCGATAGACCTGAATCCGAGGCCTCTGTTCTTGGCAATCATCATGGTCCTCGACATCACGGTGGGCATGGGCTGAACAGGCATATCGAAGGGACGGGGAGTTGCCAATAATCCGGCACCTTCGAGCTCTCTCTCCAATTCCCCCATCTTCAGTCGTTCTTGATTGAGAGCAGCCTGAAGACGCGCACAGTTCTCCTCTGTCTCCCGTAACCTCTCCACTTCGCTTCTCAGCTTCTCGCACTCCTCCTTCGCATTCTGCGCATCTTCCTTCGCACGCTCGTAGTGCCGCAAACCTTTCTCCACTGCTGCCGCATTTTCACTGAGCGTCTTCTCCAGCGAACTCTTCTCCACCTCCAATAGTCCGACGCGCTCTCTCGCTACCCACGCATCCCTGCGCTCTACCTCCACTCGCTTCGCAAATACGCTCATCTGGCGCTCAATATCGTGAACACGCATGCGCCATCCATCCACATCCTTCTTCAGCTCATCCCTCTCAGCCTTGAGGTCGGCAATGAGCAGCAGCATTTCATCACTAACTTCACTCTGCCCAGAAACTGCAGAAACGTCGGACGCGCACGAGAGCGGACGCGAGCGCGGGGCCACGGGGCGCGCAGAGAGGGCGCGCTCCAGATCCGTTATGCGCCGCACGAGCGTCGCGTGCGCCTGGAATAAAAAATGCTGCTCACTGGCAGAAAGGGGACGTCCGGAGTGTGAAGTATATCCGATATCAGCGCTCGCACTGGAAGGACGCCGTTCCATCGTGGCTGAAACAGGTGTCATCTCGGGTGTGGGAAGTCCAATGGCAGACAGCGGGGGGGTCGAAGATATGTACGAGATGCTGCTGCGCCGAGTTGGGGGTGCGGGAATGGGCGCTGCACCTTCCGTGGAAACATTCAGCGATGGCCTGCCACCAAAAAGGATCGAAGGAGGAGTGAAGGAACGAGGCATCACGAGCGACTGTCGCTTGTTTGATCCCATAGTAGTCGCACTATTGGAGCTGAGGCTAGGAGATGCGGCCAGAGTAAGCGACTTCAAACCAGGATGGTGAGTAGGAGTAAGTGCGGGCGTCGGAAGGTCACCATACGCAGCCTGAACGATCGTACCAGAGGCAAGCGAAAGTGGACGTAAGTTGAGGCTCGCGGGACGGTGGCGAACGGGAGCTGGAGAAGGTCTCGTGATAGTAACTTCCACCGGGGAGCTCACTATTTGCTCCGGGTCTTGCGTATGACCTGCCAAAAGAGGTGGATCCTCTTCGATGGACTCCTCTTCTTCTTCCTCTTCTTCCATGAGAGTGTGCAGTTGTTCCTTCGAGGATGAAGATGCCATAAACTTGCCAAAAGAATCACGCTTGTTGCCCAGGAGAGAACTGAGACCACCTCCGTATCCAGCGCCGATACCCGGTGGATACGAAGGCTTGGTCGCTGGAATGGTGATATTAGCTCAAAGGCTACAAAAAGAACAAGGTATGGCACGACGTACGCAACTCAAATGTTCGCTTCCCAAGTTCTGCAGTGTCGAATTCCGGGATTTCTACCTTGGAAAAATTGCCAACCTCTGTCTTTCCTTCCAGTGCCCAAAGCGCGCGTCGACGAACAGAATCCTTGTCACCAAGGTTGATGTTGTCATCTGATACTGAAGTCGGAACACTTGGCAAAGAGACGCCCATTAAATCCGCAGATTCGCGACGGGTAGACACCGAAGAGCGACGGCGATGATGAGAACTGCGCTTGGAAGCACCCAACGAGGTCCGCGACGGGGACGTCGGGGGGGAATCCACGGTCGTCACTGAAGTCATTGAATTGTGTACAGTGGAAATCGACAAAGGAACTGATACAGAACTGTTGCGAGAGTGGGAACGTGCATGAGCTGGCTTGGGCGCATTGGGGGCAGTGTTACTTGACGGGAGACTTTTGCCCAGTCTGAATGTATTCATCTGCGCAGAGCATCGTAAAGACGACAGCAAAAGCCAATGACGATCTTACGACGCACCCTCATCTTATCGGCAATGAAGCTATCTCTGGAGATGTCCACGGCCGGCGACGACTGGTCCATGATTTGTAGTTTGTCTGGGTAAGTAAACGAGTGAAGAATCCTGGGGTAGGATTTTGGAACGAAAGGAAAGACAGGACCGAGTCGACAGAGGCCTTAAAGATCGAAGAGAGATGATGGCAAGCAAAGGCAGCCTGAGCAGCTTCGCAAAACCAACCAGAACAAATACGTGCGGCAATCCCCGACTCATCACCCGCCGGCATCCGCTTGCCGAGGTATTTTACCCTTACACGTATCCATCTCCAAAAAAGTGGGCGTTCAACAGATTCGGAGTGCGCTCTCTGTCATCAACTGCACATGAAGTGACACTAATTCAAGGTACCGTGTCATCGACAACAAAGACTGACCAATGGGCAACAATCTATATCCAATAGCAACGTCAACCCTATTTGTGTGACCCTGCCTGTCTGAGATTCAAGGAGAGACGGTACAACACGAACAGCAGGCATCAATTAATATTGGCATCGACAGACTGCGTAAGCAAATATTGTTCGACACTGTGGCGCGGCTCTGCTTCTGCAACTGATGCCAGTCATACCGTACGGCTACCACAGATTGTACAACACGTCCGCATACTGTTCGTGTATTGGAAGTTCTTCCACGTAAAGTGGATGTGCACCTCGAATCTGCATGATACGTGGATGCCCCATATCTGTCGGTCGTATATCGTCAGTTAGACATCATACCTCCTACTTCACAGTTTCTTTCTTAATCATCATTTCAATCAAAAGCACGGGCTTTTGATCACATTCTCAGGGGACACTCACACAAAATATCCTGCTTCCGATTAACAACTTCACAACTTCACTTCTCCACACTGGCAGGACATAAACACCGTGACCAGCTTGACAAGAACCAGTCTTCGGAACGGATTCGGACTGCACGTGTCCTGTGGTACAAATAACAGCATTTCAGTAATAAGTATAGCTGGCCGCCAGCTTGACGACCGAGAAGGGGGCATGCACTGCAAGCGGTGTCAATCTTCAGAATCCTCGGGAGACATCTCGCAGCCCAGACGGGAGCCACGCAGTTCACGTTGGTGCTCAACGACAACGATGTGCTGTAAGTTGGCGTGGGGCCTGAGGCCTGAGGTCGCGTCAACAAATGTCAGGACTCAGGGAACTTCAATCATTCGAGTACGACAAACTTAAAGACCTACCATATCCGTCAGTCCACGCACGTGATACCATGATCGTGGTCACTGACCTGGGTCCCGAACGGACTCGGAAGAGTCGTTCAGTCGGATGCCCGCCATCCTCCTGCATCCATCACGCAACAGATAGCCAACTCTGACCTGCACTACTACCACCATGTCTGTACTCTCGAGTGTTGTGAAGCTTGTCCCAGGCCGCACGGTTTTCTTCGTGTGTGACATTCAGACACGATTCAGTACGTCACGGTCTGCTGCGTCACGGTCTGCTGCATATCAGTCTCTCCATGTCAACCACGCACAAATCTCACAGGGACAGCTATACATGGCTACGACCATGTGATAGGAACTGCCGCAAAGATGCTGAAGTTCGCGAAGGTGAGTTCTCAGTGCGATAGTAGTTGCACGCTTGCCCTTTACGCAATCTGAGAGTTTAGATCCTTGATGTTCCTGTGGTGATAACTGAACAGAATCCGAAAGGCGCGTCATCTGCATCACTTCCCTCACTAAGAAGCGAAAGACTCACCTTAAGTCATGCAGCTCTCGGATCCACAGTGCCCGAGCTGGATGTTGCTCCACTCGGTCCGCTCTACCTAGGCACAGTCCCGAAGACGCTGTTCTCCATGGTAACGCCGGAGGTGAAGACCTTACTGCGAGAACGCAAATTCCAGTCGGTCGTGCTGTTCGGCATTGAGGTATGTCACTTGCGACATATTCGTCCGAGCTTACACAAACGACTCTGTAGGCACACGTCTGTGTCCTTCAATCAACACTGGACCTTCGCGAGGCAGGATATGACGTGCATGTCCTTGCGGATGGCGTATCCAGCTGTAATCCTGAAGAGGTCCCCTACGCGCTCGCTAGGATGCGCCAAGCTGGTGCGCAGATCACCACAAGCGAAAGCATCGCCTTCCAGTTACAACGTATGGCATCCTGTTTACGACCCTTATACTTTCACAAGAGATTGACTTGCGATGCCTTGTCTAGACGACGCCGCCAGGCCAAATTTCAAGCAGTTTTCCAATGCAATCAAGGAGGAAAAGGACACGACCACGACGATCTTGGAGGCATTGCTGCGACCGCGCAGCCTATTGTAGAGGTGTAGCCGTTAGATGTCACATTCGAAGATATGGGAAGGGACTTCTGCGCGGTTTAATTCCATAGGAATAGTGACAGGTGCCTAACGTATATGGATGAGCACCGACATCAATCAAGAAATGAGAACGAAGATACAAGAATGATACTCGCATCTCTCTTCAGAAAGTCCTGGAAAAAAGAGGGCACTTTGTCGTTCTGTTATCGGGCTTTGATAAATAATCGTAGCAGCTTCTTCTGTCAGAATGACCTGTCCATCACATCCAATGGTAGTCCCGTGAGCAGCTGTTCTTTCGCATAGCAGTACCCTTGGGGAGCATAAACACCAAACCGCGCTTTCATCTCTACGCGAGAAACGGGTTGTCCGAGAGTGAAGAGCCCCAGGATGGGATATGCATATGACGCGGACTGGCCGGCGTCGAATTCATCGTTGCCAATCCCGCTTGGATCGCAGATTTCGCCTGGAACTTTGGGCGCTGCAGTCTCAATTAAACAGCTACTTGCTAAAGAGTATCACCTATACTGTAAAAGCACATATGCAGATAAGACGCACGTGAGGGCGCACACAGGCGAAGATTCGTATAACCATAGACGTTGCACTCCGGCGCGCAGCCTGTATCCTCGGAACTCGTGGTTTTTCTCGCGTTTCCGAATCAAGCCCGCATATACGGGTTTTATCGTGAGAATTACGTCTGTGAAGACGCGTCCTGAGGCGTTTTGACGAGAACCGCGGCTTGACCGCGACGTAGATGCATGCGAAGATGGAGATTGGGGAGATGCTCTATCTGACTTCTCGATCCTATGGTTTCTGTTCCTCGAAGGAGGCATTTCAGCGTAAGATGCGATGCTCAGACTCGGCAGAATAGGACTTCAGATGATATGGGAAGTTGACGGTCGGTGCCCTGGAGCTGGTGTCGTGGACCTGGTGAGGACCCTGGATAATCCCCCCAAAGGTCGTCGCCAAAACCCCCCCAATTTACAAAAATCTGTCCGGCCCATTTTTGGCCGGTTTAGGGAGTTTTTTGTCCGGAAATAGCGACATCCTCGCTCTGGGGACGTCCATTTTAGGCAATTTGTGGCTATTTTTAGCCTTTTTCGGCTTTTTCCGGCGATTTTCCGGTGATTTTTGCCCGAGAACAGTTCCATGTCCGGATAGTACGACGGCTACATGGTCCTTAGGGGGTCCATTTGTCCGGACATGACGACGGCGTGAGGTCGATTTTCGCAAAAATCTGTCCGGATTTGGCGACGACCTTTGTGGGGATTATCCAGGGTCCTACCTGGTGCCGCGACAGGAAGTGGTTGTTTGGCAACGGCTTTGGATCCTAACAAAGCCACGTGGCTTTCCGCCTCTCACGCCTCGTTCCTGGCTTCACCTGCCGGCATCGAAGCCCTGAGGCTACGGCGCGGCGAACACGCAACCCATCGTAGTGGAACCTTCATCCAATATTTCTTCACGTCCATATTGAAACCTCGCACTCGGTCAAACCACTACGAGATGTTCGGAACACTCATCCATCTAGGCTGTGACGCCCTCCTCGTCAGCGCATTCCTTGCAGGCATTCGACGTACCACAGGGTTAACGTCAGTACGACTACTCTGCTTTCCATGATCTCAGATACTCATGGGCCCGTCAATTAATTCCAGGCCTAAGCTGACAGAGGTACCGAATAAAGATATACGTCGTGAGTTCCATTTTATCGCCGCTCTCTCGAGTCAAGTGTTGATGCATATACATGCTGGCAGAAATATTGCGCTCATACCTTGAGATTGGTATGTAGCACGCTCGCACAATCAGGGGACTCGATTAACACTCTGTGCGATAGGGGAGTACATTTTCGACTTCGCGGTCGTCCTATGCGGGGTACGTTTCGGGATGAATTTCGCGAGGCTGCGCCTCACTGACCGCTGAAATCAGAGGTCCTCGTCGTTTGAGAGAAGAACCTGATCCGCCTAGCAGCATTGCTACTCTCCATTCGCTATCATCGTCGCTCAGCATCCGCAGCACTCTTATGGACTCGATCAGGATATATATATTGCACCCGTGTACAAATATTTCCGGAAGAAATTTGTATGTTATCCGAGGAAATTGTAGACGAAGAAATGCAGGACGATGGAGCCAAGGGCGAAATCTGCGAACGCTCTGCAGATGCGGTACATCAGACTAGGTGCTGAGCTTGGAACACATAATGACATACCGCTCTGGGGAAACTTCTTTGAATTCCGTTCTACTTGCAGGGTCGACTTGCGCTCGCAAGGACGCTGTCAACACGAACTGTCCGACGCAACTGCCGAAGCTATAGATTCGCACAGCAACGCGTCACAGTGAGTAGAAAGGTTCTGTTCTCTGTGGAAACAGACGAACCCAGCGAGGAAAGCATTGAAGGGAAAGTTGGTTACAAGGACACAGTAGACGAATTGTATGACGCCAGTGAGCATGAGAAACAGGAGGAAAGCGTCGATGAGTTTGAGACGAGAGGAGGTTGTCTCATTGTACGCCTTCCATAAGGACTGTACAGCGTGTGTCAGCGCTGGGGACGGCGGGGAAGAGGGCGCAACGGTGGTCTTCGGTCTAGCCATGGAGAAACGTAGTACTACGTGGTGGTCGACGGTCAGGTATGATTACCAAAAAAAGCAACCGGTGTGCGAGCGCCTCCAAAAAGTTAAGTTGCTCGTCCAGGTTTCTCTGCGGACACTTTTCGCACCCATGTCCAGCATTTCTCTGCGTCTAGCAGCGAGTACCTCACGGGCAGCGCGTCTCGTTCCAGCTTGGACCTTCCCCCGGCAAATACGCTCCAGAAATATCCATCAACGAAAAGACTTGCCGTATAATGTCGAGGAGGGCATGGGGCATTTCTTGCCGTCGGAGTCGTTGAGGATGATCGCAGTCGACTATCAGCAAGGCTTGCTGGACAGACTCAATGAGCAAGTAAGAGGTAAGTAGTTACACCGGTGTCGCATGATGTCTTTCCTCATCTGTTGGCAATCCGAAGGAACCGACCTTGAGGGCAAGAGTGTTGTGCAAACAGTCATAGAGGCTGCGCGGAATCCCAGCAAGATACTGGAGTTCAATTATGCGAGTGAAGCTCTCAATAACTCATTCTTCCTCGGAAACCTCGTGCGTGTTTCTGCGTTGCTTCTGTTTGTGCCGGACGACTAAATGCATGTCATATATGATACGATACAGAAACCTCCACAGGGTGATACTACATCACACGAGGGCGTTTTGGAAGGATCAAGACTTTATGGCCGTATTGCTCTCAACTATGGTACATTGGACCATCTCAAATCCACCTTCAGCGCCGCGGTGCTGGGCATGTTCTCGTCGGGCTGGTTATGGTTCGTCTGCGACCAGACGGGCTCGCTGGGTATCTACCCTACCTTTGGTCCCGGCACCCTCCTGGTGCGCTCCAGGGTACCCAAGCCTTTGGTCTACGTCTACGGGGAAGACGCGAGGGACCCGCTTGTAGAAAAAGCCAGAGCTTTGGCAGCTGCGAAGGCAGCATCCTCGGAGTCTGCCTCGTCAGCAAATGCCCCGAGTTCACCCACGTCAGGCATCTCCCACACATCGCCGCCTCTGAACCCAGGCACCCCCTCGCGACCGCTCTCCTCCTCCGCCATTCACCGGCTCGAATTCAAGCCGAGCAGCGTGCACAGCACCGACCCCGCTGTGAGCGAAGATTTGCTGAACGAGACTGAGAACATCACACCGAAAGTGGGGGAGGTGCTGTATCCGTTATTCTGCGTCTCTGTGCATGAACATGCGTGGGTGAGCGCCGGGTACGGTGTGTGGGGCAAAGAGGAGTACATGAAGCGATTCTGGACGGTGTTGAACTGGGCGAAGGTCGAGGACACGTACGTGAGCTGCGTGGGCTCAAAGCTAATCTGATGGATAGTGCGCTGTCGTCATTATTTTCAATGGTTGGTCGAATCTATCCTCCCCCCATGCTTGTTTGGGCACTACACTCTCAGTTCACTTCTCATTGCATTACACTCCGCAAAAGTATTCCATCTAATGATTGCATGTTATACCTGCGCTGCTGGCCTTCATAGACTCACGCCATGTTTGACGGCGGTGATTGCAACACGACCGTCCCATTCCGTCGATGTCGAAGGGTGGGTAGCGGGTTATACAGGTAACTCCATGGCTTCCATCCGGTGAAGGAGGACCACTTGCCCGGCGGAGAGACCGGAGCAGAACGTCCCCCACGTTCCACCGTCTCCATCCGGTATTATTACGTCGATTTCGGCATCTCAGTGCTCATCCCTCCGGACGTGTATCCTAAACTCACCGTTGGAGAACTCGGTCGAGACCGAGAGTCGCCAGAATTGTCGCCAGATATCCGACGTCTATCTACGACGTGAGTCGGCTCTTCTATGTCCTTCTCACTGGCTGGTACCTAGGAATATTCCAATCTGGAGTTTTTGCCTTCTGTCTGATGATGATTCGAGAGGATCCTGCATCTAGGCCCGATGCCCAAGACGCACTGGAACAGTGGCAGACAATTCGAAAGGTACTGTCGTTCTTCAACCACAGGTGGGAACTGCGGCCTCGTGAGGAAACGCAGAGCATATTTCTCTTGGATGTGATTTGTTTCGTCAAAGTAGCGCGATTTATGCTGTCCGGCACCTGTTCGGATGGGCTGTGGATGTGCAAGGGTGACATAAGACCATCTTCTGGCATCCTTCTCACCCATTTCTCTACCGTCTTACGGCCGGTACCCATGATATGCTTGTCAGAGAAGTGGTAGTTAGTTATATCACAGCGAGAGGTTCCCATGACTATCCGTGTTATTTCATGTACTCACAGCCGCCCCACCCCAGTGTCCTTGTGTCACGATTCCCGGATTCAGGTGATGATGTGTCCTCCATTCTTTTCGGACGGCCCAGTCTCAAGCAGTAAAACAATTTCAGCGGTCGCCCATGGCCAGTTCGCATCTCCAATGACCCTTTGACGCCCACTCGACCTTGGTGTTCTTATCCGGTGGGTGCATCCATATCCGTTGTGGCAGGTGCTACTGTACGACTGGCACAGCATAAGGGATATAGATGTTCCACAAAATGTGATGGAACCCGAAGGTAAGGAAAGAAAGACATCACATCCTATGGTGCCAGAGCCTACAATGGGACAACATGAGTCTTGCCATTTGAGTCGCTGACCTCTAACAATGGCAAGCACTACTCCGCTGAACTGTCTCCGCCTGCTCCCCCCAGTGTGAGAGTTTCAATCAAATGCTGCATGAGATTTTCTCAATGAAATGCTGTAGATTAACGCAGCAACACTTGCCGTCAAGTCCCCTAAGTCATCAGTACCGATTTGTTGTGTTTGCGCATCCCCATATTTACGATAACCATAACGGAGTCGCGACTTCTTCCAGGAATTTGGCAGTCCGTCTCATTCTAGGGAAAGTAGTGTCAACAACTCGGACGACCGAACCAATCTATAGGGCCTACAGTTCTACCCTGGGTTCTATTTCAGAGAGGAAGCCCGAGGAGAGCATCTCAACTACGCCAAGGGCCTCTGAGCCCGGCGGAATGTGCGACAAGTGACGCTCAGCAATAGCGAACAACGCCTTCATCACCTTGTAATAGTACTGCATCTCCTTGCCCTCTTCGGGAAGGTAACCCCCATAGGCATCACGAAGCGCGGTATAGAGAATGGTCGATCCACGTAAGTGGTGGATGGCGTCTATGGCAGCCCTCCCGATTGGAGATTTCTGATCAGACAGCATCTAAGTACCTGACAGTGTGAATGAGGAATTAACATTTACCACCAAGTTAGTGCCAGTTTCTCGTGGCTGTGGGTCTCCATGTTTACGATACCACGACGGAATATACTCTTCTTCCATGTGTATGATATCCAGTCTTACACTAGGAAGACCGGTGTCAACAAGCCGGACACCATAACCAATCTAAGAAGGCCTACCTCTCCATTCTGAGCCTTATCTGAGTCAGTAAACACGGGTAGAGCCTCTCAGTTATCTGAAGAGCCTCTGAGCCTGGCGGAATGCGCCATGAGAAAAACTGGTCAACCATTGCCAGATCTGCCCTTGCGGTCTCGCAGAGCCGCTGCAATGTCTTGCTATCTGCAAGAATTGGGTAACGATAATCCATATAGTAATGAAGTGTCTCCTCCATTAACAAGACCATTCCAGGTATGGAATAGACGGCAGTTACGGCAGCCCGCCAACTTTCAGATAACATCTGAATAACAGACAGTGTGGACAGAACATGGAATCAACAGGGGATACTTCGTCAGCTAGTCTACAAGTTCGCACCTTTCAATACAACGTCTTAAGACTAAGACGGTGATTTAGAAATTGGAAAAGATAGACCAAAGCTCCGCTAATCCGGCTCAGCTGAGAGATCGTATGGAGGGAAGGTGCCCACCAGGATGGATTTAGTGGCCGAGCAGGAAGGCTCAAGTTTGGCTGCCTTTTGACCACAGAGACCTGTTTATCCATGTTCCGTTATGATTGTGCTATGAAGGCGCTCCTTATTGTGGAATTCGTTCACTATCATACATCACGGCCTGTGTCGCAGAGTAGAATGTCGTCAACCGGAGTCCGCTTCAACCAAGTAAAGTCACAACGAGCTGCATTGGTGAGAAGCCCAATCGTACGGCCATGACAACTACAACAATTTCATATCACCTGTCCTTGTGATTTTCCCTCGCACCTCGTAGTAGGTGCGACTGAACCACTGGCCAGGAATTTTGTCGTTTCGAGATGCTATAGTAGGACCTCCTTGTTCTTGATTACATACTGAAGAAAAGCAGGCCACGCGGGGGATTGACTGGTGCATGTGAACCTGGGGTCATACCAGCATAATAACGCTCGATAGCTTTCTCCGGCTCCGCATGCAAGGAGGGCAAGCACTTCCTCGGTGTTACTTGGGTGTTACAGTGGGAGCGCTAGCGCGAAAGGCGCGCGCGAAAGGACGGGAGCAAGGTCTGAATAAGGAAGGTCTAGTAATCGTATCGGAGCCGCACCTGCTTGGGCCATCGCGCCGGATGCGTCCATCGAACGCCAAGGTGAGCTATCGTGTCCACATCCATCCTGTAGTTGTCCTTATGTCTCTGCCAAGGGATATCCGTCCAACGACACGCTTTCGCATCAGGGATCTGTCTTAACATGCCTATCGTGGTCTCGCAGTTGGACACTCTGACATCGGTGATTCAGAGCTGGGCAGGTCCTGCCATGGTTCTTGCCCACGAACGTAATTATCCAGCTGGCTGAAGATCTCGTCAATGATACTGGCTGGTGCGTTGCTCCTCTTCGTCACCAATTGTATGCATTTCTTCACAGCTCTGTACGTATGGCACATGATACTAGTACTCACTGCGTTCAAGGCCTGCGTCGGTGGACGTAATCCACTTGCGTACAAGTGTTGATCGTAACTTACTTTCGATTACCAGACCTTGTCGGGCCTATGACATTGCTCTTACCCATCCCGCAAGACTGCCAGTGTGAGTCCACAATCCGCGGTAACGTTGGTCGTCGTAAGACGATGTGTTCTCAATCTGAAGATCACCCGCACTCATAGTTGGTGCAACCACGTGTAAGAAGGTCCTCGAAATGTACCGTGCATCGCTGAGTATCTCGCCGATCGTTACGGCGGCAGCCCGACAGTCATATCGTCTGCTCTCGTGGGTGCGTGTGTACGAGGAGGTCAACAATTGCTTTGCCTCAGTTCGCGGAAGCTCTGCGGCGGATCCTCGCATTCATGTTGTGCCTGTTTTCTGCGCGTGGCTCAGCTTGGGAGCGTACATTTCGCGTCGCATCCCGCGGGTGCGGCCGATGATCCTTGCCTTCTACTGACACTGGTTTCAGCTAGCGGCGCAGAGCTTGCGATTGATCGTCGTACTTACATTTTGACGACTAATGGCATACGAGTGCATACGCAATCTATACAGCTGCGCCCGGACTAATCAGGAAGATGCTCTCCAGGCTGTAGCAAGACTCACTACAGCTTCGTAGAGTACTGTCCACAATATATTCACTAGTACTGTTCGCAGCATGACATCTCGAGCACTCTACAGAAAGAACACAGCATGGACAGATATACACAATCAGCTCATTTCCACATCGCTATCGCCATCAGGGCGCGGCTGTCCTCGGCAGACAGCGTTGATCAGTTCCCGCCTCACTTCGGGGCTGATCTGCGGGTGTGGGTTCGCGCGGACGACATCGAGTAGTGCATCCTTCTGGTCTGGCGTGAGGTCCGACGCGTACCTAAACCACAACGGTGATTGTCAGCCTGCAGTTAGGACTTTGCACTGCACCAGAAGACGTGCCTCTGGCAAAGGACGAGAAGACTCTGGTGCCAGAGCACGGGCAGCTTCTCTGCCTCGCCGGCAGAGCGCGCCTTGTACGTGTTCGAGAGCCGGATGAAGTGGAAGACGAGCGCGTCGATCACTTTGTAGGGCAGCGTGTGCTTCTTGTCGAGGAGGACGCGGATGAAGAGGGAGTTCGGGCCTGTGTATGTTTCAGACTCGTCAACATTTGTGCAATGTCTGAAGCGTTACGCACAGTCTTACCTGAGTATTCCATATCTGCTAGCCGAATGAGGGCGGCAGAGGATGGTAGCACGGGCACTTTCACCTTCGCGAGAATGGAAGCGACAATCGCGGCTTCTTGCAAAGTGCAGCCGTTCTACAAGTAGCAAGTTAAGACTATATCTCAACATGCCAAAAAATAAACTTATACTGACGTCCAGCAGAGGGAAGATTATTCCCTTGAAGAACGCAGTGGGCTTGTACAACGCTCGTTTGAGGCTCTCATAGTAGTGCACGTTTAGCTTGCGGCTCATCTTGTGCTTCCGCGCGCCCTCCTTGGTCAGCCGGATGTCCTCGCGGATCGCGTCGAGCAGCACGCCCTCAAGGAATACGCGCGCCTGCGGGGGCTTCAGCTGTGAGATGAAGATGCGCGTCGCGGCGTGGCACGCCTGAGGTGACCAGCTCTCGGGGCGGGTGAGCGCGAGGATGCGCGCCCATTCGGGGAGGGAAGGGATCACTTTGAATGGCTTGGGGAGGGGGCCGGACTTGTAGCGTGACAGTATGAGGCCCACTCTGCATATAATTGTGTTAAAACTTGCAAGGTGAGAGGCTGGGAGAAGAATACTTTGTGTACACCTCGACCACTTTTGGGTTGAGACCTGCAGCGGGGTCAGGGCCTTTTGCAGGATCTACCGATAGGTCAAGATGAGTGGACTGAAAAATAATGGTGTATCTTGCGACTGACCTCGTCCAGACCGGCGAGGCGTGGGCTTCACCCCAGCCTCTGCGTCCGCCAACCGGGCAAAGATGATATCTGCGAGTGTCCGCCGTTCCGCAGCATCTGCAGGAAGCAATGCATCAAGAGTTTTCAGGTCACTCTCATCCACTTCCTATGAATTGTCAAGTCGGGTTCACGTCGAATTCAACGAACAGGACGCACGATTTCTTCTATGTCTGACCCGGCATTTTCGTCTTCGAATTTATCCATGACATCCTCATCGTCTTCATCCATGTCCTGCGTCCGGGGTACCGAGAAATCAGGCTCAGGCCCATCCTCATCGTCCTCGTCCTCGTCTACGCCCAGCTCTTCTTGCTGCACTCGCGCAAGCTCAAAGATACGTCTGGACGTCTTCGGATCTAGTATAACCTACGTGCGTTTTCAGTTTCGCACTTTCTGCGCGAAGCTCGAGGACTTACATCCCCTCCTTCCTCTCCGTCGTCCCCCTTCGCCTTCGACTTTGTCCGCTTCCCAGGCCGTGATATGCGGCCATATTTTTCATGCAGCTGATCCTCTCCGAGCTGGACATGCAGGGGGTCGTGTCTATTTTTCCCAGTCGCTTTGGCTACACGAGGCATTGCAGAAGGAGCTAGACCGATGTGAGAATAGGCTGGCAGAATATGAAGGGCTAGTGCGCGTCGGAAGTGTTAAAGTGGGATGATGATCAGGACGAAGCAGACGGCGGTAGACGGTCGTGCAGGAGACGGCGTGCGTGCTAGACTCACGAACGAGGGCTGGAGGAGGACGATAATTTTGAGATTCGCGTGGCGATTGGACCGGCTATCGCCGCCGGTACTCTGGCGCGCTAGGAGCGTCCCGCATAAATACCCCCTCAACTCTCGACATCTCCGTGTCGACAAACGTTCTGCACACTGTCCCACTCACCGAAATGGCGTCCACTGTTTCAGATTCGGTGAGTTCATCGCGCACGAACGCGAGCGTGTCACCGTCGATGAGTACACGCGAGAGGTGCTCTAAGCTGTAACGAATCTATCGCGAAATTGGAGGTGTGTACGTGGATCTGAGCTGACTGTCGGCTGCTTGAACCAGATTCGCATCCTCGACAAGAGCGGTAAAGAGATCACCACCGTTGGTTTCGAGCGCTTCGGTTTCGACTGCGAGGTCCCTCTGGCTGTCCTCCGTTCCCTCTACCTGCGCTCCCACTACGTCCTTACCGCCCCGTCCACCGCCCCCGAGTCGGGGAAGACTAAGGAGGACGAGGTTCATGCAAAAGTCAGCGGCGATCTGGAAGCCTATCAGTCCAAGTCAATCTTCCACCCGGACATCCAATCCATCTCATACACCACCCTCACTCGCTTCCCCCCTGTCAAGCTCCTCGCCCCTTCGAAGCGCAAGCGCATCCTCGTCACCGGTGGCGCGGGATTCGTCGGCTCGCACCTGGTTGACCGTCTCATGATTCTCGGCCATGAAGTCACTGTCCTGGACAATTTCTTCACCGGGTCCAAGACCTCCGTAAGCCACTGGGTAGGTCACCCCAATTTCGAGCTCGTGCGCCACGATGTCGTAGAACCCTTCATGATCGAGTGTGACCGTAAGCTTGATGTAATCATCCCATGGCCGATGTTAATATTCCTCTGTAGAAATCTACCATCTCGCATGCCCCGCATCTCCTCCGCATTATCAGTTTAACGCTGTGAAGACTGTGAAGACTTCCTTCATGGGAACTCTGAACATGCTCGGTCTCGCAAAGCGTACGAAGGCCCGTTTCCTAATCACGAGCACATCCGGTAGGGTTAAGCGGCGCGATTATAAAACAACTACTGATGCATCTCAGAGGTGTACGGTGACCCCGAGGTGCACCCCCAACCGGAAGACTAGTGAGACCAGTGCTCACCGTGTGCGCAGTTTCGCTAACTCTCGCGCAGCTGGGGACATGTCAACCCTATTGGCCCCCGGGCTTGCTACGACGAGGGAAAGCGTGTCGCCGAGACTCTGACGTACGGCTACCACCGCCAGGATGGTGTAGACGTCCGCGTTGCTCGTATTTTCAACACCTATGGTAAGAACCGAGTCATATTACGCGATCGCGTACGCTAACCTTATCTCATTCACAGGCCCGCGAAGTGCGCGTGTTGACCGCAGATTCGCTGCTCCTTTTTCCTGACATTCCCTTTCCAGTGAACCCGTTCGACGGCCGTGTTGTCTCGAACTTCATCGTCCAGGCGCTGCGCGGAGAAGACATGACCGTCTACGGCGACGGCAAGCAGACGCGCTCGTTCCAGTACATCCACGATCTGATCGACGGCCTGATCGCGCTCATGAACTCGGAGGAGACGCGCCCGGTGAACATCGGGAACCAGGACGAGTTCACCATCGGCGAGTTCGCCGAGCTCGTGCGCGAGATCGTGGAGAAGGTGCAGCGGGAGGACGGCGAGCTGCCCCCGCGCCGCGTCCAGATCGTGTACAAGCCCATCCCCACGGATGACCCCCAGAAGCGGCGGCCTGATACCACGCGCGCGAGGCAGGTGCTTCAGTGGCAGCCGCGCTGGACGGTCAGGATGGGCCTCGAGGAGATGGTGCGGTACTATAAGGCGAAGATGGTCGAGGGCAGCATTTAGAGTGAAGATACACTAGGAGAATAAGTTGAGCTTGCGGCGCATGCGCTGCATGTAGTAGACAGTACTCAGAGAGTGGACAATGTAAAGCTAAATCCCGTGTTTCCATGAGTAATATTTACAATACAGGCAGCAGCACGTCGCGTCTCCCCAATTGCAACGTACATACATTAGGCGCAAGCAGATGATAGTAAAACATACGTATAAACGAGAGCGTGGTGCAAGTACTTTTTCCGCGTGCACCTGCGCGTAATATGCGGAGTTTGTGGTGCCTCCGACATCCGGTGTCAGTACATAAGTGATGAAAAAATGCCATGTACAAGATATGAGGCCGTAACACTGCCGGGACATCCATGAGAGTTCGCAACGGAGGACCAAAATGCAGAAACTGAGACCCATATATCCCAGGAACAGCTGAGTGCGAATAGCCATGGAGGGTAGACGGAGGGATCCTAACGCTGGATCCTCCACGGAGCTCTTCACCGGTTGAGCAGACGCGGCAAGGCGGTACTGCTATTCGCCACGACCCTTGCCATCGATCCCTTCACGACGTTCTTCTCCACTACGTTGGCGGGCTCGACGTTCGCGCGGTTGGAACGCGGTATCAGCTGGTCCTTCTCTGTCAAGGGTTCGGGCCGCACGACCGCTAGGTCTCGCTTTGAAGACTTCAAGCTGACGTTCTTCGCCGCGTACTTTGGCTGTTTCCCTCTATCCATCTGAGGGTAGCGTTTGGGATCTGGAGTTAACGATGCTTATGAGCACGGTGTTGGGGGGTGAGCAACCTGGACGCCATACCGGTGTATGAGAACCCATCCGGTCCGCCATCCAGCCAGTGAGCTTTCCTCTCTGAATACCTGCGAAAGACATTAGTAAAGAACGAGCAGACAGACAGTGTACCATATCTAGATCCCATTCCCGCAGGTTCCCGACATAGGCCAAGTAGCGGAGGGATCTATATGATACGCCGGTCATAACAAAGACGCACTTGCGCAACGGGCGGCCGTCCATGCCCAAGGGAGAGAATGCCGCACGCTCTCCCTTCTCGAATGACGCAATCATTTCCTCCTGGCTCTTGCAAACCTCCTTGCTAAGGCACGAGAAGTGGATGGGGGACAACGGATTCTTTTCCATGGTAAACCCGGGGTCCCTTCTCCATTGACCAATTTGCTCCAGTGCAGACATCATCCTATCGCTCAGCGCCGCCGTTGACATCGGTTTCCTGAGGTCTGACCGTGCCGCCGGCTGACGTCTCAGCCACTTCAAGAATACTTGGTTCACGATGGAGGACGAGCACAGGGATAGATATGCGTGTGAAGCTGTGAGACGACATCCTTGAGCTTGCATACACACTGAACGAGTCGGGTGCGTCACTTTTCACAAGATACAATGATGCACCCCCTGGCACATTGATAAGGGCGTTCGCGAGCTCCTCTGCATATTGCTTTGGATGTGTCTCGCTGCGCTCAGCCTGCATAAAACAAGCTATTCATGTAACCGTGAGGAGAGTCTGAGAGGACGTACCTGAATGATCAGCAGAGGACAGCGAACAGCAGCCAATTCTTCGGAGGTCATTGGTACTCGCTGAAAGCAGATATCAACGTCAACTTCCGTAGACGTTGCAGGTGAAACAATCACAGACATTCGCAATCAGGTTGAAGTTGGTTCTCGTCAACGAGCGCTTGAATGGCGGGTAGGTCGTTTGCCACCACACTGCCAGCTAATGCGGAACGAGGGGTGATGAGACCAACCCGATATCACGACAACCTATGTTCACGTACATCGTCATGCAAGTCGACCATCTCTGGGTCGGTATTATCCTGCAAATTAGATGAGGAAGAGTTCGAAGAACAGGGATACCTTGCCATCCTTACGGGCCCAGTGAAGAAGTCCAGTACTTCCTTGATACAGTATTCCATCGACTCCAAATCCTCTGTGTGGGTCCAGTGAGGAGATAATTCCTCCCACGCATCGGCAATCCTCCTCAGTCTGTCACGATAGGCAGTTAGTTTGCTGAATACCTCCCACCCTAATCAAATATACCCACTCTGATTGCGCAGGCACATTGCAAAGCGTCACGCTGAGACAGTGCTCAGGGAATCTCAGCGGTAGAGAATGTCAGCTTCCCGCGAAGGTCACGCCATCAAACCACTCACAGAGCTGCGAAGCGCAGAGAAGCGTAAGCATAAAGTTCCGGTGTGAAGATGTGTGCAGGTGGGAGACCCAAGTGCTATGCGTGAATAAAGCTAAATCACCTCATCTGACACTATTTGCTAAAGAGGACGTACATGGAACGCGAGTGCTAAATCGGCCGCAATCACCCAGAGATCGAATTCCCCTGACGCTTTACAGAGCGACTGACCCGAGGAGCGCGTGTCGAAGCAAATAATGTTGAAATCCGAGTGCAAACGCGGGTACCCTGTCTGAGGATAGGTCCACGCAGAGCCCAGCAAGAGAGGGTGCATCATGACGACTGTGGGCTTTGACGGATCAAAGCTGGACACGCTCCCTGTCGGGGTATTGGTGATGTAGAATATGGAGGCATAGTCTTCCCGCGTGACGATGTCGACGTAGGGCATTGCGTGGAGGAAGGGGCGAAAGGAGAGTCGGGCAGCTCAGAGCATAGCTAGTAATGTTCGGGCACGGCGCATGCTCAAATTGTCCAGGACCGCTTGGGAGCCAGTGCCAGAATGGCAACCACCCATCCAATCAAACGAATTAATTTTGGCTTGTTCCACCGATCCGGGAACCTGAATATCGGCTTTCGCACGTGTGCCCCTCTCTTATTTTTTTATCTTATCTCGTAAAGTTTGATAATCTGAGAGGCTTAATGAACAGTGTAAGCTTGAAGCCGTGAAACACTCAAGTTAGTTGGCAAGGCATGCCTCAGCTTCTTCCTATATACTAGAGGCTGCTTAACGAGCCTATGCCTCAGCCTGATATCGTGACATGCCACCAGCGGGACGAGCTTGGGCCACCCATCAGCACTTATCGCCGAGAGACCGGCATCCCTCATGATCTACAAAGATCACATATCTAACACAAAGCTTTCCAGCAACCACAGACGCGCACTGCTCATCGCAGCTTTGTAGGTACCGGGCCAACGCCGAGCGCTTCAGCCTTGGTGACTCTGTGCGCCAAACGTCAACGAGAGGCGCACAGGGAAGAACGAGCTGGGTACGCACCGATTCGCAGACTTCCGAGCGACGCACCCCCAAATCCATATCAGCGTCCGGCTCGTCCAGCCTATTCTCAAATGGGACGTGAGAACGTGCCATCTGCCCAGCGGCTATCTGAGAATCGTATCTCGATGTCTAGAGTCACTCAGCACAGTGTCTGTACGTACTGTGGCGCCCAACGAGCGAGGTGTCATATCGTGAGCAGTCCACGGCGTCAGAGTGGAAAGCTGTGAATGACATGGCACGTCGAAGCTGCAGTCTCCATCACCGGCGGAACACCAAGGAATCTCACGAATCTCCTTACCGGCGGGAGCATGCGAATCCCGAAGTGCTCACGCTTACCTTGCATCAAAAGAGACGTATGTATTGTGTCTGCTCAAGCGCCATCTCCTCCAACAATCCCTCCGAGCACCTGCACGATCTTCTGCTGTTTCTGCGGGGACAATCATCGCATACTACTAAAGCTGGGGAACAATCTGTAAGCACACCTCTCTATCCGTGGTAACAGTGGTCGGATACATGGCCGGGACGCCCAGTGACTGAAGCGCCGCCTGCTGTTTGGCGAGGAGGCCGTCCCATGCGGGTATTGCTCGCGTCGAATCAAAGTTCTGCAGCTCCTTACGAAGGGCATCTGATATCATCTGGCGAGGCGCGGTCAGTACGACATTGCAGCGCCGAAAGGACATACACACGTCAGCTTCGTGCTGCGTCAAGCCAACACCAATAATTTTCGCCCTACAACGGTGGGAGGCAGATCCTGTCATCGCGAGTCACAGGCAGGACGGAGCGCCCGGTACTCACTTGGTGCGCGTGGAGTTCACTTTGTCTTCGTACTTGTGCTGGATCTCTCGCCTCTCTTCCCATAATTGCCGTTCGAGATCCGCTTGCTCTTCTTTCATCTGTGCAATACTTTTGAGATCAATTGCATACGGGAATCATGGGAGTTAGTTACCGCAGAGATCGATTTCACAAATTCGGGATCTTCGGACAGTCGTGCAAGCTGCGGAAGGGCCTGCTGGAAGGTATATGATCGTAAGTCCTGCTTACGAACAGCCGGTGGGGCCAACGGGGGCGCAGCAGCTGACTCCGGTGCAGCTGGACATGGTGCAAGGGTAGACTGACTCTCGCTGATGGGTTGGTGTCTGTCAAAATGTTGGGTTCCGCAATAATTCACGTCCACAGGGGGAGCGGCCGGTGGCGGTACGGGTGCTACAACAGCATTGAACGACGGAGATCCGTGCAATTGGGAGAGCAAAGCCGCGACCGAAGACGAAGATGAGGACGGTTGCGCAACTTCCACCGAAGAGGTCCACAAGGCCGGAGCTACAGACGGTGGAGCTTCACTAGTGAAGGCATCCGAATCAACTGGTTTGAAACCGCTACGTGGTACATGCACTGGTGGCGGCGGTGGAGCAACATGTGAGTTGCTGCTCGTCGCCGGAGCAACTTGCGCAATGTCTTGCCAGGCCTGAGACGATCTAAGCCGCTCGAGCAAAGCTTTTACCCCTGCGGGGTCCTGAAATGTGAACGTCAACATACTGCCACGTCGGATCGCATGCACTACTAACGTTGATGTTAGTGAAGTTCATCGCAGCACGGATATGGGACCCGTGGGAACTTCGTTAAAACGCGTCTGTCACTCTATAAAGGTGACCGTGACAATTATTTCACAAGGTGCTGCATCGTCATGTTTTTCATTTCAGCTACGAAAGACGAAGCATCATTGGTTGATATGAAAATAAGCCGCATCGATGAAGGGCGTTCGATGGAATGGAATGTTGATGTCAAAATAGTGCCCACATGTACCTACACGCTCTGGGAAGCGTATCCGATGTATGAAGATGGGGCCAACGAGATTTACACAATTGAGAGAGAACAACAGGCATGGACCACAGATAGACGAACACTGGGAAACCAACCATCAAACGGCCTGCGTACGATGCGTATGATTGTCTGAGTGAAGGGAGAGACGCAGCAAAGGAGATCAAACATCTCCCGCGAACCGTGAGGGAGGCAGTGTAGGGAGGAAAACACACCTTGTAAACGCACGGAGAGATGTCAGAGGAAGGTGCGAGGCGCGACACGACGCGAAGCGGTACTTATCCACCACGAGTCCGGCAAAATACAATGTACTTCCATCAATGACGTTCCCCGTGTACTCATGCTACTGACGATGAACACCTGAACGTCACACTTCGGGAGTTATAACGCCCCCAGATCCGGGCGAGGTGCTTGTGCCCAACCTAAGTAGTGAGGTCAACTGAGTAAAATCCTGATGGAAGAGAGAAACTTATTTGGAGAATTTCACCACCAGGTGAGGCTGCGAGCTGGGACTGCGATGAGCTTGATTGCCGTTTTGATTTCCAGCTCGAGTACAGAGATGACGCCTATACGTAACCTTGCAGGGCCTGGACAATTTGTGGTCAACAGCAGCCGGAAATCCAGACCCCTCACAGCGACTGCGCTGCAAATTCTGGTCCACAGACAGAAGAGAGAAGAAAGCGTGTACGGTTGCCGGACGGTGACAGAGAGTGCGAGGCGGTGATGAAACTGGTCGGAATTTGCTAACATGATCTTCACGGTGACAGCTGAAACACCACGAGTAACCCACGAAAGTTAAGCCGACGCCCTGCGTCGGGATTGTTCCCCGCGAGGCCATGGCACACTCATTGGTCCTAGACACGTAGGGCGGAGCTGATGGAAAAAAACTACTAGCGATGTGAGTGGATATCGATAGCAAGCGATGCGGTCATAAGAAAAAATATCGACTTGGCTAGGGGCGGTGGAAAGTGATCGAAAAGGACGTTAGACCGGGCGGAGCCGCTCGTACGGGTCACGACGGTGGCGAGGGCGCCGGCGAGGTGAGAGAACAGTCAGAGATCTGGCTGCGGTCGCCATGAATACAGACACGTTGCGGAGAGAAGACGTAAGGGACCGTGAGCGTCGAGGTGGGCGTCGGGGAGGACGGTGAGGACGGTGGAGGACGACCGGACGCGGGTGCATGGCGACGGCAGGGGCATGTTGCAGGGGCGATTGGTCAATCGGGCGTGCCGATGTTGCCGCCGAGATAATCGGGAGAAATATTTCCTGACTTCCCAGAAAAGACTAGATGAGCAAATTGCCCCTGTTTTGGATCTCGTGGGAAACGGGCGTAAAATGGGAGTTGTCGCCTCGGTTTCGCACGATTCCGACTGCGTCTTCGTCTTGTACTCTCTGCCGCCCAGCCTTCTTATCCTCTCTTCGTTTCTTCCGTCTTCAGCCTCTCTATTCCCTCTCTTTTTCTCCTTCTTTTATCGTCAACATGGCCCCAGAAGTCTCTCCGGCGACATCGTCGCACATGATGAAGACCACAAAGCGTGGCAGACCCTTCCTCAAGGTCTGTCGGGTTCTCCCATCGCTCACGCCGATATCTAATGTCATTCCATCCTCCAGGACACATTGGATCTGTTTGCGACATTGGTGGTTTCCCTTCAGCTCGGCGATAACAAACAGTTCTTCCGCACCTTTCACAATTCTTTCACAACGTGCGTATCTCTCGCCTTTGTTGCGACTTACTCGCTCGATATTGATCGCTTGCATGCAGGGACGATGCAGCAAGAAATCTCGCATCCCTCAAGTTTTCTCAGTCGAATCGTGGTCCAGATCCTCGAGAACCTGCACGCATAGTGACGACCACGACTACAACCACGTTTTCGATGACTCGGGATATGGCGAAGGCGATGTGCCAGCAGTTCATGGATGCGAGGCTGATCGAAAATGCCGCAGACCCAGGCTCAAATCTGTTCAAGGAGCGGGGTGTCTACGTCCTGACGCCGAAAGGTTTACACGTGCTGGAGCGGTTCATGAGCAAGAATGGGATCAACGGCGATCATTTGCAGCACGTTTTCGCTTCACAGCCAATATGCATGAAGCTGCTTCATCTTGAGCGGCGGTCCGTCGACGACGAGATCATCGTTTCCCACTCCGTCATCACTTCGCTGTTCCGGCGATTTGTAGGTCGCCAACCCAATTATCCTCCCGAGTTTCTGGACAGTCTGGACGCCTTTCAAAAATATCACGAGCGGTCCAAAGGAGTCGCATTGTCGGACGTGCCCGAGCGACCGCCAAACGGCAAAACGGCTGTGGTTCATAGAAATTGCTTCCCGGCGGTGAGCGCACTCGAATGGCTCTGCGATTTCACGTCCGTCATCGGAAGGGAAGAGGCGGCGGAGATGGCTGCTCAATTTGTGCGGTTTGGTCTCATCATACTGGTGAGCGATAAGCGGAAGAATAACGATTCCGCTATTATCTTCACCGTTCGCGGTGCTGCTGGAGGCGGGAACTCCTCAATATCTGTATGTCCTGCTTTCCATTGTTGTCTTCCATGTCCAACTGACCTTTTATTTTAGCAACACGGAGAATTCCGTTGTACTGCTAAGGCTATCTACAAGATCACAGACGAAGGTCGTCGCATGGCTCGGTGGGATAACGACGGTTCGGAGAATTCTCCTAACACCTCTGCGTCGAATATCAATTCGGCGGTACGGTCGTCTGACGACCATCCCGGTGATACCACGGCCACCGACACAGCCGCTTCGAAGGACGCGAAAATCCATCGCCGAATCTCCATGACCGAGAAGCTGAATGCCACTTACGAGGCAGACAAGAAGGGCAACCAGAAGGAGAGCAACACAGATCGCTTGCGATATATTATCGATGAGCCGCAGTTACGCTCGCTTTTCCGCGAGTTTCTGCGGACCAACTTCTGTGAAGAGAACCTGGCGTTCTATCTGGAAGTGCAAGATTTCAAGCGCAAGTTCAACATTACATCGAGTGCTATCGCGTCTAATTCCAGCTCTGCTGCGCCGCGTGGTGGACCGAAGGTTACTCCAGGGCAGATCGCTATGGAGCGCCACCACGAGTCCCTGATCGCCAGCGCGTTCTCCATATACAACAACTATCTAGCGCCGTCTAGCCCAAGTGAGCTTAACATTGATCACGGGCTACGCAACGAGCTGTCAGGATACTTGAGCGAGGTCATCACCAGTCTTACTGGCAAGGCGTTCCAGGGTCGGGTGGAGCTCGACCAGGCTACCCAGTTCAATGCGACGCAGCTGCAGACGATGATTCGCCTCTACGAACGGATACAGACGCACGTCTTCCGGCTCATGGCGACGGACTCCGTTCCAAAGGTACGTCCCTTCTTTACGTTTTGCGTTCGTTTGTTGATCAAGTTTTACCCATTCACAGTTCATTAAGACACCTCGCTTCCTTGCACTACGCATCAAGCTGAGCGATGAGGATGAGACGGGCTTGAGCGACTTCCCGTTACTGCCGACAAACTCGTCGACGCCAGTGGTGCCACCAGGGCTTGGTGGGGACGAAGTGGGTGGAGCATATGTGACGGTTTCGCAGCGCGCAGCTGCACAACCATCGGTCACGGATAGGCCGGCAGCGCCATCGTCATAAGAGTGCGACTGTCCGTCGCTCCCGTGCGTGTGGATAATCTATGCGTCTCGCTGTCTGTTCCTAATGCTCTATGCTCATGTTGGTCCACTGCATGCTCTCGCCCCAAAGGTGCTCGTGTACCCTGCGCTTGGTCGCTGCTTTCACAGGTTTCGTCACTATTCCCTCTGTCCTTGCACTTTACCTCGCATTCGCATCGTACGGCTTACCGCCTCCATCCGGATGTTCTCTTGTATTTGCACTAATTCACCGCCCTTCCGTCTATCTATCGTCTCCTCCCTTCTGGTCCGTTTTCGTTCTTCTAATTCACATACATTCCTCTTCACATCTTTGCAGTGGATCTCACCTCATCAACATCGTAGCCCCGTCTCGATACATCTGTATGATCTATACTATACTTTATTCCTGCCCTATGACACTGCTAGGAGCCGCTAATCGTCCATCTCACTGTTTTCTGATAATGCAGCGTATTAATGCATGTGTGACTACTTGTAGTGTACTTTGTGCGCGAGCTCGCGTCTGCGGACACGAGGACCGTGAGCATGCATCAAATTCCGCCCACCCGTCGACAAATTCATTTCATGCACGTCGTCGGAATTTGGTCGGAATCATCGGTAAACACATAGAGTCATAGACGAGCACCGTGTAAATATCCCGAGCTAATGCGTCCATCGCCCTCTTTTCGTGCGATCATCTATCGGGTCTACAAGAGTCGACTTCGCTCACTTGCACCCACAGATTGAGAGGCGGGGGAATCATGACCAGCCGAAGCATGTCGTGAAGATGAGATATTGGAACACTGGAGCCAGCTTGCCAAATCGCCGCCTATCCGCAGGTAACATGTGGGTGTACTTCGTGTGCTAGTGGGAACCACCATCGCCGTAGCATCTACAAGGGCGCCGTCGAACGCCGGATTTTCCCCAAGGAAGTTGAAGGCCGCATCATCCGAAGCGTCTGGACAGGTCATTGTGCCCCACCGCAGTGGAATTAGAGTCCTTCTCCACCACGAAGCATAAATTTGCGACGCGTGTGAAGGACGTCGATGCGACCTCCAGCGTAATCGGCCCGAAGAATTACAAGCCAGCGAAGGGCGTGGACCACCCCGCACCGCATGAAAAAATCGGACTTCGGGAAATGAATTCGATTTACCAGGTGGTAAGGCAGGCGTGCTGGAGGTGAGACATCATTCAGAAGACTAGACCCAAATACACAGACCGCAACAAGCACCTACGTGATAAATCATGGCAGATGACAATCACCAATGGAAAAGGCTTGCGGGGTCGGTCTAGTTGAGGAGGCACAGCTTCCGCACTCCCCAATAACTATCTCACCGAATGTAAGATCATCCTCCCGATCTTCACCGTACACGACTTTCAGACGGGCCATGCCAGCGATGAGCTTGGGTAGGCCATTGCATCCGGCCCCTCAACAGCGTCTGGATACCTAACGAGGAGCTCCGTGATATATGATAGCCGATGACATGCAATGAGATCAGTCGGGGACTGCAGGCAAGGGTAAAGTCCGCCGGACACGAGGAGCGCGGTCATCGAAACTTTGGACGGCACGGAAAGCCACAAGGCGAGTTTTCCCGAGAATAAACTCGCTCTTTTGGAGAACATATGTTAGACGGTTGGCAAAGGTCATGCCGGGATTTCGAGCTCCCAGAAGTGAACCTCGAGTTGGGCCTCCAATAAGCGCAACCATAAAGGGATCTGACGGCAGGCCTGACTAAGTGCAACAGATCTCTGGCAATACTCTGACCCACGCTGGCGTTATAGATAGCGAAGTGAGGCGGGTGCATGTCCGGACCAACCGCAGAAAATTGGCCGCGTGTATGTCCACGTTCCGTAGTGAGACGGACGTCGGCCCTCGCAAATAACTTACCTAGATCCGATATCATACTAGTGAACCATCCTTCACCTGCAGATCCTCGAGCCTGAGAGGAGGCAAATCCTAGCAGATCCTGCCTCCCTTGTTCCACAGCGATCTCAGCGACATTTTCAATGAGCGCGACCGGATGGAGCAAGCCAGGAGATCGATCTAGGATCTCCTCGAAAGTCCTAAGTGTCGCGAAGCATGGCCGATTTGAAGAGATGAAGTCGTGATCTTGGAGCTTAGTGCTGCAGGTCATGCTACATCTAGTAGCATGTAGGCCCCTATGTCGCGAAATGGCTTCATCGTCAGAGAAAGCGAAATGTGAAGCCGTTGGCAACAGAACGGTCAAGATGGTCAGTCCCCAATGAAAATACGGAGCACCTGCAAACACGTACAACGAAATCAGATCCAGCTGATAGTACTTGCTGCCATAGGCATCTAACTGCGAAACCAAAGCTCTCGAAGGTCGCCTTCGAGGGCACCTCCAAACAAGAGATCGTTCTTCCAAGAACCACAGACAACTCGCAGCCGCCCGTTCTCTGCCAGATACTTGGGTAACCGTTTGCAATGACATGCAGCAGGTTTTTGAAACGTTGGCCATATAGTTCGCGAACTTGAAAGACAACCCGCAACCGAGGGTGATCCCGCTCCGCATGGACCAGCGCCTGGTCCACCTTCTCCCAATCCAAAATATACGGCACGAGTTCGCGTGTTCCGATGCTGATAAAGATGTCCTGCCAGGAGTCGAGGCATGTGAGACTGCAAGATCTAATGTAATAAGTATCCACTAATTCAGGGAGACAATACAAGATGCATGATGATACTGGCCTGCAAAAGTCAAGCGAATTGCTCAAAGTGACTGGGATCGCAAATACTTACTGACATCTGTGCGACCTGCCAGCGCAAGCCTGGTAGGAACGAACTCGAAACCTCGAAATTTAATATTAATGTCGATGCCTCGAGAACGGGATAATCCGTAATCGCGCCTCCAGGTGCAGGCGCCCGACGCATCTCAGCGTAAAAGCAAGCGCTTCGTATACAACTAATGTTCAACAAATCCGCTACGGGAACTAGTCAAATATTCTGTCCTCACTTAGAAAACAAATGTGAGAGCATTGCAACATATGTCCGGATCTCGTGCAATGTTCGGACACCACGCTGCTACGACGTAAACCTGCTTCTGTACGTCGCCCACGATGGCTCCGCCAAAAACTGGGTCCACATCTTTCCGCGTACGACGCCTAGCCGCCTCGATCCAGCGCAGAACTTGGGCAGGCAATGTCGCCGTAGTGAAGAACCAATCCTCGGTTTTGGTGCCATTTGGGTTGCTGATTTGGAAGATGACTTCTAAGTCCGGTCGTCCATGTGCGGCACCGACAAGGGCACCGTCGAGCTGGGCGAAGTCGAGGTGACCTAGAATACAATGGATTTCAAGTTCAAAGAGTTGAAGGGTGATGTGGATTTGCTCCAGGAGGGTATGGAATGGTTGGATTTGAGATAAGAGGAACGGTACATATTCAAGATCCATGGTGGGCATAATCACTCTAGCCGTAGAGGCAGCGCTCCGAATATGCAATGAGACCAAGAGTGGGTTTCGACGGTATGTAAGATAGGCCTCACTCATGCCCAACCACTCTAAGCGCCGTGACAAGGTTGTGACCCGACAGTTGCCCGAGAGTGATGCTATTGATTTGGGAGCAATAAGTCAAAGTCTGATACCCGATATGGTAATGGATGGTGTGGTAAGGGCCACTTATCAGCCAAATATTTACGTGCTGGATGTTGGCTCTGTTTGGTCGCCGTTCACTTTGGGTTGTTGCCAGCCTAATTTCTCTCCTACGAGGGCGAAATAAAAAAATGTGCTCCCTGGGAATATTCAAGAAGGTATTCATTAACAATCCCCAGGGAACACATTCCTGACAAAGGCTTTGTGGAAAGAGGAATTAGACAAGCAAGCACTTTCGCCCGCCATTTTGGTGTAAGCGTGACATTAGACGCCCGACGCGAGTGGCTGGATATGAGTGAGGCCTATCTTACTATGTAAACGAACAACATTGCCTTTTTTGGCGACTTGCGGTCTTGAGTCCCACACCGTTGGTTCATCTAGTCCACGCACACGGTACCTCCACATTTATTAGCTCTGGTATCAAGGCGTACAAGAATTATTGAGTCCATCTCAGAAGTCGATTCTGATGTGGTGGGAAGGGGCGAGCAACAGTATTCGAAAGTATCAGCAAGGCGTCTGCCAATATCTTGTGCAGTCGCTATGCAGAAACTGGGCGAAAACAAATAATTTACCACAACAGAGGTGCACCTTCACATTGAACACCGATGCACGCCCACAGCCTTCATAATTTCCCCGCCAAATATAGGATCTTCTTCCCAATATTCTCCACACACGATGGCTACCCGCGTCGGTCTGCTGAGAAGCTTGGGCAAGACACTTTTGAAGATACCCCCTACCTGTAAGAACCAATTTACAGGAGCCTCCGGAGAGCCATCACGATAAATTTCGAATACTATCTCCAGATTTGGTCGACTTGAGGCCATCCGAACGAGGACATCGTCTAATTGTGCCCAATCCAAGCTTACGGGATTCCCTGCAACGAAATATTGCAGTGTAATGAAGACGCGCTCCAGATCGGCGTGCATAGGTTGGATAAGAGACAAGATCCACGGGATGCTGCGCGGATGCCCACACTTGTGTCGGTCGCGGCGTTTGATTGAGCAGGCCCTGACGCGCAGCGAGACCAGATACGGGTTGTGTTCGAACGTAAGGGCTTGTTTCTGTACAAGGGCTTGTTTTTCTGTGTCTTTGCATCCCCCGACCGAGATAGAGCAATGGTTGAGATCCCTGCCGGCCAGCTTCAAAAGCTCTATCACAGCTGTGCGGGACTCGAAGGAGATACAGCCACAGAGCGGAAACTCCACTTGTCGAAGATGGATTGCCACGGGGCCACACAGCAGCTGCGAGAGAGCCCGTGGGAACAGGAACAGATATGGATAAATCCGGAGAGTATGCATCTCGACTGGGCCTTGCTTGATAGCATCGGGAGGTTGAGCATGCGAAGCTGCGTTCCATCGGGTGAGTGTGAGCGCAGCGAGTTTGGGACAGGCACTAATTAGCCACGCGACTTCAGCCACACTCCACGGTACCCCCTTCAAGTGCAAGGTCTTCAGTGTTGCGAAACTTGGCCCCACGCGGCGCTGGTAAGAATAGGAGAACATCTCAAACAGCCAACCCTCAACAGCCAAGTGCTCGAGTTTGTGCAGCTTCGACAGCAATGACAGCAGTTCCTGGTGATACTGTTGGTAGAATTTGGCGATATCAAGACTGCGAACAAGGGGGGCCACAGAGGGGAAATCATTCACGGCCTCCTTGAAGATCCTGTATGCTTCTATGTTCTCCAGAAGGATACGACGGTATGGCAGAATGGCTCTGATATCTTCCGAGAGGCAGGCGAGCATGTCGAGCATCTCGCAAGGAAGTATGACTTGCATGCTGTGGCAACGTTCGAGACGCGATGGATGAAAGTCAGCTATGAGACTATCCGTTGTCGCGGAGAAAATGCGCACCATGGCATCCTTACAAGTGGGAGACGTCAATGCGGCTCAAAGATCAATCGTCAATATAGAGGTTGTGGACGCGCGGGGTTGAAGTCGAGCTGTGGGTTGAAACGTCGAAGATTGTAGTTGTGTACGAGTGTGGGACGCAGCCATGCCAGGGTTCTTATAGTTGTCAGTGCCATCGGGAGCTTTGTCTTTGTATATGTCGGACTTTGGCTGCGCGTGGACTCTCCTTTGTTGCCACGTTGAGACAAAGAAACAAGCGTCCGAGATTGTGCTCCGGCATCTTCGGCCCTCGATCTCGATCGGTCGCGTGACCGGTACCTGACGTACGCGTCACGGTCGAGTGGCTGAAGACGGTTGGCGAGAGTCGTCCAGTGCATTCGCTGTCTCGTGAAGGTCATTTTTTGACGCAATGTGCGCAGTTCGCTTCTCTTTCGTCGCACTCACCTCACTGTGTTTGTGTAGCTTATATCTCGTATCATGTCTTGGATTTTGCACCCAGAGGGCGACGGCGGCGGGCGGGCACAGCGCCCGACGGAGCTGCCACCTTCGCGCAATGGCCAGACTGCACCAACCAGCGCCGGAGAAGAGGTACCCGTGTCTCCATGGGGAGAGATCCCAAATGACGACAAGTATCCCAAGGTCCCAGATCCTGTGGAACGGGACAGACTCGTATCAACGAAGCAGGCGAACCAACCATTCCTCGGGTGCGTACCATCGTTCCTCGTGTATTCGCAGTATCTTGAACTAGCACCTGTCTGAAGACATTCACAATACCGCAAGCAGCAGGAAAAGGAGCATGAAGAGTGGGCCAAGCGCAAGAAGGAGCGGGAGGAGAAGATTGCGCGAGGTGAACCTGTAGGGCCGGAGGAGCCTGACCCCACGGAGGAACCTGAGGTCGGCTGCCTCGGCCTCATGAAGTTTCTCCTCTATGCCGTTATATTCGTCCTTCTGACTGGCAAGTTCATCACCGGAAGTTACTTGTGGGAGCTGGAGCCCCCGAACTGGCGGAAACTTATTCCGGTGAGCATTTCCGGTCCAACTACGTACTCATAATGCGTGTTTGATGTCTACTATTACGACATCGTGTCGGTAAGACGAACCAACGTTTATTTTCAGAGGGCACGCTGGCAACGTTCGATGGTTCAAACACTGGGAAACCCGTTTATCTTGCCGTAAGTCGCCTTGGAGCCCTGTACCACTAGGCTGCCTGGTTCACACCATACTCTCTGCCTAGATCGATGGCGACGTGTACGATGTGACCGTTAGCCGCGCGACATACGGGCCTGGTGGCCCCTACCACATGATGTAGGAGAACCGTTATCATGTCGAGCTGCGCTGACCGAGTCTGGCAGGGCCGGACGAGACGCCGCCCGTGCGTTCGGAACGGGATGTTTCGCCACGCACCTAACGCACGACCTTCGCGGGTTAAGCGAGCAAGAAATGAAGGTGATTCCAATCTTCCCGATCCTTGTGGCGCAAGCTTGTTGATCCCTCGCTTATTTACCTCGCCGCTCCGCCCCGCACCGTAGGGCGTGCAGAATTGGAAGGAGTTCTATGCTAAACATAAGAAGTACGTCAAGGTCGGACGCGTTTCTCATCCGCCCGTTGATCCTGCGAGCCCCATACCGGAACACTGTGATCCGAGCAAGGCGAAACCGCAAGCACCGTGGCTGGAGCAGCGACTGAAGGAGGGCGACCCGCACCGTGGTGAACTGTAAGGAGAGTATATATTCCACTGACGATCTACGCGGAGGAGTCCTGTAACTACTTATTATAAGGCTCTATGTAGTTACAATGTGGTGATGCAAGGGTGATGGAAGGTCCGGCTGGTGCGAGCGTGCGCGATAAGAACGAATGTGCATGTCCAAAAAATAGTCCTCAAGGTCCGCGTGATAGCCTCGGCAATGATAACAAGAAGCTGTGCTCAGCTGGTCAAGGGCATAAGGGACGGTCAGCGCATGTCTGAGAAGCGACGCGTATGTTTATTTACCTTCACGGAGCCGGGCAGGTTTTGAGATAGTTCTTGAGGATCGGGAAATCTGCCATCGACGCTTCTGCCATCTGAGAATAGTCTGCGTCGCGGTATTTGGCGACAACAATGTTTCCACGCCACGCTTTAGCCTCGTTGAAGCAGGCGCCCTGAATCTCGCGGATGCACTTGTTGACTGGGAAGGGCATCCCATCGCGGGAGACAATGGGGTAGAAGAGTATGTACGGAGTGGTGAACTTCTTGTTCATGCCATCAAGGGCCTCAACGAGCTACAGAGGTGTGGGAGACGGGAGAACACGAGTGAGCGTCATGGCCGGTGTTTAATCTGGGGGAGAGATCGCATTAGACGCACATGATACTGCCAGGACCTGGGCCCCAAGCCTTCGGCAATATAGTCGATATGAATCTCTGGGTGTGGCATGCGACCACAGCGGTAAGGCTGGGGCGGATTGGGAAGAACCGCATTGAGCACTGTGGTCATCAGGGAGACCAAGTGGGGGGGACGGTCGTCGGAAGGAAAACAAATCGCGTCGTAGGGAATCATTTGGTCCATGGCGAAAAGACGAGAAAATTGAAGTATGTACAGTGAAGTAGAAGTTTGGACGAAGAGCGAAGAACTGGAACTTGGTGCTCACCGAGGAGGACGGAGGGGCATATATACCGCTGGGAGTGTTGCAGCCACATCGAGGGATATAGCCCACCGAGTGACAAGGCTGGGAAGGAAATGATGGACTGGAGGCTCATGGCGGATGCATGCGCGAACCTCGCGACTGGCTGATCTTGGCAGCGTCGAGTAACGGTTGCCCGAAAAGGCAGGTGTATTGGCCGTAAAAGGCAAGCGTGGGTGACCGTCACGACGCGTGCGTGACGGCGCGCAGGGTTAATCGAATGTTAACCGAATGTTAACCGAGTGTTAACCTTTTGCTCTTCTGCGTGTCGTCGCTGCTGTGTTCTTGATCAAAGGGAGCCCCCGTTCTAGATTCCAAACTAATACTGCTGCGCTACCCTGCAAACCACGCCATCGATGGAGTGCGGCGTGCTCGTCGCGTCCCATCTTTCCTCCCTCTTCCCGTCGTCCTTGCCCATCTCCGTCCCCACATCGCATAAGGATATTCTCAGCCTTTCCGTGGACTCCTCTGCGCCCCTAGAACACGCCAGCTACTCTACCCTCTTTCATACCTCCCGAACGGGCACCATTCTGCTTCGCCTCACACACCGTGCCACCCTTCTCGAACTCATCACTCTCACCTGCGATGCTCCCCAGCTGCGCTTTGATTTTCCTGGTGCCATCTTACCCTCTCCGGCAGTTTTCTTGTGGGAAGAGCGAGAGCTTCACGTTATTGCCGTCTCAGTCGTGGGCTCTCTCTATCGCTTTGTCCTCCCTCTTCAACGTGGCGCACAGCTCTGGCACCCCAGCAGGTACTGGTTTCGCCAGTACGACATCCAGAACATGCGGTCAGACATGGAGGGGTTGGTCCAAGTGCATGGGCCACATTGTGTTGTTTTGAGTTTGCCCGGTGGTGCCTTGCTACGTTTGGAAGCAGAACTTCTCGGGAATGATGACGAGGACGGTACGGCTCTCGACTCGCCCCTGGTCTCGCTGCGGCCATTATTAACCCGCTAATAGATGTTTGGCAAGAGACAAAATTCCATCCTCATTCACTCCTTACTTCGATCACCTCGTTGCTGCCCTTGCAAGGCGGTCCTCCAGGAAGTTCCGACATTATCTCGATGGCGTCCTTCCCCCAGCCAACCGACATTGAGCACGTTTGGACTCTGTCAAGAGACCGGACTCTCCGTCTATGGACAGCACGAAGCGGATGTGTCGCTGAGAAGTCGCTCGCTGCGATCATTCCAGGAAAGGCCATGACGCCTGCTTCAACATCCGCCTCAAGCTCCGGAAAACTCTCGAATCTTCTGCCTGCAGATGCGCAGAAGCTTCTCAGTGTATTTCCAGAGTTCGAAATGGAGGACCCTGTGCCTTATGTTCTCGCGTTCATCCCGGCTGAATCATCCTCGACTTCGGGAGGTTATTTCCATCTCTTCAGCTCACATTCCAGCGATCTACATCCTCTGAACTACTTTGAGTGCTCCGTCACAAGTGCACATTGCCATTTACAGGACTTCGTGGTGATTGGCTCCACCCTGTACACTGTTTGGGATAAGCAGGGCCAGTCAATGGTAGAAGACGCCAAGGTTTCGTTTCATGATGGTAACAGGATCGAGGTGGTGTGGAACACCGCGACTTACGCCCATGAGGCAGAGCTCACACCGGCGTACCTCGAAGAATTGCTTCTGTCCGCAGGCTCCATGGCTGACAAGTTTTTCGAAGCAATCTCGAGACCAGGCATATTCTCGTCTGTGACGCTTCGGACTGCCATCGATCAGTACACTGACGCATGCCGCTCCCTCCCCCCACCATATACGCCACAGCTATTGACCACGTACGGCAGCGTGGGTGAACAGATCGCTGCCGTAGTGGGCTGCACGGTTGAGCTCACCCGCGATCCCAGCACCGGTGCTCCGCAGTACGACAGGTACTGGAACGCGCTGAAACGCGACTGGGAGGGCTTCGTAGCGCGGTGTCGCGAGATCGAGCGCCATGCGCGCTGGCCGCTGGCGATCTGCATGGGAGAACCAAGGGAGGGCATTCTGGTCGTCGAACGCGAACGCATCGCGGCGCTCGTGGACGAGGACTTTCCTCTTAGGTCCCGCCGGCTTCTCGCGGCGTCTTCTCCCCTGGACCCCCAATTTACCCTCCTGGAGATCCTGTGGACGCTGCGTGCCAAGATTGGCACCCGGTCCATGCTTGTTTTCGAGGATCGATTGGTCGACCTTGTGCATCAAGAGATCGCCTTCCCATACGCCGATATTATACAGGACCAAGCCGAGCGGATCAACATCCGCGAGGAGCTCGACGAAGGCATGCAGAGTTGGATTGCCGGGCGCTTGCAGAGCATCGACAACATGTCGGACGCAATTCAATCGGTGCTCAATGTCATTGGTGGCTTGGAAAAGAACGTGAAGAAAGAAGTTGAGGATGAAGATGCGGCGTTGCGGCTTCCACCCGCCTATCCGGAGTGGCGGAGGGCGCTCGTGTCTTCGTACGTTGCAGTTTCCGTCCAAGCACGATATGACTTGTGTCTGTCGCTCGTTACGTTGCTCTTCTTCGTCTCGGAAGATCTGCCACAATGGGATCCTGCGTCGCTTGCAGAAATCTTTGTGGTATTCCGTGGGATCGCCATGCTCCGGTACGCGACGCGCCAGCCAGCTGCGGGCAGCGTCAGTACGCCAGCTGCTGAGCCCTTGGCGGACGAGGAAGTCGTCGCGAAGATGAGGGACATGCATGTCTCGTCAACAGCCTCTGGATTCACGCCGAGCTACTCGCTCATCCACCGTCTCCTCACGCAGTACGGCAGCGATGCAGCAAGCGTGCCTGCCTCTGCACACCTATTCTTAGATTCTTCCGGGCTGCTGGAATCCTTATCTCCTGCAAATGCGACGAAGCTCGAGGTGCTCTTTTGTGAGCGGCTTCGCCTTCTCGGATACCGCGAGGCTTCCAGAGAGAGCTTAATGTGGCTACCCAGGACAGCTGGGGTGACGTACGTGCTTGGCCGACTGTGGTTGGATGAGGGTAGGTACGATGATGCAGCCTCTGTAATGGAGGGTGTAGCAGTCAGCTTCGGTGAGTGGGTTGGAGGGTGCAATCCCTGTACTGCGCCACTAATAATGGTATCGCCCGCCAGGACGTGACAGCGCGTTAACCACGGAGGACCACGAGGCTCTGGCCGGGGTACTGCCAGGCGCGGCGTTCTTCCAATCTGTGTTCGATTTCTATTTGCATGTCGCCGGCCTCTTCAAGGCCGTTTCTGTGACATCAAGTGAAGTGGTGTTTTCCCAGCTCGCTCTGTCCGTGGCACCGCCTGGCGTCGACACCGCGTCCCTGTGGCACGCGGTCATAAGAGGCCTCACGGACTTGGGGCTTTATGAAGATGCGTATGCCGCACTAGTCTCCACCCCCTATGAGAAATTGTGTGTGGGCGTCTTCTTTCTGTCCCCGTCCCGTGTGTCACATGACAACTCACCGTGTTGTGTTTACCAGAAAACGGGAATGTGTGAGCCAACTGATGTACCGGATGTGCGAGGAGCACGCCGTCGACCGACTCATGGCCCTTAATTTTGCGGGCTTCGTGGACGAAGTGGAGGAATCGCTCTCGTTTAAGGCCCGGAACGCGGACCCGCGAGTGCGACCGTTCTACTCAAGGATACTCTACACGTGGTATATCTCTCGTGGCGATTATCGCAATGGTCAGTCGTCCTCCTTTTCCCCAGGGAACGTCATTCTCAACCATGTTTCTCGGACCTTAGCCGCCCTCACAATGTACCAGCGGGCGCGGAAGCTCGCCAGCCTGTTCGGAGACCCGGCGAACTTCATTGAAATTGCCGAGTTACAGCTTGAAGCTTATGTTGTTGGAATGAATGCTCTCGCGCTCACTGATCAGAAGAACGCATGGATCGTCCTGCCCGTCACGGCCGAATCCGAACACGAGGTAAACGGGGCTTCCTCGCTCCGGATCGCTTGTCCATGATGCTAATTGAAAATGATTTTGACGCGTGCAGCCCCGTAAGCGCCGTAAGTTGTCGCGATATATCCCGGAGGACAAGTACGGGCCCGGGAAGCGGGACATGGAGGTGGTGGAACTGGCGGACATGCAGTACGAGTATACACTTTTGGCTATCCGTCTGGAGTTAATCCGCCGAGACCCCACACTTCTGTCGGCTGGGGGTAAGTTGTGTCCAGTTCCCAAGCTTGACGTCCTCGTGAGCTGATAGCGAGCCCGCAGAAGCGCTGCTATCGCCTCCGTCCGTCGTATTGCGTCTGACGCAAGCGAATCGCTTCAACATGGCCATGGCTACCGCACGCACACTTAACGTCGACATGACCGATCTCTTCGGTCATTTGACCGGCCTATGTTTGCGCCTCTCCCGCAACCCGGAGGCTGTCATGTAAGGCTCTTGTCTGCCGGTTCGAACCCTGCGCTGACTCACCGTTGATAGCGGCGAAGATACGTCTGACTGGCTGCTAACTGACAAAGTGACTTCGTGGCCCGGCACTGCAGCAGACCGAGGCTGGCGATACCTTCGAGAGTCGCTGGAGCGGCACGATGGTCCGGATACGGATTACAGATACACCAAGGTGACATTGGAAACCATCTTAGAACTCGATCGCACATCACCACCCCCACAGTGGTTGACTCAGTCGCTAGAGGCAAGTCTTCTACGCGCAGCCATTGTGGGCGCATCGCTAATTCCCCCGCCGCAGGTGCACCACCCTGAGTATCTGATTCGCACATGCCTGCGCTACGAGATGTTCGAAGGGGCACTGGAGCACACGTTGTCGCTAATGCGGAGAGTGAGTGTCCAGACCCTCTCCATCGTCGTGGTCACCCTTCTGATTAAGCTGCCTCCTTGCAGAGTGACGCTCACCTCGCACAGGAGAGGCCCAAGGCCGCGTCTGTGACCTGGCTACCATATACCTTGATTGACCAGGTTCTCGCCGCGGTGGATACCCAGCAGGGGCTTCCCATCGGGGCTCAGTCTCTACGCAAAGAATTGCGGACAGAGATTTCCAACCGCATAAAACGCGTGCAAAAATTCGGCCAGTCTGTCCGATAGCCACGGTCCGTTTGTTGTGATATCCCACTGCTTATCGGTAGATACTGTACGTGTTAATTCTGCACTGTTCGCGCTGCTCATTACCCATGCCGTCGTGTAAAATAGTAGTACCGTTTCTGGATCTATTTTGCTTTACACCATGGACATCGTCGCCCCGAAGTGGCTATTACTTTGACTAAGTGCGAAGTAAGTAGAGAAGGCTCTCAACACCGCGTAATGGCCTCTCTTCTTTCTCCGCATCTGGGGTGCCTTCTTTGATGTTAAAAGTCCCGACAGTCTCCGTTGGGTCGGAAATGCACTTGGTTCGGGGAACAGTACTCCACGAGTACGTCCTATCCACATATGCTGCGGTCATATTTTGTCCTCAGCGACTCTTCACCGCTGACACACTACAAATTTTAATTCAAATAGCGCACCAGCAGGCATCACCTGTGATGCATGCGGCGGTGCCGAACGTCGGAGAGATGGCCGTGTTCCAGCTGTGTGGAGACTATGGAGGCCCGTGTATTCTCCCTTTTAATGTGCCAATAGGTTCGGCCTTAACGCCGCCGTCACCCGCATTGCAGCATTGTGCAGGAGGATGCATAGTCCCGATCGATGACTCCCCCAAGAACTCGTGTGTTTCTTAGGAGCGATCTGAAACTTGAATGGACGCACGGGTGATAGGTTCGAAATTGCGAAATAGTGAAGTAAACCGTTCTGGAACACTGGAACTCCGGAGGATATTGGAGGCATGACCTCGCGTACGATGCACGGTATTTCCTGTCACACGGCAGTGACGGTCAGATTGGACCCTTTCGTCAGCCATTGCACGCATGCAGAATATGCCCAGAGCTAGCTAAACACAACCCAAAGAACCGTCGAGATATGACTCCAGTGGGACTTTCGTTTGCAGAAACGGTTATTTCCATCTGCCACGGTGAGCAGACCTCCAAGTCTGTTCTGCGGTATACTTTCTTTGTTAAACTTGTCTGACGAAAATCATAACCTGGACTACACGACGCCAATCATGGGACGTATTCCCAATACCTGAGGGATCCAGATTTGCGAACAGTTTCACTTCTAGTACTAAGTCTGCTTGGGCTCAGTGAGTATCTCCCGTTCCGCTTTGGCTTCAAAGGGCACCAGCTAAGACGTTTGCAATTGTCGATCAGGCTCTGGAGGTTGCCAAGGAATGCTACTGCTAGAATTTCATGATGCTGTCATTTTCGGAATGTGTTTCAGCAAAATGGCCGTCTGACACCTTCACATCTACGGAATGAGTATGGCTACAGTGTGAGCTGACTGCTTTAAAAAGTAATATTTACCAGCAAATACTCCACTGAGAGGGTTTGGAGAGGGCATTTACGCCGAAATTGGAAGGCGGCTCATAGCAAGTCCCTGGCTCAAACTGTGTCCAATCATCGTAGAAGGATTTTTACCAAGGTTTACATACAATCACTATATGGTTGGGTCATCGTGCATGGGGAAGCTTGGACACTGTTGAACCACCGATAATGAAGTCCTGACTATACGATTGTGAGAGTGAAAAGTGTTGATTGACAAGTGATTTTCCATGAATGAACCGTTAAAATAAAACAAAGAAAAGCATTGGCCAGATGTGCAGCTACGTGCACAGTTCTGTCAATATCATTGTTGTGTTTTGTTGCTGTCAAGATCAATTTGCCCTCTGGAGGATAGATACTCTCACCAAGTGCTTTCGAGAGCTCCACGGAGTACGCGAAATATATCGTGAGTTTCTGTGAACTTCGTCAAGCATGGCTGCCAAGTCACTGGCGTACGACTCGATCCTAGGAAGCCAAAAGCCTCCGGTCCATCTTGGATCTTGCGTAGATCAGACTAGGATGAGATTGGGAAGCATCTCACAGTAGTTGGGGACTTCGTCAGCGCAAACTAGAAAATTCTGGAAAGTGAATCATGAGTTGCTTCGTCTTCCTGGTGAGAGGAAGGAAATGATTTGTGGTTCGAGGAGAATTGATGACATCAGTACCTGGAGTAGTCTGGTAGAGAGCGAGTGTGCTCCAGTCGCTGGTCACCGTGCGAACCCGGCCCAATTCGGATACCGCCGCATCCCGCCGTGCGTCGCTCACCGAGTGCCATCTAAACAACATCTATCCTCTCACCATCCTGTCCTTCCAACGCCCACCATGTCCAGAAAGTTGCGTGCAAACTTCTTGAAGAACTGGTTCGCCGTCGAGGTCCGTCGAGTTTTCCGTTGCGTGCAGGAACTGATTCATCGCTAACGCTTGTTCACTGTTCGCTAGGCTACCCCCATGCAAGTACTCCCTCATTGTCCATTTATCTTGTTGTGCTAACTTAGGGCACAGTTTTGTCGTCGTTGGAGCGGTTATCCTCGGTGGAAGCTGGTACCTCACACGGCTTGCCCGGGGACCTACGAGTGAGTGTTTCCCTGCTGTGAGCCTATGTGATCGCTCAGCATAAACCCCTCAACAGTCGTCTGGACGAAGGATAACCCCACTCCTTGGAACGAGATCCAGCCGAATGAGGGCACCAAGATGCTGACCGTCAACCAACATTTCGACAAGAGGTGCGTGCGTTTCTCAGACCGCAGTGCGGGCGTCGACTCACCCGGCGTCGATTTCATCGCACAGCTGGGAGCGCAAGAAGCTGTGATGGTCCTCCTGTACTACTCATGCGGGTATAAATCTCTCGTTCTGTAACAATTCTCGTTACACATTCAATCCGAATGTTTTCGATCTTTCCTGTGACGTGACGTGACGTGTGACGCTTGCGCCGAGTTCCTATCGGGCGCTAAGTGCATTGCCGATCTTGTCCACCATGGTTGTCCCTCTGAATTCTCCCCAGCCAGTATTTTCCCTCCCACCGTTGGATGAAATCCCTGATACCGATGAAGACACCCCTAAAGATGGAACACCGCTGGTGAGATGAAAGTTGCCAGAAGACAACGGATTGTTGTCTAAAGAACACTAAGGGTGAAGTAGGCTCTATGCACGTCCCGGAGATCGTCCTTGGCGCAGCAACGTTTTCCTATCACTACAACTCTGACGAATATGTCGCCGGGACGATGCCTCTGCGCACTGTCCGATTAGCTCTGCGGTATGTCGATGCGTTCCCTATCATACTCCACGTACTTGATGGTGCGCCAGCTACGGCATACGAGCCTTCGACACAGCAGCATACTACGGCGTATCCGAGATCGTGCTCGGGACCGCGCTCAAGACACTGGCGCCTGAATTCCCGCGGTCATCCTACAAATTGGTGCCGCACCACAGCTCTCCCTCCGCATACGTGGACCTGACTCCTTACGCAGATGACCAAGTGCGGGCGGTACGGCCCCGCGCAAAGCGAGTTCGATTACACCCCCGCGACGGTGCGCGCGAGCGTGCGGCGCAGCCTCGCACGGCTGAACACGGACTACCTCGACGTGGTGTATCTGCACGACGTCGAGTACGTGTGCACCCCTGTCGGCCCACAGGAGGCGGGGGACCACACAGCCGCGCTCGCGGACGCGCGAGAAGCCGAGTACGGGCTCGCGCGGGGCGCGGAGGGGAAGACTTGGGGCGAGGGCGACCAGAAGATCCTCGACGCCCTCGCGGAGCTGCGCAAGATGCAGGGGGAGGGGCTCATTCGTGCGGTCGGCATCACAGGTACGGCCTGAGCCCCATCGCTCCGCCCCCATCCTCCTTCAGACGATCTAACGAGCGCATGCGCTGGACAGGCTACAACCTCCCGACGCTCCTGCGTCTCGCACTGCTCGTACTGCACACCCCGCCTTACAAGCCGCTCGACGTGCTGCTCACCTATTCGAACCTGAACCTGCAGAACGCGTCCTTCGCGTCCTTCGCCCCCGCGCTTAAAGCGCGCGCTCGCATTCCGCAGCTGCTGATCGCGTCCCCGCTCAACATGGGCTTGCTCACCTTCACACCGCCCGCGTGGCACCCCGCCCCGGCGGGCCTGCGCGCTGCGACCGCGGAGGCGGTTGCGGTTTGCGATAATGCGCCGTGGGAGGGCGGCTTGCCGAACGTCGCGGTCGGGTATGGGTTCCGCCGGGGCGCAGCCGTTGGCGTGCCCGTTGTCGTCGGCATGACCAACTTGCTGGAGGTGCATGAGAACGTGCGCGTATGGCGCGAGCTCAAGGATGGGACACGGGCGGAGGAGCGCGTGGCCCTCGAGGGGCGTGTGGTCGATGTCTTTCGCGAATGGCAGGGATGGTCGTGGGTTTCGCCGCCGTCGCAGTGAGGGGTGCAGTGCGGTATGGTGATTTTCTAAAGGGTTCATTGACTCACGGTGAAATATGTTCGGACAACGTCTCAATGTGGAATTCAAGCAGTATTGATACAATGCGGTGTAGACAACATGGTGTACTTGTTTCGAAACCCCCCTAAAATCCCAAATGCCTGAGTCATTTATTCATCGCGCACCCTCTGCGTGAGACTACCGCGTCTTAATGACGCCGGCGTTGATCAGCTTCATGATGTTTTGGCGCACAGTCGGGTTCTTCATGTGGTCCTGCAGGGCCGCCGGGTTCGTCTGCGCCTGCTGCAGGATAGACTGCATGACTGGGTCGCCCATAATTTTCTGCATGCAAATCAGTATCTCGTCGGCTGGCTGGCACCACTCAAGGGTAGTCTACTCACCGCAATCTCGGGGTCGCGCATCGCCCGCTGGAGCGTCTCCTCGTCATTCTCTCCCGAGCGCTGGCTGAAAAGCTCCTGCTGGCATTTGACCACCTGCTCCTGGATCTCCCGGCTATGCTTCTTCTCCGTATCCACATCCGCAGCCTGCTCGACGGCCTCGACGGCCCTGGTATACTCGTGCATCGCGTAAAGGACATGGCTCTTACGGATGTACGCCTTCACGAAGCTCGGGTCCGCGCGGATCGCCGCCTCCGTATCCTTGAGCGCCTCGGGCAACGCGACGAGCTTCGTGTACGCGTTCGCGCGGTTGTTGTACCCGCGCGGGTCCTCCGGTGCGCGCTTGATCGACTCGGTGTACGCCTTCACCGCGCCGGCGAAGTCGCCCGCCTTGAAGAGCGCGTTCCCCTCCTCGCGCGCGTGTGTCGCCTTCTCGGGGTCGATGTACGCGAGCCGCGTTGCCGCCACCTCTGCGCGCTCAGCGTCGTGCAGTTTCGTGAGGATGTCCGGCGTGCGGTGTTCCGTGAGCGACTTGTTGTAGTACTTGACCGCGGTCGTGAGGTCGCCCTTCTTGGAGCAGGCGTTACCGGCGCGCCCGAGGGCTTTCGCGATGAGCTTGTAGTCAGCGCGCAGCTGCACGGATCCGTGGTGGTCAGTGATGGGACTGCAAAAATATAAAGAAAATGAGGCAAACGTACCGAACGACCCTCGTCTACTGCCTTCTCGCAGGTCTCTACACACTTGTCGTACTCTCCCTGCTCAAAATATGCCGCTGCATATACAAAGTCATGATTAGACTCGCAGAAAACGGAACGAGCGGCGACGCACCTGCAAGATTGGTCAGGAACGTGATGTCCTTCGACCAGAGCTCCCACGCCTTCTCAAAATGCGTCGCCGCAGTGGCGAAGTCGCGCGCCTTGTAGGCTTCCGCACCGACTTTTTTCTCCGCCTCCGCCGCCGAGCGTGCACGAGCGTCCTCGTCGTCCTCTGCCATCTCCACATCCTCTTCCTCCACCTTCGCTGCGGACGGGGGTGTGGACGTGGACGCAGCGGGCTGCGGCGTATGCGTATGCTCATGCGCGTGCCCATGTTCATGCTCATGCTCGTGATCGTGATCGTGACCGTGTTCCGTCTGTTCGCGCTTCAGTCCCTCGGGTAGGTCCCCGGAGCCCTCCTCGCGGGAAAAGCCCTGCATGTCGACGCCCATCAGCGCACCGAGAACGTCGATCATGCGAGGATCCTGGAGGGCGCCATCAGCGAGCTGCGGGTTGCGCTGGAGCGCCTGCAGACGCTGCACAAACGCAGGATCCGCGAGGTGCTTTGCGGTGCGCGGGTTCGACGCGAGCTTGCCTATGAGGTTCGGGTCGCCGAAGAGCTTGCCCAGGCCGAAAGGCTCCGCGCCATCACCGCGTTCGTCTGCTGCTGCGAGCGAGAGTCAGTGCAAGCAGGGGAGGGTGGAGGAGCGGGGAAGAGAGGCACCTTTCGCGTCTTGAACCTCCTTGAGACCGCGCCGGAGGGCGGGGCTGTCCTCGAGCTTCAGACCGGCCTCATACGCGGCAATGGCCTCGTCATATCTGTGCGCACCGTGGAGCGCGGCGCCCTTGCGCGCGTAGCCTTTGGACCACGCCGAGTTGATTTTCACGCACTGCATCCGCGGACAGTCAGACGATCTGCGCCTCCGCGGCTTCTACGGGAGAACCTCAAAACGCGCACCTGCTCCGCGTCCTCGAGGGCGGCTGCCCACTGGCGTTTGCCGGCCTTGGCAGCGCTGCGGTTGGAGTAGAGGACGTGGTTGGATGGATCGAGCGCGATGGCCTGGGAGAAGAGGTCGATGGCGTTGTCGTAGTCTTTCGCCTGGAATGCTTTGTTGCCCTGGTCTTTGAGTGCGTTCGCCATGGCGTGTACGCTGTCTATAGCAATCGCTGTAGCTGTAACGAGATGGGTGGGCTGGAAGGAATGTAGGTCTTATATCCTGAGCAGTTCGGGTCGAGTTCTGTGCGATGTGCACTCGGTGTTTCGAGAACCTTCTTCGTCCCGCCGATTTCGGGTTAGGGTTACTGGATGACGTTGATATTGACGCACCTCTGGACGACAGTCTAGTTATAGTGCTGGACGCACATGGCATCTTAGGGCATACACACCGCGATGTGACAGGAGGGCGATGGTCGGAATGGGTTCTGTAGACTAGAATGTGATGCGGAAGCCCGGACGTGATGGCCACAGCTGAAGACACCTTTTCCTTACTTGTCACCGATTAGAAATAAGCCTGACTCACCAGGTTAAGCTACGGACGTCACCAGCTGGAACTACATAGAGGAGAACTTCTTAGGGCTGCAGACGGCGACGTAAAGTGGGAGGATAAAACGAATAGACCTTCGAAGATGGGCGGAGCACCTTATATACGTGCTGCCCTCCCCGATTCTAACTCAGCCAGGAAGTCCTGACCCCCTGATAGGCTCATTGACGTCCTGCTGAGCTACATGACGAAAAAGAAATTGTCAATGACGATGGCTGAGGGCAAGGAAACTAAATGGGATGATATAAAGGGAAGGTGAGATACTCAATATGGTAAGATATCTTTCTCTTAGAGGTTAGGGCTAATGGTGTGACGTCATCTGTCTGGTACAAGTAGAGCGGCCTCTTAGATCTTGTTTGACGGGGATCTGACCCGGTCAGTACTTCAGTAACAACACTCAGGATGCCACATGATGGGTCTGCAATATTATTGCAGCGCGTCGACAACTTGAACTATGATAATACACTACCATACTTTTCCTGTGGGATCGATTGGATGTAACAGCCTCACTCACGTTATCAATCAAAATGCGCGCGTTTCTTCCGACTATGCCCCTTCTCTTCCTTCGGGGCAGCCTTGATCGCGCCGAGAACGTCCTTCAAGACCTTGTCGACCTGCTCCTTCTGACCTTCACGCTTCTGCTCGACCTCACCGCCTTGGCCCTGGGCGGGCACGCTGCCGGTGGGTCCCAAACGCCCCTTCTTGACCTTTTTCCCAAGAGCAGCGTCGAAGAGAGCGTCGATCTCGTCCTCCGGACGCGCCTTCCGCTTGCGCTTCGCGTGCTTCTGTTCTGTATCCGCAGGAAGCGCGGGAGCGGGCCTGTCTATCGGGGCTAACGTCGTCGTCGTCAGCGGCGGCAGCGGAGCGCGCTGTGCGCTCTTGGCCGATGATTGCTGGTTCTTCCATTCGTCTACGTTGCGCTGCAGTAGGTGCAAGTTGAGGTGCCGTGTGAAAAACTTGCCGTAGAACGAGCCTGCAAGGAAGTGTTCGTGCGGGATAAGCGACCGTGCGATTTTTTCCTGCACAGCGTCAGTGACAGGGCCCTAAGAGCGATCGTACGATGAGTCACACCTTCAAGTAAGGATCAGCGTATGCCCAGCAGCGGTCGCCGACCCGGCTGCCTATCCGGTCGTCTACTAGGACGTGGTAGTGCCCCATAAGGTCCAGGACGAACTTCCGCTTTGCCTTAGCAGGCACGGTGGGCACATCCAAGACAGCGTCCAATACCCGCGAGCTCGTGACGTGGTGGGCCATCGCGAGGACTTCATCCATACTGAGGGCTTGTATACTGTTGTGTAGTTATTGTGAGAGAACGGACATCGGTAAAACAGAGAAAGACTGTACCTGTCGATCACCAGTTCGTTGTGGGGTGCCGGAAGACGTAGCATAGCTTGTAACAAAACAGCACCTTGTGTCTTCGGTTCTAATGGATCCTCTTCCACGTTACTTCTCCCCCTTCGCCCGGATGGTCTCTTCTCAGCATCCGCTGGCTGCTCGCCTCTTGCTGTTAAGGCCGCTTTGTAGTCCTACGCCAGTCTGAGTCGCGATTAAATACCTTGATTAAGTGCACTGACCTCAAGGGTTCTGACACGCAAAACGCAGGGAACAAGCAGCTTCTTGTCCTCTGCTGTCGTTAACTCGAATGCGCTGCATATGGCCTGGTGATACCATTCCCAGGTGAGTGCGTTGGGAAAAATCACACGCCTGATGTCGCTCACCTCCGCAACTTTTGCCTCCTGAGCTTGCAACGCCGCAGCCCGATCTACCATGGCACGAAGCACACCTGTACGGGAAGTTTCTGAATTATACGCAATATCAGTGTCGGTTCCGCACAACATTCGAAGACCTCTTACTGATGATTTTCCCGAAACTACCGTCAAGCTCATCGCAGGCCTCTCCTAACTGCCGTGAGCTTACACGTTCCAGTGCCTTAGCGACAACGTAGTTTGCAACCGGGTGCACCGCCAACTTTGACAGCTTGCCCTTGAAGTACGTCGCCCAAAGGATATCGAAGACAGCACTGGGCGAGCGGGCGACCAATGTCTCAAGGAGGTGAGATGCGGTGGGGTCACGCAACAGCGTAGACAAGTAATCGGATGCCTCAGGATTAGCGGAAGGATCGTCGTCTGTCAAAACAGTGAGAACGTGCCGACATCGGAGATGACGATGGGACGTACGAGACAAAGTGATGAGTCCGACTAGCGCTCGATCCATTAACGAGTCAGGTACATCGGCCATGTCAAGCCCGGCTTCGACCTCGAGGAGCATCTGCTCGAGAAGCAACGTAAATCTCGGTTCGTTGCAGAAGAAACCGAAGATACCTGTAACACCGGGCTGGCAACTTGGTTAGCAGCGAAGGCGCGTACTTCGTTCTCGCCGAGCTTGTCGCGTAAATTCAAGATGAACTTCGAGGCAATCTGGTGAAAGGCCTTAGGTGGGGACCGCGAGGAGCGTTCGAGTGGATGTATGTGGTCCTCAGAGAACACTGACTTCATCGGGCCCTGTCGCGCCTTGTATGCCGCGCTTTTCTTTGAACGCACGGAATGCTCTGGTTTTCCGGTAGAGTTATCAGGTCCAGCAGACGTTATACAATCCGGGGCGAGGAGTAACAGAAGGGCTCGGATCACATGAGAGCCGAATGGGTCCATTACCAAGGTCGGTAGAGATGGAAGTACTTCCTAAAGAGTGTCATGGGTTGGAGGGTAACGGTGTTTAATGGAATAAGCAACATACGTCGCAAGCGTCCAGCACAAGCTGGGTAAGTGTCCTCAGTTCGCCTTCATCAGAGGATTCCGAAACGGGAGGAAATATGCCCCGAGACTGGATACAGGTTCACTGGCATATTCAAGAAGAAAAAAGGTACTCTTACCTCCCGAGAAATAGTGTCATTAGCGACAGTGAAGAGCGTTTGACAAACATGCGAAGCAAATCTATGCTTGAGCAACTGTTCGAACCTAAACACTGCACTCAATTAGATGCACGACTACAAGAGAGGATTCCAAAACTCACGAGCCATTCAATCTATCCACAAACACTCTCCGCACAAAATCATCCATTGAATATGCCATTCTTTCTAACATGCTCGAGCAGTCCGGATCCGTAGCGAGCTGCTTCTCTTTGCCAGACATTTCTGCCAGGGCAGCCATAAAAAACAGATGACGGTCTACCAAGCGCGTTAAGACAACATCATGGGCCTTGCGTCCTGGAAGGATAAGGCGGGTTGTGCGTACCTTCATTGGGATCGACATCTTCCCCTCCTTCCGCAACCACCACACCCTCTTCTTGCCATTCCCGAATCTGCAGATCGACTGTTCGAAAGTACGCCTTTACCTCTGCATCCACGTATCCAAAGGGTGCTTCGGGGTTGAATTCGGTGGCATTCGTTGCGGGCACTATCCACGATGGACCAGCGCGGGGTTCTGGCGGAAGTTCTTCCACAGGCTCGAGTTGCTGGCCGTAGGCCTCTTCCGCGTCGTTCTTCTTCTTGTGTTTCTTCCCTCTCTTCCTGTTTTCTCTGGGCATGGCGATCCGAGGTAGAAAAGGCGATCGGGCAAGAAGAGAGAAAGTGATCGGCAAATTTCCGCTTTCGGAAGACAGGGACTTTGTCTAGGAACGCTCATGCCGCCTCGCGCTTGCACACTCTGCAACGATGCTCGTGCAATTTTGAAACGACCGAAGACGGGACAACAGATATGCAGGGATTGTTTCTTCTATGTCTTCGAGACAGAAGTGCACAATACCATCACCAACGCCAAACTATTCAAACCCGGGGATCGAGTAGCCATCGGCGCGTCCGGAGGCAAAGGTACGAGACGGTACATCGTCTCTGAGCAGGCACTGACAGAGTATGTGGGTACTCCGTTAGACTCAACTGTTTTAGCTCATGTCATGAAGACTTTGAACGATCGCTACCAGTACGGCCTTGAACTTTTTCTACTCTCCATCGACGAAGGTATCACCGGATACCGAGATGACTCACTAGAAGTGGGTATGTCGCCAGAAGTCACGTACTTCTTGTCGCTCATTCTATTACCACAGACTGTCAAGCGAAATCAGCAGCAATATGATATGCCGCTGAAGATCCTCTCATATGATGAATTATATGGTTGGACCATGGACGCGATCGTTTCACAAGTGGGCAAGAAGAACAACTGTACGTTCTGCGGGGTATTCCGCCGACAGGCTCTCGACAGAGGAGCGGCTATTCTTCATGTCGACCATATTGTAACGGGCCACAATGCCGATGACATCGCAGAGACGGTTCTGATGAACAGTAAGCTCAGATTGTGCGGTACAGGAATTTTTGCCAACTGTCATCCGTCTGGTTATCTAGTCATGCGAGGAGATATTGCGCGCTTAGGGCGTTGTACGATGATCTGCACACAGGGCGAGGATACAATCAGGCGGTCGAAGCCCTTCAAGTACGCATACGAGAAGGAAATAGTGATGTGAGTATTCCACGTGCATATGACCGCTTTCACTAACATCTACACAGGTATGCCTATTTCAAAAAGCTAGACTACTTCTCCACCGAATGCATCTACTCGCCTGATGCGTACCGGGGGCATGCTCGGACGTTTCTCAAGGACGTCGAAGCTGCACGGCCAAGTGCAATCATTGATATTATCCATTCCGGCGAAGCCTTTGAGGTTAGTGAGGAGGTCAAAGCTACACAAAAGACACAGCGTAGGTCTCTTCCTGTTTCTCGCGCCCAACGACTCCGTTGTCAACAAGTTCTTCTCTAATGCACGTCCACGTTCTCTAGAAATATGCAAGCGTTGTGGATACATGTCTAGCAATGAATTGTGCAAAGCATGTACTCTTTTGGAAGGTTTGGAGCGCGGTATGGCGAACGCTGCTATCGTGCGTGTTTCCGCTCAAGAGTCATCTATGTGTCCTCATCCTCTTTCAGACTGACCGTGCGCGCAAGAAGCTGGATGCAGAAGGTCCGGCACCAGACAACCTCCGCACCATACCCTTTTTCCAGCTGCCATCTGATCTCCGCCCGACGCCGTCGAGTCCGCCGGAACTGCCTATGTAGGCTAGGGAAATATTTTCATATCTCATTCTTTGCATCTCTGTAGCCACTAGTTCAAGTGTATACCTCCTTAGTCAGAATATTGGGTTCTGAAGAACTCCTGACGCGGTGCCCATGGCACTATCGTTCACTGAATCACTGTACTCAGGAATGCCATCGACTGAGTAGTAATTGCCACAGCCAACGGCAACGCTCCAGTCCTTGAAAGCTTGACGGCTCGTACTGTGCCGTGAGTCTACCTTCCAAATTCGCAGATGTGCAGGTCCCTGCTGGATTTCCTACCATCATAGTATGTCTCAGTAGATACGGTTGCTGTCGGCGAGAATCAACGCGCTCTAGTCTCAGGGAGGTGACAGCAGATGACTTAGATCGCTGACAATCAGTCCCAAGTTGGGCCTGTGCTTGTGCAAGAAGAAAAAAGAGAAGAGAAATCTCTCACGTGAACAAGCTCCAATTAGCGAAACTTGTGCAAGTGCGTTTTCTTCCATTCACTGGCGATGCATGTGCATTAGGTCCCAGCCGGTCTCTTTTTCTCTCGCCTAGTGCACATTGCACCGAAGAATGCTTCGGCGCCGATACCACGATACTTTGTTTCAGGAATTCCATGTTCCTACATGCAGCCTTCCGATACGCTCGCCAAATTATCGATTTGGTGGGAAGACTCACCATTCCCTTCCCGTGTGGACTACTGTCAGCCTTCGAACTCGAGACGCACTGCGTTGTGTGGGGCTTTCTGTCGGCATAATGATCTGTGGTCCTCATCAAAAACGCCATGATTACATGTCAAAATTCGACTGTTGCCATCGTTTGTGTAAAATTCATACGGCAGTGGGTGGCCCCACCTACCCGCTGAGCGCTGATCATTAACGACTAGGTTCCTCAATCTGCCTTCGCACCTTGGCCTGCGTGCCACGAACTCGATGGCTTGCATTAGAGTGTATCTCTCCTCTTTTGCGCTGTCGATAGGTCATATTCCACACTATGACGGATGAATAGGGTGCCCGATCCAAAGCGCGAGCGTAGTCGAAAGAGAAAGCACATTGATGAAAGAATATGGAACAGCGAATCAACTTGACAGCAAAATAACTGTAGAACTGATTGGAAAAACTCGCCACGGTGCTACAATATGAGAACTCGGACACGGCTTTGGTGAGAATTGTCAAGATACAACACCATCATCCAGATGACCCCACTACCCATCTGCAAGCTGTCTTGAAAATGTAGGTAGTGGTGTTGATGAATGACACTGTGTCCAAAGCAGCTGTCCAATACCATGGCTCGCCTCGGAAAATCACTCTCCATCTTCTCTGTAAAAATCCTAATCTGCAACGAATTTCTTGCCACTGCGTGAGAGCATCAGCGGCATCTGGCCTAGCAGTAGGATCTGCCTGAGTCATTGACTCGATCAGAGGAACAAGAAAATCGACGTTGGAGAATCTCTTGATTACAAATAATCAGACGGGTAAATTCAGAACGCAAGGCTACTTACATCATGAAAGCAATGCTGTAGTGCGTTGCCAATAATGAAAACGTCGGTCTTAAATGGATCATATGGAACGGTGAGAGAGAGTTCGGGAACCTCCTGGTCGCGTCCTTCGTCTCCTAAAACCAGCTTGGGATAGACTTCAGGAGGTATGACGACGGATATTCCAAAATCGATGAAATAGTATTTGATGGGAACATCAGTACGGGAACGAGATGGGAGAGGCGTCAGGCCATCCGGGAGGAACAGATCGTTTACAGGATGGAAGCCTTCAGGATACATCGCACTGACATCCATCATGATATTCTTGTAGGTGCAATCACTACGTTAGTACAGTCAGATATTAATGTATCGGAGGATTTGAGGTCCATACCGGTGGGCCACTCCACGTTCATGAAGAAAAACGAGTCCCTGAGCTGCATCAGCCAGACCAACAGCCGTAGAGCGTATCGACGTCGTACCTCGAGTATCTGGTCCGTGAAATCTACAATATTCTCAATGCATTCAAAGGGGACACTGTCTATGAGAACAAAGAAGGGCATGACCATGTACGATATGTCTTCGTCCTCTGCGTCTGGAAACATTTCGAGGATGGGCACGCAGTGATTCTTAGGGTCTTGAACAAGAGGCTCAGCAGATAGCATCGTGGCAATCTGTGTCTCCTTGTCGCCGGTTCCGACTCTTTTGATGTAGACAAGCTTTCCGTCTGCAATTCGAGTTGCATCAATAACATCATCTCTAGGCTGTCAGCTATATTGAGTGCCGGGGCGGCAAGGAAGAGTACACGTAAACTGACCGGAAGTGCAATGGCATCCTCAAAGTAGAGAGGGTGCTTTCCAGTTCCACGCCATGAAGGAGTCCAGTCAGGATGGTATCGTCGTCGTAGCATGTATCCGTGAGCTTGCAAGTACTGTTGGCGATCTCGCCATGGTGCTTCCCATAGTAGTAGATCACCGAAAAAATCATCAGCTGTTCGCTCTGGAGGATTCATTGGCAGGAAGTGAAGACCCTCGACACGATGGTGGGATAAATCGAGGAAGAAGCGGTAGTCAACATGTGCGGTTCATACGGCCATCCACGTGATCGGCGGCTCGGGAATATCCATCCATCGTTCCACAGGGACCCACAGCGGCTGTCAGGTCTAAACAACGATGTCCCACACACCTGAACAATACCACGCCTTGTAAAGGATGGGGTCTCAGTAAATGACGTGTGCATCAGTTCGGCAGCACTGGTTCCTTCGTAACCAGGTTATCAGTCAACTTGGACTCGGAAGTCATTGTTCAGGTACGGCATTGACGACTGTCTGCCCCATGTGCAGCGACACCTCCGGTATGATTGTTGCCGTCTGCTTGTGTTGAATCTGGATTCACCTGTGACCTTGATCGATTGCGTAGATGCAGGCTGTGGGAACGTACCAAAAGAAATATTCTTAAGGCAGAGAGATCTCGCCCTCAATCCATCCAGCAAAGCCTGAAGCCTCTACCCTCACCTTGATCGTCAGCGGCCTCACACTCCTTTCAAGTAGCCACCAGTTCGCGGGCTACCTTTCTGCTAAGACGCACTTCAACTCTGTGAAGGATACAATCATGAAGTTCGATAGTTTGATGGACGATATCAAGCCAGAAGAACGCGACAAAATAGAATCTCAACATCCGAACTTTCTGCGATATATTTGTGATGACATGCAGAAGTATGTTACCAATTACTGCCGTCGATCGTGTGTTGAACCTATAGTCAGACTCAAACACTCCGTCATCTTCATTGAACAGCGTATGTGTTCGGCTAATCTGCTTGACATTTACGGTTTGCGCGGAGACCTGAAGGACTTAGTCGGCCAAGCATTGAAACTAGCAGGACAATTGTTGAATGAACTAGTAGTGAGTTTGATCTGCACCTTGGTGTTTCTTGCATCATTGTTTACCCTCGAAATAGCGAACCACCAACCATGTTCGACGATACGATGTTCCCAAAACCTTCAATACTCCTACCTCTGCCCAAGCTACAGTTTTATATTATACCGCCCGAGGCTCTGTTTTCACAGCACAACCTTCCACTGGCACTCGTGTGCAGCTGCAGGACGGTGCTGCAGGCACAGTAAATACAGCATTGACTCGCTCAGCTGGAAACCTCGGCGGTATGTTCACTCGTACTGTTTGGTTTGGATGGCCTGAATGTCTAATTTCTACATGCAGCAGCCTCGATGGCGTAGTGCCAGGAAGCGCAGAACTTGTTCAATATTCTATTATTACCATCCGACTTGGGCTAGCGGTGTTTGCAAAACAGCAGCATTGGGCCGATTCCTGTACTGACTAGGAATGCACCGGTCTTGCTATCGGATATCTTGGCCTGTCTTCCGCTTTTGTACTTAATCGTCCCAAAATGCCTTCTCCCCTGTGCATATCTCTCAGACACCGTAGCACCGTGAAGACTCTAGAATGTGCGGTGCGACGCACGGGAAGTAGTTCTCCGTTACTGAGAAGTTTTTGCAAACTGCATGCCAGTAACAAGTTCACTCAGGCTGATAGTTTGGCGTCCGACGCCAAACTATCATAATCACAGCGAGGTTAGCAAAGAGTAGGGCTGGATCCAATGGACTCCCAACAACATCAAGAGAGCGATAGTACAGTAACGGGTATTAATGAGTAAAGGGTATGGTCACCCCGAAAGATCGACCGTGCATTCTAAAGCCTTCAGACAGATGAAGATGAAGGCACGGACAAATGAGATAACGTCGAGGATAGCCGTGAAGAGCAATCCCTCGTTTCTGTGGCGAAGCCTCCATCCTCTGTGAATGTACCTGAGCCTGCACCGAATGTGTCTCCACTGTATGAGTGCACTAGCGGCGTCGGGCCTTTGCCCGGGATCTGCTCTAGTCATTGATTCAATCAAAGGGAGCAAAAAGTCGACGTTGGAATATTTCTATATTATTTTGTCAGCGAACACACCGACTGAAAGCGTATCACTTGCCTTATGAACATGCTTTCGAAAGACATTTCCAAGGATGAAAATGTCGACTGCGAAGGGATCATACGGTACAACGGAAGAAAGCTCGGGAACGTCTCGGTCACGCCCGTCTATTCCTAAGACGAGCTTGGGATGGACATTTAAGGGAAACATCGAAGAAATGCCAAAGTCGATGAAGTAGTATTTCAATGACACGTTGATGCGGGAAGGATCCCCGGCTGGTGTGGTACCATCTGGAAGACACTCATCTTGCACAGGATGGAAGCCTTGGGGGTAGAGTGCACTGCCATCCATCATCAAGTTGTTATGCGTGCAATCACTAGGTAATGATATATTTAGGGTGACAAGGAAAGACCAAGTAAATTTGGGATTTACCGATGCGCGACGCCCTGCTGGTGGAGGAAGAGTAATCCCTGTATTATCCCAGTCAACTCATATCGTCAAGGACGTGGACCAGGTGCCCTAACCTCTAAAATCTGGTCTGCAAAGTCGACAAGATTTTCGACAGTTTGAAACGGCGGATTGTCGATGAAACGAAGAAAGGGCATAACCATATAAGATATAGTCTCGTCATCTGTGTCTTGAATAACTTCGAGGATAGGTACACAGTGGTTTCGTGGGTCATTGCGGAGAGCGTCGGATGAGAGCATTGTGGCGATTTGCGACTCATTGTCGCCAGTGTTCACCCGTTTAATATGCACAAGTGCGCCATCGGATAGCCGCGTTGCATCAATCAAGTGTTGTACGACCTAATGCTGTTTGTCAATCTTCAACGCGAGAAAGTGAAACTACGTACTGGAAGAGATACAGAGTCCTCGAAGTCCATAGGGTCTCCCCCTGTTGCTCTCCATGAAGGGATCCAACCAGGGCGATATCTTGGTCGTAGCATGTATCCGTGAGCTTCCAAGAACTGTTGTCGGTCTCGCCATCGCGCTTCCCACAGACTAAGCACGCCAAATAGCTCGTCGTCAGTCTTCTCCGGGTAACTTATCACCGAACGTTTTTGTATGCCATCCTCTGGCGACATGACTGCAGTAGTGGAAGGTTAATACAGTGGACACAGTGAGCGACAGGACACAAGCAACGGGTTTGCGTGTGTCTGCTGCGATTGTCGATTGTCGATAAGGACGTGCGCTTGTGGGACAAAAGACATCCAAGATAGGCATCTCCATTGCCTCCAAGTCCGGACCCACTTAGATACACAAGCGACATCGCGATCATCGCCGAATCAGCTCACACCAGGAACGGAATGCTTCCATAACCGCAACATTAAAGGATATCTCGCACTATGATACCAAATGGCTCTCTGAACGAGGCGTCGCGAGGTATTCTTGTGTTTGGGCGCTACCCGGTAAGCGCGTCGGGAGGCTTTTGACGTCCCTATTTGTCAACTAGCACTTCAATAGCGTTCTCAATGTCGTTCAAATTGTCATTCGTGGAATCACAAGGGCGCGATGTCAGGATGGTCATTGTTCTTTTATCTTCCCAACGTGGTCTGCTTACAGCCTGAGTGCCAGATGACTCATAGACTCCATGACGCCAATGGAAGCACTCGCGGTCAAACAAGCATAATCGTATCTCTCGCATATAAAGGATGGTATGTTTCGCCTCTATGGTCAGCTTCAACCTCGTATCTTTTGTCCTGGCGGTAGAACCGTACTGGACAGGCATTTCATCCGTACTCGATCTCTTATCCCTCTAAGTTTCAATCCTTTACCCTCTGGAAGGAGTACGCTCAGAATTGTAAGTAAATGCGAGCTTTCGGCCTCGTTGTGTCGTCGACTTAGTATGCCTCCAGCCTCATGTCGACCACTCGATGGACAGACTTTGTCAACGGTGCTACCGTGATCACACTCGTTCTCAGTGCCATCTCGTTTCTCCAGGTTGCAGTCACTACTACAAACACCGTATCTGCCAGTAGTAGTCTCAAGGCCGCCAAAGAGAAGCTCGACGAGATCGATGAGATTATTAAGGCTCTCAACCCAGAAGACCACGACAAGATAGAGAAACTTCAGCCTCGACTCTTGGTCGAAACACGAGCGGAAGTCAATATGTAAGCTAAAGAGGAATTTAATATTGCTTGAAAAGGCCTCACTCCTTGCCTCAGGCTTCGCAAGAAGGTTGAGAAGCTCCAGGCGGACCTCTATTCGGCCAAATTCACCTAGATATATGTATGGAATGGGATCAAGACGCAATTGAATAATGCACGGAAGCGAGTGGAAAATCTCCTGAATCAGGTGTTGGTGAGAAACGCTTCATCTTCCACATGGTTTCTCCGGTAACCACGGATCCGTAGAGTACTAAGCATGCGGAGGATGGTAAGACTACACCGCAAGAGCCTGGTCAACCACAGCCAGGAACTCTTCTAGCCGATCAGAGGCCCACACTGCGTTCACGTTCGACAATCCCAGACCTACAAATTTCGGATCTTCCTGATGGTGCGTATTCTTCAGGATCCCTCATGAAACTCGTACTCATGTAGCAAATCTGCAGTGAGGATTAACATGACGTGGACGGAGACAATGTCCATACCGCATGCAGATTTCCCTACGACTATCTGTTAGCTTGTGGGAAGAGATTTAATGATGCTGAAATGGGGATATACGTAGCCCTATCTCGCCCATCGACGATACATTAGCAACGTGTACAGGTTGATAGTGCTTCGTCCGCTGACTCTAGTCTTGGCAATCCGTGAGGATCGACGAACATTATAGCCTAACGACATGTATAACAATTGTTATTATATTTATATAAAGATTTGGCAGAAGAGACTGCGGTATAGGATCTGATGTTGAATGTACTGTATACGTACATCACGATACTTCGAACTACGATCAGGGGTGTGACGCATGACTGAACCTAAGGTCGTTTCGCTACAGTACATCAGTGCACGTACTAGTGAGAGAAAAATACAACGACATTACAGCTGTAGTAGTTTGGCAAACATGACTACGAGGAATAAGTAAACGACGATGGAGAGTCGTCCCGAAAGATCCACCGTCCAACCAAATGTTTTCTTGCAGAGATAGACAGTAGCATGTATGAGAAACCTTATATCACGCACAGCGTGCGCAATCCACATCTCATCTAGAGGCTTCAGTCGCCATCTCCGTTGTATTGTCCAGATACTACGGCGCAAGTCGACCCACAACGCAAGTGCCTCTTCGGCATCGGGCCTGGCATCTGGTTCCAGTCGAGTCATCGATTCGATAAGCGGAAGTAGGAAACCAAGATTCACATAGTTCTAAATGAAGGAGTAGGTAAGACGTATGGCAAAGTAAAAGGACACGGCGCCATATACCGTGTAAAATTGATGGAGAAGGAGATTCCCGACAATGAATATATCGACCTTGAACGGGTCATAAGGCACAACATTGGATAGCTCAGGCACATCCTGGTCACGCCCTTTTTCTCCTAGCACAAGCCTGGAGGTAGCGTCGGGTGGAAAGTCTACAGAGATCCCAAAATCGATGAAATAATATTTGATGGGTTTGTCCGTACGAGGAAGCGGCCAAGCCATCATGTTACCATCTGGCAAACAGAATGTTCTGACAGGATGGAAACCCTGGGGATATAACGAATTAGCATCCATCATGATGTTCATGAAGGTGCAATCGCTTTGAGCTGAACAGTCAGCATAGGAATTCCACACAGTCCAGACAAGCGGCATACGGACCGATGAGCAACTCCTTGCTGATGCAAGAAGACCAGTCCCTGACATCGAAGTGAATAACTGGATGCAAGAATGAGAGGGTTAAAGGATATCACCTCCAGTACCTGATCTATGAAATCAACCACATTCTCTATGGTTTCGAATGGTGGCCTATTGATGAGGCGAAGGAATGGCATGACCATGTAGAATATACTCTCGTCGTCTGCATCCCGGAATATATGAAGGATCGGGACACAATGATTCCGTGGGTCATCACGAAGCGGCGCGGATGAAAGTCTCGTAGCGATCTGCGACTCGTTGTCGCCGGTTCTAACCCTCTTAATGTATACCAGCATACTGTCAGAGACTCGGACTGCATCTATGAGATGTTCCTGGGGCTAATCCGGTTGTTAATCAAGGCCTACTGAAGGAGAAAAAACAGCACTGGAAGAGGCGCTCCATCTTCACAGTCTAGGGGCTCGCCTCCTGTCGCTCTCCATGAAGGGGTCCAGCCAGGGCGATACCTTGGACGCAGCATGTATCCACACGCCTCGAGAAACTGCTGTCGGTCTCTCCATGGAACTTCGTGGGGACGCAATACGCCGTAGAGCTCATCATCTGTCTGCTCAGGCAGACGCGCTGCCATTCTCTGCCAGAGCATTTCTCGAGGCATGATGTTCAAGCAGTTATTCCGAGAAGTTGGGTGGAAAGCTTGACAATAAGAAAACAGACGATCGATCCGCTGAGTTGACGGAGACAGCCGAGGACCCACAACTCTTGGCTAGCGCCCACACCCACGTACGACAATGCTCGTAGCGATTCCTTACGAAATTGTGTCGCTTCGGGTGCTCCTAGGAACAATAAAGCTGTGAAGAACGACTAACACTTTGTAAGCGGCTGCCGTACATCTCGCTATCGCTTTTCTCCCAGGAGCGTTGATGGTCACCATGCAGGATGGAGATTATGTTGTACTCTGTGTGAGAGAAGAAGACCTTTGATTCTTCGGATAATCGCTGTGATCATGTCGCACAACCTGGTGGCAAGCGAAAGACACACCATGGCTTCTGGTGAGCCTTTCGGTGTCTCTTGATTTCTCCGACGGTGTCGATATCTCTGACATAAAATTTATTCGAGCCTCTCCGTACCCAGGAACTGAGCAGCCTGCTGGCATAAAAGGCGCTATTTCATCGTGCAGCGATACCTCAGTCTCTCCCAATTAAGCATCAACTCCCGGTGCCGCTGAGATCATCGTCGGCAAGAATTTTGGATTAACAACAGGCCGAGACCCGTTTTTCACTATCTTTTTAATTTCAAGAGAGCTCGTGGTACGTTTCCAATTCACGTTCGTTTATATTCTGTTTGATTTTTTATTCCAACAGGGTCATGTCAGACTTGGCCTGGGTGCGGACCGCAGATGCTGCCTCTATTATCCACAATCGCAGTCAGTTATTTGTCCATTATTCAGACCAAAGAGCTTGCGACAGATTGGTTGCAGAAACGTTCGGCACTGGCTGATCTTCACAAGACCGAGGAGATGTTCGTCAGAATTGATCGCCTCTTACAGCTGAATTCAGAACGTTAGACGTTTTGCGACGAAACTCATCTCCCGATTTTTGTTTGTGGCGCAGCGCTTTAGTGTATCCCGCCCCCTCCCTCACTCATAGGGATCATTTTATAGTCTGCTACGGGAGACTAGCTAAAGAGGAGTCTTGAGCAGTTGGTAGAAGTGGCTACGGACACTCACTGTCGATTGCTAGTACGTAGAGCGTCTACTTCATTGGTTGTCAACTAAAAAAAAGTTTTAATCAAGACGACCACAAATGAAATACGAGAAGAGATTAGGTTACAATGTGAGTCAGCGTCACCTTCATTGCGCCATTGTCTACAGTATAAATTCCCTACAACAGCCTCAAAAGCCAGTAAGATTCAAGCCGCCCAAGCCCGTACAGTTCAAACACAATGTAGTGCTGCATGTACCGTTCGAGCGACATCCTCAATCCCGGTTGAACAATCCACAGTGTCACAGACTCCATCACTGGCTATTCCCATGCCAGTGCATCTACGAGATGGTGTGTCCGTGTCGTATTCTGGTTCACTATGTTTGCTGATAAAGCTGTGCAGTCTCGTATCTGGTTTTGCATTCTGAGTTTGCTCCCCACTGAGCATTGACTCTTGACATCACCAGAGGTGAAGTCCCGTTCGTCTGGTGGTGATCTTCGTCTGGTGGTGATCTTCGTCTGGTGGTGATCTTCGTCTGGTGGTGATCTTCGTCTGGTGGTGATCTTCGTCTGGTGGTGATCTTCGTCTGGTGGTGATCTTCGTCTGGTGGTGATCTTCGTCTGGTGGTGATCTTCGTCTGGTGGTGATCTTCGTCTGGTGGTGATCTTCGTCTGGTGGTGATCTTCGTCTGGTGGTGATCTTCGTCTGGTGGTGATCTTCGTCTGGTGGTGATCTTCGTCTGGTGGTGATCTTCGTCTGGTGGTGATCTTCGTCTGGTGGTGATCTTCGTCTGGTGGTGATCTTCGTCTGGTGGTGATCTTCGTCTGGTGGTGATCTTCGTCTGGTGGTGATCTTCGTCTGGTGGTGATCTTCGTCTGGTGGTGATCTTCGTCTGGTGGTGATCTTCGTCTGGTGGTGATCTTCGTCTGGTGGTGATCTTCGTCTGGTGGTGATCTTCGTCTGGTGGTGATCTTCGTCTGGTGGTGATCTTCGTCTGGTGGTGATCTTCGTCTGGTGGTGATCTTCGTCTGGTGGTGATCTTCGTCTGGTGGTGATCTTCGTCTGGTGGTGATCTTCGTCTGGTGGTGATCTTCGTCTGGTGGTGATCTTCGTCTGGTGGTGATCTTCGTCTGGTGGTGATCTTCGTCTGGTGGTGATCTTCGTCTGGTGGTGATCTCTTCAGTTTGTCTGCCCTAGTGTGTTGTCAAGTAGTAATCGGACGGTTTTTGGCTGAGATTATTATTTATGGAGGAAATGGTGCGTTTTGCCTGAGGCCGTCCGTATACGAGAAATTGGGAGGCTACTGTTCATTCTGGTAATTCAAGGGATGGTTGAGGTAAATGAGGACACTTAGCTTGCTGCAATATCGAGAACGAACGACGGGAAAAATAATCGAAGATAACAGCAAATACTGGATTGAATGGCAAACAGGCTGGTCGCTAGTCTCTTCTGGCTAAATATCTCCACGTAACGTGAGGCACAGGCTACCCGCAGGTTTTTCAAACGAATACTTATGTGCGTCCACGATTACCTATCGGGATCAGCGACTGGCCCGTGAGGCGCGTGAGGGCTGAGATGCGTAGTTTCGCACTAAGCAAGGAAGAAACTAATGGCAAACAATAGATGCACAACGAAGTGGAGTCTTACATATAACCATGATGGGCATCTTTTGCCACCGTTCTATAAAGGCATCAGTAAAAATCGAGCAGACAAATATATCGGAAAGAAACAGAAATATGCCAAGCACGCTGGAAAGGAGTACTGCTGGCCTATCACTCGGACTTTCTCCGTTTCTTCTTCGTTGGCTCCCCGTTCACTTGCTCCGCCGCCGCTGCAGCTGCCGCCTTCTCTGCCTTCCGTGCTTTCTTCCTCGCCTTCCGTTCTGTATCTGTCTCATCCGTCTCCTACAGACACAACTGAGATGAACTCCCGACACGCGATTAGTAGTGACAGCACCCACTTTATCCTCCCCGTTTTTTCCATCCACCGCGCTCTCTCTCCGCTTCCGCTTCTTCTCTTTCTTCCCCTCTCTGCTCTCTTCTACCTCGCCATCAACGTCCGTCGGTGCCGCATGCCCACTCTCCAGTGCCTCACCAGCCTCCTGCTCTTGTCGCTCCTTCGCCTCTTTTGCCGCCTTCTTCTTCGCTCGCCGCTCCTCCTTCGCCCTCTTCTTTTCCGCATCAACATCCAGCACCGCCTGCGCCGCCGCTAGCACAGGCTCACGCTGCGTGGGCACCATATCCACCGCGTCCGCAGCAGTGTTGTATGTTTTCGTCTCGCCAGTCATCTGGAATCGAGATTGAGTTCGGCCATTAGAGACTGAACGAATGCCGGCTGAGTCGCCCTGCAGCTCCAGATTGCGCAGACGAGCCTCCAGCTTGGCACGGTTCTCGATACCTATTGAGGGTGCCATTGGTTCCGACTTGCCGTCTGCGTCAGTCAGCGCGTCCACGCGTATTGAAAGGGCGGCCTTCGTAGCGACCATGCGAGCCATCTTCAACCCAAATCGTTAGCACGCGACTTGAGGGGAATTAGACAAGGCAACTACCTTTCCCTTGAGTTTTGGTGGGGCTTGCCCGATGAGGGAAGCCTGCAAAATAGGATAAGTAGATGCGAACGCCTAAACGGATACACTTACATGGTAAATCAGCCCGTACTTGGGTGTGTCATGTTTTGTCTTCAGCGCACGGAACAGCGCCTTCTCCGCTCCAAGAATCTGGACCGTGCTTGCTGGTTGTTTTGCCAGGTTAAGTAGACTGCCGGCATGGCTGATTAATCGAGCACCAACGAGTTCGCCAACCAAGGCGGTCAAATTGGGCGCAATGGCATTCATACGGTTGCGCAAGTACTCTGCCAGCTGTGTGCGGTACGCGGTAATGGAGATGACCTGGTCACACAGTGAATGAATATGTGCAATGTCGGAGTCAGATATCTCCGTGCCCATTGAAATCTCAGCCGCGGCCTTCACGGTAGCCTCGAGATCCTCTGGGAGAATGGCAGCGAAGTCGGTGCTCGCAGCATTCGTCCGGAAGCCTGGTGTGAGTAACGTAAGATACGGTACGTAGATAAGGAAGTTGCGGACGAACCCATGAGCTTTACGACCTTGGCATAAGCTAAGTTGTCTACGATGATTTTTGCCATCTCAGGGAAATGCCAACCGTACCACTCCTTTCATACACATTAATGCAATATACACAGAACCACAGTGGTTACTAACCTTCACTCTCATTGCGTATATGTTGATTTCCTTGTCCAAATCATCCAATAACGCGATGGCTTGTACGACCATAGTGTCAACCTTGTCCGGCGAGAACTTTAACTTGAATCTGCACGTGTTATGAGAACGAAAATTGTCTCCTCAATGACCAGCTGGAGCATACCGCGACAATGAATGACTCAAGCCCAAACTCATCGTTGCCAAATCCTTCGGGTCCAAGCCGTCCATGAGCGCAGTTAATTGGCTACGAATACCCCGAAAGAGGTCCATTCTCTGCTCGTCGGCAATGACTTTAATGCCAAGCTTCTTGCCAATCGAGTGTGCTTTGTGGGCATTAGACTTGAGGATTCACGCATTTCCGACACCGTGCGTGAGACTCACCAAGTGACTTGTCGACCACTGCTAGAGACTGTTTTCCTTTACCCTTTCCAACAATCTCATCGGAGAGAAACTGTTTCAACCCCTTCCCAAGCTTGCCATTTTGAAGCGCACTGATTTCCTCTACCGCAATGGCAGTGGAGGTGAACCGATGCAGGGCTTTCAACTTCAAGCTTTAGACGCAGGAACGCGTACACCGTTTTGAGTGCTTTGTATATCCGACTGCTTGCAAGGAAGACTCACAGTCTATTCGCCTTTTCTGGTGTCTCAAATTCCTCCCATAGGTCCGCACTCTCAATTTTCGCGGTGTCTGTTACTTTGAACAGACAGTAACCCAACGAAGTCTCGTATAGAACCAACATGTCGTCTGGGTGTGATGTGGTATGCACAGACTTGTGCAGACGAGCTGGTTGAATGGAAACAAACGATGAGGAGATGCAGTGAGCCCGAAACTTTTTCGACAGAATTATGGTTGCCGAAAATGGTAAGTAGGCCTAAGAGACGCGAGCACGTGATGAAATTGTCCGCTTGCCACCACAGCGCCGCTACGGCCTACGGCTACAACGCTATACGATACCGAACACAGCTCGGTTAACTCCTTCACACCTACTACCATGTCGGACGCATCGTTCCAGTTCCTGTAGTCTATTTAAGCCGTCCTACCTCTTCACAAGCGACTACGTCGATCGACTTAGTGGACAGGACCAGCGCAGCGATGATGAAACAGCCGATTGTTCGAGGAGCCTTAGGACCAGCGAGAAGAGCGATGATGAAACAACTGAACGTTCGAGTAGCCCTTCCTATGATTCAGTGGACCCCGACTTGGAGCCCACGGTAAGTATTCGTTGAATGTCTCCCCGTATATTTTCCGATCCATTCCGTAGTCTGTTGTGTTAGGTGCATCTGTCGGGTTCGACCTCCCTGATACGTATGACGAAGCTCAGGATCTCCTAAACCTCATGCGATCACATCGAGCTGTGGCAGCCTGCCAGCGTGAGTTTGCCGTTCGAAAGCTCCATGAGGCCATCCAGATCACGAAGGTTTATCGTACGCGGCTAGAGAAAGCCAAGAAGCAGATTGCCCGCGTCGATATGCAGCTCGGCGAACTACGATGCGCCGTCAGAAAGAAGGGCATCACTGCGCACCATCGTAAGTCATATGCGGATGCCCTCTATTCTACCAATTACAGAATTGCAATTCCTCAAGAACGGTCTGCGCGAGACTGATTCAGTGACCGATAGGGAGATGGAGGTCCTGGATGTATATATGAGCCCCTTATGTCTGTTACATATATACTTCGCGAATGAGTATTACTTTGACTCAGATCACTCCGCTCGTGGTTTCGTTCTGCATATTCCGCATTAGAATTCTACCAGTGCCCATGTCTGTCTGTATATCTTATGCCTTAGCTTCACCTCGCTTGCAAGGTCTCCGAGTCCCCGTCCTTTGCACTTTTCGCTGTCCCGTTCTGGTACGACTCAATTTCCCGAGTCTTTTCGTCCTTCCCACTACGAGCCCATGTTTGTGAGTCATACCGATGCTCGTGTCGCCGTCTAGTCATGGTGCATCCGTTGGGCTGACGCGGCCCTCGCCATTTCTTCCTGTTAGCTCTACATTTGTTAATCGGCCGTAACCATACCACGCTATGCAAGTTTTCACTATTTATTTATTTGGCCTTTTCTTTACTTTCGCTGAACTCTTCGCTATCAATATATTCGCTAGACTGGCATTCTGGGGTACCGTCTTGAGCAGTGCATTGGCGGTGCAACACAGACTCGATGCCGACTTCGCACAGTTATATTCGAGTGCGACCCATACGCCGTGGATTGCGGCGAATATGACCCTGGATCTGTCTTCCATCGCCTCAGAGGACCAGTATACTGCTCTAACTCACCCTCGGTTTCCTGCTCATCAAGTCAGGGTGAAGAAAACTAACTTCTGTGACCCTACCGTCAAGTGCGTACTAGACTACAGGTCTGACTGTCTTTGCTAATGACGCCATGAACGGAAGTGTGTACACCGGTTATCTCGACGTCGATGCAGGTGCAAAACATCTGTTCTTCTACTTCTTTGAGAGTCGAAGAGACCCTGCGAACGGTATGCAGCTTTAGATAGACTTTAGATCCATTGTTAATGTAAGATACCAGACGATGTGATGATGTGGATCAATGGAGGCGAGACTTATTATTTTTGCATGTATGATGCGCTGAATGCATTGCCACAGGCCCCGGTTGCTCATCGTCTACGGGTTTGCTGATGGAATTAGGTCAGAACGCAGCTCGTGACTGTCGTTTCAATCCTGACGTTCGTCTCAGGGCCTTGCTCCATTGATATGCAACAAGTGTCTAGCAATGGAACCGTGTGGAATCCTTATTCGTGGAACGCGGAAGCGAACATCTTCTTCCTGGATCAACCGTTCGTTATTGCTATGAAACGCGGCATAGGGACAATCTAATCGCTTTTGTTACAGAGTTGGTGTTGGCTTCTCTTACGCTGACTTCAGCGAAACGGTAGAGACTACCGAGGATGCAGCAAAGAACGTGCATGCCTTCGTCTCCATCTTTTTTGAGACGTTCCCGCAATTTACAGGAAGAGCTTTGCATCTGTCTGGTGAATCATATGGTGTCAGTGGCAGCAGAAGCGTGTTGCAGTCGTCTGAGATTCCCTGACTCTCGTATTTATTGCAGGGTCGATACTTGCCTGCATTCGCCAGCTACATATACGATCAGAATCAAGCTGCAAAAGTTGAAGGTCGAGAGCCTCTCAATCTCAAGAGTGTTGTAATCGGAAACGGAATCACTGATATCTCTACGTGCGTCTTCTTTTGGCTGGTCTTAAAGGAAGTATGGTGCTCGTTTTTAATCCGTGTCTCCTCAGACTATATGAAGGTCGCTACGAGATCGAATGCGGTACTGCAGCCCTAGATGTGCCTTTCCAACAGATTAGCACCTGCGTTCGCATGAAAATTGCTGTAGGTTTTTACAACTTTCTGGGGGTAACACTTATCATTTATCCATAGCTCCCTCGATGCAATGCAGCCATGCAGAAGAGTTGCATAGACCATTTTGTTTCCATGGATTGCAGGGCTGCGGTCAATTTCTGCGACAATGAATTGAGTACGGGATTCTGGAACAGCGGTGGGACAGTCATCTGTCTCCCCTTGAAGACGTGGAGCTGATGATTTATTAGGCCGCAATGTATACGATGTTTCCAAGGTAAGTACAGGCTTCACACGGTGATTGACGACAGCACTCTAACCCATTGTAAGATGTGCGAGGGGAACACGTTGTGCTATAATGACCTCACGGAAATTACAAGGTTCCTTGATGACCCGGCCACCCGAGCATTGTTGGGCGTCGAGACGTCCAAAGCATTTTCGGCATGCAGTTCGGAAGTTGGTACTAACTTCAATGCGCACATGGACAAATGGGCCGTACCTTCTCAATACTACGTCGCAAGCCTCTTGGAGCGGGGTGTTCGCATACTGATCTATGCTGGGACGTACGACTGGCTGGGTAGCAAACAGGTTGTGGGTGGACAAGTTGGACTGGCATGGACGAGCAGCGTACAATGCGGAGGAATGGCGCAGTTGGGTCGTCAATGATAACAAGGCTGGCGAGACCAAGACGGCAGGCCTGCTCACCTTTGCTACAGTTCGTGGAGCAGGACATATGATAAGTACCCCCGATGATACTGATTTTTGAAGGCGCTAACCTGTCCGTCTGTGCTTACGTCCCTCATGACAAGCCAGCGGAAGCTCAGGCCTTGGTTTCAAGATGGTTGGCCGCGAAAGAGATTTAGTGATTGCGAAGTGAATGACCCGCGTAACTCTCTAGTTTTCTATCATCATTACTGTGTATCGCAACTACATCGATCTCTGGTAAAATGTCACCCTGTCGGGGAAATGTTGTTTGTAGCAAATTCAAACGCAAACCAGCATCCGTTCGTTGGAATGTCATCTGGCTGCTCCTGCCATGATGCGACAGTCACTAGGTGAAAATATCCTATGAAGTTGCCGGCACATTAACCATCGTTGTTCTCTCATTCGCAACCGCATGCGCACTAAGTTAGTTTCGCGCTGGATTAGTCTCCCAAAGCCAGACTACAAAATCAGTCCTATGAGAGGTTGGAAGGACGGACTGATATAGCGCTGGATGGCTTCCAGCAGATGTGATTCGCTCAACGACACCTGCTTCCTAGTTGGCTGGTACTTAGTACTTAGGTGGGATGAAATGATCACCATGGCAATCTTTGAGTACATCGATGCCGACGCTCCCATACCACATGCCGCAGCCCTCAAAAGCGTCGCGACTGGAGCGTGTTTACTCTTCCCTCATCCTTTCCTCTTCTTTCTCAGTGCTCTAGGTAAGCATTTAACATGTTTGCGTGTTGTACTCACTGATCTGCCCTTCTGTATGCTCGCCAGTCACTCCCTGGGCTGCCCGGTAGCGCCCCTTGTCAACTCGTTTCGTGTGATTGGATATCCAGCAGGCCTTCTGGCTTTTGGTACCAATTCGTTAGGGTCAACATGCGTGCCTTTGTATCCATTCTGGCCATTGCTACTCCTCTCTTGGTTTTTGGAGCCCCAGTCAAGCGGCAGGCGGGCAACTCCACAGACGTCTTGGTCCTCCGTGAGTGTTACACCACTTATCCTTTGGGTTTGGTCGATCTCAACGTTTCAATGCTTACAGAGTTTGCTGATGTCTTGGAGAACTTTGAGAACCAGTTTTATACACAAGCTCTCGGACAATTCCAGCAAGCAGACTTCGTTGCTGCTGGATTCTCCAACGTCCAGATTCCCATTCAGCAGTTTGAAGCTATTCAATCGGATGAAGCCGCACACGTTACCGCTCTTGAGGTGAACGCAACTGTTGTCTCTGATCATATCTCACACTCACACTCGATGTCAATTAGTCTGCTCTGCAAGCTCTCGGAGCCTCGCCGATCTCTGGATGTCAATTCAATTTCTCGAGCGCGTTGACTAATGTTTCTACCATGGCTGCTACAGCACGCGTCGTGGAGAACCTGGGTGTTGCAGCTTATCTCGGGGCGGCAAACATGATATCGGACCCTACCCTCCTCACTGCGGCAGCATCCATCATGACGGTCGAGGCTCGCCACCAGACTATTCTGAATCTCATGAACGGTGCCACCGCGCTGCCTCAGGCGTTCGATATCGCGTTCACGCCGAGCGAAGTGCTCGCTATCGCCAGCCAATTCATATCTGGCTGTGAGATTGGTATTCCAGGTGCGACCTGATGACCGCTCGCACTTGCGGACCATGCTGAAGGAATGGCTTTAGCGAATCCGACCTTGGTGGTAACAAATACCAGCCCCCCTTTGCCGGGAACCACTCTGTCATTCTCATCTTCCGCACTCAATGGTAGCACAGACGTAAGTCTGCAGTGCCTTCAAACCTCGGTGCTCATTCACGTTCATCATACAGGGCCTTTTCTGCCAAATGCTCGTCGGAGGTCTTCCTGTCTCCGTCTCGCAGAACTTCAGCTCATGTGTCGTACCCGACACCGTCAACGGTCCCGCCGCGGTCTTCATCACGTCCGACGACCAGCCGATAGACAGCAATGTGCGCGACCAGAACACGAACACGGTCGTCGCCGGGCCCGCGATGATCTTCATCAACGCCAACGTCGACGCGCTGGGCGAGCTCGTACTCTCCGGCGCTGCGGCGGCGAACGCCACCACGAAGAACGCCACCACGAACGCGACCTTGAGCGCAGGCTCATCCACTCGGACGATCTCCCCCTCGCAGGCAAGCGCGATCGTCTCCAGCGCGTTAGCTCAGGGAGCATCTGTCTCTGCTGTAGCGGGCGCTGTACCCAGCAGCATGAACAGCGCGCCTGTAGTTGCCATGCCCGGTGTGAGTGGTGCCAGTTCGAACGCGACCTCAAGCGCGGACTCGTCCACCAGGACGATATCCCCCTCGCAAGCGAGCGCGATCGTCTCCAGCGCGTTAGCTCAGGGCGCATCTGTCTCTGCTGTAGTGGGCGCTGTACCCAGCAGCGTGAGCAGCGCACCTGCAGTTGTCATGCCCGATGTGAACGCGACCTCAAGCGAGGACTCGTCCACCCGGACGATATCCCCCTCGCAGGCGAGCGCGATCGTCTCCAGCGCATTAGCTCACGGCGCGCCTGTCTCTGCTACAGCGGGCGCTGTGCCCAGCAGCTTGAACAGCGCGCCTGCGGCTGCCACGCCCGGTGTAAGTAGTGCCTCTGCTGCCGCCACACCGGGTGTGAACAGCAACTCAGCGGGCGCGACGTCAGACGTGAGCAGCGGCCCAGCGAGTGCTTTGTCTGTCCCGAGCGCGAGCGCGTCCAGCAGTGCTGCGCCTGCCGTCGCGACAGATAGCACCGCCATCTCCGGTGGAACCGATGTTGTAGCCTTCCTTGGCGGCCCGAATCTTTACACGGGCCCAGCAGCAGATGGCAGCGTCACCGTCAACGGGTGGTCCTAACCACGGACCTTGCTCACCGTACTCGATGGCTCAGGGAGTCACGGGGTGTACGAGATGTCTAGATGACTCGAAGAGGACCTGAGCACGATTCTCCATGTCGCTTTGCGCGTATCCGTTCATTTTCTGCTTGGCCAGATGTTTTTGCTGTCGTGAATTTTGATGTCCGGTCGCATTACTATTGGGGTTGACCGCAACACTTCCATTGTTGTTCAGCTCCTCACCATTCACAATTGGCAGTCTGCCAAGGCCCAAAAGGCACCCAAGCTAGGGGAGGAGACATCTAGAAAATGACTGCTAGTAACACAAGAGTCAATCCATATACATGTCAACCATACATGAGTACTCCTGTATGGTTGGAATGTATATGGATTGACTATTTATACCAATGAAACAAGCTATCGTTCCAATACAGTTCTGAGTTCAGCTGCATTCAGAGTCTTGATCTACAAGTAACACAAGTCAAGCTGTACACATGTCGACCATACACAAGTACACAAACGTAATAAGTTATCCTTCCAATACAGTTCCAAGTCCAGCCGTGTCCGCCAAAAGCATCAACGCATCACCGATCCATCCGAATTTCCATTCTATCCACACAGCTCAGTCGTCGTCGCTATCAGAGCTGCTCGAGGTATCGTCGTCCGAAAACTGCATGACGCGGTCCGCGACGGGCGAGACAGCGCCGGCGAGGAAGTCCTCCTCCTCATCCATGTCTGCGTCCGCATCCGCATCCGCGTCCTCGTCTTCGTCCGCGCGCCCGAGGTGCTGATCGAGCTCCTCCTGGAACGCATTCATGTCGATCTCTTCCTCGTCCTCCTCCGGGGGCGGGGCATCATGCCACTGCGTCGGCGTGGGCACAATCTCTTCCATCTCAATCACGCGGGCGGGGGGCAATGCCAGCGACGCAGGAGCGGGATTCACCTCATCCCACTCCTCTTCGTCCGAGTCAAACTGACGCTCCTGTTCGGGCGCCGGCCGTGGCTCCGTGCGAGCAGGAGCGAGGGATACTGCCATATTAGATGGCCCAGGGAACGCTAGTGATATGGGCGGCTTAGCTAGAGGTGCAGCGGGCAGTGCCAGCGCGGTGGAGGTGGCTGCAGGTGGCGGTAGCGCCAAACCGTAGTTGGGTTTAGCAGCGGAATTGGGAGGCGACAGTTTCGCGCGCTTTGCGCTTACGGGTAGCGCGGGCTTCCCAAACTCAAGCGTCTCTTCTTCGACCTCTAAGGCGCGCTTCTTACCCGGTGAAGGCGTGGTACTCGGCGCAGACGTGGTGGAGCTGGGGAGTGCCGACGGTTTCGCCGTCACTAGGGTCGGCTTTGGAGCTTGCGGTGGCCGCGGTTTCGCGACGGGAGGCGGTGGAGGAAGAGCAAGCTTAGCGGCAGGTGTCGGTGGTGGCCGTGCCGGTGCTGGAGGTGGCGCAGGTAATTGAACCTGGGGCCTTGTGGGTAAAGGCGCCGAAGGCCGCGGGCGGGACGGGGCGGGAGGTTTCTTTTCGACGATCTCGCCCTCGCTCTCTTCCTCCTCTTCCTTCTTCGGAGGTTCCTTCTTTTTAAATGACGGCGTCTTCTTGCCGTTAGTTTTGTAAAAGTTACTTGGGCCTGCATCGGCGACCGGCGCCTGAGGCACGAAGTACTTTTTATCTGCGGCTGACGGCGGATCTATTGCAGTTGCATTATGTGCCGCCCGGCCGCTGGCGGACTCGCCTTTTGTGTCCTGGTAACCCTGCAGCTTACGATCAATGATGGTGGCGACGGTGGAGGGGCTGGGATGTTGGGACAGTGGCTGAGGCTGTGCAGACGAGCGCGACGTCGACCCAGAGGTGCCAGGGTACATCGCTGGGTGGCAGGTCAGAAGATAACAGGCTGCAGAGAAACGATGGTGACGTACGCGACCCGGGATGACGCGGCGCGTGGTCCATCTTCCTGTCGTGTGCGAGATTCACGAAGGAGTCCATCTTCTCGAGCGTGAACGTCTGCAAGGCCGCGTCAGTGCGGCCGGGGCGGAGCGAGGAAGAGAAAGACGCGCCCCGAACTCTTCGTCGTATATCAGCACGCATTCAAATTCCTTGGCGGATACCTCGGTGCCTCTGAACTGATGTCCGCCCTCGCCTGTCTGTGCGTAATCGCCACGGGTCAGATTGGGGCCACTGCGCTGTGCGGGCCACATACGAACCTGCGTGCTCGCTCGCTCGACAACAACCATGTTGCCCTGCTTCTCGATCGTGCCAGGCTTGACGGAGTCGACGGACTCCGGAACAAAATTATCTGCCAGGCATTCGCAACAGACGCCACGGTCAATACCTGTCTAAGCCCGGCAACGAGGAGGACTCACATCGGAGGGAAAAAAAGTCTCGGCTGGCAAGTTGCTTGCCTGGTGGTGCGCCGGTACGAGCTTTGAGGGCGCGCCCGAGCGAGGAGCCGATTGTGAGGGGGTGTCTGCCCGTGGCAGGCATCCAGGAGATGTCGGACGAATCGGTGGCCATGGTCGGGGTCGTGGCGGGAGTTGAGTAAACCAACCACTCCTTAGCGCCCATTATATTGTAGCCACTGTACTGCCTCTTCCGGCTAAACCGTTATCTTATCTCTTCGGCCGACCTTGGTTCACAAAGGCGCCGCAACATGAATACTTGCTCAACTCTCTTGCTCTCTGACAGACAGATCGTGTCTGCAACGATGGTCCGAACATTCGAACACACATCTTCCTCGTCATCTAAAACATGAAAGTTCCTACACAACTTGTACGCCGACGCTGACCGTGGCGTGAATCGATTACACCACTAGAGTGTTATCGACAGCGTGAGGTAACCGTTCTGCAACTAAGCCTGGAGTGTTTCCGAGACAGTCGCAAGAGCGATATCGCTTCCCGGGAATACGCGTCTCGTGCAGGATTGTCATCCACCTGCAGCTGCGTGTCAGTGACGCTTTTTCGCCGGAGAGGTCCGACGCACCTCCGTCCAGGTGAATTCCTTCTTCAACAACGTGAAGAAACGCTTATCAGCCTACACAGAGAGAGATGTCCATACGCATGAGCTAGAGCATGAGCCAGCGACCGCAAATCGTTGATGCGCACCTTCCGTCTCTTCTTATAGCAGAATAGCACCTCCGTGGTATCGTCGATCACCAAGTCTGCTAGCGTCTTGACCAACAACGGGAACGCAGGCTCAAAGTACACACAGTCGGCAGCCAAGAGAACATCAGGACGGGGGATATCCTGCGGGATGGGCTCGCCCCTACCCCACCGAGCATGAGAACGCAGGCGACACAGAAAGACGGCACCAGGCGGACCAATTGAGCTCCGCGACCGTGACAAAGGCAGTGAGGTCGTTCATTGAGACGTTGCGCGCCATTATCTCTATTAGAGGACTGCGGCACGATGAGCGGATGTGTGGGCGGGTGAGTGCGACTAGAGCCGTGAGGGGACGAACGCTTGGTCTGTTATACACGCTCGGGCGCCGAGTTTGCCTGCTACGAGCCCTACGAGACCCGTCCCACTGCCTAGCTCGAGGACGTTCTTGCCTTTCCATGATCCCCGACGAGCGATGTACGCTGCAAGCACCTGGCACACCGTGCACACGCAATTGTTTAGGACGATAATTCGATGGATCACGCAAGGCAGACGCACTTCTCCAGCCGGCCAAGCGATACCCCCACATCCCGGCGATGCGTCAACCACGAGTTTTATCACGACAGGGTTCGGTAGAAGCGCAGACTCATCAGACGAGAAGGAGAGCTCGACCAGCTGGTTGTGGATGGATGGCGGCTGGGCGGGCACGACGTCAGCGAGCTGGGCATCATCGTCGTTTCGGAGATGCCTGAGGGGATCGAGTTCGTCCAACTTTTCCTCGAGGATGAGATCGATCATAGGTCGGACAAAAAGGTGTTCCGAGTCGAGAACAGGCACAAGCCGATGTCGACAAGCTTTCACTTAAGAAACTTGGAGATCGAAAGAGCTCGAGCGAATGAATACCTAGAAGATCAGAGACCCAGGAATATTTGGAGGGGGGAGAGAGGCAGAAAGTTATGCAAGGAGAGATTGCGAGAGGCTCGAAAGGTTAGCAGAGATCGCCGGCGCCTCCTGCCAGCGGGCGTCGATAGTGCGAGGCGTGGAAGCGGGCCCTGCTGACCGGCACGCCCTCGCCGTATATCTCTTCCCTCTCCACCTTCTTCCTTCTCCTCCTCGTGCTGAGCACCTATCTTCCGTGTCATCTCCACCGGTGAGTGTACCCCCCTCCTCGCTGCTCGTCGATATTCTGTCCCCGCAACCCCGTGTCGCACATCTCACCTGTCTCAAATTTTATAGGTCTACTCGTTCGGCTAAACGGGGCATAATTTTCGTTCACGAACTCGTTCACTTTCTCTCTCTGCACGACCTGTCATGTCTGAACTTCACGAAGCCGTCTTCAAGTGGTACGCACCCGCCTATCTCTACCCTGTCTCACTTGCTTACCACCCCCGACATAGGCCACATCCAGGAGCCTCCGACGTGATCGTCACTGGCTCCTTCGACCAGGTATGTTCCGCCTTCCGCACCCCCCACGCAGCTGACCCGCGCGCTCCAGTGGTCTGGCACAATACACCTCCCCCGCAAGGGCTCCACCTTCGAGGGCGGCGTCAAGATCCCCTGGGGCGAGAAGATCGCCTACAAGTACATTGTCGACGGCCGCTGGACCACCACAGACGACCAGCCCACCGAGATCGATCCCATGGGCAACCTAAACAACGTCTACGACTCCCCAGTGCGGCCACCCCCGCCCACTGTCGAGGTCCCCCCTGCTGTGCTTGCGTCTGCCCCAGAGCCAGCAGCAGTGCCAGAGGCGCCGGAGAAGACCCGCGAGGGTGCAGTCACCGGCGCCGTGATCGGCGTTGTAGAGACGGCGAAGCAGACTGCGGTCGCAATGGTGGAGACCCTCGCGCCCGGGACGACCTCGCGCGCGGGGGATATCGCACCCGCGCCATTAGAGACATCCCCAGCGCGGGCGGTCTCGGCGGAGGCCGTTCACCCCCCTACCGCCGAGCCTGTGGCAATCGCGCCCACCGTTCCCATTCCTATTGTCCCCCTCGGCGTAGAGCCTCCTGCGAACGGCAGTTCCACGCAATCGCCCCAAGCCGCCTCCAAGCCGCTCGATACCACCGTCGTAGAGGGTACTGCGACAGCAGCCCCCGCACTGGAGGCGTCCACGCACGCACCCGCAGTGAACGGTGCCGCCAAGCCCGCTACGAATGGCGCCGAGAAAGCCGCGACGAACGGCGCTTCCAAGTCGCCGCCCGCGTCGCCTAACAAGACCATGCGCTTCCCCTCCATCGGCTCTTCCCGTCACTCCAGCCGTGCGTCCGTGTCCGAATTTGGCGAGAGCTCGGGCGCGGATAAGGAGACGCATGCGAGCCGCGTCAACACCACGCAGCGGAAAAAGCGCTCCAGCATCTTTGGGAGGATTAAGGACATCTTCCACCACGAGGACGGGTCCCCGCCCAAGTAGGGGGCCCGCTCCTTTTTGCGCTCTGCGCTCGCTATAGACTTATGATGCTCTGACGAAGTACATGATACGTTGATGATTGGTTTCTTTTGGCTTTGCTCCTGCCTGCTTGTCGCCCGGCTCTTGGAGTTACAGTAGATACTTTCTGTACGCGTTCTTGTAGTATAGTATATTCGTAGCACTGAAGGATCTCTCTCTCTCCCCACAGATCTACTGTAAATAATGGGCGTTATTCCTCTAGTTTTCTCTCTTTCTTTTCGTTGCTCGCATATCCTGACCCAGAAGGTCCACGTTGGTCATGATCGAGAAGCGACCTCGCGAATCATTTTTGTAGGCCATGCCCTTACCATGAGGACATCGACAGACACAACGCGCGATGTGCAAGAAATTCGATGCAGAACGACCAAATCAAAGTGCGATACAGTATTTACACCAGTTATCTCCCGCCCTTTTTCTCGACCCGCCACTCCTTGAAGATCCCGTCGAGACTCTTGTAGATCAAGTGCGAAGGCAGGCACCGTATGATTTCGCCCACGCGCGCCTCCGCCTCGCCCTTGCCAGTGTCGGGTGCGGCTTTTTTCGCATACTCCACCGCCAGCCGGAAGATCGCCAGCACGGCCAACGAGACGTGTGTCTGCTGCGCCCCGTGCGCAGAGCCCTGCGAGAGCGCGGAAAGGAGCGGCCCCGAGACGCTCGGCGCGGAGATGGTTGGCGTATTCTGGTTGTACGAGGAACGTTCCCCGCGCACGAGTCGAAGGAGGATTTCCAGGATGTTGTCAGTCTCCGTCATGTGTGTTCGCAGGAACCGCTGGCGTTCGTTGACAAGGCCAACGCTGGAATTTCCGGCCCACGCCTCCAGGAGGGTCCAAATGGTCGGGGGCTGCAAATCTCCATCAGACGACCGCCCTCGGCGAGAATGTCGTGGTAGATATACTCACCGGATCAGGGTCAGCGACCTCGATCTTCTTCTCCCAGCCATCCGCTGCGTCACCGGCAACCCAAAACATGCGCCCAAACATGCTCCTCAGCCACTCCTGCACGTCTCCCGTCTTCACCCATTTAGGCTCCGAGAGTGGACGTTCCCTGTCCAAGTGCCCGATGAGCGTAACCTTTGAAGGAAGTGAAACCTTCGAAAACGCAGGCACTGTCGGATCGGCGTCAGGATGTTCTGATATTTCCAGAGGGACATATGACGATGTCGCTTCAGAAAAACCCTCAATCTGGAGGTACCACGGTTAACATAAAATACGTTATGAGTATTACAGAAAACCAACCATGATGCCTTTGAAGCCACCGGCGTCGTCTTTGTCAACGTTCATGTAGACTTCGATACGGCCCTCTCCTCTGAATACCTTCAGCTTGTCGACGATCTCCGCGTCGATAACCAGCCTTCTCGTGCCCGCTGCGAACGAGATGGAGAGACGATTGGCTGAAGCAGTCTTGCCAGCTTTCCCATCCGTCTTCTGAGGCGACTGCGAATTAGAAGGCTCACTAATTGTCGTCGAAGGGGGGCAAGATGGCGAGACGAGCGTGTGCGAAACGGGGGATGCAGAGGGCTCTGTAGTCGGCACGTCGAGCTGCGAAAATTCTTCCTGAGCGGGCTGTGTAGGTTCCATGAGCAACTCGGCTTCGATAGCGTCCGCTGTGTCCGCTGCGTCGCCTTTATTCGCAGTGGTGGACGAAGAGAGGTTCGGGTCTTGCACGTTTGTATCAGGTACAGTAGATGCAATAGAGTCGGTAGCCTGGAGAGGGGCACCGCCACTGTGAGAAGTACTTTCGGAGGGAGCCTGCGCATCAACATGTGGTGTACTGTTAGCGACATCCGCAGGAGGCACAGAAGTAGGCTCGACGGATGGTGAAACCACAGCAGCAGAAACATCATGGACGACAGACGACTCGGGAGGAGCTGACTGTACATCCGGAAGGATTTCAGGTCCAACCTCCTGATGAGCTTTCCCATTCACTGCAGGCACGCCATTCTCTTGGCGATGAGCAGCAACGTCTGAAGATACGTCTGCTGGGCCATTTAATGGCAGGCTCTCTGTGGAGTGAACACCGTTCGGACCATGAGAAGCAGAAGACATACTGCCAAGCTCGGCATTCAGGACGTTCTCATACTGCTCGTCCACGGAGCCCTGAGCATCGTCATCGCCCAGCATATGATAATCGTCGTGCCCATCCCCTTGCATATCATCATAACCATTGCCTTCAATAAGAAAATCGAGATTAGCGGTGCGAACGAAGCCATCTAGACGAGCTTCGCGCCCACACTATGCACGCTCTCGGACAACAAGGACGTACCATATTCGCCACCACCAATATGAAGATCATGATAATCTTTGACGTCGCTGAAATGCGAATCGTCCCCGTCGCCTTCACCCTCTTCGCCGCCGATGGCGGCCATTAGCCAGTCCCCCTCACTGACAGTCTCTGCGACACTCGGTGCGACACTGTCACGGCCCGCCGCATTTTCAACATCATAATCCACGCTGGCGGCGACGCTCACACCGTCGTGCTCAGCACCCGGCGGTGGCGGAGGAGGACCTCGACCATCTTCCGCATCACCGTCATCATCCTCGAGTTTCTTTCGTTTCCCCTTCCTTGTGTTAGCGGCGGAAGATGAACCAAGAGAGAATGAGGATTGCGGCGTAATCGGGTGGGCATCATCAGCAGTCACAGGAGTGTGAAAATAGATGCGAATCCGCGACGGGGGAGGAGGTATGAAACTAGTTTCCTCCATCTTCGTTGCCTCCCCAGGGATGGCAACGTCCTCAGCAGATTTAGTAGAGTCCATAAGAGCATCATCAGAATTGACCGTAACACCCTCGACCTTGACTGAAGGAGAAGCAGATATGGCCTCTGATGCCTGAGCATCCGCAGATGGCTCAGACGAAGAAGGATTCTCGTTCTGAGGATTCTCGTTCTCGACCTTCACCGCCGGCTCGACAGAATCGGGTAGTGAGACACCCCAGCTCCAAGACAAGTCCCGAATCTCCAGCCCGATGATCTTAAAATCCGTCAGTGTCCGTCTGTTCTCATCCTTTTTACCCGAAGAGAAACTCGACGACATCAAGACACCGCTGTCCTTCGCACTGTGCATGACACTTGCGTCATGACGACCACCACGAGAGGAGGAGAACCCTTGATTGCGGCCACGGAAAGAGGAACTCGAATAGTTCTGTTGCTGATAATGGTGCGGTTGCTGCTGCTGGTAACCGTGCGAGTATCCTTGACCGCCTCCAGCAGAGAACGACCCACCTCTCCGGTTATCCCTGTTTCCAAAGCCTCGGTTGGACCCATGCCCTCGGAAACTTCCCCCGGCCTGACCACCACCGCCACCACCACCACGCCCTCCCATATTGTTGTACATCCCACCTCCTCTGCTCCTGTTCCCACCTCTGTTCATTCCCATCGGTACACCTCTGCCTCTTCCAGCGTTACTCCCACCGCGACTGCCGCCGTAGCCACCCCGGCCTGCGCCCATCGATAGCTGAGCAAGAGAGGGACCACCACCTCGACTGTGGTGTCCCTGACCGGGCCCAGGTCCGAACGAGCTCATCCCACCACCTTGCTGCATGGGAGGAGGCGGTGGAGGTTGGAACTGTGGCTGTGGTGGAGCTGATCCTCGGTGCTGATTGGGACTATCGAACCGCGGTCGTTTCGCAGGTGGGAATTGCTGAGGTGATGTCTGGTGGATATTGCGGTTGTTGAGGCGAGGCTGTTGCTGCTGTGGGTGAAAGAACGGCTGCTGTTGTGGCTGTTGGAACTGTTGAGGGGGTGGGACATGTGACTGGAACGTAGTCTGGGGAGCATGTTGAGCTGCAGGACCGGGCTGAGGAACGTAAGGTTGCTGATACGCGCCCGCTTGGGGCTGGTACGGATTATAGGCGGGCTGAGGCGGAGGCTGAGGGGGTGGTTGAACAACAGGCGGGGGTGGTTGGAAGTGAGGCTGAGCTTGCCTCTGTTGCTGCTGCTGCTGCTGCTGCTGCTGCTGCCAGGCTAAGTTCTGTTGGCCCCCATAGCCATAGTTCGCGTACAGAGCAGACTGCTCAGGAGTAGGTCGAGCAGGTTGTGCTGGCTGTGAGGTAGACCAGTGCGGAGTGAAGGTACCAACCGCCGGCGTCTGAGCATGCTGTGCTGCAGTAGCTGCAGCCCAATAAGCAGAGTAATCCGGCTGAGCAGGCTGAGGTGGTGGAGGACCTGGCGGCAGGGGCGGTTGTTGCGGATTGTACGCAGGTGTAGTCACGAAGGGATTCTTGTTCATCGTGGCGGAATTCTATGATAGATCTCGGAGCATAAGATACAGAGAAGTTGCAAAAGAGCACGCTGGAGAATAAGTTGCTGATACGATAGGCAGGGAGTAAGGAAGACGTCAGAACGCAAGGTCAGAAAAACAGCGTCGCCGGCATGGAGATGACACGCAGGCGGAGTAAAGAAAGGCGTAGTCACAACCATCACACCCGCGTCACACTTGTCACAGCAGGAAAAAACAAGACAGAAAATTGAGTTGAACAGCAGCAAGAGAAAAGGTATATACCACAGGATGGAACCGGCCAGCTAATTCTCTTCAACCTCCTCCGTCTTCTTCTTTTTTGCCTTTGATTTCCTACTACCGCCCTCACCATCCATCCCGTCTCTGTCTCTCTTTCGTTTCCGCTTCTCTTCAATCGTTGGTGCAGCCTCTTCGGTTGGGGCGATAAATGCCTCAGCACGTTTGGCGCGTCGCTCCGCGGTAATTTCTTCTTGCTAGATCAAAACATAAGCGGGGGTACAGTATTTTGCTATCCCGGAGGAAGAATTACCTTATCCTTTCTTTTCCGCGCCTCGCGCTCCGCCTTCTCGTGTGACTTGAGGAAGTACTCGCCGGACTCTAGTTGTAAATCAACCTGAAAATAGCCGTTGAGCTAAGAGCTTTGGGTATTATGACAACGGCATACCTTGCGAGGCAATTGTGCAGGTGGGAACGGCGTGTAGACTTTCTTCGCAGGTTTGTCCTTCTTCCCTTCACCAACCGGCTCCAATCCAGCAGCCTTACGCCCCTCATTCTTCTCCTCTATCCGCTCATTCTTCCGTGCAGTCTTCTCTGAAGTCTTGAGATGCTTCTTCCGGAATTTGGGCAAGAAACGATCCCAGGACTCAGTCGCCAGCTGTGGATCTTTAGCCAGTTCGCGTCTAATCATTAGCTCCTGCAATGTCCCACCACGTTGACCTCGTGTCTGGTATTCTTGAGTAGAAGGCTTACCTTGATCCTGTATATTGGGTGAATGTTCTTCATGCAGTCCAATACGATTCTCCGGACCTCCTTGATACCCTTGTATGGACCCATTACGCTGACGGTGTTCCCTTGTACGAGAACGTAGCTCTGCGTAAGCAGCTCTATGGCCTACCCGCACGAGTCAACGTAAGTAGGGGATTTCTGCGCGAGAAGCAAACCTTCAACGTGCTGCCATCTGGACCAATAATTCGCTGTCGTCGCTTCACAAAGCGCTCCTTGTTGTGCACTGTGTTCCCAATCTTGATGATATCACATACAACGGCGTCATCCAGAATCTTCACCGCCTGCCCAGTCGCAACACCACGAGCAAGAAGCTTGATCATGTCGCGAGCCTTGAGGATTATGTAAGGATCGTATGTTTTTCGCGTTGTTCGTACTGACATAGAACCGTGGATCAAGTCAAGCGTGCAAGCGATGCCCTGCGTCCGTGCTTTAGCGAAGGGCGAACCGACCAATGAAACAGAGGACGGTGAAACTCACATGCGATTCCAACGCCTGTGTTACTGCACTCCATACTTCACGCAAGTACTTCTCCCTGTACTTGGGGAAGAGAGTGGCGAACGAAGATTCTTCGGTGAAGGTACCGCCCTTATTGTCGTCTGCCTGGAAAGGCTGGTTTGCCCACTATAATAGAATTCAGGACAAGCCGATATTTGATTCTGCATGTTTGCATGCTTACGCTGCCGGGAAATATTTTGTAAGGGCAACTGGGAGGAAGCAGAATAACGAGCTCACTGATCAACGTCGTCAGCATCCCAAGCTGAACATCGACATTAACGACTGCTGCGGAAGTATAGACAAATCAACATACGCTTGTCCTTCCTGTGCCTTTTACTGTTGTCTATCGGTGCCGTTTCCGCATTGGCCGCCATGTTTTGGGAGAAAGACGCAGGTTGGTCACGCCGCGAACGTGACAACTGCTGAAGCGCTGACCCTTTGTGACAGACCGTGGTTCTCCAAGTCGCTTTGTCCAAGTTAGTTTGCTCCTCCCCCTCATCGCATACATCCCTCTCCGAGAGCCAATCCAGCATGGATACCTCTCCCGACGCTACAGACACGACAGCAGAGTTGCTTTCCTACGACGACGTCCCCTACTCGGAGCAGCTCCCCGCTCAACCCACCGCCGACCCAAGTCACCCGCAACTTGCTGATCGCATTGGCAATACCAAAGTCTATTTGTTGTCAGAGACGTCTGGGGCGAGGGTAGGAAAGGTGCGCTGGTAGAACGTATCATGGGGGGCAAACAATGGGCCTAACAGGAGAGCTCCCAACTTGGATTCTATTCATGTGCTCGGTATGTTCGGTACGGTAAGCGTAAACACGGAAGCGAGGAGGAAGCTACGAATGTGGAGGACGATGTCTCTATGGGTGATGGTGAGTCGTGTGGGTAATGTACTGATCGAATCACCACCTCTGACGGTCTCTCGTAGGTTCGCCCTACAGAGAAAATGCCATTCTATTCCACGGGACTCCAATATCACATCTACCGACCTCAAACATCTTCGCGTATGCTACCCACTTCGACGCGCACCCAATGGCCCTTGAATGGATTGACGACACAACCTGCATCCTCGTATTTCCCTCAAAACCGTCAGCACGTCTCGCGCATCGGCGTCTCGCCAAGTCTATTGCAGAAGAGCCTTCTACACAGGACGGCTCTGTAACGGCGAAACCTTTTCCGGTCGCTTTATGGCCACCGAGGGACAGAATCAACAAGAGTCTAGGACAGAGCGAGGGACTAAAGGGAGCGATCAGGATGAGGTGGGCTACGACCGAAGACGTGAAGAAGAGAGGAGCCAAAAACAAAAGTGAATTTTACAAGACATATGGGAGGGAGGGACACCCTGGAGGAGCTCGCGAATCAGAGAGGGAAGAGGGGCAGCCGAGCAAGAGGAGGAAAAGCGACTACAAGGAGTCAGTTGAGAGGGCACAACTTGATGACGACCTCGATGCCTTCTTAGCCGAAGAGGATGCTCCATCTCCAGAACCACCTTCTCCTCCGTCAAAGATGCGGTCCGACTATATTGGCAGCGACGGCAGGACTCTTCTGGAAAGGACGTCCATGATTCGAGCCCACCCCGATACCTTGGCATCGCGAATTATGGCGCCCCTACCACGTCGTGGTAGGTCACGGAGAGGGGGCCGAGAGCAGGAAGAGAGCGACAGTAGGAGCAGAGGCGAGCGGCTGGGAGAAGGTGACAGGAGATCCCGTGGACGGAGACGATCCCAGAAAACCGAGCAGGACCTAGACGATGAGCTGGACGCATTTCTTAATGAGAAGGACTGATGCTTCATGACTGAATTCGACGCATGGGTTATCAGTATATCTTGCCGGTACAGAGTCCATTACATGCGTGCACATAGTGGCCCAGCGTCACATTGACCAGCGTGTAGTAAGTCTGCCATGTTGTGAGTACTTGCAGGTCTCTGCACACCGGTGGAAGATGTAAGTACCCGACTGTGGTACTTACTAAGTGCATACCCGGCAAGAATTAAAGAAGTTGCAAGTATGATTTGAATGGCCGTACTCCGTAGGACTCCTTGTAAGTCATTTTGGATATGAGCAAGCATCGTGAGCTTAAGAGAAAGAGGAATAAACTCATGTTCACGATAGCGCTCGGCAACGTGGAGGGCAAAACGATCGATTGCACTTTGTGGACCCAAGTGGGTCCGGCCCGGGCCCGGGCTACTAGGCTTTTCTCTCTTGGACTGCCGTTAACTGACTCTTTCATATATTCTTCGGCGACTATTATAGAGTTTACATGCGCACCGCAACGTTAGCTATTATTGTCTTCTCTCCTGGGAGCGTCTGTTGCTGCACCGTGATATCAATCATAAGAAGCCCCAACTTGAACTCTGCGTGATTCAGCGGCCAGAAGTCAAAGCTTCCACGGTTCCCGAGCGCACCATTGCGTAGCCACTTTCACTCATCTGCATCCTTGTCGATTCCAGCGCAGCCTCCTCATAATCAGAACATGAATCCTTGGTGACTTAGAAACAGTGACTTGACGCGTGGCCTCAGTACAGGAAGTTTTGGTTTGTTGAACTGATCGATTCTCAGAGCTGGAATAGAGCTCAATGGCGGCACGGCCTTCCGAATCATCATGTTCTCTTGTTAGCGCTAGGAACTCTTGCTACCAGCGCTCGGGACCTCATAAGGAATCAGGTTTTTCTCTATCGGTCCATTTGTCTCCATCTGACGCCATATGGGAGCCCGCATCTCCGACCAGCACATGGTGGCTTAATAGAGATTGCAGAGGTCGTGCCGATACAATTCGAAATGCGAAGTATTCTTTTGGTATCAGCGGACGTCTTTAAATATGTAGGGAATGAGCCAAACTTCGCCCTGCTCCGCCATGTCTACGTCCACGATTCCATCTCCTCCGCAGACTCAGGCTCTGTCAAGCCGCACCTTCTGTCCGCCTCCCATCGATGGATCAATGACGTTGCCAGAGATATTCGACTGGCACCTTGCAAACACACCCGACCATCGTCTTTTTGTCTTTTCCAAAGACGACGGCGGTATTAGGACCATCTATTGGCCTGAAGCTGTACGTGCTATCCACGTGGGTGCAAGAGTCGTCAGGAAGCGTATGAATTGGACACCTGGGATGAAAGAAAATCCAGTTGTAGCCATTCTTGCGCCATCAGGTAAATGTTCCTCTTGTCATGGTTTTGTGATTCATTATGACTGTCCTTGCAACAGATACTATCCCGTACTTCACTACGGTGATGAGTATCATGAGAGCGAACTATGTGGCCTTCCCAATTTCTCCCCGTAATTCTCCGGAAGTCGTCGCCTACCTTATCAGCAAAGTTGCAGTCAAGCACATTCTGGTGGGCCGCGAACAATCAATGTTAGATCTCGTTAAATCCGCGCTCGATATCCTTGAAACACAATATCCTTCTGCTACCACTCCAGAAATGTCACCAATGCTACTCTTCGAGGAGCTATTTCTCTCCACCGCAGAGGCTGTTCCCGCTGATGGCTTGGTGTACGACAAATCCAAGGGTCCCGATGTTACAGTCATGGTTCTTCATTCGTCAGGCATGTGTCTCGGAATTATATTTTTTGCGTGTCTGAGTTTTGTCAACAGGGTCGACAGCTTTCCCTAAGCCTATCCCTGTGACTGCCAGTCGTTTGGTAGCCTATTGTTTGATACCGTGGTTTGGCGGGCGTGATCTCACCAACCAGGTCCTGTCCTTGCATGCAATGCCGATGTACCATGGTATGGGCTTGCTGCAGCTCTCTTGGACGGTAAGTTCACCCGGATATTCTAAGCATATCAATAACCGAACTCACCGTTCCAGGCTTCATGTGGTCTTGTTGCAAGCACTTTCGAGCCCAAGTCCCCCTCCCCTGTGCCTACACTAGATGCCCTTTTCAAAGATGCCAAGGCGACGAATAGCGACATTATTTTCTGTGTTCCGTCTTTTATCGAGGTAGGACGCTTGGCTTCGAACATTTTCGTTGACTGAGCATATATATACATAGGCTTGGGCTCGTGAACCTGATTACGTTAAATGGCTCGCCACCCGTGGGGGGTTGGTGAGTGCCTTTATTCCTGCACATAGATAATTGTTTCTGAGGACGCGGATCTGTATAGTTCTACGGTGGGGGTCCTTTGAACAAGGAAGCGGGAGACTTCCTTACTTCACAGGGTGTCTCTATCTTCATTCTGTACGGCTGGTGAGAGTGATGGCTGAAATACGGCTGGAAAATGGACTGATGTAACAACAGCTCTGAAGGTGGTATCATGAGCCCCGTCCTCCCGGGTAATTGTTCTTTGATTCTACTGCAACGTGCGACACCAATAGTTTATTTGTTTAGCTACCGTTAGTTACGACTGGGAGTACTTCACCTTCCCAAAGCTTGTAACTCCCAAAATGGTGCCGAATGGTAACAACACCTTCGAGCTCGTAACGGTGGTGCGTTGACAGGTCAGCAGACCACTTCGAAGACTGATACGCTCTTGTTCTCAGTCGAACGAATACCATCAGCTCAATGTGTTTAATACGAAGGTCGATGGTCGGGATGCATATGCAACGTCAGACCTGCTCGCCCCTCACCCTACCAAACCTGGTTATTGGCGAGTTTTCGGACGTACTGATGATCAGATTATGCATAATACAGGAGAGAAGGTCCGTTGCATCTATTTGCCCCTCTTGCAATAAACTCATTGGCGGATCTCAAATAGACGAATCCTGGGCCACTAGGTACTGCATCCATTTGCTTTCACTGCCTGCGTAGATATCTAATAGCCTCTCAGAGAACATTCTCAACCAGGACCCACATGTACAGTCATCAGTGATGTTTGGCCGTGGCAGATTCCAAGCCGGTATTCTCGTAGACCCGAAGATAGAGTTCAAATTCGATCCTGCCGATGGTGTCAAACTCGCGGCATTCAGAAACAATATGTGGTATACATCCAATTCATTTGTTCAGTCTAGTAGACCTGCGCTCAGTGGCTTTGAATGAATAGGCCTACGGTGGAGCGGATGAACACATTTGCTCCTCAGCACTCCAGACTATTCAAGGAGGTGCGTCTCTGGAAATTTATGCCGGCTCTGTTGATTCAAAGTTCCCTTGAAGATGATTTTGGTGGCGAAACCTGCAAAACCATTCACGTACACTGCCAAGAACACTGCGCGTCGTCAAGCTATCATCAATCTGTATGAGGATGAAATCAGTGAGGCATACAACTTGGTGGAGGAAAGCGCGCAAGACAACATCCCTGTCCCTTCTCACTGGGATGTAGTCGCAACCCATGAATTCGTCCGTGCGGTTGTGGTCAAGGTCCTTGGCCGAAATATCGACGATGACGATGACTTGTTTCAACATGGATGTGACAGGTATGTGTATTTGCTACTTGTAGGCCTGTGCTTTTGGTAGTTCAACCTCGTTGGTATACCTAGTCTGCAAGCAACGTGGATACGTAACACAATCTTGCGTGGATTGCGGGACTCCGCCCAGTTGGATGTCCGTCGGAATTTTGGAAACTTCGTCTACGAATATCCTTCCATCGCACGCCTCTCAACTTACATCTCGGCGCTGGCATTCGGAACCGACGAGAATGCCGATATTTCTCTGGAGAACAAAGTGGACACAATGCGTGCGATGGCTGCTAAGTATAGTGAGAACCTGCCGATGCACCAGCCTATAGCTGGCATAGCGCCACTGCAGACGGGAGACGTCGTGCTGTTAACGGGAACAACGGGCAGCTTGGGATGCCATATTCTAGTCCAGCTGTCTCTGGATCCTCAGATATTGCGTATTTATGCCCTAAACAGAGGGAGCAAGTCTGGGGTGGCCCTCCTAGAAAGACAGAAGATAGCTCTGCTCGAGCGCGGACTGGATGCTGCAATTTTAGATTCGGCTAAGGTTGTCCTACTTGAAGGCGATCTGACCAGCTCCTACTTCGGGGTTCCCGAGAGTGTCTTTAAGAAGGTAGGTCAACTATATGACCACAAGCTGGCTTTGTTCATCAATGATTTACGTCCACAGATGCACCAGTCTGTGACGCATATTATACATAATGGTTCGTACCTATCTTCTGGGACTTATATCCATCTGCTAATCCGTTTCTGCACTGCTACAGCTTGGCGTGTCGATTTCAATCTCTCCCTTGTATCGTTTGAGTCAAATGTGAAAGGGTTGCGTCATTTGATTGACTGGGCACTGTCGTCGCCTTTCCCCAAGCCACCGCTGTTAATATACACCAGCTCCATTGGTGTCTTCCAAAGTATGCCTCGAGGACTTCCAATATGCCGAGGCATTGACTATTCTTCTGTTCTTTAGACCTTCAGGCCAATGGTATTCAGGCTGAAGCTGCGATTGAGCCAAATGCTGCTGTCGGCAGTGGTTATGCAGAGTCGAAGTGGGTTTCTGAGCAGATTTTATCTGAAGCCGCAGCCAAGACGACGTTGAAGCCTGTGGTTGTTCGTGTCGGCCAAGTCACTGGTGGGGTGGATGGTGCTTGGAATGTGAACGAATGGTTCCCTTCCCTCGTTCAGACCGCCGCAGCTATGGGGTATTTCCCAGATGACACCCGGGTTCGTTATATTCCTCAACGGCTCGTCGGAGATGATCTGATGCACACATGTACAGGATGTAAACTGGATACCGTCGGAGTATGCTTCCCGGGCGATTGCGGACTTCCGCAGGGCTTCGGAAGGAAATTTGTTTGTTCATCTGAATCATCCGCGTCCAGTCTCTTGGTCTTCACTCGCTTCGGTCATCTCTTCCGAACTCTCAATCAAGCTAATCTCTTATGCTGAGTGGCTCACTATGCTCCAGGAAGGTGCTCAGCTGTCGTCCGAAGGCGGTTCAGGCAGGGTGGATGTTGCGTTGTTGCAGAAGTACCATGCCCTTCGACTACTCCCCTTCTTTAAAAGAGTCGCGCCGCTGGCAAATGGAGCGCTGGCTATGGGTTTCCCTAATCTCTCCATCAAGCATGCTATGGCATCGTCGCCGACGCTGGCTGACCCCCAGATTCGCAAGCTGGGCCCTGACGATGTGCGAAAATGGTTGACATATTGGCGCCAGGTTGGGATGTTTTCTAAGGCATAACTTTGTTAACAGTGTGCATCAAATTTGTTTGTCCAGGATGTAGGATTACATTATCGGGGTGAACATAAGATATATTATTGGTGTCTTGGCGACAATGTATCTTTGACTTGTCTGTCACACGAAGTGTGCTACCCCTCACCTCCCTCAGTCACAATCTGAGAGATCTATAGCCTATAGTAGGACCCCCGCAATCCCTTATGAGCTCCGATGTCTGAATCCCTGAAATTGGGCCCACCGCATGCCGGACCTTCGATCTCGGACCCCCGAAAATGGTCGAAAAGCCGGTACAACTTATGTGCACAACATCCCCGAAATTGTCCCCTTTGGCCCGAGGTCCGGTGCGAAATCTCCGAAAAATGGTTAGTCTCATACCAAGAACTGACCGCATTTCACGTGATGGGGTCTGCAGGGTGGGCAGGCCTATGTGTCATGTTGATTAGTAGATAAATGACTGGTCATTACCTATAATGTTATACATGAATGTCTGTGCTTACTGTTCACCTAGTGTTGTGGGCAAAACTCCTGGAAGGCCTCGCCAAGTGCCAGCGAGGTGAAACTCAAGCCGCCAGGCACACACTGGGGGCAAAAGTGGATGTTCTGCCTTGGAACAGTGTCTGAACATCCAAGGAACAGATTATGTTTTTGGACATGTCACATGTTCTGAACATGGTAAGGAACATCTAATATGTCCTGCACAATGTTCCATTGGAGAGCATGCTGGAGACATGTTGCATGTACCATTCTGGAACATATAATATGTCTCACACAATGTCTCATTGGAGAATGTCCTGCAGACTTGCTGCATGTTTCATTCTGGAACATTTATCATTTTGCTACTATATTCTGGGCTTGTCTCTTGGTGCAATATGCTCTGTATAATAAGGATTTCCCATGGCCAAACACATTACATTTCTGGCCGCCATTAATCTTCAGAACATTGTGAGAAGATGTTAAGTGCTCCTACTCCAAACATACAAGATGTCCTGGGCACCAAGAACATCTGCAGTACATGTACATCAGCAAAACCCAACTTTTTCTTACAGAGCTATTTTGACTTTTTGGTCTTACAACCCTTATTTAAGGTAATAAGTCTTCAAATAAGTGTCAATAAGTCTGATTTCAGACACTTATATAATATGCATTAGGCTCTTTTTTGACCTTATACCCTTAAATAAGGATTGTAAGTCCATTTAAGTCATTTAAGTACCCTTTTAAGTAAAAGTTGGGTTTTGCGGATGTATGATACATACTAAAATCATACTAAAATTTTACATGTACTGCAAATATTCTTGGTGCCCAGGACATCTTGTATGTTTGGAGTAGGAGCACTTAACATCTTCTCACAATGTTCTGAAAATTAATGGTGGCCAGAAATGTAATGTGTTTGGCCATGGGAAATCCTTATTATACAGAGCATATTGCACCAAGAGACAAGCCCAGAATATAGTAGCAAAATGATAAATGTTCCAGAATGAAACATGCAGCAAGTCTGCAGGACATTCTCCAATGAGACATTGTGTGAGACATATTATATGTTCCAGAATGGTACATGCAATATGTCTCCAGCATGCTCTCCAATGGAATATTGTGCGAGACATATTAGATGTTTCTTACCATGTTCAGAACATGTGACATGTCCAAAAACATAATCTGTTCCTTGGATGTTCAGACACTGTTCCAAGGCAGAACATCCACTTTTGCCTCCAGTGACATCAGGAAAACCCAACTTTCTCTTATGGACTTATTTAGGCTTTTGGGTCTGACAACCCTTATTTAAGGCTATAAGTGTTCAAATAAGTCGAATTTCAGACACTCAGAGAATATGCCTTAGGACCTTTTTGTCCTTATGTCCTTAAATAAGGACCATAAGTCCATTTACATTATTTAAGTATCCTTTTAAGGAAAAGTGGGGTTTTCCTGATGCATGGTGAGGGTCGGCGAGTGTGGCAAAACTGCAGAAACATCGAAATTTTCACTATATCCATGTCTAGGGTACATCAGAAAAATCCCATTTTTACTTTAGCTCACTTTGTTCCCTTTTTGGACTTATCCAAGGAAACAAGCCCGATAAGTACTGAGATCAGCTTGATTTGACTTGTACAAGCTTTAAAAGGAGCAATCAAGTCGGAATAAGTAGTAAAAAGTGGCAAAGTCAAATTGGGATTTTCCTGATGTATTTACAGACCTAGAGATAATATAAGAAACTGATGTTCCTACATTTTTGCAGTTCCTGCCTCAGCTGTGTATATGGAAGTCTCCTAGTCCTCACTCAGATGTGGCTTTTAACTTCAAATATAATTCAGCTGTATAAATTTGAGGAACATCAGACCATGTCACGGTCACAGGGCATAGGTAAACTGGACTGATTTGGAAGTATGAGTGCTGAAATTCCATATGTAGGAATTGGAGGCTCAAAAAGATGGGCCGTGGCATCATCTGACCATCATATGGTGTAAGTTTCGCCAAGTTTCACCAGCAGGAGGGAGCTCATCGGCCTGGCAATCACCATTTGTCATGCTGGTGAGGCGAGGTGGCGAGGTTTCGCCAATAACACTACGTTCACCAGTGCTCATATCGAAAGAGCCTTTTGAACCTGTACCATCACCTGGTCCAAGTTTTTTCATGCTTATTAGCTGGGCAAGAGAGGATGTTCTGAGCTATGCCCAGGGAGGGCCCACAACCTCCCTTACTCCATCAGACTCCTAAAGCTGACAGCTCCTCATCGCATCTGCTACCAGTTGTTAGCATCCTCTGATGACTCTTACCCACTGCCACGGTGGTACATCCGGTGCAACCGCTGATGAGTGCACACCCGACACAGACACCTAAACCCAACTAAATCAAACAAGAAGCAGGGTGATCTGTGTGAGAGGGAAGGGTGTCACAGCTGTAAAATGATGTAAGTGGGTCCCAGAACCTCCACCTAAGCCAATGGGGGATGCAACCTGTAAGAGAACAAGGGTTCACGATGTAAACACGAAGTCAACTGACAATCTATGACAAAGTCGCAAAAGTCAGAGAGTGGAAGCTAAAGTCACGATGCGATCACCAAACTCATAGGCAAAGATGAACTAAATCGCAAAGGGGAAGGGAACTATCTGTGGGGGTAGAATGCTATGGGGAAATGCAGTATTCGCCATCTCGACAAAGTTGCAGTCAGTTTAACGCAAAAGTCGGAGTAAGACTAACACAGGTAGTATATCGCTATGTTGCTATGTCGCTATCGCAGTGTCGCAGTTTGCTATCGCAGTCGCAGTATGCAGTCTCGCTATATTGCAGTCTCGCTATATCGCTATATCGCAGTCTCGCTATATCGCAGTCTCGCTATATCGCAGTCTCGCTATATCGCAGTCTCGCAGTCTCGCTATGTCGCAGTGGGGTATATCACAGTTCAAAATTGCTATTGCAGTAAATGCAGTTTCTTGGTGATCTGAAGTGAAGGGGGCAGTCTCCTACTGGTCTTCAATGATAATTGATGTAGATACAGCAGGTCTTTATAGAGGGGGACAAAGGGAGAGAAAATGCGGAAGTCGCGAAATGTCAGACAATGGATCCTGACATCGAAAAGAGTCGCAATGGTCTAGGACCAATGGAAAAATAGGTAAAGTGAGTGGAGAGGTGAATGTCATACATTAGCAATGGAGAAGAATAGTAAAGTAGAGGGAAATTGAAATAAAACATATGCTACTTGTCCTGAACCACATAGAACACTCTAATGGCATCTCCGGTCCAGCACAAAGGTAGGAGTCTTGAAGGGGAAGGTCAAACGATAAAGGGAATGGGATTTGCAAAACAAGGGGGTGCGATCATTGAGCGACACTGATAAGTCAGTGCGACGAACCAGCGCATCGGCGCGACATCCAGAGAGGTGGCGCGATGTTGGGGAAGTACGGACTTAGAAGAAAATCAGCCAGGGCGCATCGGACAAGACCCAAGGGTAATGGGTAAGTGATATCTGACAGTGGGGAGACGCAAGAGTGGTGTATGAGTGATGAAAGAATGTCAAATCTCGATGAGAAGTCATGAGGAGTTGAGTAAAGTTGAACAAAGTTACACGAAGTCGCAAAAGTTCGCCAAATGTCACGAAAGGGTCGGATGCATCTCGGAGGTTAAGGCATAGAGTAGTGAGGTCAGAGCGATCACTGAAAAATGTGTTTTCAGAGGCCAGAGTTGCAGGGAGTGTATCACTGTGATCAATCCACCCTTTTTATCTCTCATTTATTAATTCTTGACACTCTACTAACACCGGAGGCTCACCGTCAACTGGTTTCCAGCTATGTCCAGTCATTGCGCCCGCTGTGTGCAGACTCAGCACCTTATTCAATCCTACAGCGAGGCTCACACCGGATCTGGATTCCGACCTTCACCCATATGCCCACTCATGTAATACCTCATTTTAGCTATGGTTGCCATATCCTATCATTCTGGTTCACCTTCTCTTTCATCCTACACCACCTACTCACAGGAGCATCTACTGAAGAACTGCAGCATGAAGCTTGGAAGATCACTGGTCTAGCAGGAATGCATTTCTGCAGAAGCCTTACAGCACAGTAGTTAGATGATGAGTAGTACAGCAGGAATGCTGAGACCCTCTACCCTTGTCTGGGATGGTTGGGGTGCGAGCAGAGCTTGAGCAGGAGGCATAGGTGGATGTTGTCAGTTCTGACCCATCAAAGCACAGAGTAAAAGCGAGAGGTCAGTGAGAGGACAGGAGTTTTCTGATTTTTTGTCTCTGCTTTTTGTCTTGGTTCCAGTGTCGATCTGCTATGACACTCGTATGCCTACACATGTACACCTTTTATTTACTATATCACTCTTAAGCCTTACCCAATGCACCCCACTTCCATCACATTGGTTACCTGTTGTACAGTTTGTACTGGCCGGTGACCACCACATCTTAGCATGTAGTTTGCTTGCTGCGGTATATAAATGTTGAGTTCATCATCATCATCACCAGTGCTCATATATGAAGGCATCTGGCATCTATAATGACATATTAGTCCTCTCTGGCACTCTGGGGGTAATTTTGGCTGTTTCAGATCTCAGCACATCAATTCTGCCCACACTTCCATAGTGCTCCCCGGCCCCAGTGCCAGATTTCCTTTATAGTCTGTCCTCAGCTGCGTGCATCTGAGATAGATATCTGTGCTGCCTTCACATCACCACTGGATCTTAGATAGACATTCAGGTATCCCGCCTGTCCCACTCTCTACCTGATTTGGCTATCTCAGTAGTTCTACAGCCTCCTCATCGCTCTGCGTCTTATTACAATATCTGTATCTTTGTGTTAGCAGTGCTATGCAAGTTAGTATGGAATGTCTGAACTGCATTATGAGCATACATTAACCTATGGACCAGAGATCCATTCCGAGAAGATGGCATTGAGAAGAAACCTTGTGTCTGCCCTGCATCACATGCATCTAGGACGAGTTTTGTATCATAGTGAAGCCCTCATGAAAATTGTAAGTTCGGTCTTACTGCCGGAGTTGCAAATTATTTTAATGACCTTTACTGACATGATGCTAAAAATTCTCATTGCACTGACTCCTACTCAGATGACCACTGACACATCGCACATGGTGAACTCATCAGATGTGGAACCGTTAGCAGAGGAGCTTAACCTTGACAAGAATCTCGTTGTATTTACATTCTGGTAGTTAGAGGTGTTTCATATATCATGTGTCACTTACCACAGATGTTTTATATATCAATCCACACCTGACCGGCTGCATCCACAGAGTCCAGTGTCCATGCAAAATTTTATACTGCCAAGTCAGAACCTGATGTTTCAGATGCACAATGCACAAGAGCTATGACAATAAATATATTGTCATAGCCACAATTTTCTTTCTTTCCTCAACTACGCTACTGCCCCTTATCACCAAGAAGCAAGATTTACACTACGAGAACCACGAGCACCAACTACACTAGAACGACAGCAAGAAATCAACTTGACACAATGTGAGACAAAAGTAGACATTCAAGGAACGTAGTAAACACGTCTCAATACTCCCCGATCCCACGCACATGGTTCCACTATCTCTTCTTCTTCTTCACCAATGCATCACTGTAAGGGTCAGAATCAACATGGTATACACAACAGGATACACGAATCATGCACTCGGAATTGTCACGGGCAATCCTTTTTCCCCCCTTCCTCGTTGCCATTCTTACACCTATCGCTTCATTCTCGCGACCTGCTGCCACGATTGGCAGGCCCTTCCCGGAGGCAGTCCACCATGAATCCAGTTGCATAGGTACAATGTGTGTACAGCTAGGCCTTCCAGACATCTGTGCAGGCACACCATTAGTGCTCTGCACACTTGCTCCTACTTGGGACACTGCAAGGGCATTGCATGTCGCTTCTGCAAGCCTCCTGGTCTGCTTCACCTTGGCTGCAGGTCTTGAATTGCCAGGATCTGGTATGTTTTCAGAATCTCCTGCTTGACATGGTGATGAGTGCACACCCGACACAAACACCTAAACCCAACTAGAACAAAGAAGGGATGATCTGTGTGAGAGCAGTGATGTCAGTTATTGAGGATAATCTTTAGTGCTAATAAGCACAAAAAAAGGATTAACTTCCCCCTAACTAAGCAGTCTATCTCAAACTAAAGATGATCTTTCTGGATTATCTTTGAAGAATTTTTAAGATAATCCTAAGGATAATCCAAAGGATTATCTGTGCTTAAAAGATATTTTTAACACATGTCTATCTTTCCAATCTTCCACTCCTCTCTCTTGCACCCCTTTCTTACTAATGATGCCACCCTTTTTCCATCCCACAAACTCACTCAACCTGGTCCGATCATCACACCTGATGATCAGGAAGAGTCGATCGCATACTCGAACACCGCTGCCATGGTCGCAGTTGGCATTACCTCATACAATGGACTGGTTACAGACCCGAATCTGATACTTGGATACCTGGTGCTGAGGTCATGGACCTTCAAGCACTCGATACATTTCTGTAAGAATAAGGCTTAATGGCATAAGTCACCTCAAAATCCACTGGTGCTCAATACGCTCTGCTCAAGGACCTTCCCTTTGGACCCTTCCTGCTTACTTCTTCAACCCTTGCTTTCGACATTCTTCTTCCCTTTTTCTTCTTTGATCCTTCCACCCCCACGCCAGTTTTTTTGGTCAGTGAGAGTGTAACCCTGTTCACGTGCTTACTACATTGTTTGTCTCTCCTTCCTATTCTGTCCATACTGTTTATATGATGTTCAACTTCATTGCCTCTTCTTTACTCTCCCCCTTACAGCAATGAAGGTATGTACTCGCTATCAGCTCTGCACTGTAGTATTTACTCTCCCCCTTATGGCAACGAAGGTATAGCTCGCACCTGTTACATTCCCGATCTGATCTGAGTGAAGTGTACCCACAACTGGGCCTGCTTACACTATGCTAATAAAATAGCTCAAATACGTAATAGGGACCTCATCAGCCAGTAAGGTAGCACAAAGTAATGTAAAGTAAGGAAAAGAGATAGAGGAAAATGATAAAATTATTGGGCAGTAAAGTAATGCATGAAGAGGATGAGACAAGATGACAAGTAATTACAAGGATGCCAGTGAAGTAAGATGTGTAAGATGGGGCAGAAGAGATGGGATCGAAGCTCTAAGTGAGTTACAATATGTCACATGATCACATGTTTTCAACATTAAAAACAGAGTATTACACCTGTTTGCATAAAAAACTGCAGATCACAATGTGCAGCGAGCTGTTTGTTCAGAACAAATATTCCCTTACACGATATGTCGGGTGGTGGGCAAAAAATCTTGTATACCTGCTCGACTTGCTTAATGGCTTCGTGAGGGCCATGAGTCTCTGCAGGCATGCAAGTTCTACAACCTCAACTCCTTTCCGATGCATCTGGTGCCTACAAGGCCTGCACCAGGCTATGCCGAGGATTTTCAGTGCCACCCGGTCTACTGCATATGGTGTTATTTGTGTGGGACAAATATGTCATTGTGAAATCACAATCTGCAGTTTTTTATGCAAATGGGTGTAAATACTGTATTATTTCAATCACTCTGGTGGTCACACATCACACCCAATTTTCATTGACCTCACCAGGTTACAGTGTATTGCATAATAACGTGCAGGTCACGAGTCGCGCGGAAACTTATTTGGCCCAAACAAATAACCCTTATGTGGTATACTGGTGGCTGTAACCCCGATGTAGGGTTACACGGCTATTCCCGATGAAGGTTCATATCCGCATCACCCCTTCATTGCAACTCAGACCCATTCTGTATGTTGCAATGAAGGTATGTTCCATACTCACTCATTTGGCTCTCACGTACTTATGAGACCCGTTCTGTACGCTGCAATGAAGAAATCTCATTTCTGTTTTGTTTCGAGTGCTCGCCGGAAGACAACCGGCTCACACTTTGTTTAAAACACCAAATGAACTGTCCTTCCACACCACACGTCTCTTTGTGAACGCATCTCTGAGCCTAATAGGCTATCCTACCGTCAGATCAATCTGCATGCCAAGATGGCCGCGGAAGCATTGCCCCACCGCTAAAACACCGCTGCTCCAATGGAACCATCCTGTAGACACCCGTGATGTAGACCGCTGTTGAGCCTACACCACCACCGTCTTGCCCATCCTGCTGCCCAACACTCACTCTCAAATTCATCGTCTCGCTAATCTCCTCCCATTTCATGACATCGAGAATATCCTGGAGATTCTAAACCCGGAATCACGACCAATCTCATCTCTCTTGTCCCTCTCAACCACCGATCTCTCGGACCTATCGCTATTATCTACCCGACCTACATCACCAGCGGTAATGCAATGCTCGAGATCGCCATCGACAGATTCAGATTCAGATACTCCCACGACCACAGTCATGTCTACTTCCGCGCTGGGAGTCACCACGATCATACAATCCTCGGCCAAGCACCCCCCCCATCCTAACTGCCAGCAAGATCACTCCCGCTGTTGCTCATGCATGGGAGAACACCTGCCTCCAGTATTTTAAACACAATGATGTCACCAATGATAAGAAGGTGGCCAAGGTTACGGGCGGCTTCCAGGACACTATTATTAGCGACTGGTATTACAACGACTCTGACATCTTTGACGCAATGATGTGGAAAGATTTCCTTGCCGCTTTCCATTCTCGCTTCCTCCCCAAGGGGTGGGACTTGGCCGTTCTGATGCAACTACTTTGCACTCATCAGAAGGAAGATGAGAGTTTCGAAGATTGGGTTTTCAGCATGGAGAAGCTGAACACCACTCTCTGCGGTATAAACTCTCATCTCGATGATGCCCGCCTCTGCGCCCAGATCTCTGCCAATGTCTGCAAAGATCTTCGGTTCACCTGCGACAAAGACGAGGTCAAGACCATAGCCTCATTCAAGGACTGGAAAGACAAACTCACCCAGCTCGACACTGTCCGTATGCGCAAACAAGCGCACATTCTCCGCATCACAGGCGCATCTGCATGCACCAAAGTCCCTCTGCTAACTATGACCAAGGGGAACGCCTCCCACCCCAAAGGTCCAAAGCTTCCCCCGCTCACTGATGAAGAATTGAAACTCCTTCACGACAACGACGGATGTTTCAAATGTCGCAAATTCTTCGTCCTCGAGAAAGAATGCGGGCGTGACTGTTGACAAGATTATAGTTCCATCGCAAGCCAGAAAGGTGGAGTATGAGCGGAATCAAGTCCGTGTGAGGTCTGAGATGCAATGAAGGAGAAGAGTCTATTCCAGAGGTATGAGGTGGGTAGCCTGAAAGCATAGCTAGGAAAATCTCTGTAGTCGCAATAATCGCTGGAAATGCATCGGAGTAAAATTGCACTGCTCTAAGGAGAACACTGAAATGTGGAAATGCAAGACTGCCCAGAAAATGCACAAAACGCAAGACTGCCCAAAGATGCACTAACTGGATGGGATGGGAATGTGGGTGAGGCTTTTGCAAGCGTACCTTCCGGGATGGTGGGTTCTCCCTGACCTCTTCCCCTGCCATCATACTTAAACTGGTCCTTGTTATGTGGCAGTGAAACATGAGCATCAAGTCAAGTCGTCACGAGACAAGGTCTTAGTCTAAGACACAAGTCCGTTCAAGAGACACTTCTGGCGATGTCCTCACACTGAAGGTCGATCAGGGTTCGTTCTTATGACTCGCAGTAGCTGTCTGCTACTAACGGTCGATCTCAGTCAAAGGCAAGTGAAAAGCTGGTTTAATGGTAACCAGGTCAAGATGAGGATCCAGCTTGACGAGGTCGTCTACTTATACAAAAGGTATCCGCAGTACTATGCAGTAATACGAGATTGTTCATTGGCTAGATAAGGTGAAACAATGTCTGGGCAAGGTAACAGCGAGGAAGTAATATGTATGGAAAAGCTGAGTAAGATCATGAGAGATAATTAGTACTAATGGGGATAACAAGTCGTGTATCAGAACGAGGTAAAGATGAGGCATACATGCACATCTTGCATGTGTGATAAGAAGAAGGTCCGGAGTTGGATCCGGTGTAACCCTAGACTAGGGGTTCTGGTTATCTGGATAGAGAATCGGAGGTTGCGCTCTGATGAGTCATGTGTTGAATCACGTGGTCTGGTAATGTAAAGGGAACAAAGAAAAGAAAAAGAAAAGACGTGCCATAAACGAGGAGTGTTGTAACATCAGCTCCCGTCTAACGTTTCTTGTCCCACAAGAAATATTGTAGTCTTCATCGTCGTCGGGGACAGTCCCAAACATAATGATCACCTCCACATCTGTAGCACGTCCGCCGTCCGGTTTGTGGTCCTCGTTCATGCATATGTTCATCACGATAGGGATGACTGCGATGCAAAGAAGTTGATGCGTGTGAGAAGGAGGGTTGCGATAATGGGGATCGACCAGTAGGTACATGTGAACGAGGGGGGCGAGGTCAAACAGGAATTGGTTCTGGTGATGAACGAGGAGTGGATGCGGGTCTCCCATCAATGGTGTATCCAAGGATGTGCCCGATGTCTTTGTCCCCATGCTCCCTCCAGATCTCCTGTGCTGTACGAGTGACCGTACTGCACATCAGAGACCAGACTTGGTCTACTCTGGTTCGGGCTCTACTCGTCCTTTCCTCCACTGCGATGAGCTCTTGTCTGGCTGTCTGCATCCACTCGACCATTTCTAATGCTCGCTGCATAGAAACCACTGCTTGTCGATCTTGCGGGCGATTCCTTAGGGCAACTAGAATCTCTGTGAAGTCAACGGGAATCCGGATGGCAGAGATCAGATGTGTGGCAAATTCTTGTTCGTCCGATGCATGACTGAGTTCGATTGAAGGTGAATTCGACGAAGCGCGGATGAAGGGTGTCTGTGTGCGGGAGGGTACTCCATTGACAAGCATAGGTGATGCGGGGATGCTCATAATTGTGGAAGCGACTTTAGCGAGTATGTTGTGAACAAGGTCGTCAATAGCAGAAGTGGGCATTGATGATACGTCGTCTTCTCCTCCTTTTATACCTTTCGGTCATTAAGGGGATCGCGGTTATCTGTGATGTGAAATAGAATGTCGTGGATGTGGGTGACAATCAAATAGATGAAAATCCATTGGGCAATAAAGAGTATTCTCATGGAGATAAGAACTGCCTGGTCAGTTCCAAGCATTGTTCTGATCACCCCAGCCGTTAGCGTGTGGGTTGTCTCATGTGAAGAGTGTATGTTCGATGAGTCGTCTGATAAGGATTCTGTGGATGATCCAAAGGAAAGCGAGGGTTGTGCAGTGGAGGACAATTAGAAAGACAACGAGGAAGGCCGTCATGGTAGTCATTCCAGTTTCCTCATCCTTTACTTAATTCCCCTGGTCCTTTTATATGCGTTGAGGGTCTGCTTTGCATTCTGTAAATTGTGGGCAGGTTCCCATGAGTTTTCTGCTGACAAATATCCCTTCCACTTGACTAAGTACCTCAGGTGACCTCGGTATGCCTTGTGATTTAGGATGGCTTCAACTTTGTACTCTTCTTTGTTATCCACGACATCAGGTGGTGGGTTCACATAATTCGGACCATGTATGTTATTTTCGCGATAAGGAGATAGAAGGGCGGCATGGAACACAGAATGAACTTGCCAGGTCTTCGGGAGTTTGAGATGATAGTTGGCTGGTCCGATGACTTCAACGATTTCGAATGGCCCTTTGTGCGCAATCGCTTCAAGGGCTTCATGAACAATGAGGTCCTTTGCTGCATGATTTCTGATTTCGTCAAATAGCATTGGGGAAATGGATCGCACAAACAGTGCATCAGGTAAAAGGATGTGATCTTCATTGTCACTTTCACTGTCATCGAGTCCATTACAACAAGATAGCGCATCAGATTGGACCATCTGAGTGCCAGGGACATGGATGAGGTGAAGATCAAATTGTGATAATTTGAGACTCCATCATGCTTGTCGGCGGTTTAAATTCTGGGCTGTACGGAAGTACATGAGGTTCTTGTGATCACTGCAAACTTCGACGGGATGAGGAGAGCCTTTTAGATAATGGCGCCATTCGGTAAGGGCTCAAATGATTCCGAGGAGTTCACAGTCGTAGATCTCGTAGTTCCGTTCAGCTGAATTGAGCATCTGTGAAATGTAGGCACAAGGATGGAGGTCTCCATTGATATCAGCTTGGCATAAAACTGCACCCGTAGCAAACTTGGAAGTGTCAGATTCGACAATAAAGGGTTTTGCTTTGTCGGGCAGCAACAATACCGGGGCAGTGCTGAATCGTTATTTCAATGTATCAAAAGCTGTCTGACATTCTGTTGTCCATTCAAAAGGTGGAGATCCAGCAGCGGTACACGTAAGGTTCATCAATGGTTTGGCAATATTCGAGAAGTTGGCAATGAATTTTCAGTAGAAGTTTCCAAACCCGAGGAAAGAGCGAACACCTTTTACCGTGCTTGGTTCAGGCCATTCTGCAATTCCTTTAAGTTTGATAGGGTCCATGCTGATGTAGTTCTCTCGAATAATCATGCCTAGGAATTCGACTTCCTTAACATTAAAGAAACACTTTTCTGGTTTAAGGAATAGGTCATTGTTTTTGAGTCGTTGGAGTACACGTCGGGTTCGAATGTGATGTTGTTCCAAATTGTTCGAGAAAATGAGGATATCATCCATGTAAATGACTATCCATCCTTCGTTGATTATGTCCTCGAAGAGTGCATTCATCATCATTTGGAAAGTCGCCGGGGAGTTGCAAAGTCCAAAGAACATGACCATAGGTTCGAAAAGTCCGCAGTTTGTCTTAAACACGCCTTTCCATTGGTCACCATCTTTGACTCTGACATTGTTATATCCCGAGCGTAGATCCATTTTTGTAAAGATTGATGCACCCTTGAGTTGATCCATGAGCTCAGAAATGAGCGGAAGGGGGTAGGCGTTCTTAACTGTCCCTTCATTCAGGTATTGGTAATCCTGACAGGGACGTAATGCTCCGTCTTTCTTTCTAACAAAGAAGAATGGTGAGGCCATGGGGGATTTCGATGGTCGAATGTATCCTTTTTGCAGATTTTCTTCCAAAAAGTCATCCATCGCTCCTTGTTCCTTGAGCGATAACGGATAGACTTTACAGTCGCGTGGAACAAAATCAGGTTTCAAGTCAATGGCGTGGTCCCAAGGCCTGGTTTCTGGGAAGCGTTCAGCTGCTTTCTTTTCAAAGACTGACTTCAAATTGTGGAGGTAGTCAGGGACCAACTCCTCAACAGTTTTGGGTTTGTCTGCAGCTGATGCTTCCTTGTGTGCCTGTTGTGCCAATTCCTGTGATTTACCAGATGGTTTATAAAAGACCATATTCTGTGCATTACAGAATAATGAGGATCGAGTACTGTGCGTCATCCTTCCAATGGTGGGGCCTCTTCATATCGTGAAGACTGCGGTTCCAGTCTCTTCATTCGTCAAAGGCGATTCCTTCCTGATGGGTTCGAATATTCCAATAACTGGTTCTCCCGCGATATAGGAGATAACTAGATCGTCATCATCAAGCTGATCCATAGAGGGTTCTAACAGTGGTTCATCTGGTTTGGTATCATTCTGCACTGCGGGTAACTTGCCACGCTCAGTGTTATCGGCCATGATTTCTCTGATAGATTCTGAATGTCCAAATGAGATAGGAGAAGTTTCAGTGGTGATTAACTCCGGGGATTCGTCTTCTTTGAAAATTGAAACTTCTTCATCTGGTGCATCTTTGACGGTGGGTTTTGGTGGCCATTTGGCATCTTTGCCAAACCAAAAGTCACCGGTTTCCCAATTGATCATCAGATTGAGGCGTTTAAGCCACGACATGCCGAGAAGTATATTCTCTTTGCCAATGCTGGTCAAGAGGAAGCGAGTAAATGTCTTCCTTCCTCTGATCTTCATCATCTTCCACGTACAGTGGGTAATAGTACCCATCTGATTTGGTGTGCCGTTCGCATTTACGACTTTAATCGGTTTTGGTAATTCCCATTTGATGAAATCATTTTCTTCCACAAAGTGAATATGCATGAACATTTCGGCTGCACCGGAATTGATCAAGGCTTCTGCTGCAATGTCTTCCTTCTCTCCCAACGAAATATTCACAGTGATTGAATTTCCGCTAGTGTTACAAATAACGAGGGGAGATACGGTAAGATGCGACGGTCCATGCGTTACTAGTGGCCGTCGTTTCAAAAACCCAACTGGGTTCGTTCTTCATCAGTCATGTCATTGAAGATGTTTTGCACATAGGCGATCTGTTCCTCTCTGGTTTCTTTCTTCGGCATCTCCTTCTTCTGTGCGAGGTCTTCTCGCATCTTCTTGATCCATGTGATCGTGTCCATGTCCAACCCGGGCTGTATCGTTCTAGCATGGGAGAAACTTCCAGACTGGGAGTGGAATTGTCTGTCGTTGGCTATATGGCCCTTCTGTCTGCATAGGAAACATAATCCTTCTTTCATTCTCTTCTGTCGCTTGTCCGGGAATAAGCGCGAGATATTAATATGATCAACATCCATTGCATTTGGATCCTTTGCAGAAGTCGAGTAATAAGGACGATGGGTAGATCGGCCTTTACCTCGTGTCATCATAGTGGCTCCTCGCTTGAAGATCTGAGCAGATCTCCATTGGTTGTCAAACTGCGAGGTATATTTGTACCACTTGTCAAGTGTCTTGGGCATGCTCTCCATCCCATATATCCTTTGTCGGAGTGGGTCGTTAAGTCCCCACTTGAAATATTCGATATTTCCGGCATCTTCTAGTTTCGCTTTCGGTACAAGTGATCGGAATTTGGCAATGTAGTCGTCCGCAGTTCAAGTTCCTTGTTTGATGTTACGCAACAAGGTACGAGCGGTTTCTTCAATGTTTTCATCGCTGAATGCTTTGTTCACATCCCTAATGAACTCCGTCCAACTTCCATAAGAAAGGAAGTTGTCATTGATGAGTTTTGTTTCTATGAAACTCTGCACCTATGATCCTGCTGTCCCTCCTTGCATGTGCGACAGCACAAATGCAATCTTCTGATTGTCCTCTTGGTAGACATGGCTATTTCCTGCCATGTAATTCTTGCATTGGTTTATAAATTCCCTGAGCTTTGAACGGTCTGAACCGTTGAAGATCTCGGGTTTTATAAAACTAAGTTCCTTTTGGCTAACATGGTGACGACTTTCATCCATGGTAATTGTAGCCACTGGTGGAATGTCAACGGTTACAATTGGTGCAAGAGTCGATTGTGGTATGGGATTCTGGACAGGGGGGTTCCAAGGGGCATCTGGTCTTTCTCCTTGATAAGAGATCAGTATACCGCTGTCTGCGATATGTAGCAGTACAAGCTCTCCAATGTTATGGGGTAGAGTTGCTTTGTAGTCACCACCTGGGTGATCGATGTGTTGATCTGGTCTGATGAATAAGGGTCGTCCGTTTAAAAAGTGTATGTTCCTCTGCACGTCCCACTCTGCCTGAGATGGGAGAAGGTCGATGTACTGCTTGGGAAGAGCAGTCGGGTTGATAAAGTTCAAATCCAGCGTGGATAATTTCTTCTGTGTGACCTATGTCTACACGTAGACTACACACCATCCTCAACTAAGTGGGTTCGTTCATTATCGGCTAACAAGCCTGTAGAGTGTCTTCTGTCTTCAAACTGATACACCTATTTGCTAATTGCTCGAGTGATTATCTCAGCCTCCTCAGCCTATTGGTCTCTCGGACAGACCCCTTTTCAAAGATGAGTGATCAGTCTATCCCTTCAGCTGCCTTGATTACAAAGTAATCTCAAACGGCGCTTTAGCAATTGAATCCGGGTGTATCGTTCAGTCTTCAAGGTTCAGTCCAGTCGGTAGTTCATTGTTAGACTTTGGAAAGTCACAGAGAGTAATAAGATCTCGACCTAATGTTATGCGGCAGCGAAACACGAGCGTCAAGTCAAGTCGTCATGAGACAAGGTCTTAGTCTAAGACACAAGTCCGTTCAAGAGACACTTCTGGCGATATCCTCGCACTGAAGGTCAATCAGGGTTCATTCTTATGACTCGCAGTAGCTGTCTGCTACTAACGGTCGATCTCAGTCAAAGACAAGTGAAAAGCTGGTTTAATGGTAACCAGGTCAAGATGAGGATCCAGCTTGACGAGGTCATCTACTTATACAAAAGGTATCCGCAGTACTATGCAGTAATACGAGATTGTTCATTGGCTAGATAAGGTGAAACAATGTCTGGGCAAAGTAACAGCGAGGAAGTAATATGTATGGAAAAGCTGAGTAAGATCGTGAGAGATAATTAGTACTAATGGGGATAACAAGTCGTGTATTAGAACGAGGTAAAGATGAGGCATACATGCACATCTTGCATGTGTGATAAGAAGAAGGTCCGGAGTTGGATCCGGTGTAACCCTAGACTAGGGGTTCTGGTTATCTGGATAGAGAATCGGAGGTTGCGCTCTGATGAGTCACATGTTGGATCACGTGGTCTGGTAATGTAAAGGGAACAAAGAAAAGAAAAAGAAAAGACGTGCCATAAGCGAGGAGCGTTGTAACAGTCCTGACCTTTCCTGCCCTCCCGATACTGCCTGCATCTGCTTAACAATCGCTCTGCTGAATCACTGCCCATCACGCCATATCTCGCAATCCCATCCCCTCATGCTCCTACTCATTCTGAGGGATCCTCCATCACCGAACCCACCCGAGCACCTAATAAGGGTCCACCTGCCTCGGAGGCATCTCCCATCCCAAACTCAATCTCCCATTCATGGACGCCAGTGTCATCCTTCACAAATACACCCTTGCAGAAGCTCTTCTTCGCATTGAGATCTTTACCGAGCCCTTCGATCTGATACTGTGGAAGGCATGGGCAGTCCAGATGCACGTCCTGCTGGTGAGGCTTCTGCGAGCATATGTTCCTTTGCTGTCTGGTCCTCACACGTCCCTCAGATCTTCATGGTCCAAGCCCAGTCTGAAGCGGCCAGCGTGGGGATCATCCTACCCCTTCCGTGTGATATTCCTGTCCTTGCCCAAGTGGAAATACATCTTGCAACGGCTCGCACTGTGGAAGCTGGTCGTCGGATGGTCCCTCAGATTGCTGACCACCTTTCCGCTGTCATTCCTCATAGTTTGACTGTGCGCATTCTGTATGATGACCCCGCTGTCCACGAGGACTTTGGTTTGGGTCACTCACTTCCTGACATTGGTGCACAGTCATCCTATCCCCATTTCCCTGAAATCGTGTTCCTTAGTTTTGCTTTATTGCCATTAGGAACCTTGCACCTTCAGGTTGAGACATTGCGCAACGCGACCTGTGAACTGTACAATGTCATGCATGGGATCACCGGTAGATGCGAGTTGGCGGATGGTACTCTGAGGCGGTTGCGGATCGTAGTTGAGGAGTTAGAAATAGCATTCGGGCTCGTAGTGTTCCCTCCTCCGATAACCAGCTCAGCTGTGGTTCCCACTTTTGTATAACAATGGCCCAGGTAGCTGGGCAAGGTGTTGTTCACTACTCACCATTTCTTGTCAATTGTCAAAGTTATTGTTAACAACAGTCTGAGAGGATTGTAATACAATAACAACTTGTACAAAACAACTTGCACTCAGCCAGGCTTGAACCCTGGTCTTCCGGACACATAATTACATAAGCACATGCCGCATACACAATCTACCAACTGCTCCATTAGGCCAGGCATTTCTTTTAGCCTCAATTCTATATAAGGCTACTGCCTTCTCTAATATACATATTAGAATCTTCTGTAATGGCAGTCTACTTATAGTGGTAGGGTCAACGAAAATTAAATTAATTAAATGAAATTAATTCGAGTGAGTGAGAAAGAATTCACTCTGCAGCTCTACATGATGCTCGCTGTGTCCTCGACTCCAACACATGGGTTCTCCGGGGTATGAACATCAGTTTGTATGTTACTTAGGTACAATCCATAATGATGTTGTCGAGTTATATTCAATCTTTGCAGTATGGTCAGATGTACAAACATCACTGCAAAGACAGCTCTTCTTGCAGTGCAACCTTAGAGGCATGGGTTCTCTAGAGATTCCAAGTTGATGGCATGCAAAAATCCTCTAAATTTTGTCCTTGCCCTCTGGGCGAGTGTGTGTGTACCTCTTGCAGCACAGCTGAACTTGGGCCTAGTGCAGTTGCGTTCCCTGTAACTGTCCAAATGCAAGGACTTCCTCTTGCAACTGGAGAAAATTCCTATGACACCACAAGTTTTGTCAGGCATAATTTTCACTGCCAGGACATGCAATGTATAGAAGAAAAGTCCCCGAGCAGAGATTCAATTGCAGGTCAATGTTACCCTGAATGGATCTCCATCTCAAACTCCACTTGAGCAGTCATCTTGCATGGTTAGAGAGCATATAAAGCTCTCAATTACACACACAATTTTTTATAAAAACATGCTGCAAAGTGTGTAATCTAAGTAGGTGTTGCATGGCATCCAAAGCAGAGGTGCTTGCTTATGTCAGAAATGCCATTTGTGGCAGGTCTCCTGCCGCATTAAGAATGCACATGACGCAGGCCCGCCCGCGCCGGTAGGTTAGGTTTTTAAAACTCCGCTAGGACCTAACTACCCTACCACTATAGGGAGACTGCCTCTGTAATAACTACTATATCCTGTTGTTACTGTGGCTAAGAGTTATTTGCCTACATTTTTCTATTTATTTCACTCTTCTAATTGCTTTATTACATCTATAAATTTTGATATTATAGTTTTAATCTTATTTGAATATTTACTGAACTAAAAAAGAAATGCTTAATATTAGACATTCAAAGACTTATTAACAGGGACCTCAATCACTGTTAGAAGTCACAGTAACAGGATATAGTAGTTAAGATTCTAATATGTATATTAGAGAAGGCAGTAGCCTTATATAGAATTGAGGCTAAAAGAAATGCCTGGCCTAATGGAGCAGTTGGTAGATTGTGTGTGCGGCATGTGCTTATGTAATTATGTGTCCGGAAGACCAGGGTTCAAGTCTGGCTGAGTGCAAGTTGTTTTGTACAAGTTGTTATTGTATTACAATCCTCTCAGACTGTTGTTAACAATAACTTTGACAATTGACAAGAAATGGTGAGTAGTGAACAACACCTTGCCCAGCTACCTGCAGTATTGTTATACAATGCTGGCCACCACTGGTGACCAGCTTCCAATTGCTGTCGGACTAGGGTCTGTTGTGTAGCACCCTGTGGTATTTTCGAAATGTGAGACCGCTTCACAGATGTGATTCCTACCTCAGCGCACTACACGTCCCTTCACCATTGCACTGACTCATTCCCTGATGTGTCATCCTATCACACGTTCACTCAGGCAGACGTTGAATCAGCCCGTCGCGCCAAGGGTAAAGAGAATGCGAAACCCCGTGCCAATGTCGCCGCTGTCTCCGAGTCTGTCGATGACATCACCTTTAATGTCGGCACCATCAATGTGAACTCTACGCTGTTGACCGCCACCACTGGCATCCTCGGCACGGGCTCAGATTCTGAACCTGAGTACATACAACCCCCACTCGCTCCCTTCACCGTCGCACACATTCCCTGGTCAGGAATTGTGCATGGCCCGCGTCTCGACTCTGACCCGCTTCCAATGCTGATTGATTCCAGTTCCCCTGCAGTTCTGATTAGGTCAGAACTCATCTCATGTCTTGGTTTGCGTCATTGCAAACTCCCGCAGCCTTTTCTGCTAGGAGATGTGTGGGGTATGGAGTCTAAGGATTCGGTTGAGTGGGTTAAGCTCCGAGTTTCATCTCCAGATTTGTCTTGGTCCTCTGTCACTTGTCGCGCCATCATTGTATCATTGTGTTGTTATCCTATCATTGCCGGTCGACCCTTTCTAAAGACAAACCGCCTTATCGTCGACCACAAATGTGATTCCATCACTGACAAGTCCACCGGACATGACATCTGCAAACTGGCACCCCTCGCCGTTTCGCCTCCACCATCACTCGCACCTTCAATAATTCCAGTTGCATTCCTCTTTCATGAACTTGCTGAACGTACTGCTGACTGTCAAACTCACTGTGATGAGCACACAGTGGATGAGGCCGCCACCGCTGTACATGCAATTCGGAAGCACACTGAAGAACTCGCATTCCAGATGACTCTCGAGTCTGAGAATCGCAAAATCAAAGACGAATTCAGCGATCTCTTTCCCGACGACATTCCACACCTCAATGAACTTCCTACAGACATCTACCATCATTTTGTCCTCAAGGACCCCAGTATGTTCATCCAGCACTGTCAGTATGACTGTCTGAAGAAATATCGAGAAGTGTGGAAGCAACTTCTTGATGGACACCTCCACGCAGGTTGAATGCGCCCCTCTGATAGCCCATATGCCTCACCCGCCTTTCTTATTCCCAAAGCTGACCCCACAGCCCTTCTCCGTTGGGTTAATGACTATCGTGCACTCAACGCAAACACTGTCCCGGACATGCACCCCCTCCCTCTCATCAGTGATATCCTCGCTGACTGCGCCAAGGGTAAGATCTGGGGTAAGATCGACATGACCAACTCCTTCTTCCAGACCCATGTTCATCCCGATGATGTAAAGTACACTGCTGTGACTACTCCCTTTGGACTTTACGAATGGCTGATAATGCCACAAGATTGCTGGAATGCGCCCTCTATGCACCAATGACGGATGTTTGGTGCACTTCGCCCATTGATTGGTAAGATCTGCCACGTATACCTTGATGACATTATCATTTGATCACAGACTCTCGAGGAACACATTCATAATATGTGCACAGTCCTTGAGGCACTTCGTGCACACCACCTTTACTGCTCCGATAAGAAGACCTCACTTTTCCTCACGGAGCTCTCCTTTCTAGGTCACATCATATCACAGGATGGCATACAGCCCGACCCTCAGAAAGTCGAGAAAATCCTGAACTGGTCCATGCCGCACAGCACGTCCCAAGTTCGGGCCTTTCTCGGGCTCGTCTGCTACATAGCACTGTTCCTCCCCAAACTCACTGACTTCACGCACCTTCTCAACCCTCTTACTACTAAGGATGCCGAGCTCAATTTTCCGACGTGGATGGATAGCCGCCAAGCAGCCTTCGACAGTATTAAGATGCTTGTCTGTAGTCGCGAAGTTCTCACCTCCATTGATCACGATAACATGGGTAACAACAAAATCTTTGTATCTTGCGATGCCAGCGACTTCTGCACAGGTGCGCTTCTTTCGTACAGTGAATCATTGGAGACCGCTCACCCAGTAGCCTTCGAGAGCTGCACCCTCAAAGGTGCAGAGCTTAACTACCCAGTGCATGAGAAAGAACTTCTCGTGATTGTGCATGCACTTAAAAAGTGGTGTGTCAACTTGCTTGGTGTTCCCTTTACCATCTACACTGATCACCGTACTCTGGAGAATTTCTTCCACCAAAAGGAACTCTCCAGGAGACAAGCCCACTGGCAAGAATTCCTCGTACAGTACGACTTTGACATCAGAAATATCAAAGGCGAGGAAAACATCACTGCGGACATCCTCTCATGCATACCTGCTGACACCATCATTATCGACCCTTCTGCATGTGTCGCTGTCTCACTCATACACATTGCAACACGATCGCTCTGCGACATTCCGGAATCTATTGCAGTGTTCGCCTCCGCTGCCAGCCGATTATCAATTGCTGCAGATCCTGTGTGACTCTCGGCACTGCGCACGGGATATGTCCAAGACAAGTGGTGTCAAAAGTTACGCTCCACATCTGGATCCCTCGGTGTTCGTGAACAGGATGGACTCCTTTACATTGGCAACAGGCTTGTCATTCCCCCAAGTACCCAAGCTGTGTGAGGCCATCTTCTGCCTTGCGCATGACTCACTTGGTCACTTTGGCTTCGACAAGTCTTACGCAGCAATTCGCGACACCTACTACTGGCCTAACATGCACACCGAACTCGAACACATGTATGTTCCGGTGTGCGAAGACTGCCAGCACAATAAGTCGCCAACCCATAAACCACACGGCCCACTGCATCCTCTACCGATACCGGACGGACGATGTGACAGCATAGTGATCAATTTCATCGGGCCACTCCCAGAGGACAATGGTTTCAATTGCATCGCGACCATCACCGACCGTCTGAACTCTGATGTTCGACTCATCCCCACTTGCACTGACATCACCGCAGAGACCTTCACGACCCAATTCTTTGACCACTGGTACTGCAAGAACGGTCTCTCGCTCGACATCATCTCCCGCTCAACATTGTCTCCGATCGCGACAAACTTTTCATCAGCACCTTTTGGAAAGCACTTCACCGTCTTACTGGGGTCAGGTTGAAAATGTCCTCAGCATACCACCCCCAAACAGATGATGCCTCCGAACAGTCGAATAAAATGGTGATACAAGCCTTACGGTATCATGTCGCTTGTAACCAACGTGGCTGGGTGTGTGCCCTACCCCGCATTCATTTCTGCATCATAAACACCATTAATAACTCAACCGATTTCTCCCCCTTCCAGTTAAAAACTGACCGTTCTCCATGCCTTGTGCCCCCCTTCTCTCAGGTGTCATTGGCGGATGATGCCTTGAATGAGGCCACACGTGCCGCTGAGCTTTTCACGCACCTCGATATGGACGTCATGGAAGCTCAAGACAATCTCTTCCTCGCGAAGGTTAACCAGGCGGCACTGGCTAACCACTTGCACAGTGAAGAGATTTCCTATGTGGTTGGAGATAAAGTGATGCTTTCCACCTTCCACCGCCACTGTGACTACATGCAGCATGGCGACAACCGAGTAGCTAAATTCATGGTTCATTATGACGGCCCATACAGCATCCTCCACTCCTACCCTGAATTTTCTGCATACACCCTTGATCTCCCCACATCCACCAACATCTTCCCCACTTTCCATTCCTCGCTCCTCAAGCCTTGGCTCGAAAATGACCCGGAGCTTTTCCCTTCACACCAATGCAGCCAGCCGGGCCCTATTATCACCACTGATGGCGTTGAGGAATGGGAAGTCGAATCTATTGTTGACCACCGTCCTCGAGGTCACGGCTTCCAATACCTTGTGCGCTTCCGCGGATATGGTCCAGAGCATGATGTGTGGTTACCCCGCTGAGAAGTAAATGACTTAGCTGCACTTGATGAATACTTACTCCACTCCCCTCATTAATTTCTTCCTTCCTACTCCATTTCTTCTTTTACCTACCATGCTCATTTTTTTACGGTGGGGAGGAGTGTAACCCCGATGTAGGGTTACACGGCTATCCCCGACGAAGGTTCATATCCGCGCCGCCCCTTCATTGCAACTCAGACCCATTCTGTACGTTGCAATGAAGGTATGTTCCATACTCACTCATTTGGCTCTCATGTACTTATGAGACCCGTTCTGTACATTGCAACGAAGACATCTCATTTCTGTTTTGTTCCGAGTGCTCGCCGGAAGACAACCAGCTCACAGTGGCACCCCAACATTCATCAGTAAAAGGTCCACAAGCACTGTAGTGCAACATAGGCTACATAGTCATGGTAGCACTGTCACAGGTCCCCCTATACATAGTATTCCGTAGTACCTGCTTAAGCTCTGTAGTGCAACATAGCAAGACTTGCAAACAATGTTGCATAATAAAATTGAAGGTTGTCGTTGGGTTGCCATGATACTATAGCCTGTATAGTGCACTGTAGACAAACATAGATAAAGACCAAATTAAATATATTGGTAGTCACTGTCCCCGCACACTGTACACTACATTGATACACACTTTGAATGCCGTACCTGTATATGCAGTGTACTGGTCAGCCAGAGGGATAGTGCACTAAGGTGGTTCATACCTGTGCCGGAAAGGGTCTGTGTACTCCTGGTGCATGTCTGCCATCGACTTGCCCCTCGCAGAGAGTTCCGTGAGGGGCAAGTCGGGCTCGAGCATAAGGTACACCTGCAGTGTGCACCACATGCCGCTCTGCTTTCGATTGTCAGTTAGCCAGAAGCCTCAGCAGCATGAGTACCCACTCAAAGATACCCAGGACCCAATGTGGAGTGCAGCCACACATCCAAGGCTAGATGAGTGACAGTGTCGTGACCCCCCCATGAGTATATTTCCAAAGCTCTACCCGAAACACCCCATTGGAGTACACAGTATTCAAACTGACCTTGTATGCGAAAGCAGGAAAATATGCACACTCACCGGCCACGAATGACAGCTGCACACCAGCCATGCATGCAGTCAATCACGGGTGACGTCCAAGCTGAGGATGGCAGTCGAGAGTGCCAGGATGTCATCGGAGGCTGGAGGGACACGTCAAGGATAGACTGCAGAGGCGGGAGACATGGCAGGAGAGTCAAGTCAAGTCAGAGTTACAAGGATCCATGTGCGAGGACAAAATTCCCTCACCGTCTTCGCGCATCTGCTCGTTCTCGCCATCTGACAATGCTGGTACATCCTCTTGCTGAGATACCGCGAGTGGAAAGACGTGCCTGAACTTCCTGCTGTCGCACTGCAGAGGTCGAAGCGCAAGAGTCAGTGGCAGGGACAGGCAGTGACCCTTGTCAGACAGGTTGAGCTAAGTGTATAAGGAACATTGGTAGACATGGTAAGAAAATGTTGATGGGCAGCAGTGGGGAGAAGTTTCGGGCTTTCGAGCACCAGAAGCCTGACAGACTGTTATCTGCAAATATCAGAATGTATCAGTAAATACTTGTCACTCATCTTTGCTCATTGCATCTCGTGCACACTGAGTAAGGATAAGAGAGAAAGAGGAGAGAAAGACAAGGAGAATGCAAGGGGAAGGATTCAACAAGCGCAAGTTCAACATTGTTTGTGGGCTTTGTTTGGTGCCTTCAACAAGATCACGTGCACCCACTCTGTGATCGTCCAGCAGCGCTAAGTCTCTCCCTCAGCCTGAGCTCGAGGCTGGCGACTCATGAGTGCAAGTACTCAGTGTTAATTCAGCATATATACATACGGGGCTTGTGGAAATTCCCACTGAGAGGTGAACTCAGGTAATGTTGATGTTGCGACAGGGCTCTATGCTCAGAACTACAGTACGTCTCTTCTTATGCTTCTTGTGGCAGTCCCAGTCATTGAGGTTGCAAGTTTGAAGTTTGTTTTTGTAGTGTACACCAGTATATGTAGGCATGTATGATTGACGTGGGAGACTGCTGTTGTACCAGTGCAAGGTATATTGACAACAGTAGATAGCTGTAGCATTACATCAACATCAGTGTGGTACATAGTCTAGCTAGGCACTATAGCCTGGGAACCCTTTTGCTGATGTTCTCAATGGCAGTACACCCGGGTATTCTGCAGCTGCAGAGCATGTATTTCATTGTGTGCATACTTTGTGAAGCATTCAAAGATAATTTGACAGCTTGAACTGCCGTGACTGCCGTTAGACCGACGTTAGACAGCTGAACCTCACTGAGCCAGTATATGGCTCAGCCACTGCGGCTCCTCTCAGCATACTGTAGCGAAATGACCTTAGGTTCATGGGGTGTGACCCGTGACATGCTGGCTTGACTTAGTTCACAGTTCACAAGTCAGTGTGACATGGGACACTAGTTCAGTTCACTGGCGCCGCAGGCGCCCGTGGAGGTTGGAAGTCGGATTTCCCTCAAGCTTGATGGCTCATTATACAACCAGACTGTATGGTAGTACAAGCTACAGTGATTCTGAGCATGCAATATATTGCATGTAAAGCCTCACACATTCGGGTCAGCCATCACTCACACTACAGATAAGTGCCCGCAAATGAATATTTAGCGCTCGTGACCATTCTGTTGGGCCGCCACATCAGGAAACCTAACTTTTACTTATGGGACTTATTCCGACTTTTTGTCCTTTTTTGCCTTATTTAAGGCCCATAAGTTTCCAAAATTCGACTTTTAAGGCTCTAAGGAAATATGACTTATAGACTTTTTGTCCTTTTTTACCTTATTTAAGGCCCATAAGTGCATTTAAGTCACATAAGGACACCTTTAAGTAAAAGTTGGGTTTTCCTGATGCAGTTCATAATTACCTGTGACCCGTGACAAGCGCCCAAATAGGTTCAGTTCACAAGGGCTGTGACCCGTGACTGAACCTAAGGTCGTTTCGCTACAGTACACCGCAACTTGTGCTCCACATGGCTCAGAGGTAGCCGCAGTGGCAGAGCCACCCGATCAATGCCGCATAGAAACCACATGTTTCAGAGCTGGATTCCATGAAAAATCGGGTATTGTACCAGGATAGTGCTATTGTAATCTGGCTTCTATAGAACTTGTCACATAGAAACCAGCGAGAAGTTCAGCAAACATCCACATAGCTGCTATCTGTCCAGCCTCAAATGCTTCAGGCCCATGCTCGCGCGATTTTGCGTGGCCACACATGCACATAGAAATAGGAATTTGCATATATTGAAATGTGATTGACTACATACATAGAGCTACAATTCTACTGTAGCCTGCCTAAGAACCCTGTCAACCAGATGCTGTATCTCCACTTACAACAATACAAACATCGCCCATGATACCGAGGCCAACAGAAGGCTACCCACTGCCGCAGAAGATGAACTTCATGCATATCAAACTGGTTGCAAATCATAGGAGAACAGAGGACTTAAACTGGAGCAGTTCTATATCAGTCTCAAGCATCCAAGGGAACCTTGGTACTCACCCCAAAACATTGTGCACCACGGGTTTCAAACGATGTGGAGTCTTGGTTCTGTCCACAGCCCTGAGCTGCACTGCACTATTAGTCAAGTGCATGACAGAGTTACTGAGAAACTTACATTCAGTGCACAGGACATGCATCAGTGCCATTCGAGCACAACTATGGAGACGCTGTGGCGGCGTGGCCCAACGACGAGCTTGTGTTACGGGAAAGGACTGTCCGGAAAGATGGCAGGAATATAAGCAAGTCAGAGTATGGCGTGAGCCATGGGTGCAGAAGGTCAGTCACATAAGGGTCACCGAGCGGAGAGTGAGTGTAGTGGAAAGTGATTGGGAGCATGCAAGCGAACGAGTGGACTTGTGTTATATTATGAAGAGATTCAACTCCGTTGAGGAGATTCACGTGATGTCTTGGCCGGAGAAGCTGTGTGCATGAATTTGAACTGGAGTTGAAGGAGCCATGAAGCAGTAGTATGTGGCTGCCATGTAGAGACAAGATGGTGTACACACAGACCTCAAGCTAATTTATTGGTAATAAAATACGGGTATACAACGTATCCCCAATCCGGCTGCCAGTTTATTGTCCCAGTGGCGCGTGGCTGAAGTGGTTGCCTGGCTCCCACATTTGGCAGGATTGGCGGTGTACTGCATATAGGTTGTTTGTCCGGGCCAAACATGTCGCTGCGCGAGTTGCGACCTGCACGTTATTATGCAACGCACTGTAATCTCGATTTTTCCGATTTTTCGAAAATTCCAAAAAGGCAGTTTTCCGCCGGAGTGGTCGAAATGGTACAGTACCTCAGGAACCTAGCATGTTATAAACCTAACATTAACAACACGCTCTGAGTTTCATCCGCAACACTACCACTGACCAGGTATAAGGGAAGGAAGCCTAATTAGCCTTGTTATCAATATGCACTGACTCGGATAAGGCTAATAAGGCTGATATTGGGTGTCACGGGTGGTAACTTACTTCACAGACTCAATGTGAACTGTTAGAGTCGGGGTTGGTCAAATAGCTTCAGCAAGACGTATCGTAGTACAAAGCGGCCACATCAATACACATTGATAGATTCATCGGACTCCCACTGTTATTCCGTCTTCAACTTAGCCCCAGGGGCTAGTGGAGGAGTCCACCATCGTTCTCATATACTAAACCATTCTGGCCGCTATGGAAACGCCAGATAAGTACAAAAACACAATATCTGATGACAGTAAAAGAAACATACCGCCTGGGCGGAACGATTGCGGAGCTGGAGCTCCAGTCGGCACGTTGGAATGCGCTCTGAACCCAGAATAAACTTGTGATGCCTGAGTGACACGAGAATGTGCTCTAGAACCAGAGGGGACTTGAAATGATGAGGGAATCTCGGGAATACCTTGAGGAGCTTGGGTGTGTCGGGGAAAGGTACTCGCTTGATTCTGATCCTTGGTGAACTTCAGTCGAATTTATGACAGTGGAGCAGGCGGAAAGAGGCAGAATACTTACCAATAATCGGTTGTAAATGTCATCCACCCGTCCTTGGGCATTAGAGAGCAAAATCTTTAAACTTTCTCGCAAATCATATGTCTCGGCGTTGCTGGCCGAAGTGAGCTGCCCATGAAGTACCTCCACGTTCCTGCAAATGCTAGGCGACCGCGTACGTCAACAAGTGAAAGGCTGTCGGTGCCAGGTGTGTATGGAGACTGGGTAAATGGGGACATACGAATCGATTTCCCTTTCTATATTGCCTAGAATCCCGGGTTGTATAGCTTCCAAGGTGGCACAATCTCCTTGTTTGATATGTTTCATGAAGCCAGCGGCTCTTCTCAGAGTCTTAAGTGAGGCGCGGAGATTGGACCTCGCAGAGAGTATGTCCTCGTAACTAAGAGCAGTCTCGACCATCAAGATGGTACCGAGTATGAATGTCAGCACAAGGTCGGCGTCATCTCCATGCTCGCGCTGAAAGGTCGACATGGTGTCACTATAGTATGCCATAGATCAACAGGCCGGTGAAACTCGAGGTTCCAAAACACGCACAAGCTATGAGTGTTCTTCAAGTTGTCAGAAGGGAGTTTACTCGGGAGCATGCACCAGTAAATTCACCACGAGCGAGGAAACCAAGCGCACGTTCGGGAGAAGAAAAGCCACGGCCACCCCAACTCATATACTGCAGAGGCAGGACTCGGACTGAGTCATCCCATGTTAGATCGCGGGCAGATACGGATGCCAATCAGCTGGGTACCACCGTGAGAGGCGAGGGAACAGTCCCCCATCGATTCTCCCAAAATTCACGTTCGATAAGCCCACGCATGGCTTAAAGCGATCAATTTCACTTTGTGGACACAAGTGGGTCCGCGTGAATGAGTGTCAGGGGGTTGATTCAGCCTGATTCGGCCGTCGCCCGGCATCCGAGTCCATGTCAAATCCATGTCACACAATCCTCACTGTACTAGCTGCTACTCCAAGCCTCTAATTATATCGCCGAATTGCTTGAGAAATAGGGGTGAGACCAAAGCAAAAACTCTACTCAGACGATGACAGCGTCTCCGATGTGAGCATGCTGTCTGTCTGTCTGGTCGCTTTCCGATCCGGATTTTTATTAATATGGTTGGGTTTACAGTCTACGAAATATGGCCAGCCTGAGAGGTGTTATTGGCCGTTCCCTATCATTGACCTGGACTAGAGGTCAGTTTTTTTGTGACATCTTGGTGATATGGGCGCCGCACGTCATCACGATTTCAACTCTTGTTTTTAGAGCCTGTGCAACGTCCATGTAATGTATCTCGGCTGAAGTACCAGTCCAGGTCGCTTCAGTGACCCGGTATATTCTCGTTTATTCACCCGTATGCGGTCCTGACAAGGATTTGTTGACTTTCTGATCGCGATCAGGCAGTTCCGGAGCTCTCAATAATTCAACTTCTTCCCGATAGTAAGGTATCGGACGTATCTTTGCTTGAAGGAGTCTTTCGTTATGGAATGAATGGTACTACTTCGTTCCGACACATCTGTACGTTGGAAAAAGATACCGGATCCAGAAAATCCCTGCTGTAGGTTATTTGACGGCAGTGAGTGAGAACGTCGCACGAAGATGGATGGCGTTCACGCTTCACGCCGAATACGAGTTTCATCACCTCTGGTGCCACACAACCTCAAAGGTCCTTGCTCGAGACGTTCTCCCTGATACTGCCGTGAAAACGTCGGAAGGCTAGAGTTGGAACGTAGGAATGGTTAGCCGCTGATTTCGGTGAAATTTCACTGCGTAGCGAGCCACCTCGCTACTTGCGATATATATTAGAAAATTTCCGCCACAACTGCATGAGTTCCTCAAGCACTTGTGACCCATGGGTTAACAGGGTAGTGAGTAGTATTGAGCAACCCCACAACATACATTTTCTCCTGCCCTTTACCGTTGGCGCATTAACGCCCTCAGTGCGCCACATCACCTTGAGAGCTCCTGCGAACCATTCAATCAATGGACAATCACTCTTTGTCATTGGTATCCTGCTATATGTTTTCCGATGGCCATCAGTGATACTGGATCGCTCGAGGACCGCTTGTAAGTGCTGTACGAGTATGTTATGTTGCAAGGACCTTCATGAATCTTCATGCAGTGTCATACAACGTACGCTATAGGCTGACAATACCTCGATCAGACCCCAAAAAACATTTGTCAAAATTCTTCAACCATTCTCGACCAACAGACTGCAGTTTATACTTGTTCTCCCACTCACACACCCTGGTGGTGGTCGTCACGCCTCGAAGACGAGCCAGAACTGTATGATTCTCGAGGTGACATCGTAAACGTCGCTGGAGCGGGGTTGTTAGGAGGTAGTCAGCAGAAAATCGTAACAAACATACGATTGGGCAGATTGGGCAGCTCCAAGACTGGCGCACTACTATTAGGAGGTCTCGTGGACCATTCGGGCTGCCGTGGTGCGAACTGTCTGCGGCTTCGCGTGAGCCATCCACTACTTGCTTGACGACGTGCGCTTGCTTCGGCAACCGCTGTGAACAGTCTTTGTGTAGATACCCTGATCCCCAACAGGTAGTCTTTATCCTCACCTTGCGGTATGGGTGGATTGAGGACTTCTGTGCTGGTGGTCTTTGAGAGACTCTGAACCTTGCATTAACGTGGAGATGAGCTTCATTCTCACCAACAAGCTATCCAGGAGCACTGTAGCTACTTGGGACGTTTCCTGGACATTGTGCCATACAGCACCCTTCCAGCCATACACTTCCATGGCGCTGGCGTTCCTGACGTCTCTATCTAAGAACTGTGCGTATGTCTTGAGCCTACAGCGGAAACACCGAATCGAGTAACAAATAGAGAACGAAAAGAAATTCTCTCACTGATATACATTCTGGTTTATCTTGTTGAAGAAGTCAGGATAACGCTGTTCAATCATCTGCCGATCTTGCGGACTGAGCAGCTTCAAGTAGGCATCAATGCGTTCGAACGTTGTCTCCGCTTTCCGAAGAATTGACTTTGCACTCCTTTCCTCGATCTTTCCTCCCACCCACTTTAAAGAGCCCAAGGAGATATGAAATATGGAGAATGCTCCTAGGACAAGTGTAAAAGTGGTGGCGGCGTCAGTCGTTTGTTGCCAGCTTATAGAGTCAGCCATGACATGGAAAGTAGGATATGTGAGAATAATGGTCTATTGGCAGCAGTATAAGACTCACACCCATCGCTCTATCATTGCGGTTATCTCCCATGCCAGTCTTGCGGCTACTCGTGATTCAGAGGGCAAGATACGGATCGATCCTGGACCAAAATGTCGCGAGCATCGAAGGCAGAAGTTTGCCGTAAAGCTGATTCTGATGCTTCCAGGCGCCGTCTCTGATTGAGACGGTACGCACGCCAGGGCAGAGGGCTTGCTGGCCCATCGGATGATCCCATGGCAGTTGACGAGCCGATAACTGTTTTGAGCTTGTGGGTCCAAGGCGGTCCGAAAACCTCGCGATTCGCCACCTGCATCATCTGAGTAGGCCACATCATGGATTTATCGAATGTAGTCAAATAGTAGACGTTGCCAGCGGTGCTTGCAGCTCGCAGAGAGAACGAGTAAAATCATTAAGTCGACTCTGATCCTGGAGTATCGGGCGCTTAAATATTAGCGCTAGCACTGGGTCCCGGGGTCATGTTCACTTTGAGAGCAAGTTCAGTTGATTATCTAGCGGCGGTCGTCCGCAACGTTGCGAGTAACTCCCAAGCAACCGCTCCGTCATGTCCGAGAATCGCCAGGGTGGTTATGTCTTCAAGGCTCTGGAGAACCTGCCAGACATGTCGCCGGACGAAATCTTTGGTGTGCTCCTCCCTTTTGAAGCTCGGTGGAGAGACAGACAGCAGTTTCTGGTAACCTGCGGCTACATGTTGCGTCCACGGTATCATCCTGGCTGGACGCCTTCATGGTTCGGGACAGGAAAACATCCCATATTCTTCGAAGATTCCATTACCCTACCCGTTCGTGCCAGTTTCGTTTGATACCCACGATGACTAAGGAGCAATGATAGCTCACAGACCATCTCATCGACGCTACACGAATATGTGATGGTGCACCCGTTTACATCAAGAGGGTGAAGACGGGAGACAACGAGTCTCAGATAGCTACGATGTTTTCTGCTCCTCGACTTCGCACAGACCCGAATAATCACTGCGTTCCCATCCTCGAGGTCTTTCAGGATGCAGATGATAAAACCATCTCTTACATGATCATGCCTTGCCTTCGCCTTATTGATCGCCCACCCTTTGAAAGGGTCATCGACGTGGTTGATTTTGTGGATCAGATGCTAGAGGCCTGTATATTTACTGCCAGAACGCTATCAGTTCCTTACCTGCATTATCAGGGACTAGTTTTTATGCATCAGAATGGTGTTGCTCACCGGTATGCATTTGAATCCTTTCAATGTCAGTGTCATTTTGATTTTTGTATGTTTCAAAAGTGACTGCGCATATAACAATATTATGATGGACGCAAGTATGTTGTACCCCCATGGGTTCCATCCAATAAGGGGTCTCCGTCTTCCAGATGGTATTACGTTCAATAAGCCGCTCTCTCGTGCTGGCAAGCCTATCAAATATTACTACGTCGATTTCGGTATCTCCGTGTATTTTCCCCAAGACGTTCATCCCAAACTTGTGGTGGGAGTTGATGGTCGTGATCGGGACGTCCCAGAGCTTTCCCCAGACGTGCCCTATGATCCATTCAAGGTTGATGTATTTATCATTGGAAATCTGCTCATTCATCGTTTCTATGAGGTATGTCGCACAACCTTTCCTAATGGAGACAACTCACACCGGTTTTCCCCAGACATATTCCAATATCAATTTCCTACATCCACTGCTTGAATGGATGACTGAAATTGACCCTGCAGCAAGACCCGATGCACTTAAAGCACTTGAACTTTGGAAAGCTATTCGTAGCGAAGTTGGGAGTATTCAGAGGAGACGACGATTATGGTTCCGGGATGAATGGTGGTTGATTTCGGTCGTTGTCGAGATCGCCTCTCTTATTACTGGGGTCATCAACATGTGCAGGAGAGCTCTTCGGTAGGAGACGGTCAGCTTCTTTACGCGGCGGGTTTCCAGAGCATGCCTCTTTCCTACTCATCTTCTGGTCGCTGCTGAACGTTACATGCATACGGTTCTGTTGTGACTCTCATGTACTGTATCTCGGATCCTCAGGTGCTGTATTCATGTCATCATTCCTTTGTACCATAGCACTAAGCTTCATTTCTATTGGCACGTCGCGATTCTGGGCCAACACCACTCGATCGTGCAGGTGTGCTTTCACGTGCCGTAATCGAATGGCACCGCGCAACACGAGCAGCGCTACATGGTGTGAACGCTGCGCTCGTAGTAATCACCACCCCAGTCCCTTGATGCTGAGCGATCTGTTACACTCGCGGTTGGTAGGAAAAACACTAGCGCATGGTTGGCAGAGAACGGCTTGCCGGTGCTGGCAAATGTCCAGATCACGGTAGCCTTGTGCTAGCCACCACACTGCTCTAACGTCTTCGACTGATGTCAGTGCATCAAGATGCGTCCGGAAGACGAAAAGGATTTAGCGAACGCAGCACGCCGCCGACATCTATACCATGTGAGGCAGTTGACAGCTTCCGACTATAAGCGAACGATTATCATCGTCATCTCCAAATCGACGTCGTGCGAATGGCGTGTCGCATATGTACATCTGTCTGTAGACTGAGACATATTTCAGCGTCTCCTTTCTAACATCGAGTGCCACGAGCGCTTTATGATCAGGATATTGCCACATGACATCGTGTACGTTTTTTCGGAGAGATGGATGTGAAGAACACAAATGCCAGGGCGGCCTGATGGGAGATCTCCGCATGTAGCATGAGAAACTGTTCATATTCAGCGTCAAGTCATTGACGGGAGACACAACAGAAGGCCTCGTGCAACATACCTAGAACACAAGCGGCAATGATTGATCACATCATCGTCAGACTAGAAGCTTTTCTATCACTTGCAGGAGAAGAAGGAAGGTGCTACAACCACGCACCCACAGGGATATAGAAGTGCAAACTTTGTCATGTACATCACGGAACGTTGCACTTCGCTCGCGGGACCTAGTTACGAACACAGAAGTAGAGTTCGGACGACGGAAGCACTTTCTCGCGAAGCTTCGTACTACAAAATGAGTACGTCCAATCCATTTGAGGCACAGTGCGTTTGAATCAGAGATTTTGCAGAGCTGGATAAGAAGTACAAAAAGGACTACTCAATAGAAGCCGCAGCTATTACAGTCCGTCATCTGAATAATTTTCTTTTTTGAGCTTATTCTAGTCTGCTTTCCTGGATCTAAACCAAATGTATAGATCAGGCAGAGAATGGAAGTATACCCAAAGAGGGTACGTGCCAGCGCGGCCGTCGGCAAGCAAACCGAATGCCTGTAGCAGAAGGCATGGGACTTGTGAGTGGCGTGCCTTGTATCGATGAAAAACTAGCACCATTGGGGGGATGGCATTGGAAAGATCCACTGCGCAACAGGAGTGTGCGGGGGCCCGAGGAGACTCGGATGGAGCGACCCTTGAAATATTACAACAGCACACACCATGCCTAGCATAGAGTCTGCGTACCAACCGTCTCAACAAAACTGGAGTGTGAACCTGGTGTCGAGTAAAATTCCCCTGGATCTCCACCAGTGAGTATGTAGCGAAACCAAACTAATGCCACCTACGGGTCCGTTTCCCAGTCAAGCCTGAAACTCCACGACTCAGTATGCAGAAAACCCCGATCGCACCACTGGCAGACTGATTTGACTGACGATATCCTCAGCACGATACGGTCCCGAGACATTTTGGACGGATTGTACGCGAAGCACATTCGAAGGTATACAATGTACCTCAAAGTCGGCAAATACAACATGATATGCAGTGGAAATATCTGAAAAACTGCGTATTGTGAGGTTCTCGCAAGAGCGATTGCGAAATCAGAACGGCGACCTACTGAGAGTGTTGTAGGATCTCCACAATTTAGGGTGATTTCACTTGGTAGCTACGCGAGAAAGACTCGGAGGTATCCATGCCGCGCTATGACGTATTGGTCAAAATGAACAAAGTACCTGAGGATGAACATCTGAGGGAATGAGAACCAACATACCTGAGTCGACATATTAATACGAGGGGTTTTGTTACTGTCTCGCCATCTGGCAAATAAGTGTCCATCACGGGATGGAACTCATCGGGGTACATGGCACTTGTGTCCATCACGACGTTCTTGTATGAGCAATCCCTAAAGAGGCCCTGAGACGGGTGTGCTCACTTACGCAAAGACTGAAGGAGATCGTACCAATCGCCGGTCCAAACTCGTGAAGGAAAACGAGACCCCGCACCAACAATTTGCACACCTCAGGCTGCACATTCTTGAGGTTAAACAGCCTTATAGCATAGTATATCCAACAAAATCTACCATGTCTGCAAGTGGCGAAGGAGGGTGGTAAATGAGGCGGAGATACGGCATGATCATGTAGGAGACGCAAGGATCATTCGAGTCTCGGAAGATGCTACTGATGGAAACACAGATAACATAGTCGCAAGGTATCTCCAGTTTTCACTCTTTCGATGTACGCTAACTTGCCATCGGAGACACGAGTGGCATCTGTGAGGTGTCTTTGCGCTTGAGAGGGATGAGGATTTGCAACCCCGGTATAGAGGTTGGTTCGAACTCACCAGAAGAAGGATCGACTCTTCACACACTCCAGTATTTTGGCCCGTAGTCATCCACGAAGGAATCGAATCGAGGATATATCGGGGACGCAACATAAAGCCATTAGACTCAGGGAAGCTCCGCAGCCCAAGAGTGCTCAATTTGTTGTGGTTTGGCGTATGGTATTAGTGATGAGCCGCAAAGCAGAATGAAACGAGGCAATAGATCCAACAGGGGTGGTCAGATGCTCGACATTCGAATATGTCAAGTCAAAATTCGATGAGAAGAGACCCTCTCCACACCAAGAGCAGATCATGCGAAAACATCGCCATGAGTTGCGGATGACGAAAGTGTGTATGCACTGCGCAACGGCTTGCGAACATATTCCTAAACAATTGCTAAACGGTGAGATGCATTCGGAAGGAAAATACGCGGGCTCGCAGAAGACCTTGGCCGCAGTTCCGCCCAGTCCCTCAGGCTTATTTGAGTCAATGACAACGCATGCGTGCCTTGAAGGCATACGCAGCGCTCACAACCAACTCACAGATGATCAGTTTTACAGAGAGGACACAAATGACACGCACGGACACGTCACTCGCGACTGGACAATTTGCCACAGCGGGGATAAAGCGGTGCTAGCTTGTAGACATATTACATGGGGGACTAACAGTATTCATCCTGCGTGCACGGCGTTCTCAAGACAGGCGAAGACACGAATAAGCTCAGCCAAGAGGTACTTACCTACATAGCCAAGGCCAGGCTAACATACATTCACCTACGACGGCACAATTGTCTTCAGCTGTACGAAAGGTAGGTCGGAATCATCGACTAATGCAGACAGTAGTAGGGGGGAACTTACCTGCAGACCGTGAATGCCTTCGATCTCCTGCTTCAGGATCTCATTCACCATGCGGTGTTGCTTGACAGTTGGTATCCCCTTGAAGTTTTCGCTCGCAATGATGATATTGTAGAAGCTCCCGCATCCTCCTGGAAAGCATGGTGGGTATGAATTTGTAGACATTCGCCGCGGAGGCAATTCGGCACGAACCTGATACGTCCATGACTTTCAGCTCAGAAGGAGAGAATTTCTCATTGAGCTTGTTCCATATAGCCTTTTCGCCCTCAGACAGTTCTGCAGGGGTTGGGATGTAGCTCCGGACGTGAGGTGGAAGTCGGCATCCAGCTATTCGTCGATAGAGGGAGATCATGAAGGCAGAGAGAGCGCCTGACCGGTGCGCCTCGCGTCCTGGGGCTCGGCCGTCCCTGCGACCACAGAACATTTCAAGGCCATTTTGTTGAACTGTTCCATCAGCCTTCGGCCCCTTCGCATCCTCGATTTTCTTCCCCTCGCAGTAAGGTGCGATGTTGGGCGCGTCGTGGACGAGAGGCGTTAGCCTTGCTTCTCGTTCTCTCATCGCCAATTCTCCTCGGCCAGTATGCTTCCGCGCTCTGCACAAGTCCAGTATATCTCCAAAAAACATACTCCAGCAGTTGCCTAGCAACAGTGCACAGATATTCAAGAGGTACTCTATGCCCTTGGACCGGCTGCTGAGAGGTGGTCTGTGGTCTCAGGGCGGAAATCTCACTCTACGTGCACTACGCGCCAGCCATCGACATCCCTTCGACCCGCGTTTCTTCTCTGGAAATGCGCCTGCGGCCCCTGCAGAATTGCCGGTGCTTTCGCCTCCGTCGGTTGCTGGATGGTTACTGTTCTCGTCGGCCCTGGTATTTGCTGTCATTGTCGTTGGAGGCGTCACACGTCTGACCGAGTCCGGACTGAGTATCACGGAATGGCGCCCGATAACTGGTATCCTACCGCCGTTATCCCAAGCTCAGTGGGATGAGGAGTTCGAGAAATACAAGGCTACCCCGGAATTCAAGCTGTACGTTTAGCAGCGCGTCGACCGCTAGTCTTGTACGCTGAACTTCGCGCAGACTCAATCACTCCATCACCGTCAATGAGTTCAAGAACATCTTCTACATGGAATGGGGCCACAGGATTCTTGGACGTGTCATTGGAGTTGCATTCGTCATGCCTCTGGTCTATTTCGTAGCACGCAAGAAACTTACAGCGACACTCCCTATACAACTGACCGGCATGGCCATTCTCATTGGCCTCCAGGGCGTTCTTGGGTGGTACATGGTCAAGTCCGGGCTTGAGGACTCGTTGATGGAGACTCCTGGTGCTGTTCCCCGTGTGTCACAGTACCGCCTAGCCGCGCACCTGGGCACTGCGTTGGTGCTCTATGCAGGAATGTTTGGATCAGGATTGTCTGCACTGTACGACTGGCGGTACTCTAAGACTGGAACATGGAGCGGTTTGAAGGGGGAGGGGACTCAATGGCAAGCTGTCTTGGAGAATCCGCAAATCCGCCGGTTTATGAGATATTCGAAGGCGTTGACTGCGCTCGTTTTCCTCACGGCACTCTCAGGTGAGATCAGCAAATGTTTTATCTAGGTCCACCGCTTCACCGCATAACAGGCGCGTTTGTTGCTGGCCTCGATGCTGGACTGCTCTATAACGAATTCCCTCTCATGGGCGGCCGGATTGCGCCTCCCCAGGATGAGCTGTTCTCTCGCGAATATGCGAAGGCACCCGACGGTTCGGATTTGTGGTGGCGCAATATCTTCGAGAACCCGACCACTGTCCAGTTCAATCACAGATGCCTTGTGAGAATTTATGCACTGTTCATTTTGGGTCGAGTGTTCAAACTCTTATTCCAGGCGATCACAACGTACGCTGCGACTTACTGGATGTACCACATGACATCCAAACCTGCTTTGCGGGCTGTACTACCGCCCCTCGCGCGTCGTATGGTCATTGCAGCCTGGGCGATGGCCAACGTACAGGTCCTACTGGGTATTTCGACTCTGCTGTACCTCGTTCCGGTTCCATTAGCGGCAGCACATCAGGCAGGAAGTGTGATGCTCCTGACAACCATGCTCCAAGTGCTGGTGTCTCTCAGGAAACCGGGGATGGCGGCGAAGTTATGGAGACAAGCATTGCAGGCGCAAAAGGGCAAGCCGTAACTTCACTGCGGAAGATCTATCGTAGAGCATCTAGTTTGTATCATGGCATATGCATAGCACCCCTTCTCAAATATTTATCCCGGGTTGGATTGCAGTGAGATGTGGAAGGAAACTGATACAAGCACAATAACGCTTTACGACTACTACTCTGCCATCTGTACATCCTCGTCCCCAGCTACTGGTGGCGGAGCGGCGGCTCCTTCCGCGGGCGCGTCGGCAGGTGGCGCAGCGGGCGCATCGTCATCGTCGCCCTGCCCCTTCGGGATCATACTCTTGAGGTAAACCTCGATGGACTCGCCCTCGAGGATACGGAAAGAGCCTTCTGGAGGCACTTCCTTCTCATGTGGGCCTGCAGGGCCGATGATACCGATCGTTGTGTTGTTGATCGTGAGCTCTTTGTCCTGCTGGAGGGTCTCCCGCAGGGCGTGCAGCCCGTGTCGAATCAGATCCTCTAAATTACCTAAATTTCGGAGGTAGAATCAGGATGTACGTCCGAAGGCACGAGCGGCTTACAGTCCACGAAGCTCTCATAGTGCTTCTCCAGGTATGTTTTTGCGCTCTGACTCCTTGCACCGATTGACATGGCATAGTATTCGTACGAGTTGCCCGAGGGAGAAAACTCGTAGAGATGTGGACCGCCCTTGTCCTGCCCGATGACGAGAAAGCCGACTCCGTATGGACGACGGCCGTATTCTTGGGTGTTTACTTGCGCCTCTGTGAGCGAAATAACACGAGTTCGGTACAGAATAAACAAGAGATTGGGTAGCGGAATAGCGTACTATCGGCAATGGATGATACAAGGCGGTTCACAGGAATAGGGCGGTTGAAAACCATGCGGGAGGACATGGCTTGCTGCCGCATGAAGTTGCTGCACGAGGCTTCGTTGGCAGGAAAAGCCTAGACGAGTATTTTATAACATACCTCAAGACACGAGCGTCAGAAGTCAGACCAGCAATTGCAATGCCGACATGGTCGTCTATTCGGTGCATCTTCTGCTGGTACGACGCAAGCTCACCTGTCGAGCGCTGCACGACATACGCTCCATCACAATCGACTGAACACGAAAACTTCTGAACACACCTTCAAAGCTAAAAGAAGTGCATGAGTCTTGGACCGAAGCCCGACAGCTGCAGAACCCTGCTTGACGGCCTCGAGGGCGTATTCGACTTGGTGCAGACGTCCCTGGGGTGAGAAAACGGTGTTATCGGAGTCGTAGGTGTTTCGGAACTGCAGAAACAATTCAGTAACGCGACGAAGAGCGTGTAAAATGACTGGGGAACATACCATAGTGGATGATCAGAAAGAGCAGCTTGAGATGTACTTAGGTGACGCGTCGACACGACGCGCAACTCATTGCCCGATATGGACAGCAGACTCTTCGTCCAGACGCCCATCGCCGCGTCTGGTCACCGCGACGGTCGTTCGACCACATCCACCGGAGTCGTACTCTACGTCCGCTGTCCGCATGGACGGTGTTCTGGCTACACTCACCGTTAATTGACACGCCAAAGGCTAAAGCATGGGTACGCGTAAACGAGCTTCGCGGAATACGTTGTTTTCAACGACTATCAGCAATCTCCGCTCGTTTGGTGACTCGTTGCCTCTAGCTCACGGATAGTGACTATCGGTCTCAGCATGTTTCAACCAGATTGACGGCACGGGTGCTGTAACACTTCGCGCATGTGTTTCGTTTTGCAAAGTTCTGGCAATCCCAGGAGCACATTTACCACCTGTGCTCTGAAGTGTCAAGCGTTGTAATCGATCGCGAAATTCGTGCTGAGTGCATCATTTGTTTTTCTTTTCTATCAGCTCTTTCTTCTGTGTTCAGCTTTGAGCTAGGGCGGGGCACAACAATACTGGCGTTTGTGCTGAGTGTCACTGGACGCCCGTCCTTATCTATGCCTCGCCTCCGCGATGCCACGCCATTCATAGGTCTTGCGTTTGTCTTGTCTTGGGCAAATGGTGCCCCCGGTATTTCTACGGGTGATGTCGATGCCGTACCCCCTCGCTCTAGCCTCTTGATGAGGTCCTTCTCGTCTGCTTCTCGGCGGAGCAAAGTTCCCAAGCCTGTAGTTTCGCCATGAGGGCGGGTCGTGCTATCTACCTCCTCTCGAAATTATGACGTAGATAATCTATTGATGTCATCGTGTGGCTGACCAGTCGAGAGCTTTCTGCAGAAACATGTCATCATTGCCGTGAACACATCCCAAGTTGCCACCCTATAAGTGTTCCTCTTCGCTTGATGGCGCCCCTCCGTGCACCCATCTCACTCAGTCTGAGCGCCCCCTTCGCATCTGCGCTGCAGTCCATTCCGTTCAAGGCTACAATTTGTTAGCGATTGGGCACTGCCCGATACGCGTGCTCATGCCTACGGTTATCTGCGATCCTTTCGTTTTTGGTGAGTGCTGATCCTCCACGCCATCGTTCTCGGGCTCGTTAGTATAGGTTAGACCCCATTCTCGCCAGTCTCGCTAACGCTTGCTTTCACTCTAGAACGATTCCCACTGCGCACGAAGCTGGCGTGTTTCATCTCGTGGTCTGTTCACCGATGTTCTCACCGATTTGCAATCTGCTGCTGAAGAAGGACAGTCGACGATGAAGGTAGCATTAGTAACGGGAAGATAAATCTATGGCGGTCAGATCTACGGCGTCATTATCCGCAGGTGAGGCACGTCTCTGGATTGGTCGCAATGAAAATGAGGCGAATGCATCCCCTTCAGAGATCCAGGCCTTGGGTCGAGGCGACCGTCAAGGTTCTTGTGGCTGAGATGTGCTGCATAGATCTGAATGCATTCTCAGCCTTATGTCGGCTTTCTCTTGTATGTTTTCCTGTAAGCTACAAAAGTAGCTGAACCCTTGCATACAGGATATACTCTCGTGACATCGGCGTGCATTGTCTAACTTTGCGGCGGCAGCATGTTATATCATCATACCACCTGCGCAAGAGCGGGTTGCATCGTGCACTACCATCAAATGACGAGCCCCAGCGTAGTGCCGTGTTCTAGGGGCCCATTCCTCCCAATTCATCCACACTACTGCCGGATGAAAATCGCTGAGATGTTTTAGTTCTCATGCATGCGGCTCACACGTTGGTCAGTCTGGATCACTTCTTCGAAAAATTTCGAATCTTCTCGAGTGGTGAACTATGTCATAACACCCCCTGATGTCATAGACATTACCCCTTCCTAACTGATCAACTTCAGTGCAAATCTCTGCGGGTTCATTTCTGCAGGATTTGTTGTTGTGGCTTCCCAGGTAACTCCGGTTTCTCAAGGCCATCTGCGAGGCATGGTTCTTGATGCACCCTGTGGCAGTCCTCAGAAGCGCGGTCTTCCTTCTCGGGTTAGTAGTCGAAAGCTCTGGAGTTCATGTCAGATACCTGATGTCCGATTACTCTGTCAATGGCCATGTGGTGCATAGACTGAAGCTACATATAGATCTTCGACTGGCAATTTTGGCTGTATGATTCGTCACCAAGCACGTTCAGCCATCGCCATCGTCATCTCTGAATCGCCATCTCCATCTTTCAAGCACGAATTAATGGACACAACATGGTTTTCTTGATCTGGTGTATCACTTGCCCTGATCCCCGCCTACTTAACGACCTGCTTACATGATGCAGGAAAGACGAAACGCGACGGCACCCCTTCGATCCCGAGGTCCCATCTTCCTTTGAATCCTCCGCGAAGCCACATGCACGTTGCACCTGAGGTCATCCTTCATCCACGGGTGTGTTCTATCGTCCAAGGAGTAGTTCATCCGTCGTCCATGTCTTCCCGTCCGGTTGGACAAATCTCCAAGCCATTCATCTCTCTCAGCTGAGCAATGTCGCCGTGCCCGATCCGTCCACCGAGGATGCTGCGTTTGTGCTCTCTCCTTCCCTGCTTGTCTCCTTCGGCGCTCGTCTTGTGCTCGCCTGACGCCCCGCATGCTCGGGTGACCGTCTGGAACGCCCTACTTTACTCCTCGTGGGTTAAAGGGTCTGCTCAACTCTTTCCGCGGCTCGTCTTATCAAAGTTACGATGTCCGATCTAGACATCGTCCCCAGGACCCCCTTCCATGCTCTTCCCACCGCGCGCATTGTAACTCATTCCGAGCATTCTCAAGTCCGATCCATCATATTAACTTTGCGCACAGCGCCATTCGCTATCTGCACGATGCGCACCAAGGCCGCAGATACTTCTGCGTGGCGCCTATCGCCCCGCTTCGAGCTGTGCGCGCTTCCGGCGCGTGTGTTCTCATTTCATTCTCGCTCTCGTTCTGGCTCTCGCCCCTCTATAAGCGGTTCGCGCGTTCTCTTCCCGATCCCTGGCGGCTGCTGGATGTGGTTCGGGTCTCTTCTGGCCTGGACGGCGTGCTTCTGACGCACCCCTGGAAGTTTTGCGTGCTTCTCCGCGGTCGGTGGATGTGCGTGTTTATTGCGCGATGCGAGACGATGCGAGGTCGCACACGACCTTGCACCCGCGATGTCTCGGTGAAGCTTGTTCAGCACCCTGTTCAGATGTCTAGAATATTCGACTTCGATTTTCGAGTCTGACAGCGGTTGATATGCATGACTTCGAGTACAGTAGTGGTACAGTAACGATCACTTCCAACCAAAAAAATTTCGCATACGTGAGCGACACCGGGAGCTTTCCGGCCTTCGTGCGGGTGCGGTGCATAGGTACACGGGAGAGACGAAAACAAAGTCTATGGCAAGATCCGAAAACACTACTGCGATGACCATCGACGCGACATGTGGGAGAACGGCACACAGACACACGGAGTACGCGTGCGCTGCAGAGTGCGGGTACAGCACGTGTGGTGTGTCCAGAGGGGTAAAGAATGAGAAATGTGCGAGAGCTACTACCGAGATGCTGGTGAATAGGAGGGAGGATGCAGGGGTAACTGGGATGCAGGGATATAGGAATAACGACCGATGTGCAGATGTAAGGTATAATGAGTGCGGGGTGCACGATGCGAGGGTATGTCCTATGCGGTAGTGGTACACGGATGGAGCGACAACAGCCAAGAAAGCCGAAACGAGACAGTACGACACGATACGAGGAGCCAGAGCACGACGGAGCAGAACAACGTCAAATACGCAACGTAAATCCCAAAGAAAACAGCATAAGTGAGGGGAAAAAGTGCTAGAACGAAAAGATGCTATGATGTTTTGTGCAGCAGGACAGGTGTGGCCGGCCGGGGTCGATGTATTTGGTGGAATAGCGATGTGGGCATTGTGCGGTGCGTCCATGCGGAAGGTCATGCGTGGTGTACGCGTACAGAGACAGCAAGAGCATGGGCAGGCACTAGCTTCCAGGTCATTAGATGGGCGTGAAAATTGAGATTCAGGCTGAGCTGGCGGGCCCTATGCCGCATTGTGTGGTTGTTCCATGCGCAGCGCGCGGGTGCAAGATGGAAGTGAGAGAATAAAGATCCGTGGTCGAGTTTAGCTTTTACTGCTGCTTTGCTTCGGCCAGGTCGAGCCCGGTCGGTCGGCGGTCGGGCATGCGCAATATGATACAGGGTGGCCAGCAAGGGCAGGAAGTCTATGTGTGTTTGGGCCCCTTGAGGCGTGCAGCACGCTCACATCCTCATATTGGGGACGATGACATCGACAATGATCTCCGCGTCGCCAGGCGTGTCGACGAAGGCGTTCTTCTCCTTGGCCCTCACACGCCTCTGCTGCATGTTGCACAAATACGAACAGCGAAATGCGCATCAGCTCGATAACGTTACAACACAAGCGCTAGACCCACCTGGCGCTCCCACTCGCGTTCGCGGTCGCGGTCCCACGCAGTAGTACGTGCAGCGGCGGCGTGGCGGGCGCGCTCGCGGTCGCGTTCCTTGCGGGCGTGCACGAGTGCGCTGAGAGTTTCCTTCGCCCGCTGCTCTTCGTCGTGGTCCACGGCCAGCGCCTTTGCGTGTACGTCGCGCCCGCGGTCCCCTGCCGGCTTCTCGCGCCTGTGCGCCTTCGGATCGTCTTTGGACAGCTCCCACTCCTCCTCGTCCGTTTTCCGGCGCCCAAGCTTGCCTACTTCGTTTTCCTTGTTCGTCTCTTCCGGCTCCTCGGCAATTGCCTCTGAAAGTTCCCGCGCCTTCTGCTTCTCCTTCGAACGCTCGCTACTACTCGAGCTGATGCTGACCGCCGTGCCAGAGACCGAGCCCGTGCTGGATGCGCTGCTGCTGGGTGCGCGACGCGGCGTGTGAGTAAGCGGGACGAAGTTCTCTGCCGGAGTTGTCCATGCGAAGGGAGATGTCTCGCACAGTTCCGTGATACTCAGCTCGTAACGCGACTTCGCGCGACTCGGCGTACCCATCGGGTCATTTTTGTCCTTGGATGTGCGTTCTGAGTACCTCATCTGCTGCTTCTCTCTCTCCTTCTCCCGGAGCTTCTCTTTTGGTTTCTCCTTGTGGGGTTGGTGAGAATGCCGCGAGGTGGTTGAGGTGGTCGAGGCGGTCGAAGACGTGTGCTCGATGGGGATTGCGATCGGCTGTGTAGCATTGGAAGGGCATGTCGACGTGGTTTTCGAAGATGAGGACGTCTTGGGTGGGAGGCGCGAGTTCGCGGCGAACGTGCGCGGAAAGGGATACTCATCCAGCCCGAAGTCGCGTTCGACTGCTTTGCCCTTAGCGCGCTCCTGCCTGAGCAATGCCCCGAGTGAATGCACTGATGACGACTTGGAGATCGAGTCCGAGGAGGATACGAGCGTCCCTGAAGAGCTGGAGACGCCAGACATCGAGGACCGCGACGAAGAGATGATTGGAGCGGGATGGAGGAGGTTTGAGACATTATGGCTCGGCCCATTCCCCCATGTGCTTGTGCGTGCACCATTGCTGCTTGTATCGATGGGCCTGGGATCCTTCTCCACCGTGTATGCGCCCCTGGGGCCGGAACGCTGGTATTCCCACATGGGGGTGCTGCCGACGACGGAGGGGTTCACGAAGAGGATGGGTGGGAAGGGTGGCGGGTCGCTCGGAGTGTGCAGATCGTTGACAGTGCCGGGTGATTGAGGGGAGCTGGCTGTAGAGGAGCCGTGGAGCATAGCATGGCTCTCTGGGGCGAGAGCCTGAGAGAGGTGGACGAAGCCAGCTGCACGCATATTAGGACCGAGTATGTTGCGGGTGTCGACGGCGCCCTCGGAGTGCCGGGCAAGCTGGGATGGACTGAGAGCGGGCCGTCCGCGGTGGGTGGATGTGGTGGAGACGGAATGCATGGAGGAGGGCGACGAGGGCTGGGAGTCGGGCTGCTGGTGGTGGTGGCGGGTTGTGCGCGAGGAGGTGAAGACGAAAGCGGTGCTGCTGCCTGAGCTGGAGCCACTGCCTGTGGTTGAACGGGTGGTGGGAAGGATCGGCTTGCAGTCGTCGAGGTTGATGGACGGCGGTGCGGGGGATTTTCGTTGGAGAGAGCGGGTGGGTATGGGTTGGCGGGGCGTGTGCTGGACACCGTACCAGTCGCTGGAGAGTTCGGGCTGTCTGGAGAGGACGTGCTGCATAGCTATTGTCGGGCGGGGAACATGGTCGATATGACTGTCGAGAGCAAGAGACGAGGACGGTCGACCGCTCCCTTTTACACCCCACTTCCCGCACAATCCCTAGCCTGCCACATCCGGTCGCTTTCCGGTCCAATCTCCTGGTTGGCTGAATCGGCTATCTAGATTTACTCCCATCTTTAATCTTATCTTATCTGCGCACCCAACGCACCGTCCCGATACGGACGATATCCCCTTCCCCACAGTTGGCGCACCATGCAGCTATCTCTCCGGGTGCCACTTCCCCGGCCTGTTGCTATCGCGAGAGTACCTGTCTGACTCCCCGAGCCCGCCCATCGATTCCAGGATATCCACTGACTCGCTCTTGACCACCAACCACTCCCATTTCTGCCCCCCTATGCCCGCCATCGCTGAAATCAAAGTCCCTGCAACGGGCAAAACGATCAAGGTCCCCACGGGGCTCTTCATCAACAATGAGTTCGTGGACTCGGTCGACTCCAAGGAACGCATCGAGTATGTCCTGCCACGTCACGCATATAGTCGTCCGTACATCCGTGCAGGGTCCTGACACCGTTCGTCTCCTCTCAGCTGCGTCAACCCTGCCACCGAGGAGATCCTCTGTTCAGTCATCGCAGGTATGTGTTCTCTTGTGATTGATCCTGTCTGTCGTCCTACTCCTTCTCGTACTGCTTGACCTACATATTAAAGTACCTAGCATGTATCGTTCCTCACATCTAACCCTGTCCTTCGGGTCTATGTTCCTCTCATACTTCACGATCTAATGCATGCATCGATCCGATCCAGGGTCCGAAAAAGACATTGACGTCGCTGTCTCGGCCGCGCGCAAGGCGTTCCAGACCACCTGGGGCAAAAACGTCACCGGCGTCGAGAGGTCGCGTCTCCTCCACAAGCTCGCGGACCTCATCGAGCGCGACGCGCAGGAGCTCGGCGAGCTCGAGACCCTCAACAACGGCAAACCTGTCCGCATCGCGAGGTGCGTTACAATCCAGCCCCCTTTCCCCTCCGCCTGTTCTCTCCGTGCTGACGCGTTCACAGGGATTTCGACATCGGCGACAGCGTCGGCTGTCTGCGCTACTATGCTGGGTGGGCGGACAAGATCGTCGGTGAGGTAAGAGCGTGCTTTCATTCTCACTCACATCTAATCCAGTCCGCGCCGCGCTTCACATCTATTTGCATATCTCGCGCACGCTCGTCCGTCCGTTCCTTCAGTTTCTCCAGGGATCGGGAACGTGGCCTGGGTCTGGGCTGGTTTGTTTACCCAGATGCTGCGAGATCTCTACTTGGTTGTTCACATCTCATATGCGTGCTGTGCCGCGTGCTTATTGGATGGCGAGAGACGTGATCCTCGCGGGAGCAGATCTGCGCTATGCACCGTAGCTTCACGCGTTCGAACGTGTGTGTATGCGTCCCTTGCATGGGGCGATGACGAACCCGGACGCGCTTCGGCGGCCGTACGCCTTCCGCGTGCCTTTGCCCGCGACTTCTACACAGTGACATCGTGTGCCAAGCGTCCTCAGAACCCAGACCAGAATGTCCTAGAAACAGAAACAGAGATGTTACCAGAACCGAGGCCCAGCAGCGTCACTTTCCCATAACCCTGCCGCTTCCCCTGTCTCCCTCCTCATGTCATCGTCCTTGCGTGATGCCCTACTCGTGTTTAATATGAGTCACTGATCACTTCGTATCTTTGCGTTGCAGACTATTGAGGTGGACAACAAGACGAAGTTCGCGTTCACTCGCCATGACCCTATTGGCGTGTGTGGGCAAATGTGCGTTCTTTCATGCTGGAGGCTTGCGTGCTTGCCCTTGGCTTTCATCTGTACCTTCCTTGTTTCCTTATTGTATTCGTCATATGCCTTGTAACTTCGTGTCCGATCCTCGTTACTTACCACGCGCATATCCCCTCCCCTTCTTCGTTTCTTTCCATCTGCCCTCCTGCACATCTACTTATTCCCTCCAATACCCGTCGGTCTCACCTGTCCTCCCGACCTTCTGACGAATTTGGAAATGATGATGCTGACTACCACGCGCATCTCCCTTCCCCTTCTTCGTTTCCTTCCATCTGCCCTCCTGCCCATCTACTTATTCCCTCCAATACCCGTCTGTCTCACCTGTCCTCCCGGCCTTCTGACGAACATGGAGATGATGATGCTGACTACCACGCAGCATTCCCTGGAACTACCCGATCAACATGTGGTACGTGTCATTCTCCTTCCCCTCTTCCGTCTATCAATCATCCCGGACACTCTCTACCACGCTGTTCCTCTTCATCTCCATCTACTTCTTACCTTTTCCCGCCGTTTAGTATTACCGTTCCCACCATCTCCATCTTACCCATTCCGCCGTTTAGTTTTTCTCTTGCCCCATCTGCCCTCTCTGTCTTATCCCACCCTTCACCCACCCTTTATTCGATCTCCCACCGATCTCACCAGTGATATCATCGGACCCATTGACGAGCTGATGTGCTTGTCTTCGCAGGTCCTGGAAGGTCGCCCCCGCCCTTGCGTGCGGTTGTACAATCGTGATGAAGCCGTCCGAGTTGACGCCGCTCACTGCATTGGTGTGTATCATCTTTCTGAAGTCGTTGTTCCTGTTTGCTTTCTTTCGTCGGTTTTGCTACTTCTGCCGAGTATTGCATTCCATTGATAGGCGGTTCGTGTTTGTGGGGTTCGTTCTGATGGCAGGATCCCTTCCCCACACATTTCTATTCGAGATTTGATACTTCTTTCTATTCGTTTTTATCTGATAAGATCACGTCATGACCCTCAATCCGGCCGTGAAGCTTCGCACATTTTGCTCGAGGCGGCCGATCGTGTTCACAAAGTTTTGCGTGGTGTTCGCGTGGACTTCGCATTTTCTCCAGACTTCTTCGATGGTTCTATTGCGCGTTATGGCTCTTCTGTGCTAGGCCCTTGTTCTGTGTCGTCTCCAGGACTGTCGTTCTCGCAATCCCTGGGATTGGATGTTTTGTCTTTTTACTTATCAGACTCCGAGTCTTTTCGTCGACTTGGGGTGCCTTCTGCATGGGGATGTTCGGTCATCTCCGTGCCATTGCCTTCCATTACCTTCCCATGCTATGCCATGCGGATCCTTTACTCCCATTGACTCCTGTCTTCTATCCGACCAAACCTTTTGGTTGCGCTTGCAATTGCGCTTTTCTCCCAAACCGCTGTTGCCATTCTTGACCAGTCAGATGCACGAGACTCTCGCACGCGTCCCATGCACATGCGCCAAATGGATGCCTGTGGTTCGACTTCGCTCATCTGGAGCTATCTGGCCGGCCCGCTCGTGTTCCCTTTATCTACCGGGCATGGACGTGGATATGGGATGTGGTGCCCCCGCTAAGGTATCGGGGCCCCGTGCATGACCCGGCGTTTGTCGCGCGGCTGCAATGCAGTAGTCTCTCTGCCTCTCACGTACAATTGTCGCAGCGCTAGCTTCCTGGTAGTACTTCCGGGCTGTCCTATCTATCATACTAGCTTTGATTGGGTATTTTACGTCTTTGCTGTTTGACCTCCGCCGCCGTTCTCTCTCCCTCCTACTTATTCCGCCTCTCCGAACGTTCATCCCCGTGCTGACTCTTCAACTTTGTCCAGAAACTCTCGGAGCTCATCGTTGAGGCAGGGTGCGTGATACGCCGTCTCGGTCAATCCTGAAGACCCGGCTTCCCATTGTTGGCACTGAAGGCCCGGTATCATCTCATGCTGATCTCCTTCTCGCAGCTTTCCGCCTGGAGTCGTCAACACCGTCCCGTCTCTGGGCTCTGTTGGCGGTGCGGCCCTCTCTTCGCACAAGGATGTCGACAAGGTTGCCTTCACCGGCAGTACGGTTACCGGGCGGAGAATCATGGAAGCTGCGGCGAAGAGCAACCTGAAGAAGGCGAGTCTCTCCGTACCTTATCCCACGTGCACCGCACACTCTTAACACACCTCCGCTTACGTTCGCGGTTTACAGGTGAGCTTGGAGCTCGGCGGCAAGTCCCCACACATCATTTTTGAGTCCGCAGATCTCGACCAAGGTATGGTTGCGCGCAGTGTGTAATAGTTGTTGCTGCGTCTTGTCTACTCCTCGCGATCGGCGTCGCTGATGACTCGATTACCTTGCAGCCGCAAACTGGGTCGCGCTCGGCATCCTGTACAACACGGGTCAGGACTGCACGGCCGGATCCCGGCTGTTCGTCCAAGACACAGTCTACGACAAGTTCGTGCAGGTTCGTCCGTGTGCTTCGTGCTCCACGTCTTGTGATCGGCGCCCGTCCCGTCAGAGGACCTCCTGCTGACTTGCCCGCTTGATTGCAGATTCTCGTCCAGAAGGCGAAGGAGCTGAAAGTGGGAGATGGGTTCGACGACAATAACTCAGGTGGTCCTGTGGTACGTCCGTCTCTGGTTCTCCGTCGCTCTCCTGGGTATCTGCTTGGTGGTGCCGGAGCTCCTTTTTTTCCCTTACGTACAGCGATATCCAGCGCTCACCTTCCTTTTCATTCCGGCTGTCGCTTCTAATGCTCCCGGCCCCCCTGCACGGAGGCACACTCTTGCGGGCGACGTTTGGTCTTGACCGTTTGTGTGAGCGGTTGATCTGACCGTGTCGGTACAGGTGTCGAAAACGCAGTATGACAAGATCTTCAGGTATATCGACTACGGTAAGCAGGAGGGTGCGAAGCTCGTCCTGGGAGGAGAGAAACGTCCCACGAAAGGCTACTACGTCGATCCGACAAGTGAGTTTCCTTGTTGAAGTCGCAGGTCGGTGGCTGACAAACTGTGCAGTCTTCACTGAGGTGAAGCCGGACATGAAGATCGTGAGTCGTGGCTTAATGTGCTGCTTTCGCGGTGGCCGAGCTGACAACGATGTCGCAGGTTCGGGATGAGATCTTCGGGCCTGTATTGTCTGTGGCCAAGTTCAGCACAGAGGAAGAAGCGATCAAGCTGGCGAACGACACGACGTATGGTCTGGGCGCTGGTTTGCACTCTAGTATGTTTTCTTTTTCTGTTGTTTGGCTTCATCCAGATGTCTGTGCTGCGTTCCCGCGTCGGCAGCAAACTCCGTTGACGGATTCTGTCTGTCGGTGCAGACGCGCTACAATCACCAACTTCGATGGCCTCTTTGTTAGGGCTGCGCCTTGATGATCCACCGCCGCGGGGATTGTGAATGCGCGGGATTAGCGACAAGTGATTGGGCGATTGTGGGACATACGCTGACCGTCCAACTTTTTAACAGATGATGCAAACCAGTGCATGCGCGTGTCTTCAGAGTTGGAGGCGGGTACGGTGAGTGATTGTGCCATTCCGCTGTGCACCTGCCCTGGCGGTCCTCTCAGTCCTCGGAAAATCGGCGACTACTGAGCGGGGTTGTCCGCTGTGATCCCCGATGCAAATCGGAGTGGATTCGGTGGCATGGGACCGCAATATAGTGTGCTCATCGTATGGAGTGATTGCTGACGGTGTATGCTTTCAGGTCTGGGTAAACCAGTACAATATGTTACAGAACAATGTTCCCTTCGGAGGGAAGAAGCAGAGCGGAATCGGTGAGTGATGTTTCATCGGCTTACGGGAGATTGCCCTCTATAACCATGGAGCGGTATGCATCCCCCGATGAAGGGCTGGATCCCATAGGGTGTGGGAGGCAGGAACGAGCGCTAATCTTGACCATTGCCAGGGCGGGAACTCGGCAGCTATGCCCTCGAGGAGTACACCTCCGTGAAGGCTGTCCACTGGAACTTCGGCGAACAGCTCAGCTGGCCGTTCTGAGAGCGTACTCGGACATTGTGCGATATGTGCGAAGAACGTTGGATACTACGACAGAAGTCAAACCCACAGTGCTTGTATGTACTTTTGACAACAAACGAAGGAAGATCAGGATATTGCATCCGCCAGCACGCAGAGAGCCTCTTAGGTACAATCGCGGGCATTGCACTTTTCATGCGTTGATTATCCTTGACTGAACTCTCAGAAGTGGTAACGTGGAGTATTATTGTCGACGCTGTCCCGAACGTCGGGACGACGATGCAAAAGCTCGTCCCGAAGGTGACCTTTGAACGCGGCCGTCATGCCATTACGTTGAGCCTTGTCTTACTCATGTCGGATTGCAACGACAAATGGTCAAGACTGATCCACGACTACCATGACCTGGCATTGTAATACTACCATTCTGCCGCAGAGTTATCCGGCCACACGCGGAGCAGACTTTGCTACGATGTGGTGTGCCAGCCGTCGAGACGATGTCCACGATGCGGCGATTTACTACCACAGTATTACTCTTCGACCGGACTCTAGTCGCCGCTCTTGAAATCCCAGAAGTGTCTCGTTGGCCGGCGGGTTGATAGGAATCTGGAACACCACTTGCACTCGCTAGCGGCTAATTATTATTGTTAGCGGCGAACACTAGTAGCAGCTCTTCACAGTCAGTTTGACCCCTGTGTAACCATCATATTGGACCAAAAAAAGGTTGAACGCGTCCTGCGGAGTTCTTTTCCGACCCATTCCCACCAGGGCCATTGCCGGCTGCTCGAGCTTTTACGTTGACGTTTGAACATGAGAGAATGGACCCACGAGACGTACACAGTCCGGGTCTTCGGTCGCAATCTTCACTTATGGACAACCTTTCTTAGTTCCATTTCTGCTATCAGTGCTTGAGTGCTTGTTTTCAGGCGGCACCTTGGTAGATTAGCAAGGTAGAATTGAGTAAGAGCGGTTTACCGAACACCAATGAACTACTCACATCAACTACAACCCCTGAGGTTTCACTACAGAGGGAACGTATTTCCAGAGACACGCGAATGGGAAAGCATGAGACAGATTCTATGGATAGACAACCGAACAATGTTCCGGCAAATGCATGACTAGCTTATTATCTTCTATTTGCTGAAAAGGTCCAGAAGGTCCGGAAAACAACAGCAATTTCCCGGTGTTGTATGTTCCATCTACAAATTGAATGTGACGTACTTCAGATTCCGCAACCGCTGCACCAAATCAAATAAACACATTGTACGACTGCACAAGAAAATCCCGGGTTGCAATTTTTTTCGAATCTCTACAAACCTACCACACAGATGTCAATTGTGAAACATGCTTGAATTATAACCTGCGCGGGTATCTGGGCACTTCAACCTAAGTTTAGGCGCCCTGTGTAACAGCGGGGTTTAGCATCTGTCAGTATTCAAGTAAAGGATCCGAACTGTGTGAGTGAGAAGGAATCAGCAATGTGCTGCTAGAGCCACTGCCACGATGCGCTGCACAGAAGGTGATCTCCGGACAATTCTCTGAGATCCCATGTGGGTATAGGATGGTACTGCGGGACTCAGGTTTGTAACGAATGAAAGAACTGGTGCCTGGAATGCGCCTGCTATGCAATGTTGAGAGTAACGGAGAAACGCGTGAAAGGCGCGAACATTGTGATGGTGCATAGCCGCTGCTTGACAGGTAGTGATTGGCGCAACATCATCAGGACGCACTGGGATGCAGTGCATAGTGGTCCATCTAGCCATGATATGCATCTTGCTTACATTGACCTTGAAAGCACCTCGGTACGAACTTGGGCAGCCTTGCCAGTGGAGAGGAGCTGTTAGTACTGTGCAACTACGACTACTTCACCTTCCTTCTTCGTCGTGGATCGGATATTAGATCTCACATCACGTGATGCAGTTGCTGCTTGAAAACATTCGAACAACAGACCGAGTTCGTTGGTACAGTATGTATTGGCTACAAGCGACGAGAGAAACACAATACAATGAGACTGAAAGGCTTCGAGAATAAATTATGCAGTAATGTCCGTCGACAATAATAATAGTACAGATCTGTTTTAGTCGACTGAACACTATTCGTACCTGATAAACACCATGCAGCATCAATCAAGCTTCAAGAATGACAATAAAATAAGACTTTACACGCTACGATGAGATTGACTTTAGGGCTGTACTCCTTTAAGAGATTTTCTACAGGTGACCTCAAGGATATGAAGGGTCTTGATAACCAGGATACGTCGGATCCTGCAACTTATGGGTAGATTAGAGCAGTTGTCGTAGCAAAATGATTGCACTCACAGCAGAATGTCTCCAATCACTCGACGTAGGATGTCCTGGTGCTACGTTTCCAGCCGAGGTGTCGTAGAGTTCTGGACTTCCCTGATAGTAACGCTCTTGGTAGGATTCACTGTAATGTAGGAATGAGGTGTTTTGAATCGCCGCTACATAGACTGACCCACCTTTGAGAGGCGGGCACTGCCATCTGCCCACTGAGCCCCCGCTGCTGGTCACTCAATCTGTAGTCATAAGTCGGATTGTTGGCAACCATTTCACCGCTTGTACCGGCCTGGCCGTAGAGATTGTACGACGGAACGCCAGGATAATCATACTGGGCAGGAACAACAGAGCTCTGCGCATAGGTGGGATGCATTGCGAGTGACGCTTCAGGAGTCGCAGGGATGTTCGACAAGTAGGACTGATCGAAGCCCATGTTTCCGTATGCGGGGGCGGAATGCGTAGTTGATTGGCTGTACCCTCGCCGGACCGAAGGTGTTTGCGATGGCATTACAAACGGGTTTTGTAAATCGACTCGTTGCCCAGGGGAGGCAGTGGGGACAAAACCTTGATAATTGTGCAATTGTGCAGGGGAAGGCTGGACAGATCTGTTTGACGGGACGGACATGTTTGCAACTCCAGGCCAAGTGGCGCGCGATTGAGGTATCGGGGCGACGACGTTAGCTGAAGATGTCGCTTTCTGCTGGTGCAGAGGGATGTATTCGCACTGCATGTCCCTCTTCTCGCAGCGTTCGCAGCGCGGTGTTCCTCCTGAACACTGAGACAAACGATAAATGGCATAAGTGTAAGGTGGCATCTCAGAATGTGGCACAAACCTTTACTTGACGGCGGCGACATTCCGTACATGCAATTGGGGTGCGTCTGCTCCTGACTACGGGCTGGAGGAGAGATTGGTCGATACTGCGGTTAAGAGCTGTGCAGAAGCGGGAAGTTTAGTGGCAGGAACGTGACAAACGACATATCGGGTTCTCACGAGTACTAGACCTTGAGCTAGTGCTTGTATTCGATCTAACGGGGCCGACGCCGCTCGGCCGGCCCATGTTTGTCTCGCTGTGATCCATTGAAGAAAGCACGATTGTCGGGACGACGAGGTAGTGTGCAAGAGAAGTCCCGGAACGGAGACAACGACGGACAAAGAGCGACGGGCGCAGGTTTTATAGCAAACGGTCCAAACACTCTGCCGAGCGTCAAGGAGTACCAAGGACGCAACGGAATCTTCCACAAAGGAAACGCAGTGGATCCACGACGCATCGCCCTCATGTACGCATCGTATCGCACGAGTTGAGCACGAACCATCAATCCAGATTGTTTGGGCGATGGACGCCCGACCGTCCGCGCGCTAGTTCACGAGGGTGATGGTCCTAGATTCGACGTAAGCGACAACGTTGACGCGGACTTACCTGTAGCGGCAATTTTGGGGGAGAGCTCGGCATACAAAACAGTAAACGAGACACGAAGAATCTCACTGGCTGCTGCGGTGTTAGAGCAGCGGCAAAAAAATATGTCAATAACCTTGCTAAGAACACGAAAAGGCTAAATCATGGTGGCATTGCACAACGACTATCAGCTGAGCTCCGTTGTCCAGTTGCTAGCGCTCGAGAGTAATAACGGCCATCCCTTAGGGAGACGAGTACGCTTGAGGCAGATCCATGGAAAACTAACGGCACCGGAACTGACAAGATGGGTAGCCGCAAGCAGAGAGATGCAATCTGGTTGACGAGGCACCCATCCAGGAAAGGAATGGTCGACCTCCAACTTTGAGATTAATGGCGCTGTGCATAGCCTCGCTGGCCGTGGGTGTTTTTCTGGCTACACCCAGTGACGATGACAACGCCTCGTGATGAATTAAAGGTGATGGACCCTACAGCAAGCTTAGCACTGTTCGGGAGTCGTCTACCTTGCATTGCACTCCGGCGGTTCGCGGAGTTACGTTGAAGTTCACAAGTTACTGTGATCACTGCTATTACAGATGAGTCGGAGCTGGGAACACCACCAGAAAAAGGATCCTCTCACTCAAAAGCGATGCAGGGGTGTTGTGTGATAGGGAGAGCCATTGATATCAAAGTTCCCATCTTGTGTCTTCCGAGTCCGCGACTGTGACGTCTTCCATGGCAATCATTGCAAGTACTTATACGAGATGACGTCTACAGAGGAGTGACACCCTCAAAGGTCATTCTGGGATGCTCCAGTTCAGAATCGCATTATGGTGGCAGCAGTTCAGATATGATACACGTTCACAGCGGCCGCTGCCTCAGCAGCCGCATCGACCGAAAAGAACGGAAAGAACGGAAGTCTCTGATCAGAGTCCATCATAGTGCATGCTAAACGAACTTCCAGTACATAAAAATGAGGTAAGATTCCGTCAATTCGCTTCGAGCTTCGCTCTTCAAGGCAACATTTCATTCCTGTCGGACATTAATCGGGCGGACAAACCATGCTGGGGTCGAGCTGCCACATGTTTTCCAGAGTGCGGATGACTGGAATGTGTCGAAGTGAAGTCCTGTGTCATGAGAATACCAATACACAATAGAGAACGTCTCGGGCTCCACGCGTAGACAACGAGCCCACTACATGGCGAGATAATCTCGCATCTCCTCTTCTGTTAACTTCCTGAAGGTCGCCTTCGCTCGCCCTGTGCCTTCTATCTTTCCAGCTTCCAGGTCTGCTTCGCTGGGCACTGTTACCACGCCGATCTCGATAGTCTTCTCCGTCATGTGTCCCTCAAAACCTTCCTTCAAGGTTAAGAGGGCCGTGTGAATAGCGTCCTCGAGGCTGATATCATCGTTGTACCTGCATAATGATCAAATAATTGATGGTTTTGTTGAAACAACGATTTGAACGGCCATAACATACCGTTTCTCGAGGAAGGTCTTCGCGTTAACCATGTTCTTCCCAATCGCGCTAGCCTTCCAAGCCCAAAATGATCCAGACGGATCTACCTGGTAGAGACTCGGCCCACGGTTGATGTCCCAGCCTGCTACTAGCAAAGACACGCCGTACGGACGGACACCGCTACACCGAGATGAGAATATAGTCAGAAAGCTGAACAGCGGCGTACCCGGAATGTGTTGCTTCTTGCATGATAGTCGCAATCTCCTGGGTGAGCACCTTGGTTGGAGGATACTCGTTGTAGATCTTCCAGTACGCTTGAGCACTCTTCCGCGCTTTGGCAACAAGAATTCGGAAGTCGGGGCCCATACCAGAGTAGACAATGCCAATGTTTGGGCATATTACCGACACCTTGTCTATCATCGAGTCATCAATGAGAATGGATGACGATTTCTTCTCTGTGGCAATGACAATGCCATTTGATGCTACGACCTTGTGATAAATCTCCCACGCGTGAGGAAGAGAATTTTGAACGCACCTTTAATACCAAGACTCGTGGTTCCTTGAGACACCGCTGCCAATGCATGCTCGATCTGCACAAGCTTCCCACTAGGTGAGAATACTGTGAGGGAGTAACTGCAGGGAAAATAAACCATATGCATTTTTGGACGGAAACAGTTGGAATTTACCTATACGCGCCACCATCTGCACTAGCCATGTCGTACTATATTGTTGATTGTGGAGATAGGTGAACTGGAGTAGACACACTTCGACTGCACGACGCGTACCTCGATTCGAGACTGCAGTGCACACGCGTACACCTGGGCAGATGTCACGTTACACACCATCACGTGGTTAACAGTTCTCCACTCTGGCAGTGGCACTCGTTCTCCCAATTCTCAGTCGCCGCTTCTCGATCCGTATGTATATCTACGAGCATGCTCCTCCCGCTAAATCCTCAAGGCTCATCGCTCAATTTCTGTGCTGCGATCCCCTGCTGTCTGCCATGCACTCGCACTATGTAGGCTGTGGACTGGTGGACGAAGTGGTGGTCCACCATATAGGCGCGACATCCGGTACCGATGGTCGCTAATGCCATTCTCGATGCTGTGCAATATTTCGAGCTCCTGTCAATCGACGGATCAGACACGACCAGCAAGCACTGCAGGGCCACAGGCTACTTTTTAGTGTATCGTCCCCTGAATCTGAGCGGATGCTTCCTCATCTTGCTGATAAGATCATTAATATTGTCATTCATTTGTTAGAAGGCTGGACAGGAATATAACGACCCGCCACTAGCAACGGTGCGTATCAAGTGGTTGGTATCGATGTTCATTGGCCGATGCCTCGCGCGACGAACAGAACGACACAATCTCAAAGCCTCTCCCCCACATCCCCATCTCACCGCAGCCATGATATCACCGAGAGATCACGGCAAAAGGCAATCATAACTATGTATTGTTTAGCGGTACCGCCAAGGTGCTGCGAGGACGAACGTTTATACCGTCCCGGCTCCGAGCACCGCAGATCTGACATTGACTGCGATCAATTACAGTACATTCGGTGCATGGCCAGACAATTTGCTTTGCTGGAAGGAAAGAAGGCTGCCGACTTCTCACATAAGTGTAAGCGGATCGTGGTTGAGATAAAATATGTTCCATTGCTTCATTTCATTGATAATGGTACACCGTACGTTTCTTCTCACTTATCATCATGCACCTACTCGACTCTGAGTGGGGTCGTCCGCAGGTAGGGCTGCCACATCGAAGTTAGTATGCATCTACATAGCGCATATGAGGAATCCGCATTACCTTGTGGATGACGAAATCGGGGAACAGAGTCTTGGCCTCCTCGTTGGTCACTGATGGGTGCACAATGACATCGTCGCCCTTGTTCCAGTTGACAGGGGTCGTCACCCTGTACTTGTCGCCAATCTGCAGAGCTATTTGCAGAATTCCGTCAGTCAGAGCATCTATACAGTACTTGGGCATATCAACGCACAATCGACCACCCTGAGACGAAGTCATGATCAAGAAAAAATATCGACATCGAGCTGAACGAACATACCGGAGAATCTCGTCGAAGTTACGGCCAGTGGAAGCGGGGTATGCAAGCGTCAAGCGGATGACTTTCTTCGGGTCGATAACGAAGACCGTACGGATCTAAGGGGTTGTAAAGTAATTTAAGCTCGTAGGACAGGACAATGATTAAGTCTTGGAGAACTGACGGTAAACGGGAGACCCTTCGCATCGCGGTTGGTGGCATCCTGCTCATCCAGCATGTCGTACAAGGTGGAGATCTTCCTCTCAGGGTCGGCGATCTATTAAAGATACAGTATCAACGGAGAGTCCTGAGGACCTGAAGATGACGCACGATGGGGAAATCAACGTTGGTAGGGGCGAACTTTGAGCCATATTCGTTGATATCCTGTACCCACTTCTCATGCTCCTCGAGACCGTTGGCAGAGATCCCAATGACCTTCACATTGCGCTGTCTGAAGTCAGGGATCCTAGATGAATTTGATATTCAAATACGGCTCTTCGATGGTAAACGGTAACCCTGACCTCCGCGCAACCTCACCCAACTCCGTCGTGCAGACAGGAGTGAAATCACCGGGGTGTGAGAACAAGATAGCCTATTGATCATACATCATTCGCAGTTGAGGAGGCAGTCGAAATGAAGACGACATTCGTACCCATGAGTCGCCAATCCACTCATGGAACTTGATATGACCCTGGGTGGTTTCAGCTTCGAAATCGGGGGCAGTATTTCCCAGACGAAGGCTAGGCATGGCTGTGGTTCGTAGTGGGTGAGAAGACTCGATAGGAGGCAATGTACCGTTCAAGCGCCATCCTTTTATACGAGGTTGGTACTAGATAGGGTATCGCAATTCCTGTATGATCTCGCGATGATGATGAAGTGTGACGAATCGCTTCTCACGCCTACATGGCTCGATTCAACGCCAAGCCCAGGGGAGCTAGATGAAGTCTGGAGGTCGTCTACTTCATGTATGGAAGCAGTCATTGGAGTGACGACTCTACAAGGGTGTAAGAAGGCAGAGAGTGCAAGGTGGTCGGCCATGATGAAAGGAAGCTACGATCGCGCGTATCAAACGTATTTGAGAAGCCGTGTGCGAAAAATGACTATGAATTACACATGCATTGAGCAAGTCCCATTCACGTCAATTGCAACGATAAGCGGATAGAAACAACTGTAAGATGACAACAATAAGCAGTAATGTACTACAGACCACAAGAGTAATTGCACTGCAAATTATATCTGAGTGTTCACCCTGAGACAGCAGGAGTTCGCAGTAACATCTTCTAGTAAGATGCTCTTATTAGCCGTGCGGGGAAACGGTTCGCGGAACGCACTCTGCACTTCTATCTCCGAGACACGTGGTGGCGTCAGTGGAGGTCATGCCGAGTCGTCTGCTATCAGAAACGAGAATCTAATCTGCAGAATGATCACAAGCCTGCAGGACAGCGATTCATGATGAGTTGACTTTCTACAACAGAGAGCCAATAACCACAGCATACGACGGTGTCAATAATAGGCAATTGCATGGAGCAAACTATGTGGATGTTTCTCCTGATGGACCTTTAGGATAGAGGGCATTTCCTCATCAATGTCGTTCGCAGCCTCGATCTGCTCGAAAGATTAACGCCTGCGCATTCCAAGAAGCTAAATGAACATTTACTGCAGCTGCCAATTCGACAATCGCTTTGCCGGCTTTGTGGGCCTCCTCGTGATTATCCCTGATCTCGATGTTGACTATATGGACCGGTTTGTTGAATTCACCACCTCTTGTAAGTAGATCTGACGGAGACTGAGTATCTATGAAAGAAGTCAAAGAGTTCTCGACTGACCGTCACACACAGCGTCGAAACAACGTTCTTCGCACGTGATTACGATGTCCGCAACTGTTTTGCTTTCTTGCCAACGCTCGGGAGCCAGTTTCAGCTGTCGATTTCTGTCTAGCATCTGCAGGAGACCGTTTGCAGTATAACTTCGGGTACACTTAACAGATCTAACGCGTATAGGAAGACTGATAGTCAAACTCACAGGCGCGGATCTTGTGTTTGTAATTCTTGGTATATATCATTATATGGTGTCCCAAAGGGATATATGTTTGGTTTGTCCACAGCAGGGCCTGGTAATCGGACGGCCGATCCAGTCCCATACGAGACTACTCGGTAACCTGCCTTCCTGGAAGTGGAATGTCACAAGGGAGACTTATACAGCTCAGGTTTGAAATACTGACGCTAGTACGTAATGCCCCTCCATTGACCGATTCTGCGTGGTGAGCGACGTCAGTCCTACAGCGCACATCACACGGAAACCAGACGCACTTACCTGATTGCTTGCACATACTACACCAAATAAAGGACGAGGTCTATATATGTTTGGCTGAGGCGGAGGCCGATGAGATACCAAAGCCGCATCTTTGGCTTCTTCAGCCAATTGTTGGTTAGATACCACGGCCGCGGGATATCCTGGAGGAGATGCAGTGGGATATGGGGGAATGGATGTTGTACTTCCCAGAGGTGGGTACGGAGAAGGTGCCCCCGGAGGTATTGGTACATTGGAAGGTGTCGCTGACCGCTGAAGACGGGGATCCGCACGGGCTAGGCGTGGATCTCGCGCTCTTCTTGGGTCCATTGTCTGATAACACCCGAATCTACCTGTTAAGTCTTAAAGTGTGTCAGAACTACGAAGGGCTGAACATGAAGTGTCTCCGCTGGAAGCCTCAGCAGTATCTAGAACATTACGAGTCTCCTTCTCAACCCAGCGCAATAGCAGCAGGTCGATAAAGCTTCCACTCTAAATCATCGCTGGCCACAGACAAGTATAAGACGTACCGGAGGAGTGATGTCGTTGACTCTATGGGGGAAGGGAGAGCGAATACAGCGACAGTCGTCGAATGTAAGGAGAAGATGTTTGAACTTGAAGGGCAGGACCCGCGGCATATGCCGTGCCGCGAAGCAATCGGCGCACGCGGTTCGCTCCCGCATCACTCCGGTTCCGTCGTAGCTCGACGTTCTCACTCTTCCAGATTTCAATTACATACATATCAACCGTATTCCATCATCTTTAATTCCTGGTATTCCTCATGCAGGCCGACTTTGATAGGTCACTTTTTCGCTCCGAACCCACAGCGGAAGATATCCTCGCAGCGAATGCCCAGATACAAAAGCATGAGCTCACGATCACATCCATACAATCCCAGATGAACCAGCTCATGCTAGATCTCCAGCGGCTCCGGAAAGAACAGCTAAAGCATGTCGATGAAATACGCTTTCACAAGGGGATCATCTCCCTCGCTCGCCGGATCCCTGAGGAACTGCTCAGCAAGATCTTCGAGCACTGCATTGAAGACGGCTGGACGCGTGCGCCAATCGTCGTAGGTCATGTATGTTCGATGTGGAGGTTGGCTACGCGTGCCCCGCGGGTGTGGTCGCGTGTCTACGTCGACTGTGATTCGCCAGTTGTCGTGGACCGTTTGCGTTTCTGGCTTTCGAGAGCGTGCTCTTCACCCTTGCATATCACGATAACTGCATCATCAATGGTGGCTTCTTCTACATTCACCAATGTCATGGCCATCCTGGGCAGTCGCGCAGACCAATGGAGGTCTCTGTCGATCGACATCCCAACCCTGTACGAGTTATCTAGCTGCATCCAGGAATGCGACTTCAACATGAATAATTTAGCGGAGCTCTGGATCAGGGTGGAAATACTCCGAGCTGGAAATCCTAATGACAACAACGCTGATGCTCTGGAATTGAAGTCTTTCTTCCGCCTAGCACGCGCTCCCAAGCTGCACGCCATCCGCTACACCTGTAATGTCATACCATCGATCCCCATCTTCCCGTCTCACATTCGCGACCTCCACTTGACAACATTCGAGAGCCCTATCTGGCGCCCTCTGTCTGCTGCATCGCTTTTCGTACTCCTGGAAGATCTACCGGAGCTGCAGTGTTTTACCATGAGTATGCCGCTCATGTATGCACGGCCATTCGTCCCAGTACCCGACTTCACTCGCACTGTCACGCTATCGAAGCTCGAGTCGCTGACCATGTACGGCCCAACCGACCTGAATGGACTCCTCTCCCACCTCCTCGTCCCCGCTCTTCGCCGCCTCCACCTGCGCTCGCTCGAGGACCTCGGGTACCGCCAGCATTCGTTGGGACCGAGCCTCCTGCGCCTCATCGAAAACTCCGTGCCCCCACTCGAGCTCCTCGAACTGCATGATGTTGACCTCTCCCCCGAGTATTTCGCGCGGTGCTTCACGGCCACGCCAGTCCTGCGCGAACTTCGCCTGCACGAGTCCTCCATATCCGATGCCACTCTCAATCTGCTCAATGGTCCGAGTGGGCTGTGCCCACGCCTTACCCGACTTGACATGCGGTGGTGCGGCCTTCTCCGCGGTACGGCTTTGGTTGACCTCGTGCGCAGTCGCCATGTCGAGCCCGGTGCCCCCAGCGGAGAAGTGGGCGTGTCAAAGTCGGATCTCATCGCTGAGGTCGCAGTCATCAATTGCTGCTTCGTCGGGGAACGAGACGTGTTGGATCTGGCGAGGATGACTACATGCAGAGTGGTGATGCGCGACGGCGATGACTACTGTCGTGAGCTTTACTTTTGGGGCTTCATGTTGTGAAAGGTCGCTGAGCGCGAAAAAGAATAGGTTCCCGTGATTGTTGCGACAATGTCAGATACAGAACGCGCCTCAGAATGCGCTACATGACTGCCCTTTCTGTGGAAGAACGTTCTCAGCTACGTCTCATTGTTTGAGCTCATCGCCGTGAATCTGAATTCGAGGAAGGTATGAATTTATTGCCCATGTCCTGGGCCACACAAGTAAAGTGAACCTTTACTTAGAGGTGCAGGCTTACGACTTCTCGTTGACCTGGTACCGTAGTGCAATATCGCTAGAAGCTGTTGTTGGTGCAATGCCCGCTTGCCAGATAGATAAATACCGCACCCTGGTTTGTATTTATTCAGTTATTGCTTCTCACTTATTGCTTATTAAACGGGCTGCACCTCCGGTTCAAGCCATCGGAAACACGCTTGAACAATATTCGTACGGTATGCTAATACACTTCGCTACCTCATGATACAGTCATTCGGACCACTCTTCGCGGCGGCCTTCCCCCGGACGCCGCGTGCGCGATTGCCTCCAAACGCTGAAGATTCACGGCAATTCTTCACCGAGCAACTCCTGTGAAAGTTTCGCGCACAGGTTCCAGAAGTTATCTGCGACTGCGTTGTCCTTCGCCAGCTTGCTCTCCGTCTGAGGTTTGCTGTACGGGTCAGAGTAGTAGTTGCCCTGAATTGGACGTTGAACTCAGCTCCAGGCGCGGGACAGCAGGTACTCACCTGGAAGTCCCTCCAGTTACCCACATTGATGTCGGTGCATGTCGCAGCCCAGAGACTAGCCTCCGCACCTTCCGACGCGCTTTTACCTCCGGCTCGCGACAGAGTCTCCACGATCCGACCGAGGACGCCATAACTCTCGGTCCAGGCCTTCTGGAGATCGGTATCGACCGCTCCTGGGTGTACGGAAATCGCAAGGATCGGGCGATCAGGCGGGAGGTCAGTCAATGTGCGCTTCACCAGCTCTTGTGTGAAGTAAATCAGTCCAAGCTTCGTGCGACCGTAGCTGGTCGACAGGTGGAGATAAGTAGGCATCTGATAGTTTGTTCGGCAGAACGTACAGCTGTGTGCCGTCGCCGTCCTTGTTAATCTCTTCCTTGGAGAGGAACTTCGTATTGCTTGGCGCCATGCGGTGTAATTCTGAACTCTGCATGACGATGCGGACAGTCGTGGGTGGGGCAGTCAACGCAGTCTTCTTCATGAGCGGCAGAAGACGCAGGACGAAGACGTAGTGCGCGAGGTTATTCACCTGCGAAACCCAGCAGTCGTGTCACCAACTTGGCGATGCGTAACGTGAAAGGTTATCTCACCTCAAAATGACGTTCAAGCCCATCGCTCGTCAGGCCATGCGGTGTCTGCCCAATTCCTGCATTGCAAATCAGGATGTTCAAACACTCCTCTTGCTCCGCGAGCCTTTTCGCAAGCGCGTCCACGTCTTTCAACCTGCCGAAGTCGACTCCATGCCAAGTAACGGAGCCCGCAGAGTTGGCCTCCTGGAGAGCTTTGTTGATGTCTGCCTCGGCCTGCTTGCCGTGCTCCTCGCTCGCGGAGACGATGATGACTTTCGCGTTGGCTCTCGCGAGACTGAGCGCATCATGATATCCGATGCCGGCAGACCCTCCTGTCACGACTGCGACGCGTCCAGAAAGATCAGGGATGGACTCGGGTTTGAAACGACGACTGACAAGTGTCGCGGGATTCATTGTATCCATGTTGGTGTACGTAGGCGGGTGCTTAAGAGATGTGAGAAGGAGGAAAAGATGTTGGGCATCGCTGTCAAGAGGTGGCCCGTATTTATACGCTGGTCGGCAGAGAGACTGTCTAGGATGACATGCATGACACTCCGGTCGACGTCATCGCCCACTTACCATTTCCATCTCACTACTTTAGTTGCCTTTTCTAGACACTTCCTACCCTTTCGTGGCAACTCTTCAGGATGCGGACAACTATTATGTTATTTCACCTCAGTTGGTGCGCCATTATTCAGAAAGAAACTCATAATCTACACGTGTAGCACGGTGCCAGAGGGGCGTGATCAAGGGAGCTCAGAATGCTGGAAGGAAACATGCGGCGCGATGCTAGGGCCTCGGAACACGCCGACTCAGAGGCTCTGAGTCGGCGTGTTTGGACCCCACATCGGATGTGGGGCGTGAATATGAACCAAGAGGCTTTGTCTAACAGCATATCTGAGTCGTGATGAACCCAATACCACAGCCTCGTACTACAAGACACCTGCCATTGAAAAAGATCCCAGGCCTTGTCGATACACCAGGGTATGCTACTGAGCTCAGGGTAAGTACATCGAGTGTCTGCATCACCACGGATTCATTCTTTGATACCTAGAGATTGCGTGCCCTTGCGGCTGAATATTTAGATGGCACTCGTCCACTAGCCCTGCAGGATACAGAGAAATGGCGCAAGTTCATGCATAAGGTGTGTACTACTCGAGCTATTGAAGTTCTACAAGACTTCATCCATCGTTTTCAGGCAGTCAATGGCAACTCACTTTGGAGCAAGTATGAAGACTCATGGCCGATCAGGTGTTATATCGGCAGGTACCTTGGTGATTCCTCTACTCGCCACAAGCATCGCAGACGGACTGCGGACTCAGATCGGCAAGCGAGAATTGCAGACGGTAAGATGCATTGTGTCGTTGCCAAGTCCGACCTCCGCAATCTTAGGAATGTCAGAGACAGTTGTTTCCACCAGGGAAGAGACCCGACTTTACGCTGTGAGCATTCCCGTTCAGTGTTCACACTGAATGTTTGTTCCAGTCTGATAATTGCCTGGGTGGTGTAGAGCTCCAAAGGGTCGGGTACTAGAAATTCGACGACGGACTCTATGGCCTCAGCATCTTCGCGCTCGCAGCAGCAGCATCCCTATCCCGTGCAGCGATCTGCCCCGTACTCCGAAGCACCATCAATCAAAACACCTGCTTCTTCGGAAGTCAGATCACTCGCTGTATTCCTGAAGACAGTGTGTCCACTGTTGGTAGGCGCGGCTGCATCTATGGTAGAAGCTGGTATTATGGACGAAGCCTGCTTTCGGGCCCTTAGCAATTGGCCTGCTAGGGAGCGCGACGCACTTCTATTAGATGCGGTGAAGTTGTCGCCGTTCCAGCTGAGCTTGACTCGTGTGGTTCTCGGGAAATTACAGAAGAGTATTGTTGTGATTGACTAGCTGATGCTCTCCCGGACCACCTTCATGATAGTGTCTCTTTTCTACTATATGCACCTCCCAGGAGGATGATATATAACGGTTTTGAATTAGTCACTGTCTTGTAGGACACCCAGATCTGACGAATACGAACCTGCCCGGATTACCGCTTCAACGTTCATAAAATTGCAGGCGTTATAGCATCCCGAATACGGAAAGACACGTGGTTTCCTCGGAATGTCGCGTTTGCTGTGTTCCGTTCGCTCACAGGATTTCGCCGCAATATTATTGGTCGGACTTAGGAAAGCTCTGCCAAGGAAATATATATTTACTTGAGTCAGACAAGCGAGGGTGGTGGTGTAGGCATATCTGACTATGAGATAAGCATGAGAGGTACGTGACGTTGACCCGTGAGTCCAGGGTGATTCTGACTCAGTGAATGTTCACGACACGCGTACAGAACGCGTCTCACGTGATCGTTACTGAGTGGCGCAGCAGCCGCGTCGCTTTCGTCACAATGAGGCTTACAGCTGGTTGGGGCCCTGATCTGCCTACATCGTTATAGTATTCGGAGCACCGTTCTGGCTTGTCTTCGCTGTTTCTCACACTGATCCCCGGTGTAACTCGGTAGATGTACGTTTCGCAGTCAGAAACTTGACGCACAAAACGCTGCATCCTCCCTGCGATGTGACTCATCCTCAGCATGAATGGCAACCCTGAAAAAATGGGGTGCTACACGCAGTCTCCATCTGGTCAATAATTCTCCGTTTCTTTATGCCTACGTCGGTCGGAAGCTCCTGACAAGGCTTCGTTCGCGAACACATGGCATCATGTCGTGTTCAGTGTACGAAACCGACGGCGTCGCGTGCATGAGGGCCTTTGGATGAATTAAATTTAGTGTGAGCGTGGCTGGAGACTTCGCGTGTAATGGTGAGCCATAAATGGGTACTCTGCAGGGGAAAGCGACAAGAGTGCTCCTCCTTCGACAGCCATCTTGTCTTATCCTATGAAGCCCTTACCCCAGCCTCAGCACGCCAGCGCAATGCCATTGCAAAAGGCCATGCATCTTGCCAACAACCGAAAGCGGTTCTTGGATGCTACAGTAAGTGGCCCGGGATGTCTATCTCCTGGAAACTAATATAGTGGATATGTTTCGGAATATTCAGGCTCATCTGCGTCGTCTGGCCAATGAGATGCTGGATGTCACTCGGCCATTCTCTGAGCAGGACCCTGGGCTATTCGAGGAATTCAAACGCAAAGTTTGTTGGAACCCGATCACAGCTTTGCCATCTAACGATTGATTTGTGCTAGGCCATTCAAACGTATGATTTTTTCAGGAAGTATGAAGACGCGTGGCCAATAAGGATATATACAAGAAAATATATCAAGGGTTGTAGCAAAAGATTTCGATTGCAGAATGGAGGTGACGACGATATGCACGAAGAGGGTCACAGTAAGAAGTCATTGTATGGTCACCGAGACGTTCACTAACTGTACAACTCCCGCTGCTGTGCTGTAGCGCCAGAAAATAACTTCAGGAGGAAGGCCAGTCTTCCCGCAGTGAGTATCCCAGCTCAATCACTCGTCAAAGTCTAACCTTTTCTGGTGTCGTGCAGGACGTCCAAAATCCCGTCAAAGGCTCGTCTACGCAGTCCACAGCAAGTAACACTCTAGCATCATCCTTGGTTAGGTCCTCGCGCATACGACGGCCATCCCTCAAGCTGAGGGATGGCGATCCTGACCATGGTCAGTCCACAGAGTCTCTGGCCAGCAATACAAGTCCATCCCCGGGGTGCTCCTCATGCTCCCGGCATCCATCTTCGCCCACTATCACGTCTACCTCTTCCGACGTCAGATCTCTGCTCGATTTTCTAAGGAGTGTCTGTCCGTTGTTGATGAGTGCGGCGGGATCTATGGTGGAGGCTGGAATCAAGGATGAAATGTGTTTCCGTGCACTTGCTGAGTGGCCTGCGCGGGAGCGCGATACGCTTTTGTTGGATGAGGTGAGGTTGACACCGTTCCAACTTAGCTTGGTGCGTGTGGTTCTTGGGAAGATGCGGAAGCATGAGAATGTGATTGAGATTGATTAGATGGAGCTGCTGTGTGAGGTTCATGTCGTATGTTGTAGTGCTGAGCATTGCTGTTGTGTACCTTTCCAAGGTGTATGAGTAGAGCTAGATTGAGATTCAACACCATGCCGTGCATCTAAGAGGGCAGGAGGGACTTTGATACAAGCATGACATCCCTTGGCTCATGGCAGTTCTCGACACCTACACATGGACATTTGTATCAAGCTTTCTGTACAAAATGTATGCATGAACTTGTACAATGCAATTTGCGGTCACTCAATAAGCCCATCACTTCGAGTCGCAGTACAGAGACAGCCAGTGCTCTCTGAGCTGCTCATGATCCGGATGTCGCGTAGCGGACATGCTGCACAACAAACGGACACGAGTCCCCGCAACTTGCGACTCCGGTAGATAGGCAGTGATCGCTGAGATCACTTCATCAGCCCAGCCTAGAGTGCGATAGCGTGGGCGAATATATAAGACGACCACAAGCCGTGGAAGACGCTTGCCCAGAGAAGCCAATGTCTTGTCGATGGACTCCCAGTCCAGTAGCCCCAGTTGTATCGGCGGTGAGTCCGTCAGGAAAATGTTCATCCTGATGTACCTCGCAGCGCAAACCTGGGAAAGAAGGGCGGGTATGTAGGCGGTGTCCTTTGCGGTGGGCATCGCGGCAAAGCAGCATTTAAGCGACAGCGATTTGAGGTTGATAAGGTGCGCCAAGGATATATGGTCTGCAGGATAAGCTGAATACAATGACCTCAACCAATCTGTGCATGAAAGAGAGTATACTGTACTCACCAGCTTCTCCCCCACTCTCGGGTGTCAAATACAGACTGAGATCCTCCAAGGATGGGCCTGCCTTCTCGATAACCTTGCCCAGTTTCACCACACTCTCCAATGCGGAGGAGGAAGCCCAGCTGAGTCGGGTAAGGGACATCTTGAATGGGGCATCCACAACACTCGCTGCAATGGACGTCCCACAATCAGAGACACCATCGTGCACCATGAGCTCATTGATCCCAATCTTCCCCGCATGCGCCCACTGATCTCCCTCGACAAGGAAGGGCGACTCGACGATCCAAAAGACGTCGATCATGCAGATCGTGTTGAGCAGCGGGTGCGACGCCAGCAGTCGCAGGACGTGGATCGACTCCTCGAACCTCACATCATCAAGAATAATGACCTGCAATGCAGGGAATGACGTGAGAAACGCGTCTCTGGCTTCTTGGAAGTCGCGCTGCCAGTCCATGCCGGTCAGCTGCAGGCATTCGACTGCGGTCAGGCTCGTGAACAGCTTGGGTAGGAACCGGCCCATCCAGCTCGTCTTCGCAGCCTGAGGGAGTTTGTTGCCCGGCACTAAGTTACAGCTATGGATCGTGAGATCGCGAATGTAGAAGGGGATCCCCGACGAAGCGGCGAGAGAAGACGTCAACAAGTTCTCCAAACGGAGGCAGTCGGCTTCCCCACAAAGCTCGACCGTGCGAAACAGGTGGTATCGACTTCTTCGGAGCCATGCTCGACATGTTAGACTGCATGCCACCAATGCACTGCGGTCAAGCCAGAGAAAGTCGATGATATGGTCCGAAAGCTCAAGCGGTAACTTTCTTGGGTGCATGACGTCGCACCTGAATCAACATCAGATGTCATCGTAGAGCGAACGATCTCCACATACCTCTCGTTTTCGTGGAGCTAAGTGCAGCGTGTTCTGTCTAAATTACTTGCCGCATCATCGCGGTAATGGATCTGGTATCATATAGATTTCCCAAGCACAAGACGCATAGCCAAGTATTTCTCAGGGTTTTTCCCTGAGAAATTTCAGAAAAGCACGAGAAAAAACTTTGAAGAATTTTCGCGGGAAATACCATGATTGTCCAATCAGCAGCTGAGAATCACAGTTGTTCCTGGAGAAACCTTTTATTCCTTTTTCACAGTTTTTCTGTGTGCTTTACCCCTTTCCAGAGGGTTTTCCGCAAAAAATGCTGGGTTATGTTGTGAAACATGAAATTTCGCACACTTTCTCACAGAAAAAATCAAAACCAAACCAAATTGCCTTCCTGATACGAACGAGTCCTGCATAAATGTACATACAAGGTAATACAAAAGCACACTACATCGTACGTGGTATAGTTAACCGTCCCGTGTAACGCCCAATCCCACACAGGTGCAAGAAATAACGCTAGGGAGGGAATAATACTTGCGGTGTGGTGGCAGTGAGAGTGCGACGATTTGCTCGAAAAGTCAAGGACGATTCGTGTCGGGATAGTGAACACTTGCAGATCACAGACGCCGCGGACGCCATCGACTCGAAACGGGCAGCGGAGTATCGATACATTCTATCAGAGCTGGAACAAGCGGATTTAATGCAGATCGGAAGGCGAAGTCGAAGACGGCTGGGTTGTTGGGGGAGGGGAGGTGGATGGCAAAGACGTCGAGAACGAAAGTGTCGATGCCGCGAAGTGTGTGTGCAAGAGGACGGAACGAAAGCGTTGTATACAATGACGATGGTATGGTGTGAGAACGAAGACGAGCTCCAAGACCAAGGGCGACCGTGACAGGAGCCCCCAAAGACCGCATATAATCGGGCGGGTGCGAAAGCGAAGACGACCAGAACGCATGAAGGCTAAGTCCTAGTCCACCCGCATCGGGCTCCCAGGATTGACCACCTCGTCCTGCAGCACTGCCAACCTCAATGGGCTCCCGCCAAACGTACCAACAGCCCTGCCGTCGATCGCCTTCCCCTGCGGCGTGACGACTGCAAGCCCGTTCCCGCCGCGCTGATGTCTCCGACCCAGCAGCGTCGAGCCATTTAGGTCCAACTCGAATGGCGTGTTGCCCTTCCTCCGCGCTCGGTCGCGTGGGCCTGCACGCCCATCGTACGCGTACACTGCGCCATCCTGCACCGCGCGCTTTGCCGCTGTCTTCTGTCCCTCTCCCTGTCCTTGTACCTGCTGCACCTGCGGCTGCACTTGCACCTGCACGCGCTCCTTCGGCTGCACCTCTGTGTCCGACTCGTCGTCCGTGATCTCCTCGTCACTCTCATTCAGCCCGCTCAGGAAGCCGCGATTTGCGCCACCCTTTGCGGCCCGCCGCCGCGCGCCTTCCTCCTCCATGCGGTGCACTGCATACGTTATGTCGAACGCCTCCCTCAGCGAGGCGACCCCGGGCGAGCGTACTCCACGATAGCCCGGGAGGAACGGCGAGTCAAGAGGCACACCAGGAGCAAAGCCTGGCGTGGGAGACGCTGGTGTGGGCGCGGGGATCTCATTGCACCACGGGTGTACGAGGAACTCGTCGATGGTGTATCGTTGAGCGGGGTCGACGCAGAGGAGGTGTGATATTAGGTCTTTCGCTGTGAATGGATGAGTACACGCGCAAAAGATGCATACACCAGGCAGTTACTCACCTGATTCGCTGATTGGGTCCCACCACGGGCTAAGGAAGGTGTAGTGTCCCCGTGCGACCTTCTCAGTGAGCACATTGATGCTCTCATCGTAGAATGGAGGGAATCCACATAACAGCGTATATAGCACGCACCCGAGCGCCCACATGTCCACGCTCTTGCTATATCGTTCATCCTTAACGATCTCTGGTGCGGTGTACCCTACGGTGCCACATGGGGTCATTGTCTGCTCGTCCCAGACGACTTTACTCAAGCCGAAGTCTGCGATTTTGACACGCCCGATGCCGCCGCCACCAGTGCCTGGTATGAACACGCCCTCGTCCTCCTTATCCTCTTCGAACTGCTTGGGAGGTGGATTCGGCCTTGGGATGATGGGGATCCGTTCGAAGAGTAAATTTTCCGGTTTGATGTCGCGATGCACGACGCCGCGCTCCTCATGTAGATACCGGATACCCTGCGCAACTTGTAGAACGACGTGCCGTGCGAGGTTCTCGCTGAAATATGTCAGCTGGACAATTTGATGGAAGAGCTCCCCGCCCTCCAGAACTGTGGAGTGGAGACGTCAGAATGAATGCCATGGCACCGTAAGTGCTAACTAACGCTCGAGCACTAGGAAGTAGTGTTCTGGCGACTCAGAGAAGGAAATCAGCTTGACAATAGATGGATGGTTGATCCCACGCATGATCTGCACCTCTGTATGCTAAGGTGAGTGGACGATCGTGGAATAGAGCGAAAGCATACCCTTCAGGATGTTCGCGCGCTGGAAGGGGAAGGGGAGTTAGTAGGACAGCAAGGAAACGCGCATAATAAACACCTCCGTAACGCGCGGTCTCCTTTTGAACTCGCGATTAAGATGCTTCTCACCGGCCTAAGTCGCGGCGAGACTTGAATAGAAGAGAACAAGCGGAGAGAGGGGAACTGACCTGTGATGCGCTGAGCTCGTACTTGCGGACGACTTTGACTGGGGGAGATTCAGGTTTGCACGATGAAAGCAAATATGAGGCAGGAGAACAGACCTGCCACCTTCTGAGATGTGCGAAGATCAATCGCTTTGTAAACGTTCGAGAATGCGCCGCTAACGTGCGAGTTAGCCAGGCACGGGGAGTGATCTAGAGATCGCGGGACTCACTCTCCCATCTTGTCGAGGAGCTTGAAGTTCTCGAGGCCCTTGTAGGATGGCATCTTCAACTTTGCCTCGCGCTCTTCCTGGACAATTGATTCTATGTGGTCCTTGTATTTTGCGGCTGGCTGGTGCTTCTGTGTTTGGTGTTGTTGCTGTTGCTGATGCTGCTGCTGTTGCTGCTGCGGGAGGTCGCGCTGTTGTTGCTGTGGGGGATGCTGGTGGATTTCATCTTGCTGACGAGCAGTGTGGTGATTTTTGCCGTGTCTGATGAGATCTAAGACTATGTGAGTGTAGATGTGGACGAAACAGAGGAGAAAACGCACTTTTGAAAGCGTCGACGACGCCAGAACCAGAGGGCATGTTGCGGAAGGCGAGAGACGGAGATGGAGAGGGAAGAAGAGAGAGAGAGAATGTGGCTGTCGACTGATTTGGCGCCGAGTCTTGAAGGAGTGCGTTCGTTACGTCATCCCTCCAGCGCGCTCCATCTCCGCCGTTAACGTTCACCAGCAGCTCTGCGATTGCCTTTCAACCCAAATCACCGCCACAAGAACCATCCCCCGCCCGTCACATTAATTATCTGCACCTTTGTTCATCATTCTCCCTTGGAAACGGTGACGTCGCGATGACGTCACTCGCACTCGCTCTCTTTTATGGAAGGTTACCTGCCAGATATGGTCATTACTATTGATTTGGCGGAGCAAGTATTGGACTTCGCACCACAGCGCCACTGCACAGCCGATTCCAAATTGCTTCATCGACCTCTTATCATAAGTTCCACGACAAGCGTTCTCTGGGCTAGGAGTCTACAAGCCTATTGAAACCAGACTTTCATCCCCATACATACTACATGCACACTGGGCTAAGCGCAAAAATGTCGCGAACTGTTCCTGTAAGTTAAATATACCCCTACCACACTGTGGCAGCAGAGAAAGTTACATTCGGCCAGCTAGCAAGGACTCCGCGTTCTGGGCCGAGAAAACAAGTGTACTATCCGGGCCTAGTATGGCCCAGGCTGTAGCATACTGTAATCGGAGAATATGTGAGGATTGGCGACAGGACAGGTACGAGGAAACTTGAGAATAATGCAACCATAGAGGGGACAGGATCCTGACACAAGAGAGGCAGTGGCAAGGGAAATAAAGTAATTGGACAACATAACGTTTCGCAGGACGAACAGAAACAATCAACATCGAAACAAGCCTGAGTGAAATACTGACTGCATAATGTCAAATCCACGGGATGTACCCACAGCGCATCACAATAACCACTGTGTCTTCATCGGGCTCTCAGACACATATAACTCAGACACGAACTCGAGATACATCAACCCCACCTTTGCTCCAGCCTCGCGGGCGTGGGGCAACTGTGTCCTGATCATATCAGCAGACTGGGTTACCAACAGCACCGTCATCGATTTCGTTATCATTGGCCTCAAGTGGAACAACGTGATAAGCCGTGGATTGACCGTGCGCAGACGGCCGAGCTGCAAGTCAAACGCACCCCAGTCCAACATTCTTGACATGTCTGTGGGCGCGTACCTGCCTTCTCCGACGATGATCTTGAGTTCCTGCAGATTTTTCGAGTGCACTCGGGAGAGGATGAGGGGTACCCAGGCGCGCACAGTTCTCGGCGACCATCTGTAGTTATGCAGGTATTGAAGGTGCAGGGAGACAAGATGGGTAAACCCGGAGCTATTTAATTTCCGAAGAGAACTACCTGCGGAGTGTCGTCAATAATGAGCACAACTGCCTCTTCCCCACAAGCGACCGTCAAATCTCACTGGCATCTGTGTCTCTGCTCATCGGGGTATCACTGCTCGGAAACCCGATATGCAAGTGCTTCAATGCATTGCTTCTGCGTAGTAAGTATGCAAATGCCATTTGGCTCTGCCGCCCGCCGTAGCTGCTATTCCATTCTAGACTCTGCAAATCGAACTTGAATGGCCAACGGAAAAGGTAAACCCTCGCAAAATCTTCCAATGGGTCCCAGCGAGCTGGGTCGACAGTCTTGAATTTGAAGTCCCGGAGCTGTATGTGTGCGTCGAACCACAAGTACCAACGTGGATGCCGCAGGGGTGCCACAGTCGGCCTCAAGGTCCAAATCATACGCACGTCCAAGGTGCTGCCAGACCGATACCCTAATTCTTCGATGTGCAGCGTGTCCATTGCAGGAAAGGACAATAGTATAGCCCGTATAGTATCCGGTCTGGCATGACCACGCGGAAACATTAGTGGGTCCATCGTGCATTCTAACCCCACAACAACAACCGTTGATAGCTTCTTCAGCACTTTCAGTAATGTATGATTCAGCCATCTCGGCTGCGTATCGGACTTCAAATTGGCCTTGATGGTGAGCGAGCGAATGCAAGGCGCCATCCCGAGTTTTACCAGTAACTTCAGCCGCGCACAGCTCCGTGAGTCGCACACGAGGTAGTGGCAGGGACATATCAACTGAAGCAACTCCCAGCACGTTAGCTGGAGCGCTAGGAGTGCAGCGACGTCGTCCTCCAGGAGGTCAATGATATAGACCCATAGCTCCACAGGAAGCTTTGTTGAATGGGATCGCGAGGAGATGGCTGGCCGAACATTTACCTGCAAAGTGCGTGTACACTTTCGCAGACTGCGGGGGAACCAATAAAACCAGGACACTCCGCATCTGTGGAGAGAGCTCTGAATGGGTGCAGATCTCGTTGACTGCTGCAGGTCCATGTATGCCACCTGCAGTGCCGACGCACAATGTATTAGTCAGGGTAACAGAAGATAATCACACATACATACAATGCCAGTTATGCATTCAGAGCTATGGTAGGATGGTCGTGGAAGGAGACCTCAAAGGGGCATATGCACAGGGGCTGTGAATGTCGCACCGCGCACGTGGTAATACTGCTTCGGTCCGCATAGCTGAATGTCCGACTTGTCGGATGCGAAGTCCAGCAAAAGCGTCGCCCTCAGCAATTGGCGAAAGCGTGTGATCATCCCAGCGCACCTACAGTAGACAACAACCGTCACAACAACCACTGCACGATCATCGAATCCTCTCCCGCGCCTGTAGAGGCAGAATCATGCGATTCGGGATAGGCCAGTCCTACTCGCACCCTGCTCGCTCGCGCACGGGGCAAGCGTGTCGTGATCACCTCAGTCACCCAGCGCACCCACAGCGCCATACACCGCTTGCTGACTTTCAACATGAACAGGACGAAGAGCTGCGGGACTTCCGCGTGTATGCGAGCGACCTCTGCATCGAACACTCCCCAGTCAAGCATTTCTGGATCGGGTATAGACCGGGTTGAAGGATGACCCTGAAAGGTGATCTTGAGTTCCCCTAAGTGTGGAGAGTGGACACGAGAGAGAATATGCAGTGCCCAAGCATACATGGGCCCCAGCCAGTACATGTTAAATTGAAGGTGTAACGACTCGAGGTGGGCAAACCGAACGCCATCCATTGCCCGCGGGATATAATCTGGTGATGACCGAGAAGTCAGCAATCGCCGCTACGTAACGTCGTCGAAACTCACTGGTGTCTTTAAGTCCTATGGAGGGGAATAATGCAATATGGCAGAATTGCAGGGTATCGGCTCTCTGCAGTATAGAAGCAAGCTGGTCCTGGCAAGCCTCAGAACCGCGGCTATTCCACTCGAGCCTCCGAACATTGACTTTGAAGGGAGGACGCAGAAAGTGTGCCACCGCGCCAGCCTGAATTATCCCCGCGCATGTCGAACCGGCCAATCTGAGCTCGGAAATCTGGATCTCTGAGTCTGCTCGATGGTCCGAGCCTGAAGGCATGTAAGGCGATGATGGCAACTTGTACATGCGGTCCCTAGCCTTATGCACAGTAACGAAGCAACACGGCAACACCTGGATCTGGAGGCTCGGGCGCCAAAACCAACCATCCACATTCACGGTATTCGCTGGGAACGAAGCCAGGATACTCTGCACAGTCTCCGCTCTGATACAAGACATGTGTCTTCCCGCGGGGAATGTGAGATGCAGCTTGTCGACAGCTGACAGCCGTTGCAACAATTGAGGAAGCGGTTTTTCCAGAAACTTCATATGTGCACCTGCTGCCGCGTCAATTGTGATGTTACGAATGAACGGTGTAAGTCCCGTCTTGACGAGCGACTTCAGGTGAGCAAAATCGGTATTATTGCGCACCGCGAATGAGTGGAAGAGGTGGCGGCGGACTAACGGTACCCACGCACGACATGTCAAGTTGCACGCTCGGAGAGTACTAAGATCATCTTGAAGGAAGTCAAAGATGTCCATCCACAGTTCCTCCGGGAGCATTGGGAAAGAGCAACGGCGAGCTGGCTGCTGAGAGCGCCGGGCCTTCCTCCAGATCTTGCGGAACCAGCGATACAATGAGTGTCCAGGGCTAGAAGAGGGGCGTGGAACAACGTTAACTGCCAGCTGCGCTTGAGAATGGATGGCAGATAGTCCACATTCTGTATGGTGTTGATTCCACATGCGAACCGCCTGCGAGTCGCATTAAATTCTTGAAGTCAACTTGCGAGAACGGGGGTGATAATACTCGTGTGCGCACTGGCAACTTGCGCATCATGAGTTACGTACTCCGACTGTCCATCACAAATCTGTCCCAATATGGAAAGCAGTATCCCCAAGTTGGATGTTGTAGTTCAAGCTGCTCGAGTGATGCCAGCATTAATGTACCCAGCCACGCTGCTGGACCATTAATATTTTCTCTGCACTGTCGTCTCCCGCTTTTAGCAACACGTCCCCAGTCTGGAAGAAATATAGCCTTCTGAAACTCGAGTACCCGAGCAGCATGGTGATAGCGTACAGTAATTTGACGATATGAACACAAGAGGAAACTGACAGCAGCGACGGGGGCAAAAGAACAAGTGGGCAAATAATGCGACTGTAGCGGAGACGGAGGAGAGAGGGGAAGCAAGTATTTGTGAAGCATAACTTTCGCACAGATCGATAAAGTACTAAGCCTGAGTCAAACCTAAGAGGCAAAAAGTAAGTAAAAACGGAATGCGCCCGGCACATATCATCACGACGTCCCAACTACCGTGTGTGAATCGTGTCCACAGGCAAGATACGGCAGCGACGACTCTGCCCCCTGCTGCCCGCGCGGGGCGAACAGGCTTTAATTCCCCGCCCGGTACGCCCACGAGCCAATTTTAAGAACCTGAATCACCGGACCCAGAACACCCAGCCATGGGTCGTTCTTGCAAAGAGGTGGGAGCTTCGAGGTTGGTGGGCTCTAAGTAGACATATGTCACGTCCCAGTCCGGCGCACTCAGCCGGTCGCTGGGCAACCATGCGACATGATTCCCGTCGGTGACCTTGGACTCCGTATGGTCAATCAGTGGAAGAGGAAGAGCAGCCAAAGAGCTGCAGAAAGATACGAGCTGTATGTGAACCTGTATAGCTGGATCACAGGCCCAAACGTGCTGTCTTCCGCAGATCGTGCACGCTGCTTCGGTCAAGGTATGAACAATATGAGAATTTCTCATGGCCGACGAGGTCGGAGGCGGATGAGGGCGAAAGTGTGCCAGGAGTTGGATTCAGATCTTGTTATGAATAGTCAGGTAGAAAAAGTAGTCATAGAACTTCCCTGGCACACGCCCATTGAAAAGGGGTAATCGGCCTCGATTGAGGTTGGTACACGGCTTCCGGTCGGAGATGGAGAATCGTACTGGAGGTGCTGTGGAGTAGAATGCGGGACCGAAGGATTCGGAAACATGATCAGCCAGCGCGGTCAGGGAGAAGTGCACTAGTATCGGTGGTCCTGACTCGGAGAGGACAAAGAAGCATGAAAAGGAAGAAATGGGCCCATGGCATGCGGTACAACCCCACTACGTCGCCCCTCTACGAGCGTCATCACAACAACCACTGCGTGCTCATCGAGTCCTCTCCCGCACCTGTAGAAGCAGAATCATCTGGGAGGGGCGAATTGGGACATGCCAGTCCAACCTGCACTCTGCTCGCTCGCGCACGGGGCAAGCGTGTCGTGATCGCCTCAGTCACCCAGCGTTCCCACAGTGCCATATCCTGATCTCTAATCTTCAAGGTAAACAGGACAAAGAACCGAGCACTGATCGCATGTAGGCGGCCGAGCTCCCCATCGAATGTGTCCCAATCAAACACCCACGACGTGCCGTGGAACTGGTCAGCGAGATGGCCCTGGAAGGTGATCCGCAGTTCCTGCAAGTGCGGAGAGTGGACCTGAGAGATGATATAGGGCCCCCAGCCGTGCATGGGGCCCGGCCAGTAGTCCATGTTATATTGGAGGTGCAGCGATATGAGATGTGCAAACCGAATGTCAGCCATCGGTTCAGGTAGATAACCTGGTAGGTATAAATTCAGGTAAATCAACAAACTCTGCTCCGCGCTATTGTCGACACTTACGGATTTGTCTAGGTCCTGCTAAACAGGAAAACGCGATGTGGCAGTGTTGCAAAGTATCAGCCCTGTGCAGTACATGTGCAAGCATATTCTGAGCTCCCTGAGAACCGTGACTATTCCACTCGAGCCTCCGAACATTGACCTTGAAAGGAGCATATAGCAGGTATACCAGGATGCCAGTCAGAAGTTTGTCCCCGGACGCCGAATCGGCGAATCCAAGCTCGGAAATCTCAATGATTTTGTCCGCTGGACATTCTGAGTCAGAAGGCGCTTGAGATAACGGTAGCGCATCATCCACGCGGTTTCTGGACATATGCACAGTCACTGCGTGGAGAGTCATGGTCGCGATGAGAGAGTCTGCCGGCCAGACCCAACCATCTACTGTCATGGTATTCATCGCCGGGAACGAGGTCAGGATAGTCTGTGCAGTCTCCGCGCTAATACAAGACGGAAATGAGCCTATGAGGAATTTGAAGTGCAGGGCTTCGACCGCCGACAATTCTTGCAACAATTCGGGAAGTGGGTCGTCCAGAAATGTCAGATACGCACTCATTTGGACATCGATTGTGAGATCACGAATGAGAGGCGCAAGACCTCTCTCAATAAGAGACCCAAGATGATCACAATCGGAACCCCAACGCACTTTGAATGAGCGGAAGAGATGGCGGCGCGCTGATGATACCCATGCACGGCACGTTAGGTTGCACGCTCGGAGAGCCTTGCGGTCGTCCTGTAAAAAATCAATGATGTTCATCCACAGCTCTTCCGGGAACCTGGCGATCCCAGAGAGCGGCGGCGGTAAAGCGTTGTGGGAAGATGGATGCTGCGCCTGCTCTGTGAGTAACGTATCCATCTGCTACCAAACATTTGCCAGAGGCAGTAGGCACAAGTGAAGACGGCCTTATCAGAGAGTGATCTGGCAAATATTGGCACTTACCGTGACACGAATGTCAGTGACAATCGTGACCAAGCTCATAAGCGCTCACATCAGCCTCACTGCCAGTGGACGCGACCGCAAACCATGAGTTCCAGCAACAGCACCAGCAACTCTCCGTCTTCCCCTACTACAGAAGACAACTCTTTGTTTGCAACGCTCCTCACTCCAGGATCCTCGCTTCATCCCACATTGCTGTTTGTACTCGACGTCGCGTTCTTCGCGCTCTTCCTCGTACTCGCTGGTCTCGCTCTCGCGACGCAGGGGAACCTTCACGTGCTTTCGCTTATTGGGATTGAGATGGGACTGTGGGGAAGTGTCAAATGGTGCGCTTCTTGGCTGAACGTTGGAAATAAGAGTTGATGGATGTGGCAGGTTTGTGTACGAGCTGCAGCTGGCCAACGCCAATGAAGAGACGCAAAAGAACGCGAATCGAGAAAACGATACATCACCTTCCGACTCGAAACTAAAGGAGGAATAATATAAGCGGAGAGCTACATACGCCCGCTCACTTCCCCAGATCCGCTGTGAAAGACATGTGTCACCGCCTACCTTTCTCGCTACTCTCATACCACCGCTTCATCCTACGCGCGCTCTCCTGCGCAAGTACGAATACTATCCACCCACACGAAGAACAGGTCAGACGGCATTTACTCGCGTGTTAGGCCGGAAGCACATACATTCGCGCTCGGTCACGTCGAGTCCCTCTCGGAACCCAATCGTCACCGTGTCACCGCCTATGCGTATTGCTCCACTTCCTTCACTCGCCGCTGCCGCGGCATGGATAGAAGCGAAATGTTGTGCCTGGTCGACTATTTCTGAGAGGCGGGCTTGAAACGTCTGCGGGGTCGCGGGTAGTCGGGGGTAGATGAACGGAGCTAGACGGGTACGGGTAGCTACCTACCTTCACAAGTACGTTCGAGATCTCCTGCGCAGACATATCATCCAGCCTTCGCCTGACGTTTCAGTGGTGTTCCTGCTCGTGATAGAAAGCACTCACAAGCGCATGATCATCCGTCCGAAGCCATACCACATACCAGCTTGCCCGACGAGACTCGCCAGTCGAACGCTACATGGCTCTGCCTTCAGAGCATTCCGGACTCGCGAAGAAAATGGTGGTGGGATGGTGAAGTCGGCGTGGTCACTGAGTGGAACTTGAGTAATGCAGACACCGGATATGGAGGACAAGAAATGGACGGACGAATAAATGAGGATGTACGCCATCCACATAGGGATTTGCGCTTTACTCAGCGCCTTTATCTGCACGTCTGTTAGTTCACCAAGCTCGCGTCGTGCATGTGGTTGAACGTACGTCGCGTTCGTTGCCGCCATCGAGATGGCCCATGTCTGGAATGTCGACCTTGAACGTGCATTGCACCTTCTGGTTTTCCGCAAGGATAGACTCGACGGAATAGTAGTCGTCGTCCATGTGGTACTAAAGTCTGACGGAGAGCGCGTTGCGTGACGGGTGACGCGTGCGTCACAGCTGCCGACGCGTTTGGGTACGCGTCACACGATCCGCCATCCGCCTCTCTCTCTCTCCTGACGTCCGTCCACTCGCGGCCTCCATTCGTCCTGCATCTGCTCCGTAAAAATCCTAATAATGCTCAGAACGGCACTGCCAGTTAAACGTATCTTTACTACAAACGCGCTCCGCCTCACCCCGGCTTCGCTGCAGTCACGGTCGAGACCTGCCCTCCCGCACCGAGATCCACACCATGCCAGCTTCTCCACAACGCCCCGCCGGAGCGCATCTGAGGAGCCAGAGACACAGGCGTTAATTAACCAGCAACAGAAGGTAGCGCGCTTGCTCCAGTCGGACCCTGAGCTCGCACGGCTCGTGGTGGACTTCAAGGACATCCTTGAGAGCGAAGGTTCGTGAGATATATTCCCTTCTGTATCGATAAGTATATCTCCTGAGAAAATGGCTTACATACATGCGCGTATAGGATTCACTTTGAACGAGCAGTCGATGCCTAGCAAGTTAGATATGGTACGAATGTTTATGAGGCCGAAAGTACGCGAGGCAGCTGAGAACCTGTTCGCCAAATTCAAAGAGGCAGGCATAGATCCAAAGGTTAGTCATGTTCGTTCTGCTGTAGGGCTACGCACTGAATAGAATGCGTTGTGAATGTGTAGGACATCATGGACTTTGGGGCAAGTATGTCGAAGCGGAAGTGATCTCGAGACACACTGTGTATTACCCACTTGATATATTGACTGTAATTTTGGGCTCCTGAGACGTCCATGGTGCCTTCGAGCTGCTAATATTGTATGCTTTAAATGGGTCTCTGCAGACTGCCAGTGCTCCTGCGAGTGTACGTGCACGTGATTAAGCGCGTCCCTCAATTGAAGTCTCCTCACGTCTTGCGCACCCAGCTTCTCGAGTTTCCATCTGTCTAGCTGATAGTAAGACATTCGGTATGGATACAAACGGGGCAGGTCCATCGACTCTTCCAAATGTGCCTGAGCTATCCTCCTCAGTTCCACCCCCCGCGCCGTCGCATCCCTTATCCTCCACGCATTTCTACTCAATCGAATACCCAGGATACGTGCAACCTACCTCGATCCCTCTCGCAGTAGAGCGGCTCGGCGGACAGACGAGTATTGAAACAGCATTTAAACGCGTCTCCGCCAAGAACGAATCGCTCCTCGAGCTGCATCTCCGCCCTGGAATCCCCTTCGCGCACCCCGTGCCCGGGGATATTGTCCCAACGAGCAACGTGCTGCTGAAGGTAATCAAGCGCAAGCGTAAGAGGCCGAACGTGGAGGAGGTCACTGGGGTGCGGGAGGAAGAGCAAGTAGGGGAATACACCGTAGAGGCTGTCGGCGTCATCCCGAAGACTGTGCGGTTCAGGGGTGAGTACACTTTCTGCATAGTCTGTGACAAGTTGAACATAAACTATCTAGGTATGGTGGATTATCAGTTCCAGCCTGACATGAACGACCCACTGGCAAAACTCCGCGTTGCGATGGATAACATGGATGGTAAGCCCCGTTCTATTCTCATGTCGTTGGAGAGAAGTAAATGTCTTGCAGTTGAAAGTATCCTTAAGTACAAAATCCCGCCGGAGAAAGAAGATTACATGATCTCTGTCGGTGGAGACCCCTCCGCTATGCAGATCGACCCGCAGTTAATGGACGAGCCTCAAGAAAAGCAGCCAGACACGAAGATGAAGAGTAATCTCCGACTCTTCACTCCTCCACTCTTCAGCCGCCAAGGAATACCTCAAAATTACAAGTACTTTCTTCTTGTGTTGTTCCTGAGATGAAGTGCTGATGTGCGGTTTCCAGTTACAGAGCGAATACCGCGTCGGTGGTAACGACTGTCGTGGACGAAGAGACGGGCGAGGAGAAGAAACGTCTTATCAACCGCACGCGGTGGAAGGGCTATGGCCCCATTTCCATCCTATTCTCTGACAAGACCGTGCGTATTTATGCTGCGCTTCTCCTCACTTCAGGGTGTGTTCACTCAGTCACAGGTACCGGACAAGCCCCCTGCGACTGTCGAGGAGAAACGGAAAGAAGCGGACCCAAAGCTACTCAAGAAATTGGAAGAGGTTGCTTACCTTCAGACTGTGCTCATCTTCCACGGTCACTCATTGCTATTCTATAGCTATTTCAAGAGCGCCCCATATGGACGCGTGCTGCACTCTTTAACCAACTCGCGCCGTGGGAGATGCGCGAGGTGATCAAGTATGTTTGCACTACATATTCTCTCCACCTCTGGCCGACCGTGATCCCCACAGCTCCAAGTTCCTCCTCCCCCTCGTCTCATACGTCTTCCAAGATGGGCCATGGCGCGACACACAGCTCTGCCTGGGGTACGACCCGCGACAGGACCAGGACGCGCGTTTGTAAGTATCATCTGCCCTTCATCCCAGATCTCGTAAGTATAGATGTGTCTCCCAGCTACCAGCGTCTGTACTTTCGCAACACCAGCCACCCGGTGGTACGCCCGTCCATCACGATCAAGCGTCAAGAAGGTAGGGTCGAAGCACAGGCGCGCTCTACCGACACTGCCATACGTGAAGTGGACCGCAGGTACTACTGCGTCTTCTGAATCTGTCTGCGTAGGCTTGACTGAACATTGTTAGGTCGCATATATTCGATGGTCTGACAGTCACGAAAGAGACGGCGGCGTTCCAGCTGTGCGATATCTACGACCCGATGCTGAAGGAGATGATCGAGGATGAAGACGATGTCCGCGAAGTCTGTAACGTGAGTCACCCGTTCTGTGTTCTGGTCGGTGATTCTTCATTGATGCGAAACCATGCAAAATAATGATATCCAGGAGCGCGACGGGTGGTATTCCACACGTGCAATCGAACGGATAAAGACCGTGCTGCGGCACAAGTTCTTCTCACTCCTCGGCGGACATGTTGCGACCCGTGAAGAGTGTGAGGCATTGCTCGTCCCACAGGAGGGCACGAACAAGCTCCCCCTGCGCCCCACGAGGCGCCTCAAGCCCGGGAAACACAACATGGCCAAAGGCGCGCTGCGCCCAGAGGATGCGGCAGCTCAGCGGTTAACGGCAATGATCGAGCAGAAGGCGAAAGACTTCCAGAGTCAACGATGAAGTAATTGGGCATTGTGTTGTTCGCATCTCGGTGTAGCCATACGTTGTCGCTCAGCTGTATTGTTTTGATCTCGGCAAAAAGTCCGACCGGTGCATATGCAGAGCGCACGCAATGGAGTGTTTTTGGGATATAGAATTTCTCATGGAGCCTAGACATACGGCGGTCTGCATGTGCATAGTGGTGATATGGTGTTTTCACGACGACGGCATCCCCACACCAATAACGGACGTGAACGGCACGCACAGGTTCTGACGATCGCGACTGCTGTCCGTGCAACCTCCCTGCTCTGGAAAGCACAAGTGAGCACATCATGATGCTTCCTTCGCCTCGAGTCGAGCTTTTCGCTGCAGGAGATAAATATCAGACATGAGCTGCCCAGCAAAGGAACGAAACATACGGAGCCAACCAGCGCGAACTTCGCGTTACGGCGGAACTGCAACGGAATACAATATCAAGCACTAAGATGTAGATTCCGCGGAGCGATTCGCGTACCTTGGGGTCAACCTAGAACGCAGCTACCATGAGCATCATCTGAATCTGTGGACGCAATAAAACGACGTACACCCTTCATCGACCTCGTCCTGTAGCTCTTGGGCTTCTTGATACCATTGCGGTGAGCCTTCTTGCTCTGGTTGTGATTTGTGTGGCTAAATAACGACACAAGCCGAACAGTCAATCCAGCGATAGCACTCCGGCGCACTAAACGTACTTCTTAGACTTGGCCATCGCGTCTTGAGGATTGAAGTGTTGCTGCCGCTGCCCGAGGGACTAGACTGCCTGGGAAATTTGGGATGCGGTGGCTGAAGAACTGTGCAGTTCTCGGACCCTCCGTGGCTCCAGCTGGGGAAGTCCGCCCGGAGGTCCTACGGGCCGCCAAGTTGCCCCGGCACGGGGCGGACTTCTCCCACGGAGCAATTTTCGGTCAAAAGACCGGATGCCGTCCCGAAATTCCAGTCAATTAGAAAATAGCCCGCTGGGAACTCCGCGGGAGTTACGATATCTCGATCTATTCAAGCACTCACCGCATATGGCAGTCTACATGCTATTATGAGTGTTCGGGGGTTATCGGCCGAAATTGCGACCTTGGGGGCCAATTGGAGCTCTTCAATTGCGTCGGCTTATAGATCACTTCATCTTAGAGCAATCTTACAGCTCGAGTCATCCCTTGCCGGACTTTTGTGAATTGATATAAAAAGTCTCCTCACGTCGCGATCAGTCTGTCCAACTATCGTAACGCGCCGTCTCTCCCGTCAATATGCCTGCTCCTGTTCAGAAGCCGCGCACTCTGTACGATAAAATTTGGGACGATCACGTTGTGTAAGTGATCTTCAAATTGCGCTCCGTGCATGGCGGTTCTAACGCACAATCGTGTTGCAGAGATGTCCAGGATGACGATCTCGCCCTCATCTATATTGATAGGTGTGTTGCTGTGCAATTCGCGGTGCTGATCAGATTCTTAGGTGGTATGGTTCTAGGCATATGGTCCACGAGGTGACAAGTCCGCAGGCGTTCGAGGGATTGTGGGTGTTCTCTTCTCAGGCGCGAAGTGGCACAGGCTGATGGCGACACCAGACGAGTATCTGGTCGTTCTGTTCGCCGCCCGGATTGTACTTTGGTCACTGTAGACCACAATGTGCCGTGAGTCTCTGCCAAGTTGCGCGTCGCGTGATTTAGGCACTGACAGGGAATTCTGAACACGCAGCACATTCTCCCGAAAGGAATTCACAGACATCGGGTCGTTCGTCACTGAGCCAAATTCTCGTGCTCAATGCCAGGCTCTGGAGGAGAACGTGAAGCAATTTGGATTGCCGTACTTTGGCATGAAGGACCGCCGTCAAGGTAAGGGCTATTTGACACCGATGCAATGACAACTTTGACCGTAGGCGCTCCAGGTATCGTTCATGTCATTGGTCCAGAACAGGGCTTTACGGTGAGTTCGAGAAGTTGCGTGCGCCTGGACTTTGCATTGACATCAGACTCAGCTTCCTGGCATCACTTGCGTCTGCGGCGATTCTCACACTTCTAGTGCGCATGTCCCTTCTCTTCTCCTCCTTTTTGGTAATGCTGATATTAACTCCAGCTCATGGCGCGTTCGGATCTCTTGCTTTTGGTATCGGAACGTCCGAGCTCGAGCACGTGCTAGCTACACAGACTTTGCTCCAGAAGAAGAGCAAGAATATGCGCATTAATGTTGAAGGCACCCTGAACGAAGGTGTCACGTCCAAGGACGTGATCCTACACATCATCGGTGTCATCGGTACAGCCGGTGGCACTGGTTGTATCGTTGAGTACGCCGGCTCTGTCATCCGCGGGTTCAGCATGGAGGCGCGCATGAGCATGTGCAACATGAGCATCGAGGGCGGTGCTCGCGCAGGCATGGTCGCGCCAGACGAGATCACCTTCAACTATCTCCGCAACCGCCCGCTTGCGCCCAAGGGCGAGCTCTGGGACCGCGCCGAGGCCTACTGGCGGACGCTGAAGTCCGACGAAGGCGCGAAGTTTGATGTAGAAGTGAACCTCCGCGGCGAGGACATCTTTCCCACTGTCACATGGGGAACTTCGCCGCAGGACGTCGTCGCTATCACCGGGAATGTCCCCAATCCGGCTGCAGTCGCGGACGCGGCCAAGCGCGCGAACATGGAACGTGCCTTGAGCTACATGGGTCTCGTTCCCGGGACCCCCATGCAGGACATCAAGGTTGACAAGGTGTTCATCGGGTCGTGCACGAACAGTCGTATCGAGGATCTGCGCTCTGCGGCCCGCATTGTTTTGGCTGCTGGACCGGACGCGAAGGTCGCTCCGGGCGTGGACGCCTTGATCGTTCCCGGCTCGGGCCTGATCAAGCGGCACGCCGAGGCGGAGGGCCTTGACTTGATCTTCAAGCGCGCAGGCTTCGACTGGCGCGAAGCTGGTTGCTCGATGTGTATCGGTATAAATCCGGACAAGCTGGCGCCGGGCGAGCGGTGTGCAAGCACGAGCAACCGAAACTTCGAGGGCCGTCAGGGTGCAGGCGGACGCACGCACTTGGTCAGCCCCGCCATGGCCGCCGCGGCTGCTATGACAGGCAAGTTGACGGACGTGCGGAAATTCCTGGGGGGCGACGTCACGACGAAAAACCCTCTCAAACCGACCAGCGAGTACGATTTCTTCACTGACCCCGTCGAGCCGGCGCCAGAACCGGAACCGCTCACAAAGACAGAGTCTGCTTCCAGCAAGCCTCTACCTCCGACGGAAACCCCTTCCAGCGTTGCCAAGTTCGTCGTCCTCAAGGGCATTGCTGCACCACTGCACCTGGAGAACGTCGATACGGATATGATCATCCCTGGCCGGTTCTTGAAGACGTTGAAGCGTACCGGTCTCGCGGACAACCTATTCTACGCCCTCCGCAGGGACCGTGAGACCACCGAGTTTAACGACGAGATGGTCCTCAACAGGGAGCCGTGGAAGCATGCCAAGATTCTCGTCTGCACGGGGAGGAACTTCGGCTGTGGAAGCTCTCGCGAGCATGCGCCATGGAGTTTGTACGTGCGCTTATATTTTCGGCTGCGAACTACCCGGTCAACTATTGTTTCAGGAAAGATTTTGGGATCCTGTCTATCATAGCTCCCAGCTACGGAGACATCTTCAAGAGCAACACGATGCAAAACGGCATGTTACCGGTGACACTCTCAGAGGCAGAGTGTCGTGACCTAGCGGAAGACGCAGAGGCGGGGTTGGAGATCGAAGTCGACCTCGAAAAGCGGGAGATCCGTCGGCCAAACGGCAAGCCCCCGATTCCCTTCACCGTGGACGAGTTCCGCAGGCACTGCCTGCTGAACGGGCTGGACGACATTGCTCTGACTCTGCAGAAGGTTGGAGCGATCGGGCAGTTCGAGCAGCGAAGAAGTGAGACATGGCCGTGGTTGGACGGGTTTGGCTACAAGGGACAAAAGATTCCCGTCGCCCCGGTGAAGAAGACAACGAAGATGGAGTGGTGAAGTCATCGAGGGTAGTGATGTACGGAAAATCTTGATTTTGTGTAGCTTTCTGTATCTGTTCTGTAGTACTAAACATGCATCTGGTTTGCGAGTGGGTTGCACAGTGCTGCATGCGCAAAACGTACAGAATTATGACATAAATAATGGGCCATGTCCCAGCTCTAAGGCGATTAACAAGTAACTCCCACGTGGGCGCCCTAATGGGCGCTTAGACTGGCTTGGAGAGGGGGAAGGAGGGGCCACGGACCTCTGACATTGACTGACTTGGCAGGCGGCAGCGACGACGGCTCCTCTATCTAACCTGATGTATGTCTCTCTATCTTGCACTTTGACTTTCTCCACGCACCTCTAGTCTGTGGATGAAAAGTGGAGATGAGCGCCGCAGTAAGTCTCCAGCGACTTGCGTCCGAGGGAAGTGACGCTAGCACGGGTTCGCATATATCCTGCTCGTACGTGTGATTGCTGCGGTACTAATGCGCGATACTTCCAGCGTCAACGACTCTTGCATCTCATCTACGACCGGACTTGATAAGACGCGAAACCGACCACATCCTCTCCTATTATCAGTCCGAACACGCAGGACGCTCCTACATCTACTCTCCTGGAGAAGCCCATGTTTCGGTGCCCCCGCTCATGAGAGAGTCATCGTCAGGCTCCGTTTCATCGTCACAGTATTCTGATTCTGAGGATCCCCTTGATGGGTTCACACATGATAGCGCTGAATCAGCGAAGCACTCCACGGTCGCGACCGCGACGGCAGCGATGGGGCATATACGGAGGCCAAGTCAGCCTTCGGAGGGTAGTGCGGACAGGAGACGTCTGGCAATCGTGGAATTAGACTCTACTGCTTCGCTGTCTCCTGCGAGGAGGAAGAGTGACAGGAACCAGGAGTCACGTTTTGACTCCCAAAGGGGTGCAATGGCACCCAACGGCCTATTGTCAAGACGCGGGATTCACGTCCATGGGCTCGCGCTGGTTGCGCCTCCAGATGCGTCACCCAGAGCATACACGGATCTGACCCCTCCAACTTCTGCACCTATTACAGCTGAGCGCGTCCCGGCTTCTGTGCAGGGCTCTTCAGTTTCGCACCAACGTTCTCGGTCTGAGGTTCATGGCGTTAGCAAGGCTCTCCTTCATCATCAGCGTTCTCGTGACGTTGGTATAGTTGGGTCTCGTAAATCGTCTGGTGCTGAGAGTCTGGTATCCAGCGAGGAGTATTCGACATATGCAGAGAACAAGGGACTCAAGGTACCTATATTCCAGACACCAACTAAATCGCGATCTCCGTCCCCCGCCATGCAGACTACTGACGTCTCTGAGTCGAGTACCCCCAGTGTGCAACTTCCTACTAGTCAGAGTATACCGACTCCGACTGCACCAGGGAGGTCTGAGGACCTCCTCACGCCTGCTATAGGAGAGTACAAGGATATACAGCAGCCAGTGGTTGGACCCGTCGTTGTAGGGATCTCCTCAGACATGATGCGCGCAGATGCTATTCAAGACGGAGTGGCCAGCCCTTCTCGTCCCGATTCCCAATATTCATCACCGCGATCATATGATACTCACGACAGACCATCTCCTTACCTGTTCTACGAGCCCGGAGTTCACTCCACGGCAGGCCCTTTGCCTGCACCGCCTGCCCCCATGTTTTCTATTGCCGATCGAGATGCCATAATGTCACCTCCACCTCCCCGACCTCCACGCGCTGCTCCCAGGCGCGACATTGATGCCCTCAAAGAGGCGTTGCAGCTGCCGAAGTCAGTGTCTGCCGTGCTAGCTTCTAGACCAACCCCAGAACCAGAACCTGTTAGCGGTCCCATGTTAAGGTCGCGCATGAATTCAGGAAGTTCTGGTCCAGAGTTCGACCAAACTAGCCAGTACGTCCTGTTAATCCTTGACGATAGTTGCATAATCCTGAGACGCATAAATAGATTTTCTGGGACCTCTTCACAGCAGCCAATGCATATCAGAGAAGGGGCATTCCCTCCATCCACATTATCAGTTTCACACCCTCAGCAATCAGTAGCGGTGACACCCAATACCCAGTCAAACGGCGCATTGCCAAAGCGCAATGGGTCCATTCGTTCAGCGGAGCAGACCCGGCGCATAGAAGACGATGCACGTGTTGATAGTGACAATATCTCATCTCTGTCTACCGATCACGCATACCTCAAATCCCCCCCTCGGAGATCTGATGTCGAAGTGCGGCGGGAAGATAGTTGGGTCAGTCTGGGCCAAGGGACAGCCAACCGCCAAATGTCACCGAATGGCGGAGCAGAGAAAGCGCTTGGTGTTGCTATATCGCTGTCAATGACACCTGCACAATCACCGACACCACCCCCAAAGAGCCTGAAAGGATCCGAGGATGAGAGGGCAAGCTTGGGCGCAAATCCATTCAGAGCGACGTTGTCAAACCTCAAACGCTTCTCTGCTCTACCGCGAACACCTTCGTTTACGTCGTCTGTTGTGAAGAGCCAGGGCTCACACCATTCTAGAACACCGTCGCCTCCTGCTATTACCGCTCGAGCTCCCAGGCCGAGGATTATATCTGCATGGCCCGACGCAATGCACTGTTACGATGTAATGTCGAAGAAGAGTGCGCTAGAGCGCTCCAAAGCCTACGCTCAGAAAATAAATGAATTGGCGATCTATGATTGTGGCTTGACGGAGTGGGTAACTGCGGTGAAGCATCGAGGTATGTATATGCGCATGATTTATCTCGCAGTACAGGTGACATTTATTGTCGCCCCGCTGTAGGATCTAATTCCAAACCAGCACAAAACAGTGCGACGCGACTCACTTTGACCCCGGCGACTCCGTCCCTTCGTACATTTACTTCGCAACCGCGACATATCTCGCACGGTTCAATAGCATCCGAGATGACGTTCCCCACGCGAGCAGATGCTTACACTGCGACGGACCTGTCCACGAGATCTATGGATGTCGCACCATCTACTGCTGCGCCACCAGCCCTCCCTTATCCTTCATTGGCTACGAGTTCGCAATCTTTGCGCATGTCCACACTGCTGTCATCGCCATCTCGCTCTCTGCAGTTACCACTGCCAAGCACCAGGTCGGGAGGGATGGGCTTCTTTTCGTCCATTGGCAGAAAGTCCAGTATGAAGAATAACAAGGATATGCCGTCATCGCCATCATCCCCAGCGAAGGTGTTGATGAAAAGGATGCCCAATCTCCCAAATAATCCTCCCCGCCCGGTTCAGATCACGACCGCACCATTAGTGCCAGGTGGTCCGCGTGCCGCTCCAGGACGAGTGCAGCGTTCACAGACGTATTCTGTTTCTCCCAGTCCGCCTGCACCCGTGTTGTCGGAGCCATCTCCATCGCTCGATAAGCGACAGAGTTCTGCGACACGCCGGCCATCTCTGTTCACGCGGTCAAGGGCTGTGCCGGGGCCAGCATTAGGGGCAGGATCGGCGGCGCCTGTCACCCCCACAATGTCCACACCAGAGTTTGAGAGGCAGGTAGACAAGTTGGCTGATCTTCTCCCACATGCAGATAGGGTCATCTTAGCGGGCTACCTCCGCCGAGCCGGGCAAGACATCCTTGCAATCGGACAGTACCTAGAGGACGAGAAGAATGGCACCTTACACTAAGACTAGGATGAGTGACCTACCTACCAGTCTCCATGCTGAATTCGTTCATAGTGCACAACGATTGCAGTTGAACTTCCCTGTCTGACTCTCTCCTTCCTGCCCATTGTAATTGTATGCATACTTGGATTCATGGTTCCATGGACGCGTCATTAAAGTATACAGGTAATCTACATCCATTGTATCTATACGCTCGTTGATTGTACCGCATATCTTACCTCGTTACTGAATCCTACACAGTGCAAGTACCAGAATACGGTGTTCTTTCGTCGTGAAGTTCGTTTCAGAGGGACGCGCCAGCAGGTCGGAACTTGCCATTGGATGGCTTCCTTGGATTCATCGATGGTTGTGCGAATACTGGCCATTGGCTCGTCAATAAATCATTTGCACGGGCAGATTCTCTCACCGCGTTGCGGAGGTCTATTGTTGTGAACCTGAGGGAGCGACCAAGTAGTGCTGGTGCGGACATATTGAGGTTGTCCCTGTCCGAGCATGTTCTCCACTTCCGCCGCACTGCCGGAACGATCTGACTGCGCTGCGCTACTTGTCCTGAAGGATCGGTCGACCATTGCATTGAAAGGCTGACGCTGGAGATTATGTCGCGTCTGACCAGCGTTGGGCTGGCGCCATGCAGTACCCTGCTGCACGCCTGTTGGTCGCACTGTGCGATTCACTATCGGTGTCCGCTGAATCTGCACCATGTAAGCTGAAAAATAAAGATGACAGAGACGGTGGAAAAGACCGAACCCCGTTCGCTTCCATATCACCCACAACGGCCCCCACGTCGACAGTACCACCTACCGCAGCGCCGAAGGCCATTCCTCGGTGCTTGTTTGATTGCTCTTCGAGGACTTGTCTTTCTCCCGCATGAGTGCCGCCAAATGGCATGGCCCCTTCCCCAGTGACGCCGCCGGGAGCAAGAAGTGCCTTGCGTTTCATCTTGTCGTATTGTGTCTGTCGAATACCCATGAGCAAGCAGGTACAGGATCAGAACGCAACAAGCATATACGCACTTTGAGCTTCTGATACTCCTTCTCTCGTTCTCTAAGGGTATCTTGAACGTTTGCTGCTTGTCTGCGTTCTAACTCGAGATCCCGCTCGAGCTCTTGAGCCGGTAAGTGTCCAGTGCTCAACAATATGCGACCTTATGCGCGCACCAGATACCTTGTTGTTCAGCAGGCTTATCTCCCCGTTGGCTATTACGATGCATCATGTTTCAGTGAAGCCTCCAAGGCGACTATATGCGCATTTATTCACCTTCTCTGATCACGTTGTCCAGCTGTTTCTGCAGCAGCGCAGTTTTCTCGTTGACGTTGCGGAGCACTGCATGCTGGAAAGTGCTGTAAGGGGGACTTGCTCAGATGCATGTTCCGCAGGGTTATATGTCCTCACAATTCTTGATGAACCTGATACTGCCAAAAAGACATTGCCCTGAAAATAGGTTGAAAATACGTCAGAAGTGCCACACAATTGAAAAGAACGTACCGGCTACATATCTCTAAGATAGTTGCAGGGTTCAAGCCGGACAAGACAGACTTGAGACACGGGTGAACATCGATCAACGTTGCCCGTATGCGCCCTTCCTCACCGTTTTGTAGTCGTTGGATGGATGCAAAGAGCATACCTGAACGAATTATCAACATGAATATCATGGGTAACTACGAACTGACTCACTACCACGTCATCACTGCAGACACAAGAAGAGCTCAGAACATTATCTTGCAAACATCTTGATGCTCACGGTTCTGTCAACGAAGTCTCACACGCTAATGATATCAATTTGAGCGTTAGACTGCAACTATTCCATGACGTGAAGAACTTACCGGGGCATAACCTCGACGCGTTGAAGAGCTCATTCGCGCATTCGACTATAAATCATCGTCATTGGAGGAGCCCTACAGTACACCATATACTAACCACAGAATATATGAGAGCCTTATTTTCCGTGCAGTAGAGTGCATTTGTATCAGCGAAGCTGATAACTCGGGATGCACAGCACGTACATGTTGTCTGACATCACAGAAAAGACACTTCAAAGCACGCCTTCTCAAGGACGGGTCTTACTCACCACAACCGCCTTCTCCGTCAGTGCTCGTCTGCAGGTAAGTCTGTTGCATTTGAGATTATCCATCGTTGAGCTATTGTTATGCTATCCTGAATGGGGAGGAGCATCACTGGCGCGTCGAAAGGCTGACTTGAGCCAGTGAGTGCTGGACGCGTTCTAGTCACATGATCACCAAGAGTTGCGGTTGCGAAATAGTGGGCCCAAGAAATATGTAGTGTGCTACACGAATACACATTATAGTGACCTATTCTTCTGTCCCTTGTATCAGCACCTTAAATACGAACGAACAAATACTATGCAAAGCAATGTCACAATCAACACGAAAACAACGAACAGACTTTGACTTGATCATGGCCGCCAGACAGATGGTCGAGAACTTGCCGGGGTATTCAGCACCGAGGACATCGAAGACATCATAGAACGTGACGACCGTGATGGAGACTCGGCGCGCAAAGACGGAGAATCTCTGCCGGCTCTTCTGAAGAACTGCAGTGCGGTAAGGGGAGACCCTGTAGATGGTGGTGATGCCGACCTGATGGACTTCGGACTCGATCCGCCTGGCGTTGACAGAGCAAACGATGGAATAAACGACAAATTGGGTAGAGGAGTGCCAGGTGGCTGATATGGGAACATATTATCTACAGCTTGAGAGAAAGTTGCTGAATTGACCCATTTTTCATCGCGTGAGCCAACCGAGGCGCGTGGAGGGCGTGGAGGGGACTCTGGAAGAATTCGAAACGCATCAGCAAAATGATCCTTGATAAATCTGTGAGGGACATTAGTAAGGGTGTGTACTCAAGGGCACAACCGCTCACTTCGAAAGTTCTGACCATCCGCCCCCGACTCGAACCATGACAGTCTGCGAACGTAGGATACGACAGAAGCAGAGTTTGGGCTCTTGGTCACCAATCCAATACTTTCCACTCTGATCTTTCCAAGTGTCCGCAACAACCTCAACGTTGATATTCGCGGAAAGCTTGTTGACGACGTCACCGACCGCAACATCAAGCTTGTTTTTGGGATCGGCGACGTAGGGCTTCTTCACACCCGGTGGCGCTCTAACTGCAGGAGGTGAGGTAACCTTCGCAGCTGCTGATAATGATTGTCTTGGAACACGCGCCCACGTAGAATGTGGTGTAGACGACAGGGACGAGTTGAATCGGGGGCGAGAAGTAGAGCGCGAAGAAATCTCTGTGAGTGCTGGAGATGCAGTGCGGTCCGCTTGAATAATCTGTGCTCTTGGACGTGCAGCAGCCTGGACGCGCTTCGCAGGTGTTGTCATAGAAGAGGCGGATGATATGCTGGCAGTCCTCTGGCGCGAGGAGAATGTCGAGCCGTACAGCGTGGATGATGGTGATATCGGACTCGACACCGACCGAATGGAAGAGGTCGCGGATGCCCTACTCGCTGATCGACTGTGACCCACAGCCGACGCGCCAGCGGAAGACCGTCTAGGATGAGGTTGTGGAAGAGGTGCAAGAAATCCTCCAGTAGAACCAACAGAGAGCTTGGAGTAGCCAGTTGATTTCTTGCTTTGGTGTCCGGAATTACTCTTGCCAGATGATCTACTGCTTCGACCAGTACTTATGACGCTCGGTGGCCTGGATTTCTGCCCGCTGACACGGTCAAGACCCATAGCCTGCAACTCGCTCCAGGTTTGCAAAACGCGATCACGTTCCACCGTGGCGCGGGAGTCGTCGGGAACTGCAGAATAGCACGCTTGCATCTTCTCCAAAACATCTTTCGTGAACGATAACCGATCGGACATTTGCTTTTCGGGTGTTAAAGCGGTGTTGGTAGTGTATGACGAAGATAACGGCCCGAGAGGTGGTGAGGGATAACTGTCAACGTGCTCTAAGAGATCACTGAGAGCGCTGTCGCATGAGCCTACGGCCATAGTTAAGTCCGCTAGCCGGTGAACCTTTTGCATGAGCTTAGTGGAAGCAGAAACCTCGCTGCGCAAAGAGCGAAGATCTGTATCGGCTGCAGTGTTATCTGGGAGAGATGGCGGTAAGTGATCAACCTCAACAATTACTGCCGAGAATTGATTCGCCATTCGTTGCCGTAGTTCATCGCCCGGAAGAGAATCGCCTGATCGGAGGGCTGGTCTTGCCACATCGTTTATGTGGATAGAACATAGCCGCTTCCGCAGGTGGTATATGCGCGTCTGAAGGTCGCTCCGCTTTTGTGGTGGGCGATGTATGACTGCAGACGGAAACAACTGTATCCCGAAGACATCTGATCAAGCATCCTAAGTGTCAATTTCTGCTGAGCGACAGCCATACTTACCTTCTTGGACGTGCAGACTAGGGACTCCGTGTGTGATAGAGTCCTCCATGTCAGATTCTTTAACAACCTCCAACGGCGTAACGGCCCTCTGATGTTTCTCTCGCAGAGCTGGCTCCTGTAATCCAGACACCTCTGTGTCAGTTCCAGGTGTTGCCTTAGCTTCCAGCTCCTGCGCTTCAAGTCTCCTGCGCTCACCCACCTCTCTCCCCGCCGCAGTGACGCGTTCCAGTCGCTGTTTCTCCCCCGCCTCCAATTGCACACGCTCAGCTTCCTGTTCTTCCCACAGGCGCTGCTGCTCAGCTTTCTCGCGCTCTTCAGCAACCACCTGCTCCTTCCCGAGGCGCTCTTCTTCGGCCTTCGCAAGACGTTCAGCTTCCTCTTGTTCCCGTCTTGCTCGTTCTTCGACCTCCAACTGCTCCCGTTCTCGCCTTGCTCGTTCTTCAGCCTCTGACAGCAATTGTTCTAGCTTTGCACGTTCTTCAACTTCCAACCGACCCGGTTCTTCCTGCAGACGAGCTTCCTCCGCTAATCGCGAACGCTCTGCATCCAGCGCCTTGGCTATCTGCTGCTGCAGACTCGAAACACGGTCCTTCCAAGAATTGTACTGTACTTCGGCCTCTTCCAGAGCTCTCTGACGAGATATGAGCAGACTATCCCGCACATTGGCTCCAGCATCTCCAGAAACAGACTTCAATCTGTGAAGTAAATCACGAACTGGGGAGAAGGAGCGCGGAATCTCGAGGCCATCTGTCTGCAACAGTCGATTGACTTCCTCCGACAGAAGCGCTAAATGATCCAGTAAGTGGATATTGTCTGGAAACTTTGCAACAGATTGTCGAATGACTTTAGCCGACTTGACCGCATGACGAATACTATTGACGATGGTCTCCGTCGCAAGATCGATCGTTTTCGCTGTCTTCGCTAGCTGGAAGTGATCGGTCTTTTGCTCCAGTACTTTGAGTACGCCAGATAGCATCATGCTGTACGCGTTGGAATCTGCCCGAACTGCATGGTCCAGAATCGCGGGATCGAATGGCAAATAGAGGGGGGCTGCTTGCCGGACAATGTCAAGACTGAAGCTGCCAGAAAGAGAGGTCCTCTTCGAAGAAGTTACGCTGGACATTTCCAGACCTCCAGTGAATGGAACACGGTGGGGCAGATCAGCGAGGAATGCTTGAAGCGTGTCTTGAGAGCGTTTTACTTCACTCGTGAGACCACCCTCAGTCAACAGTAACGCGTCGCTGACGAGGTCACCTGCAAGGACGTCTTGAATACCTTTGTCAAATCGGACCTTTAGGTCTTCCATCTGAATTTGGAGACTGTGAACTTCGTCCCGTACATTTCCCATGATGGCAGCTTGGTTCAAGACAGATTCCCAAAACCGAGCCAGTTCAGTCGTACGACTGAGGAAAGAATCCAGGTTGGTGGAACACTCCGACAGGTAGTCCTTCAGAGCTGGACCAACTGAAAAAATCACTGCTCTGCACGGCGACGAGACCTCCTGGTTCATCCGCACCTGCAAAGTGTCCAACCGAGCAAAAATGGAAGCAGGTGAAATAGTCGTAGGGGCGAGCTCTGTTGTGGGTGTTTCGGGTGTGGGCGGTGCTCCATGAGAACTCATCTGCTGTCGCCACATCTGCCTCTCTATAGCGTCCGGAATCTCGTCGCGAATGCTTTCCAAGTCCTGAAACAGGTGCTCCATTGCAAACCATACTTGCCTGACATCATGCAGGATGGAGGCATGACCTACAGCTTCCTCGCTAGCACGTGAAGCCGCAGTACGATGAGCAGCGAAGCCTTCGATCTCGGATGCTGAGGTAGATTTGAATCCATCGTCGATGCCGGGGCGATCAAGATGCAGGAGAGCTGCTCGTGCACCAGGCAAGAGGTTACTGGCATCTTTATCTGCCTTTCGCAATTCCTCGACGGTAGCAGGCAGCATCGCAAGGAAGACCGAATGCCGGGATGCATCGAGACAGGCCTCCGTAGACAGATCCGGTGGAGTGCCATCACCATTCGCAGTCGCAATACCCGTCTGCAGGCGCTCAATCAGAGAGACAAGTGTGAGGGACAGATCTGAAGCGGCCTTGCAGGCCGTTTCCACCCGCTTGACTGCTTCATAGCTGGCATGGTATTCCTTCGCACACGCCTCAACTTTCTTTGCTTCGTCAATGGCAGACGATAGCTCCGACGAGAGTAAACGAACGACACTCTCGTTAGCGGCCGATTGGTCAGGATATAGATGGTGGGTCGGTCGAGGAAAAACGCTGGAAAGTAATGAAGGATTTCCTCGCATAGTTAATCGCTTCATAAGAGCAGTGCTGCGAGAGAGGAAAGCAGCGTCTTGACGTGCTGTGGGATGATGCATGTTTGCGACCTCTATCTCTTCTAGTAAAGTCAGTGCGGCAGTCTTGTCCTTCATTGTTTCGACATAAATTTCGTCAGCCCTGCAGGACAATCAGCATGCAGATTCAGTGCAAATGGAATATCTTTCTCACTTTTTCCATTGCATGACGACCCCCATGACAAATTTGCCTATATCCTCCATCTCGTTGATGCCCTGATTTTCTAGTTGATCTTGCTCATCTAGCAATTCTTCCGGCACTGGTTTACGACTGTGGTCAATGAGCTTGTCGAGAGTTTTGCCGGCACCGGCAATCTTGGTGTGCCTGAGGGAGGAGGCACGACTGGCAAACTGAGCAGCGTCTCGAGTAAGCGTCTCGGCCAACCTAAACCGCGAGCTGCGAGCAAGACCAGGTGCATTCATGTAGGATGATTCAGACGTGGTTGAGGTGATAGACACGAAGGATCCACTTCTCTTCCGCTGGTGACCACCGACCAGTTCATCATCGGCAACCGCAACATCGTATACAGATGGCGACCATCGAGCCCGGGAGCCGAGGAAATCTCGTAAGTCAGCCACCACCTTGCGGAGCTCCACCCAAGAGGCGATCCGACGTTCTTCCCAGGTCAGTCGGATATTTAGGAGTTCAAGATTATCGGACCTGTCCCGCAGGAGATGTAACAGCTTGTCCAGCTCGTATATGGTTGTGAGCGTAAGCTCAATGAGATCGGTGTCCGCCAGGGATAGATTGCGTTGTGTAGCAGCTTCGGAGACGCAGTTTCATACATGGCTGGAGACCCGCAGCATATGAACTTACCTTTCGTGAATTTCTTCAGCTTTCTGAGCTCACCAGAATCAAATATCTCCGTTTCCTTCTCTATCCTGTCGTGTTCTTGCAGCCATTCCTGAAGTTGTGAGCGGGAAGGAAGACCTGGCACTTCTTCCGCCGAGGATCGCACCGCATCGAGTCCCACGAATACTTCAATGGGAGGAAGGCTCTCTAAAAACTTGGGGCACATTGTCGTGGACTAGACGTAAACCCGGTGATGATTCGAGCTTACCTTTATCTTCTCCTCTATCCATACCTTCCTCTCACTAAATGCTTGTAGCTCTATAACCTCATGCCATTCTAAAGCCTTCTCATCACCGTCGCGAGCTGCAGCATCCTCGTCAGACTGGGATAATCTCGACACCCCAGCGAGCGCATTAGGGACGTGACTGTTAGCGGGTTCGAGTGTACCAGACTTCTCGATCGTCGCCGAAACGGAGGCCGCCTGTTCCTCCCCGGACATTCTTGAGGTCGCAAATTTGGTAGCCTATGAGCAGCACTTCATGAAAAGGGTCATTACACGCCGGGGCCTGGCGAGGGCTTCAAGCGGTGTGAAGAGTACAACAAATGAGGCGGAGCCAAGCAAGCGCCCTCAAAGCTGCGTAGCCTGAGTATGACGACGGTCGCATTACTACAGCTACTTCAATTTTAAATTGTGCACCACACAATAATTGACCAGTGCTACAGAACGAGTTACAAGAGTAACACATAGACATGTAAAGTTACTACAAAAATCCTTTGTTACATTATTGACTTCAGGGGGGACGAAGGTCAGCACTACAATAAGATAGGGTTGAACGGGGGAAGGCAGAAGGAAACCGACCTCAACACGACATCTTACTCTGCATAGAGTACATGCCGTTCCGTACTATCCAACCAGCTTCTTAACTCATCATCCCCCTCCAAGTCGACGAACTCGTTACTTGTGCTGTCGCGGTACCGCAAGTTCAGTGCGTTTCCACCGAGACGCGCTTGCACCTTGTCCAGCAATTGGGCATGCGTGACTCGCGGATGCACTCGAATGGCGACCAGATCGTCCGTCATGCGATCAAATATCTTTATCTTGATGAACGCTGTCTGAGAATTGGTGGAAGAAATCGGCGGGTTATGCGTGGCGTTCGACTGCGACCGCGACCGTCCCGAGTTCGACGTTCCAGAGGTTGCGATGGAACCCGCTCGCGACGAACGCATGGAGGTTGGCGAGGGTTCATGAGAAGAAGTAACAGAAGAACGGGAGTGGGTATTTACGGGGTTATTATAGTATGGATCAATTTCCAACGAGGAATGACTGCGCTGTGCCTCGAGAAGTCTGCCTCCTGCACCATTCCCGGACGAGGATGAGGGTATTGATTGGGGGTAGGACCGTTGCTGATAGGATGTCGTTGTCCCGGATCGACCGTGGATTGAGGTAGACGCCTCTGCACGCTCATCGACTGGGATGCGAGGCTTAGGACGCAGGGGAGCCGTGTTGCTGAAGGTTTGGCTGCTTGACAGCCCTGATTGCGCGTGTTCATCCGGGCGGTATTTGTAGGTGTCCTCGTACGGGCGACCCAAAATGTCTGCCTCCTCCTCGTAATCCGATCCGTCGCTTGTCGGCTCTTCTGGTTTTTCTGCAATTTGCATGCGAGCGAGCTGGTCTGTCCTTACGTCAGACTCGAGGTCGGCCTGCTCATCATTCTGCTGATTCTCGTATGACGACCGGGCCAACGCCTCAATTTCCTCAACGCGGGGCCCCACTTCAAGCTCGGCATCACCAGGTTTCGGCGCCAGGAACATCCGAATGAGCCTATGCTCCAGAATGTAGCTGGCGTACTGCGATAGCGCGCAGAGTCTGTGCACATAGTCGTCTAGTTCTGCTCGCCTGCTACCAGTAATCTCGTTGTCAACTTGATCTGCAGGCCCAGGCATGTACGGCAATATACGCGAAGCATGATCGGGACGACCAGCCTCCTGAGGGAACGTCTCGAGAAGTTCGACTTGGAAGTCGTAGAAGTCGTTATAAGAGCGGAAGAGGACGAGTTGCCTCGCAGGCGGTAGCGCATTTGATCCTGATGGATCATAGGGTTGGAATAGGGCATGCACACGGAACCAATATTCCTCCATTTCATAATGGAAGGATTTGACATCCGCGGAAAGAAGGATACCCTCGGGTAGACTCTTCGGAGTAGCAGGGCCTAAGATATCAGCGGGGGCTGGCAACTGCTGCTGATGCGTCACGGCAGGAGGGGTTGGGCCTTGAACAACAATGGCGAGCTGGGGTTTCGGTAGGTCGTCCATCACGTTAACTCGGGGGGTTTCTTCCAAGACACCTAGGGATATGCTGTTGGCCTTGTAACTCATCATAGCGCGCTTCCACTCTTCCACGCGAGGCAACGCGCCGCTATCAATGAGGCCATTGACATCGGGTATGGCTTGCCCGTTCGCAGGATCTCTGAGTTCGACGAATGAGACCGGGATGAGACCAGGCCGACCCAAACGACCGATAGGTTTTGCGACGAACCACTCGCGGTTCGATTGTGCTACAACAGTGACAGGGTCCCCTGCTCTAGCGTCGAGTTCATCTGCACGTTCTGCCACAAAGTCGTGGAGCACAACTGCATAATAAGCTTGAAGTTTGGGTGCTGTAGACAGCGGCCTTTCCGATGTTGCTGCCGGGACCACACGTGCTCTGTGCCAGTACGATGTGAACAACAGTTCAAGCAAAAACCAGAAGGGGGGGGCTCACATGGGAGTGCCCTTCTGAAATTCTTCGAACATGCAACAAGGAACGAGGCCCCGCGCACCAGTCATTGGGTTGTGCGCTTCATACCATGATCCTGCATTGTTGACATCGTTTATGACGTGAAAGAAGTCCCCCTTCTCGAAGGAAAGTTCCTGAGGAGCTCTCGATTTGTAGGAGTTCAGGGCCCGAATGACTTTCTTGGGGGGTAAGATAGCGCTGGGAGGCTTGGACAGGGAAGGAAGCGCTGAAGGCTGGGAAATGTGGGCAACATGGTCCTTGTGAGAAAGCGATTTTCGGAGAGTCTTCATCATAAGGAATGGTTGGACGGCTGCCAGGGGTCGTGAAGGGGCGTAAAGTGAGAGGGAAGGTGGGTTAGAGATGGAGATGAGGGCGTATTATTGTCAGTCGAAACGAGTCTACGGCTCGCTTTCCCACGGTACATTTAGCAGCGGCTATACTTTTGTCATCATTTCTTCTCCCCCTACCTCCATTCGCCGATATGTCTCAATTCGACGATCCAACCATGCATACATCCGTCGCGAATTCTTCTGACGCGTTTCCGACACTGGTCCATGACGGGAGAAAGCGTGTCTGAATCACCATCAGAGTTGAGCATGCCAAATGTGCTGTGCAGGGCATCGCGCGCGTGTTTCGCTTCATATGTCAGAACGATCGACTTCTACCAGCTGTTATCAATTAGAACAATCAGATCTCAGAAACGACGTCACCCGGAAGCTTGTGAACGGCAGTATTCAAGGCGTCCATGGACGCGGGTAGAGTATGATAGACATGTATATTCCGGCGCAATGCGTAACGAGGTCAACACCTGCATCGTCCGTCATGCAGTCATGCTCCTTGAGACAGGCTAACAACACGTCACGTCCGAAGGAGGTCGTCTTCACATATTTCTGCGCGATTTCTGAGACGCGGTCGTAAAAGTTCGACCACATTCTTTCGTTATGTAGTACGTAGCCACGTGACTGTGACACTCAGACAAACTCACCGTCGCTTCGGCGGCGCTATTTACTTGCTGCTTTCCTCGTCTCCTGATTCATAGTATACCTCTACTATTGCTGCCCACCATGGCGGCCAGGAAGCTGCAAAGTGAGTGATGTTTGGATGTCCGCTGAATTGGCTGACGCCGTACTCGTTTAGCTGAGATCGACCGCACGCTGAAGAAAGTCTCGGAAGGCGTCGAGCTCTTCGAGAGTATATACGAGAAGATGCAGGCGTCAACCAACCAAACACAGAAGGAGAAGTTGGAGACAGACTTGAAGACACAGATTAAGAAGCTGCAGCGTCTCCGCGACCAGATTAAGACCTGGGTTGCGAGTAATGACATCAAGGACAAGTCGTCGCTCCTCGACAACCGCAAGCTAATTGAAACGGTAAGCTCTACTGCGCACATCCCTCCCAGGACCTGCTTGGCTTTCTCTCTGCACTCGGGGAGCATGCCTAGAGTGGGTTGCACTATGTGAGGCCATCGTTACTGACGAGACGTCTGCCCTTCTTTACTGCCTCCATTGCGCGGCAATTCTGACGTTACTAGCAAATGGAGAAGTTCAAGGCTTGCGAGAAGGAGATGAAGACAAAGGCATTCTCAAAGGAGGGCCTCATCCAGTCTGCGAAACTTGATCCGAAGGCGCAGGAGAAGCTCGAGATGACACAATGGCTGCAGGGACAGGTCGAAGATCTGCTGCTGCAAGTGGAGCAGGCGGAGGCAGAGATTGAGACGTTGCAGGGTGGTGGCAAGAAGAAGAGCAAGTCCGGTGGTGCGGCTGCAGAACGGTTAGAGGGATTGGAGCACTTGAACGAGCGACGGAAATGGCACATCGGTCGCTTGGAAATTATCTTGCGATTGATGGACAATGGTTCAATGTCAACAGAGAAGGTCATTGCGCTGAAAGATGATGTCCAATATTTTGTGCAGGACAATGCGGTTCGTCGTTGTGAACTTTGTCGCGGTATGTGGACACATTTGAATGTCGTACTCCGTAGGACGAGGACTTCGACGAGGACGAGGGTATTTACGATGAACTCAACCTTGACGAAGAAGAGGAGAAATTCGGGCTGGCGAACGATGATGATAGCGACGAGTCAGAAGACGCGAGTGACGGCGAGTTTTATTATTTCAGAAAGTTTCCACTGTCTTGCTAACTGTCTGCATCCAGATTTACCCCCACGGACCCCGTCGAAGAAGCTCGATGAGGAAAGCGTTGCGAGTAGTAATAAACGAGACGGGAGTCCAGTACTGAAGAAGGCCGCTGTAACACTACAGCTACGAAGTAAGCTTCTGCGAGCGTTTCGCAGTTTCACCACGAACTCATCCCTTTTCATCAGAACCATCAATAGCGTCGGATAGTACGTCTGATTTTCTTACTATTATGCCCCCTTACTGACGCACAGCAGCGAAACCACCACCAAATCCAAATTTCGCGCAACAACCTATGGCAAGTATCCTGAAGGCTGGTCTTCCCACTCAGCCTCGACCTGCAGCACCGTTACCAGTACGATACGCTGCGGCTGCGGCTGCTGCTGTCGCGACACCATCTCAGCAACCGCCAATAACACCAGCGCAACCAACATCGGGGGGGCCATCGTTAACTTTGACTGTAGTGCCATCAGTACCCCCAATATCCACGATAGCTTCCATACTTCCGCCAGACCAGGTTTCGGCTGTGACATCGTCACCGAGCTTGTCGCATCCTTCTGTGGAGAGTCCAATGCTCTCCTCAGTGGCATCGGTATCAGCGCAACAGGCAGACAGTTCGTCGTATTCTGCTCGTGATTCCCCGGCGCTATCAGAAGCAGTTCCCAGCTCCATCGGTGGTCCCGCAGCGACGTCGTCGCCACAGCGTGTCGTTTCGAGGAAAGGTAGGAGAGGAGCATTAGTGTTCGTTGGGTTACTTCACTGATTGGGTGCGTGTAGCGTCAACATCCTCAACGACGGCGCTGCAACCACTGAGTATCCCAGTACGTCCTTCACATATTCACCTTCTCCCAGGATACCTGACAAGTACATTCAGCACCCGGTGCCACCGGTACCGCAGCAACCGCCACAGCCACATACTAACGGTTCATTACAACCGTCAGCAGCTAGCCAACAGCCAGCACTTCCAGGGCAGCCGCCATTGCCGCAAGCAGCGCAGCCATATCCTTCTGTACCAGCGGCGAATGCCCCAAATGCGCCGTCAGGACAGTCATCGCCCATGCCAGCTCCTTCACAACAACAAGCGCAGTTGTTGCAGTATCCTCCAGGGGTGAAGGTTCCAGTAGAGCTTGGCGCGGGCGTGGCACCGCAGCAGGCGCTACAAAGCGCGAGTGTACAGAGACCAGCATCTGCTGCTCCGTCGCAACAACTGTCTTCTCAGCTGCAACAGCCTCCAAGATCAAGTGCATCAAGTGCGTTCCCTGGTTCATTGTCGGACCTAGTCATGTCGTTCGAAAATGTGAAACAAAAGGGTTTGTTTCGTTGCGTCATAGCAATAGCTGTTTCTCCTAGAACTCACATAAGATGCAGCACCGCATCGAATGTCCAACCTTGACCAGGTACACAAGTTGTTACAAGGGAGCTATTCAAGCATGCCGCAGCCCCAGGATACAGAGAAGTCAGTGGACGGCCCGTAGTTACAAGCCTTGTTATTGACCCTGTCTCTCAGGCCGAAGTACTATGTGCCTCATAACCCTATCCTGACACCGGCATACTACCCACAGACCCCTAATCCAATACTGAACACGTCAGGGATCTTTTCGCAGCTTGACGTCGAAACGTTGTTCTACGTTTTCTACTACCACCCGGGAACGTACCAACAGTAAGCAAACATTGCCGTTATCCATTGCCTGCCCGACCACCCACTGTTATCTCCTCAGATACCTTGCTGCGAAAGAACTGAAGAGACAGTCATGGCGATTCCACGTGAAGTACTTGACATGGTTTCAGCGTCACTCGGAACCTCAAGCTATCACGGAGGAGTATGAGCAGGGTGTGTACGTGTACTTCGACTGGGAGGGCTCGTGGTGCCAACGCAAGAAGAGCGATTTCCGTTTCGAATACCGATATCTGTCCGAGGATTGAACTGCCTTCGTTACCCGTAGTTGCATCAATTATCTCCTCATTCGTTTACTTTTTCCAATTATCCTACCGTAGTTCATATGTCATTGCGTACCTGTATTGTATGTTCGCGAAGGACAATGAAAATTTGTGCCACTCTGATGATTAGTGGGATATAAAGCAATGTAACGCAACTACTCTAGCACGGCAACAGCCCCGAGGTCCTGGAATGTCTTTTGGAGCTTCTCTGCGTCCTCCTTCGACAGGTTCTCCTTCAGGATCTTCGGCAGTGACTCCACGAACTTCTTCGCCTGTATACAAAGGCGTGAACTGATGCACGAGACCAAGTCACAACTTCCTCACCTCGATGAGCGTCAAATTCGGGACAAGTGCTTTCACTTCCCGAATAATTTTCGGCTTCGCAGTCGTGTCGAAGGACTCGAGTTTGACGTTGAACACGGTCTTCTCTTTCGGCTTCTCCTCCTCTGCCTCCTCGGGAGCAGCAGCTGCTGGCGCTGCGGCCGCGGCTGCGGGCATAGCAATCTCTTGGATGTTCAGGCGCGTCTTACGTGGGGTAAAGTTAGCATTTGCACAACGAAACACAACAATGAATAGCGCACCTTGAGCAACGTCACAAGATCCGCTGCCTGCAGGAGCGTCAAACCCGAAATGTCATCGACAATTTTCGTGAGCTTTGGGTCAGACGAAGTCGGTGGTGGTGGTGGGGTGGAGGAAGAGGCGGGTATTTTTTCCGCCGTGGCGAAATATCTTGACGTGCTCGCGAATACATTTGACCTGTTTCGCGTCAGTCCCGAGTCTCCAAGTAGGAGGGTCGCCAGACGCACCGAGGGACGCAGCGTGTCCGGGAGATTGCACGCAAAGCAGCTGAGCACCGTGTCTACCAACAGAGCTGGTGAGCATGACTTAACTGTCAGGGAAGCACAGAGCTCTGACCGCCATCGTTATGTCGAGATGTTTGGCGAATGCGCAGAACGCACACCGTGACCGCACCTAACTTGAGAGGTCGCGCGGAAGAGCAGGACCCCGACAATTGCTGCAATTCCGATCCAAAATTCCTGAATTTTGGCCCTTATGTCCGCTGTCGGCGCACGCATCTTGGCCGCCAACCCACACATTTTGGGTTCAAATACCCGCACAAAGGATCGGGTGAGCCAAATTCAGTCCATTTGTACCGTAATCCGCATCCGGATCATAGTGCAGCATATGCCGGGGTCCTGGAAGATCCCGGTGGCAACAGAAAAACACCCTTGCCAATATTTTGGGCAACTCTAACTCGTTGATGAGCGCTGTTCAGTACCGTTACTGAGTGATATTCTGCAGACATCTATTGCGTACTGATAGCTTATGTAAGTATCACGGCCGACGTTTACGAGTCTACTATGCCCTACCGTCCCATCGGCAACCCCCCCAAGTCGGCAGTAACGCGTTATGTCACCCATCAGTCACCCATTTCGCACGTCAGCGTGATAACATCGTGACACAGGTAGTCTGCTTTCTGACGCGGAGGTCGGACAATTTAGACGGAGCCTGAAATTTACTAAGGATTCGATACACCGGCAGTTCAAATCAATAAGCCTGCGGTTACAACCCGTTCCATTGCCGACGGGCGCTTACGACCTCTGCCAGTGGGCCCGCTCAGCGCTCAGCGGCCGCTCACCCTTGGAACTTCATTAATGCACCTGCTGGCTCGTCGACTCATGCATTCATCTTTGTACTGCGGGAAACAGACATTGCGGCAGCATAATCTGACCATGTTCTGAAGTTTGGTGAGTATAACTTGAATGCTGCTGCCGAGGAGTGGGAGGTCAGCAGATGATATTCATCAGCTTCGACACCGCAGTTCTTCTCGTTTGACTGCCGTAACATTAATTACAATGCAACCTACACAAGATTATAAGGTTCATCCACCTTGGCATACATGCCCTGTCAATCATATGGCTTTACCCTTGCAGTAGTGCATGAGGATGAATGTACCCCACTGATTGATTCTTATTTCTATGTACAGTATCACAGTATTCCCAATAAATATAGCTGGTCAAAATTTTTCTGAGGCAAACCAGAATGTATGGCACACACATACCACAACTAAGCATGTTTTCCATTCCGTGAGACGCAGTGCGACGCGTCTGTAGGAGGGACGCGTTTTTTCGTTTGTCATTGCACGTGATATGCCGATCGGCAGTGACCGACCTCTTAGAAAGACCCCCATTAAGGAAAGCAGACGTCAGATACGGATATCCTGAGGTACGAAGGTTGAAGCAGAGTAGCTACACTGCCTTTGGGAGACTAGACACAGGGTGATAAAACTTGATTTTTTGCCGAAAACAGAACTCGGTCAATACTAGACCGTCCGCCGTCGTTCAAGTTCACAATTGTTTGAGATATACCAGTACAAACATATATGAAGAAGGTAAGCAAGGGGACCGGAAACGGGGGAGGTATGCTGGGGTGCCGACTTGTAGGGGGGTGCCGATGGGACGGTAGGGCATAGTATGACTTGTTCGCGCTGAGCCGCTGTCCCGGGAGCGTTGGAACCCTTGAGTATGGGTGGATAAGTGTGGTGCGGTGGACTAATCCAACTTGTCATTTCCACGAACAGATTTGAAGTAATCAATGCAGGAGATTGTCCACGTTGACTGGTAGGCTCGCAGGTCATGTTGAAGACAGAGGATGGCCACGTCCTACATGTAGGTACTGCTCGTCATACACCCGGGAATACGACCTGACCATACATAATAAGATACACGATAGCTGCATCGTACATACTGTACGTTAGACAAATTGCGTCCTAAGGGAAATAGCACGCACTTTATGGTAATATCCGATACGAAACTGGTCGATACAACGGAGCTACAATTTTCATGGACATAAGAAAGAGTCATGGAGGAAGGGCTGCATTCGCGTCCATTTCTTCCTGCTCATGAGCAGGTGGTGCATGTTCAGCAGTACCTCCAACTGCACGAACGGCATCCATGCCCTCACGCCGGCTCTCTCCCTCAACGGCCGGTATAGGTGGTGACTGGTTCGAAGTTTGGCACCCCACCTTCCGAAAAACGTCGGGTGCATTGGCATCTGTGATGTTTGCAACCTCCTCGTCAATCTCACAGGACGGGGGACCCTGCCAGGGTAAAACGACTCAACGAGTACTGACCTGTCTGCGGGGCGATCTCGGAAGTGACTTTCCTATCTTCAGATAGAATCTTCTTCACAGAGTCACGTATTCCGGTTGCAAATACAGGGTCGGAGAGCATGGCCACGTCTGCCACTGCACGTTCCACTATGGGGTACCTACACCACTGAGTAATTTCCGGCTATGATGACACATGGAACATACCTGTCCAACTCTTGCATGAGCTCCCTGGATGCTGCCGCATCAGGCATGTACTGAAGCTTCTGGTCTGATGCTAGCTTCTGCCTGGTGATATCCTCTACTCGTGCCATGAAAGACGCGATCCCTTCCTAGAAGGTCTAGCGTTGAAAACTACCAACGAGTGAGGCACGCTAGATGTAAGACCCACGCCATTACGAAACTGAGACAACAACTCTCGTCGGAGCCGGTCGAATTCACCAGACTTCTTGAATCTGGTGGAGCTGGGGTCAGAAATAATCGACTTGGACAGGCTTGAACAACGCACTCGTCAACAAGTTGTGTGGGATTAATGATAGCCATTCCGAAATAGATACAGTCGACAATTCATGTACAGTGAAGGATACAAAGTTGAGAGGAAAGGACTAGCTAACTGAAAGTTGCTCAAAAGTAGAGCCGCCACCATTACACAAGCCATGTGAGCGCCAATCTAATCTAGGAGATGTTCCATGTGAATTTCTCCAAGATCATCGCCCAACACCATGAGGCTGCTTCGAATTCTGCTTCCTAGGCCTCCCTCTCACCGGACTTGACGTTCAAGTTGTATCGACTCGTCGATTGGCTTGCTAAACGTTGAAGTATACCTGTAATCTGAACTGAGGTCGGTTTCGCGACTCATTTTCGCCGAATATTGCTTGAATCGTATTTGGTAGAAACACCATGGCCGCCGATCTAACGTTTCCTCCGATGAAGAACGACCTCCTGCTGCGAGCTGCAAGAGGTACGCTCTGTGCGACAACAATGTCTCTGGCATGAAACAACTTCTTCGTTTATAGGCGAAGAAACAGAGCGCGCCCCGGTATGGGTCATGAGACAGGCGGGGAGATACCTTCCTGGTACGAATTCCCGTCGGAATATCATCCATATTGCTGAAAATTTCCTCACAGAGTTCCATAAGGTCCGCGCGCATCACAGTTTCTTCGAGATATGCCGCACACCCGAGTTGGCTATGGAGCTCACTCTCCAACCGATCCGCCGCTACTCAGGCCTAATAGATGCTGCCATTATCTTTAGCGATATTCTCGTCGTCCCGCAAGCATTAGGCATGGAGGTGGAGATGAACCCCGGTCCACACTTTCCCGATCCGCTGAACACACCTGAGGACCTTTCCAAGCTCCGCGCTGACGTCGACGTGAATAAAGAGCTCGGATATGTCTTCGACGCGATCACCATAACGAGGAAGGCCCTCGACGGAGAGGTACCCTTGATCGGCTTCTGTGGTGCGCCCTGGACGCTGTTCTCGTACATGGTGGAAGGAGGCAGCAGCAAGACGTTCACGAAGTGCAAGTCGTGGCTCTTCAGGTACCCAGAGGAATCTAAGGCGCTTCTTCTGCGCATAGCGGATGTCTGCGTAGACTTCCTAGTGGGACAGGTCAAGGCCGGAGCACAGGCGAGCAACGTGCATTTTTATCTCAGCTCTCATCTCACATTTATTCCTAGCTGCTCCAAATATTTGACTCCTGGGCTGGCGAGCTCGCGCCGCACCACTTCCAAGAGTTTTCTCTCCCCTCCCTTCAGCGCATATCGTTAGGTGTTCGCAGGAAGCTTGCAGCAGAGAAGATTCCCCTCGTACCCATGACGGTATTTCCGAAAGGCGCAAACTCGGAGCTTGCCTCGCTCGCACACGAAGGAGGCTACGACGTCATCGGCCTCGACTGGTGCATCGAGCCTTCGGAGGCGCGGCGGCTCGTGGGAGACAAGGTCGCTGTGCAGGGCAATCTTGACCCGAACGTGCTGTATGGTGGCCGAGAGTCTATCGAAAGAGAGGTCAAGCGAATGTGTGCGAGTTTTAAGGGTGGGAAAGGCACAAAGGCCTGGATAGCCAACCTGGGACACGGTATCACACCTGGCGTAGATCCTGATGACCTGAAGTGGTTCTTCGAGTGCGTACACAAGTACTCGTCCAATGCTTAAGAGATCTCGCTCTTGCCATGAGGGAACGTATGAATAGCGAAGGGCATAACGTAGTCATAAGTTGCATGTATCACTATGTACGCGATCGCAAAGAGAGATGCATTCGAGCGGGCAAGCTTCCAGAAACTGATGCCAGAGTCCCGTCAGAGGAAAAGGTTGCAAGGAGAGGGTGCACGATAAACCGATGATAGCAGTGATCGGATGCGCCAAAACAAGACAGCAGTAGATAGTTACGATGCAGCGAGATTAAAGGAAGGATCACAGTCAAGAAGATCGAATATAAACAAGTGGAAAATCAGGACCAGCCTTTCGCATCGTGTCATGCGACAATGTCCGCAGCGCTGAAACTACTCCGTCTGCGCCGTACATTCCTCAAATTCGGCCGCTCCGACTTCGAACCCGGCACAACCACTGCGGCAGCATTCGTGGTCATCCAAGCACCCGGTGCTGCAGACTTGACTGCAGCACCAACGGCAACAGGGGTTTCCTGCACCGACGCCGTAGAATTATGATGGCCTCTTCTGGGTATAAGCGTCGGAAGCCGAGATGGGGTGGGCGATGGTGGATTTCTCAAGCGGCGGGATGTCGTTGCATTCGCGGTGGTGGACGATGCTTCGGAAGGAACCATCCCCCTCGCACTCACGCCATTGCCGAGTCTTGGGACCTTGTTTGGCGACTGCCCAGTCGTCTTGTTCGGTTTCACCGTCCCAAGTGCGGTGCCAGCCCGCCGCACCGCTGCGCCGGCAGTCGAGCGTGTAACCCTAGTTGGGCGCTGCTCGGACACAGCAAGGCGAGAAGTCTGGCTGCGGCTTGCCGAGGCCTTCGTCTTCGCACGTCGAGCAGGTGCGGTACCAAGCGTGGGCAGAACATCGTCCGTATCCTCAACTTCGGAATCCGAAGCAACACGCTTGGCCGCAGGCGTCTTGCGTGGCTGACCTGGAGGGGAGATCGCTCGCGCATGTGCGGTAGCAGCAGCGATGTGGCGGCTCGGGGTCACGGGAGGAACTGGTAATGGTGTGGAAGGAGTGACGATAACAGTTGCTGTAGCATTCGTTACGTCTCCACCGGTATCCATTGCGTCCTCCGCTTCCATTGGTGGAGTGGCCGGAGCGATAATTGCAGTGGCTGCGAGGACTGCCATGGACTGCTGTTTCTTCATCTCGTCCACAGCAGCCCATTTACACCATTCCAGTTGCTTGAGGTACATGTATTGTTGTTGAGGACCAACCACGCTCCCCGGACGGACTATCCGCATGAAAGCGATGGCTTCGTTTGCCGTGAAGCCGTATTTCCATACCAGATACGCACCGACCAATGTCCCTGTGCGACCAAGGCCGGCTTTACACTGAGATTAAGCACAGAATATGATTGAGAGCTGGTTACGGGTGGGAATACTCTCAAAGCTTGATGTACTTACATGTATGGCCACGGCATCTCCTGCTTCGACGATTTCGTCCACCAAGTCGATGAACTTCCTCACAATCTCGTCCGTGGGGTTAGTTCCGTCATCGAAGTACAGCTCCGTGTGATTGATCCCACGATCTAGAAACACCTGCCGATCGTAGAGTGCGTGGTTCAGACGAATGACGAGCCTAACGTTGCGCCTCTCGAAGTAGTCCAGACAATTAAGGAATGGGGCTGGCAGTTTGCGCTGTAAAGCGTGACTATTCGGGCCTGTAGAAGATGGACACCCAGGACCAACTTGTGTCTCTTTCTTCTCCTTCTCTTTCTTGATCCATAGTGGATCTACCGGCGACGCGAATGCGATGAAGTTTGGTGTGAGCCAATTCCAGTCGCCATTCTCCACCTTCTCGTAATATTCGTAATCTTCGACATCAAATTCGTTCATGTCACATAGGCCATTCTGCATCGCTTTGTACAGGCCCCAGAGGCAGTCCTGTATACTGAGATTGAAATCTGATCGTCCGCGGCCAGCATCTCGGAAGGGCATGAACTCCATCTCTGCGATGGGGTGGAACGCTTCCCATGGAGGTCGCTGTTGGACAATCATCTGAGAGTACCCATGATCTAAATGCGTGAGTGAGATCAAAATCACGTAGCATACGTACCACGTAAAGTGCCATAAGAAGTGCTGCATTGGCCTTCTTTTGTGGGTCGTTGGATGCGTATAGTACAAGGCGATAAGACGAGAGGGCTTGATCCTAGACATCAAGAGGCTTCAATATCATACAAATAAAGTAATGACTATGACGCACCTGAAGCAACTCATGAATCAATATACAGGCCTTATACACCATGGCAAGATTCAGAGGTCCCCAGTCTTGAAAGAAAGACAAGTAGAGAAGCCGGTCGTCAATTGTGAAGTAGTAGTACTTCGCATCGTCATCTGGTGTTGGCACAGATGATCCCCTCGCCGCACCGCGTACTAAAGGAACGTGTTCCGGGTCGTCAGCCAAGCGATTGAGGATGTCCGATCGTGGAGAAGGATGGGGAAACGACGTAAAATATAATCTGAAATATGGTTGGATTTCAACGCGGGCGTCTAAGTTATGCTGGGGCGAAACACAAAGCGAAGAAACGCACCTGCCACCAAAATGACAGAGCGGCTCGCACGAAGGAGCCATCTGGAGGTAGCAACAGAGGGATAGTAAGAGAGGGGAGGCTGAATCCAAATGGGCGAATTGCAGGTTTATGGCGGCCACTGGCGCGTAGTCACGAGACCAACACGCGGCTACCGTCCCTCCTGCACGCGCCTTCGCGTGATCGTTTCACTTACCAAGCTCGGCCATCCTTCTCTAGTCATCCCTCGAGTCGCTCAGAGCATCGCGATTTGACTTGCTCCCTGTGTATTGTTACATGCAGACGAGGCAATACTACACTATTATACTGTACAAGGAACACCTGAATAAATGACCATGTATCAAATACGTGTCAAAGCAGATAGAAAGAGACAAGAGTCCTGCAGCATTACCCAACGCTACCTGCTGGTCGTGCATTTCCACTCCACACTACAGACGAAGCGCCGGGATCCTCAGATTCCAACGTCTGAAGCGACTGGTTAGCAAATGGCCGCCAAAACGAAGAGTGACATACCTCGAGCAGCATACCCAGCACGTTGTCCACCTCTCCAGGAGGAACCCCACCACATCCTGCTCCAATTAAACGACGATAATCAGCCATTCTGCCGCTCGTACCCGCTTCTGCCTGGAATTTGACGATTCCGTCAAACATGTCTTTCCTCCTCTTCTTATGCGCAGCAAGCTCCCCTCTGAGCGTCTCGCACTCCGCGTGTATCATTTCTGGGTTCGAAGGTATGCCCGCATGCAAGGCGAGCAGATCCGAGATGTCTTCTGCTGAGGAAGGGGCGAATAGTTTTCCGTTCGCCGCGTCGCGGATGGCCTTTTCCCGTTCTTCCTCATCCTTTATCCACTTCTCCCATCCAAGACGATACCGCTTTCCCATCTTCACCTGGAGCTCCTCTTCCAATGTCTGCAGCCTTTGTTTCGCCTGTGGAAGGCTCTTAGCTTGCGCCTTCAACTGGGTGACTGCACGCTGGCTCTCGAGGATCTCCGCCTGGATATTCGTCAGAAGGGCGTTCGCCTGGTTCATGTCCCGCTCCTTGTCCTTTAGCTCTTGGTCAAAGGAGCCTGCTAGGCTGTCAAGCATCATCGCGACATCGTTGATGCAGCGCGTGGCAGCCTTCTGCCCCGTCGCCGAATAGTGTAATGGTGGTCGGTCGCCGTTAGCAGGGGCAAACGAGTAGTATGAAGGGGCATCGGGCGGTGGATATGCGGTCTGGGCATTCCGGAATGACATCGATAGCGAGCGAGAAGGTATTACGGGTGAGGACCGGTAGCGTTCATCTTCCAGGATGTAGTCCTCTGCTGACTTGCCGTCGCGATTCGCGATTTTGGGATCCGCTCCGTGATCAAGGAGAAGTTTGACTAGCCTTTTGCTCCTACACTTGGCGGCCATCGTCAGAGCGGTCTCCCCATCTTCGTCTTGGAAATTGATGATATCCTTAAGCTCATCAGGGTATTCCGCCAAACGAGTGAGGATGGTCTCCATGTAATATCGTGCGGCGTGCGTTTTCACCTTTATCATGGCGAGATCCACGATGTGATGGAATACGGTGCGGTTGGTGTTGTCGATGTTGAGAGTGGAGAGATGCAGTAGTTCGTAGAGTTCGGGAAACTTCCGTACGTCGTAGTTATTCGCGAACATCACGCTCCGCATGAGTGCTGTTTGGCCTGCCTTATTAACCTTATAAACCTCCGCGCCAGCCGTGAGTAACAGCTTCACGACGCGAATGCGCCCCATAGCACTTGCCCAATGTAATGCTGTGTGGCCATCTTCGTCGATTGCGGTGTTGGGATCGAAATCGGGAGGGGGATTGAGTAATATGTTCGGAATTTGGTTTGTGTCAGATATGAAATATTCAAGGATCTGTTCACCATAGCTGATGCCTTCGTGGAGGCCATTTTCTGCAGCAGTCTCGTGGTCAGATTCTTCTTGCTCGATAGCCGATGGTCGTTGTTTGCGTTTCCGGCTAGGCTGGGGAGGTGAGTGATACTGTTCGTTAATACCGTTCGACCCGATTACCGACGGCTCCGGGGTACTGCGAATCGGCGAAGGCGTGCGCGAACTGGAGGAAGCTTCAGAAGGGGAGGGGGTCATCGAACCATCTTCCGAGCCTCGCACCGATAGCGTGTCAATATCTGAGCCGTCGCCTGCATCTGTCTGATGTCGGCGGGACGACCGCGTGTTCATCGTAGCACTTGCAGCAGATACCTCTGTCACCGCTCGACGCGAACCCGGTTTGCCACTCTGGACGGCTACCAGGTGCTTAGGCGCCAGAGGAGGACTCTTCGCCTCGGGTTGGAAATCGATGATGGGTCGGAGAAGCTGCTCACATCCATACAGCCTGGAAAGCGCGAGTCCTCGCTCAAGAGGGATCCAGGTACCTGTTTCGCGCGCGTGTCAAGCTCCAACGCAATGTAGAGCTCTGGGAACGTCAAAGGAGACTTACCTTGGTACTTTCCATACCCGCCCTGCACCTTCTCGTGTTCCCCTTTCTGCACCTCGCGTTCGAGGATGCGCGTGCGTTGAGGTTTGTCGAATCCCGCAACCTTGAGAATCTGCGTCGCATTTAACCACGAATCCGAACGGCGTCGCATCACTGCCACCCCCTTGCACATCCTGCGGGCAGATATAAGAAGAAAGCGCGTCAAGTCGCGTCAATTTGACCCACATCTCGTAGACTGGGATACCACTATAAGTGGCCTACAGATAACGAGTCCGGAGGATCAGCTGGGCTTCACTGGCGCCTGAGGCAGGTAAAACGGAAGTCACCTTGAAGATTTGGTGGTCCGGCATACGGCCTGCAGTACTGTGTCGTGGATGACACTATTGTCGTGAAGAAAGCTCGTAGGACAGTTCGTGTGGTCGAAGTGCGTCGATAGCAAGTGGCGGACGTGCGCTGTCGCGTTGAGAAGACTCGGAATGGACGCGTACGGCAACAATGACAAACGCGCGTGACAGGGAGCTCCAACTCGCGACTTGACCGTGCAAGATTGCTATTTCGCTGAGGTTGATTGCGGGCAGCGAAGGTGTGTTGGCTGCGTGTATCCCTTCTCGCGCTTTGGACGACGGACGGATCGGCAAAAACGATGGGAGACGGCTGCAGAGCCGAAGGCGACTCGCACACCTTGCGAATGCCAAATATGGCGAATTACATAAGCAAAAATTCGCATACTCGCGACACCGCGTCCACCGCATATTCACGCTGCAGCATTCGCCGCCATGCCTGTGACCAATGCACAGTTTCGTGCTGCCATCACATCCGTGGGATGGACGCGGAACTTTCTGCACTTGGATCCTATACCACGTCACTGGACGATCCGTCAGAGCCGATCTGAGCCCAAGAATACCGCGGTCAAAGTGAAGGACAGAATCAAGTGGTGGAATATTGTCCCTGGTGATCAGGTTAGGTTGCGCGGAGACCCAGAGGGCACCATTCATGAGGTGGACAAGGTAAATAAGTTCAATAATCGGGTTTACCTAAAGAGAGAGGTGCAGCGCGAGGTATGTGCTAACACTCATGTCTGCGAAGCGCTACATATCCTGTCTGTCATTATACTAGTCGAACCCAAGCCCGCTCAAGGGGGGCTTTAATACCTCTAAGTCTGTCCCTTATTCAAGGTGCCAGTTACTTCTTGGAAGATACGAGTTTCCTCCGACCGAGGATTCTTTCCAGCCGCGACTTCTGCCGTATGTGTTGTCACTTGGAAGATACCACGTCGTTAATCCCCCCCGCAGTGTGTTCGCAGCGCGGTTGGGTACCTCAAAGCCGTTTTGGGCTCAAAATGTCGGCCGATGGCAGTGGAATCGCTATGCCGTGGCTACTATCCCAAGATTACCTGATTTGATTCCGGGTGAGAAGGAGCGGACGCTGATTCCATGGCCAAAAGCTGAAAAACCGAGAATTCCTGACCGTGCGCCCGATTGCACCACATGCGCGTTTCGCTTGCACTAATTCATATGCTGCGATAGCTACTCCGTACGACACGACGCAGGATGCTGTTACTGAGGTTACTTACATGCCTCCAAAACTACCGGCATATGGGGGTGTCAAGATCGTCATCCCATCCCGTCCATCTGAACACGCATACATCCGGTTGCTGATGAAGCCCGAGAAGTATGCCTACGATCCCTCTCAGCCAGTGGAGGTCCATCTAGTCAAGGAGCTGTCAAACCCCCACTCGCGTGCAAAGAAACAGGCCCGATGGAAAGCGCTCCAGGAACACAAACGCGCTTTGTTGAAGGAGTACACCAAGGCAGAATTGAAGGACCTCAAAGGCCGCACGAGACGAGAGGCACGTGCCGAGGGGACCTGGAAATGGCGGGTGAAGCTGGCTGAGGAGCATAAGGCGGAGTTACTGCGCAGGTCAAAGAATCGTGGAGCGGAGGCGAGGTTACTGCGCAAGAGAGTGAGGAAGGCTCGCAAGGAGCTCAAACAGCGGGAGAGACTACGGAATCTCGTACTGGAGGAGGCGCCTAACCAAGTCGTACCTCCCACAGAGATCCCTGCGTAGTTCCAGGTCGACTTCCATTGCTTAGGTCTTCATACTTCTCCGGTCTACTTATTTGCTGCCCTACCTTGCGCGACCACGCGGCATCGTCACATTCTCTAAACTTCTCCCAAATAACGTGGTCATTCCGGCCGCCGTGGGTGTCACGTGCATCTTCCAGAGGAGTCGCACGCTGAGACGAACGCGAGTTGTGCCATTGAATTTATGCTGTTCATAACTCGTGTAACAAGGATGAAAGTGATGCTTGAATATTTTGAGCAGAGATAAACCAGAGGGGGAGTCCAACATACTCACCTTCCATGTATGGGAACCTCGCTTGTCAAGTCGGAAGGAGATATATCGGGCGGATCACCCGGCCGGCCGCTGGAATTTGACCCACAGTCAGCCCGCTGCTTACTCAAAGAAGGGGAACAACCATGCCGTCCACTTCCTGGCAATGCCATCATAGAAATAGAACTCTCTTGCGTCTTTCTCAGGGACTGTCATATCATTCCCTTCCTGCGTGATATGTCCACTCAAGCCTCTGGGACATCCACCTCCGTTCTCGATGCACAGTATTCACTCTCTCGCACCCTGCAAGACAAGTCCGAAACATCCACCGCGATAGTGAACACAGAGAAGACACCATGCAGTGTGGAGAATGGACAGCCATCGGGCCAGTGTACTGTGGAGGACATGAAGACCCCTCCGTCTTCAGAAGATGAGTACTTGGTCAGCCTGGATGATGAGGAGGATCCCAAGAATCGTTCAACCGCCCGGAAATGGGTCATCGTGCTAGTCATTAGCTCCGCTGCACTGTGTGCTACCTTTGCGTCGTCAGTGGTGCGCCATTTTTTGGCGTTAATGGTGCCTTGCTCACGTTCACTCCACCAGGCTGCCTTCACGGAAGCAGGGCTTGCAGAAGACCTGCATACGGTCCACGAAGTTACGATCTTGAGTATCAGTCTGTTTGTGATGGGACTTGGTTTGTTCATTGTCGGCCCCATGATTTTCTTCGTCGCACTAACGTTTAATGCAGGCGTAGGTCCCCTGCTAGTCGGTCCTCTATCCGAAGTGTATGGACGGAACATTATTTATCGAATATCCTACCTGCTATTTTTTGCTTTCACGTGGCCTATCGCTTTCGCTCCAAATATCGGTAGGTGGTAGCAATGGCTCTCTCGATGATAATGAGATGTTTTACCTTGAACAGAGGTCTTCCTGGTATTTCGATTTATCACCGGTTTCTGCGGCTCAGCTTTTTTGAGCGTCGCAGGAGGTAGTGTGACTGATCTCTTCGTCAATGCGAAAGTCGCATCGTAAGTGTCTCCGTTATGCATGGCTCATATTCTGAGGATCGCTGTAGTCCCATGGCGGTCTATACTATGTCTCCGTTCATTGGTCCCGTGATCGGGCCCCTAATTGGAGGGTGAGCAGACATCCTTTCATGGGCGACGTGTTATTGACTGTCCACCAGCTTCATCAACCAAGTAGGCTTCACAATTCCTGTCAGATGCACTCGATTTACAATATTTTCCAGAATGTTTATTGGAGGTGGACATACAGGGTGCTACTCATGTGGCAGTTCGTAGAGATCATATTACTACTGCTGGTATGTGCTGTTCCTGCTCTCATTCAGCGGTTTTACTGACGTGCATTAGCTTATTCCCGAAACATATGAGCCGCTACTCTTGAAGTCCAAAGCTCGACGGTAAGATGGTACTGTCCCAGCAATTGTGCACGATTCTCATACCCGACTCTAGTATGCGCAAGGAGACGGGCAATGACAAATATTATGCACCTCTCGATCGGCGGGAACAGAGCATCTTCAACGCAATCTTGTTCAGTTGCTACACACCCTTCCGTACATAGTCGATGTTTTTGAATGAGCCACGCATGTATTAACCACCATCCGCCAGAGCTCATATTGTTTGATAGAATGGCACTTGCTCTGGATACATGGTAGGTCTTAGGCTGTACTGTCGAGTCCGTTTATTTAACGTACGTTCTGCAGGAACGCACTTATTCTCGGAATACTGTATCTTGCCTTCCAGGCTTTCCCCATAATCTTCGAGGACTTACACGGCTTCAACTACCAAGAGACAGGACTGTCGTTCCTTGGGATTGGGGTAGGAATGTTTGCAGCTCTCGCGACGCAACCATTGTGGAATCGGTAATTAGCCTGCCCGTGACGAAATCCGGCCGCACTCACGTTCTGCTTTTAGTTTCCATCGGAATCAGACGATCAAGTACAACGGGCCTCCTCCACCGGAGACCCGCTTGGTCATGGGCCAATGGGGTGGGATCTTAGCACCGATAGGTAACGAGAGATTCTAAAATATTTTCGCCCTGCTAACACGCGTGATCAGGTCTCTTTTGGCTTGCATTCACAACATACAAGCACGTCTTCTGGATTGCACCAATCATCGCGTCCGTTCCTTTTGGCGCCGGGGTGTACTTCATCTTCACGTCGACGTTCACATACCTCGTCGTTGCTTATCGTCCCATCGCGGCGTCCGCCATGGCGGCGAACAGCTTCCTGCGGTCTACGTTCGCTGCCGTATTCCCCCTATTTGCCACCGCGATGTATCATAAGCTCGGCACTGTCGGTGCCACGGCGCTTCTGGCGGGCCTGTGCACTATCATGGCTCCTCTTCCGTGAGCAAATTTCTTCCCGTCCAATAGGATGACTGATGCTCACGCTGTCCAAAGTTTCATATACCGTAGAATTGGCGGACGACTTCGCTCAAACTCGCGTTTTGCGGTCAAGTCGTGATCATGACTGTCTATAGCTTACGAAATTAGTCAAATTTCCACGTCGAACTGCCTTACTGACCATTCATTGTGTATAACCGCATGTATTCACTGTACCTCCTGACATACATCGTCGCTAGTCGTTCCCTAGTCCGTGACTAGACATAGCAATCATTCTCGTTCACCTAGGACAAAACATATCATCTGCAATTTTCGCGTTACATGTACTGAGATTTGACTCACACCCCGTCAGAGATCCAAAGCAAATTTGGGGACAGCGTTTGACCGGCGAAGCTGACAGAGCAGCATGGACATTGTGGATAGAGGGCCCGACCTCTCCGACAGCGCACTCGGAGGTGCTCGGACACGAAGAGCTCAAAACTGCCACTGCTCTTCCCACGCACTGCACCCCCGTCCTCCTCAACATGTCGCTCCTCGCTCGCTCCAGCGCACCCCTCCGCCAAGTCGCCCGCTCGCGCCTCGTCGCGCCTTCCCGTTCCGTGCACAGCGAGTACAAGGTACGCACCTGAATAAGTATAGCACGGGCACCACAGAGTCTGAAGTGCACGTAGCATTTTCCGTTCGAGTACAACAACAGAGGCGCCTTCGCCACGAAACTGGCGGTCTACCTCATCGGTGGGTTCAGCATCCCCTTCGTTGCTGCGTGGTACCAGATGTACGTTGAGATTGCCAATATGCTTTATATTGAGCATCGCACATGACTGAGCCTGGCCCTTGTCTTCACAGTAGGAAGTCCTCTGGCGCGACGTAACTAGGCCCACCAGGACCCACCGCCCCCATTATCCTCATCAATAGAGCTACCTAGACCATCAGACACCATAGACCACTACCACTTGCCGCCCTCAGACCTTATGCAGATCGCAGGCTATGTATGGCACGGAGTAGTCGTTAACCCATAATACGTTTCGCAGTAATATGAACGTGCTCTTCGTCTATACTCTCCGTTTCCTCAATCCTTTGAGCAACCACTTCCACGACTATCAATCCTCCTCGTAGCCGAGCACTTTTCTCTCGTCTTTCTGCATTTTCTTACTGGTCTGCACGGTGCGGCAGTCACAGGTTCTCATCATGAACTCCGGGTCTCCTTCCAGTGCGTCTATTGCGCACGACGACGCCCAACGCATCGCAGATGCTGTTGCTGAACTTGTGGCAGTCGCTAGAATAATCTCGTGGACCATGACTGGAGTACAAATGTTAGCTTGAGTGCTCATGCTCATGGTGACCTGCTCGCAAATACTGGCTCACCGTCGTATCGATAGATCCCGCCATCCATCGTTTTGACTACTCTATGTTGATGGCAGCCAGCGCCGTGCAGCAGCTCGAATAATGTTTTGTTCGGGTGGTGGGAGAGGCTTTGGAGTCTGATGTACTGGTCATAGAATGGCCTCAACGCGTGGTTGAAGAAGACCTCGACGCCACCTTCCGAAAAGTCGTCTGAGATGTAAAGGGCGCCGATGAGGGACTCCACGATATCCGAGAGAGCCTGAGCAGCATTGCACGGTTAGTTTTCCCTGGAGGAAATCTCAGTGAATGCTCTCACCTTCGGCGGGTCAACCTCTAACCAGTATTGGCCGACCTCCCTGCGCTCCCTCTCAGCTCGTGCGCACTCTTCTTCACGGTAAGTCTCGAGTTTATCTACACATGCCTTGATTGCGGTTTGCAGGTCGGGAGAGGCATGCCGGAAATGCCTGTACAATCCAGAGGATACACAGAAGGCCGCTAGGGCGTGATTGGACACCATAGCAGCCTTCGGTCGAATTGATCACCAGCAGTAGTGCAAAATCAAACTGTTTCTGACCTTGAGCAATGTGAGACCACCTGGAGACAGCTGAGGATTGCGATGGAATATGTAGCGAACAACAACTGAAACGACTCCAATTCAGTCCCAAGGAACAATATTGAGGGGTTTCAGAGCTCACAGAAATCGAGTATCGCATCCCCAAGAAACTCCAACCGGTCGTAACAGGAAAGATGTTGTGCGTTGATGGAGGGATGGGTCTATGTGAATGTCAGCCAAAACCGTGGTAGCATCATAGGGGACTCACCAGTGCCTGGGCCAGTAGACGCGGCTCCTTGAACTTGCACCCTAGTATAGCCTCTACAGCTTCTTGCGTCTTTCCTGGAAAAGTGGCGATGACAACAGGAGAAGGTGCTATGACCTGCTGGGCGAAATCTGACCACCGAGAAATCTCCCTGAGAGCACCTGTCAGGGCAGTTGTCACTCTCAGAGCGAGTTCTTGGCCGGCGGTTAAGTATGCAGCTCCTATTATTCCCTCAACGACATCCGCTACAGTCTGGGAATGGAGGCATCAGTTGTTACAGCAATGTGCTGCATACCAACACACCTTGTCTCCGAGCCATTGAATGTTCACATCTTCGCGTTGTTTCTTCCGTTTACCACGTTTCACGGGAACACCAGCTCCTGATAACTGCGCTCCCTGGTTGAAGATGTCCGGGATGATCATAGACTAGGCTTACTTACCTGGCTGAATTCTCCGGGATTTGCCAGCTCATCGGATGTCCCCTTCTCGTTTCCGGCAATCGTGCTTTTCGCGGAACCCCCGTCAGAGTCAGACAGCGTAGGCTGCCAAAGCTTTACTGCGAAAGGCTTGCTCTGAATATAGGGTGGCAAACCCACACGAACCGCTCCAGACTTCAGCGCTTTATTGCTGATGATCTGCTGACGAGAAGCATGAAGCCCACCCTCGTTCTTCGATGGCATGGTCATGTAGCAGTAGATAGACGACATAAATTTGAGAAATGCGTCTCCTGTTCACCGGGAAAGACTCGTGTCAAGTTAGCACCACCGAAGTGTGGAGAGTTTACCTAGCAATTCCAAACGCTCGTAGTCATATTCGGCGCAAGCAGAGGGAGCGCAGAGTGCGGCAAGGAGATGCTCGTCCGAAATTGAGTTCTCGAAAAATTTAGTATTCAGCTCCTTCACGAGCAACTGATTGTCTATCTTGTGTATAAGGGATGGTAGAAGGAGCACCGTCCGGAAGGTACTATGTGCATAGGTCAGTGTCTTATTCATGCTTACGATCATCTGTACGCTCGCCTTGCTGGTATCGTAAACTTGACACATAATTCAGGGATGAGATCTAAACCAAATCACTTCAAAATCAGTTGGAAACTTCGCCGGGAACGACTCACATTTGGCAGGCAACTTCGAGGCAGAGAGTAAAGGTTTGGCAGTTGGGGTCAGATAATTCGTGACAACGGGCACCGGCGATACTTCAATAATAGGCTGCTTGTGGATTTTGAGACCCTCAAACCCTTTGCGATGCGCCTTGAGGTATTCGACAAAGTTCGCATACTCTGCTCCACGCTAATGTATAAGTGAGCGCAGAACGAATGGAGCGGAGATGGAACAGAATTACTGGGTTGTCATCGACCTTGCTCATGGGCGACAGATCATGCCTGACTCGAGAGACGAAGAACCGATTGGTGAATTCAATCCATCTATCCTGTATGACGGCATCCTCGACACGGTCGTCAATGTTTGCTATTGCATGTTCGTCGGATATTACAGGGACCATGAAGTTTTTTGCTGCAAGCTTGACTAACTCCCATGGAATATACTCGCCAACCGATGGGTACTGCGTGTCTCCAGTATTCTCCCATGCGCAACTTAGGGGCGCGAAGAAATACAACAAGCTCTCGATGGGAGGATTGAATGGCTTATTGGAGACAGCACGACAAAGCCGCAAGGTATATGCATGCAGTAAATGAAGTTGACTATGATCAACGTAGAGAGGAGCACCGCGAAGAAGCTTGACTGTGGCTTTGAAGCCTGAAGTGAACACGGAGAAGTCGGGCAGGTTTGGCAGAGATGACCTTGTGAGGATGAGGACGGGAGCATAATGTTGTTCTTGCAGACTGCCGGGCAAGACGATTGTTGGGTACAAACAATCCCGGGCAAGCGATAGGGTATTCGACCAAAACGCAGAACGCCTCCTTGGATAAGAATGGGTACCGCTAGTTGTGAGTGAAGGATTGCTGACATTCTTGCCGCCAAGCTCAGCCATCCCCGTAGTTGTCATCCAACAGTGCTGCTGAGGGAAGAAACGATAATCGAGGACTGATGCATTAATCAGTTGCCTGCATGCTTCGAAGCACGCTGCACGTCGAGCCTCCGCCTTTGAGCGGCATGCGGAACCGGATACTGCAGACACAGATAAACGACGAGGAAGATGGACACTACACGTGAAGTTCGTGTGAATGCCCGACTGATGCTCCTGGAACTCAAACAGTGGTCCATCTAAGGCGTCGTCCATTCGAACGTCTGAAGCTGCCAAGAATCGGTAGATGACACTAGTTGCATCTCTTGGGAGAAGCACCCCGCCAGTGGTAGGATCATGAATGCAATCTGCTTCGTCAGCTTCATCGTCACTATCTGAGAGATACGGGTCCAATGCCTCATGTAGAGTTCTCGGAGGAATGGCACTGCAGGGGCTGGACGCAACCTTTTCCACCCACCTACGCATCTTGTCGTCAACAGTTGCAATTGCTAACAGTATGCGTCTGTCGTTACTGTTGTCTTTTTCAACCATGTGTACAAGATGACTTTCCGGTCCAATGGAAAGAGCACAAGAATATGCAAACGACACCTGACTCTCGAAAAGGTCGAAACTAGGAGCAAAAACATCTCAGTGCATTCGAGATCTAGAGTTGAGTTTCATTGCACACCATATTACAATCGATGCCTTAGGGATATCCAGGTCTTCTCCTGATCTAGTGATCACCAGAAGATTGCAGGTACCCCTTCGAAATGAACGGATAACATCATCCTGGAGACACAGGTGTTAGCAATACTCCAAGGGTTGAGTGTGCATATCACCTTGACCTCGATATTAGATTGTCGACCGGTCATGACTGCAGGCCGAATGAATGCCGAACGATCTTGCAGAGCTTGTAAGAGCCGCACAATGGCCTGCGCTATGACCCTTCTTCGCACTTATCTCGGTCGCATTAGGTGGCCTTCCATGCATGCTACACCACGACTCACCGATGACTACACCGCGAAAAGTCTCACCATAAGGCGCACAACCTTTGAGTACCTCGACAAATTTGACAAACTTTGGGGACACGTCGGACTCGGATGCCGTAACATCAAAGTGCGGCTGGGAAACATTCCATTTCTTCATGGTGGTACAAATTTGTGCCGCGGGTCCTGTAGCATTTTGATTATTCTCGGACCAATCCCGCCAGAACAGTTCCGCAGCATAGGATCCGAGTTCACAGAAGACTTGGGAGGCAGATTTAAATACCCGAGACGAAATTGTCCGTTCTGTGTCAAGTTCCCTCAACTTGGTTGACAGTGTTGGTTCAGCAGCAATAAGACAGTGTCGTCGGTAGAGTACAACCAGTTCCGCGGGAAGACCAGTGACTCTTTCCGATTCTTCGTCCTAAATAACACTTAGCAACCACTTGATGACAAACTGAACACTTACAGTAAGGGCAGCTGAAGACGACACTCGCTAGTGAGAATTGAATCATTCACTAACTCCACCTGGCTCCAACTTGTACTGAAGACATACAAAGTTTCCGGACGCGATCTTGGGAGAAATAGTACCACTAGATGATCGGTTTGTTTTCCGCTTTTTGCTAGGACGACTGGATTCATCCACACGCGACAAATCAAAGTCCATTTCGCCGATGGTGCGAGTACGACGGCTTGGAACAAAAGAAGTTGATGACGTGCGGGCGCTATCTTCGTTCCACATCCGTTCGTCCTTGATATCAATAACCTCTCCAGCGGGTGAAGGAATGGCTTGTCGTGAGCCTTCCACGACTTCTTTCCAGATTCCGAACATGTAAGCCAAAAGTGTGACAACCAACACCAAAACCCGAGATAGATTGCTTGGTCACGATGAGCAGTGCGAATCCGAAGGTTAGCAGCCTGGAGCCGTATACTTACAGACACCAAACTCGCCCAGCTGCAGTGGTTGACAGATCTAAAATAGCGAGATCTTTCCGCGGCGAGGCACCCTGAGTCGGTCATGTGGTGCGAGCGCTTTGGGCGCCGCAATCTTCGAGTCTCCTGTTGCTGTGCTGTCTTCTCGACTTTTGTTGGGACCCATGGCGTTGTCAATGGGCATACAGACAAGAACATTGTCATGGTCAATAACGCGCCTCTCATATTACACCTCGTTCGCCAGTTGTCCGACTCAGAACAATCTCCGGAACAACCGGTGAGGGAACGCATTGTATCTCAGCCATGTCTCCTTGCTCGTCTTCCATCTGTCGGTGCGTTTTCCTCTGCATTTGTGCTAATATGTGCTAAGGTTTTCTCAAGCTTTTCTGCAGCGTGAGGCAGAACAGCTCGCACCGCAGGCGGTGATGAGGGAGTTGCGACACTCGGCTAGCGCAGCGACCCTTGCGCTAGATTCTCACGAGGACGTTCAAAGTGAAACCGAGACAGAGGCTTCTCCTATCTCACCACAGAAGGATCACAAATTCAAGGCCCTTGTTTCTATGATCTCGTCAATTGCTCCTTCAGCGCGGCACACGAGTTTACAGAAGGGAACGGAGACTGGAACAACCAAGTTGAAGAAAGATCCAGAGGTTCTCCTTTCTCATGATTCACCTCCGCGCCACACTAATTGCAATATACAGCCATGGGAAGTTTTCAGAGCAATTGAGAAGAAAGACGTCATGTATCTCATGGAAGTTCGAGACCGCGCATTCCACGTTGGTTTCTCCATTATGCTATGCTTATGGATTTTTACTGGCGTTTTCGCTCAGCTACTGTTGCGCTATCATGGCGGCGTCACACCAATTGTGCATGCAATGCGCATCGGCAAGTCGCACCAGGATGTAGCCATAGTTCTTTTAGGCGCGTTCTCGCGATATGTCAATCACCTTGAAGATGAAGACTTCTCACTGCCTGCAACGAAAGAATATCTGGGCCTGCTTCGTGAGTCTTGAGTAGATTTATCCGAGCTCCTGTCGAACTTCGAACTTGCATGCTAGGAATAAACTTAGGTCTTGCAATTGACTTAGGCTTACAAACTTCTCAGCCCGATCTGATACCTTCTTTTCTTCAAACCCTTGTCATGAGTGAAGGGGAACAGTGGGTGAAGAAGACTTCAGGATATATAGCTCGTCTACTTCGTGATAAGGGGGCTAAACCCGTTGAAGCTGCCGAAACTGCTGTGAGAACGTTTGCAACGGCGCAACTGAAACATGCAGAAATGATTATTGCACTTGAGGATTAGTAAGTACATTTGTCCGCCGTCGTCGTGTGTGTTCTAATAGAATGATGCTGCTTAGCATCGCAAACGCTGCAACTGACTTGCTGATGATGGGTGCATGGCTTTGTGCGCTCGACAAAATTGACGGCCAACCAATATCCGTAGGTTCTAATTGTCTCGCGACCTATACTGGCATTTATATGTATTGCTTCCTGACAGTCCTACCTTTTCGCTCGGGACGATCGTGTATACAAGATGTTTGACGAATTGCTTTTCAAGAGCAGGTATGCAGTCCGCAGCCTGGGCCGAAGACTGCAGTGGCAGTTCAGGGTTCTACGGCATGTGATGGAAGGCCAGAAACTCAGTTTCCGAGTCAGTCTTTCTACCTAACTCTACTGCCGGTGTAGCTTACTCTTTCTGCACATAGGGCAAGTTGACGTTCCTTGCTGATGAATTCGACTGCGGACCGGACCGCGAGATTAATTATGACGGATATGCGTCATCATAACAGCTTTTAGGATTCGAAGTTACTGGACCTTACTCCCTCTTCAAGCATTGTTTTAGTGTACGGAGAGGATATCGACATTGATAGGTATTCGCTTCTGAAATGCTATGAGGCAAGCATACAGCTTAAAAGTGCGTCGAATACTTTATGTCTTCTTTCACCCTTTTCCCTTGCTACAAAACGCAAGCTGCTCATACAAAGTGCCATCGGGGTAAAACTTGCCAACCCGCTTGGCGTGTTATTGAGCATATATCGAATACGGTGTGCCGGGCTTCTTTGATGTCCGGTTTATCTTCTCGGGTTTGAATGTGTATGTCAAACTCGGTGTTCGTATAAGGTGCTGTGAGAGCGCGAGGGATCAGCTCACCGCGGCGTATCATCGATCACACAAAGTTGGAAGTCTGCAAAGCAGTGGGGATATTTTTTACACAGTTCGCATTGCAGTTACTATGATGAAATGACAAGTGGTTTCGAATCTCGCGCTGTCCGTTCATGCGACCTGCCTACAGTCCTTGCCATCGGTCCTACAGTCCATGCATCCGATCCCCGAGAATTTTTCCTCTTGTGTCATTCATACGTTAAAGATCTTCATGTCTTTCGCCCATACCCATGCGCCGACCACGATGAGACCGAGCGTCGCAGGCGCTAGTTCCAACTGAAGAACACAGTACACCCAAAGTGTCGCAAGCGGAGGACACTGAGGCATCAAGGTAAAGTCAAGATTGATGAGCTTTCAAGGATAGGGCATCGCACCTGTCTCATGACAACTCTCCACGAGGCCCGATTAATTAGCCATATCAGACGTGTGCCTACAACCATTGAGAGGATGAAGAGCAGCAGCTGCAATCGGCGGTGCTGCTTGTAACGGTTTGCTACGCGCCCATGAGTTACGGAGATCGGTGTACCCACAAATGCTTACTGTAAAACACGAATATCGACAGAACTACGATGCTCAATATGAAGTCGGCGGCTGGACAGAGGGAAACGACTCACTGGGTATTCCAGAGAGCATGCGCTCCGCGAGAGCGCGGTAGGTAGGTTTGCGACCATACTGCCAGTGTACGAGTCTACACGTAAAGGCCAAGATGAGCGTGCAACTCAAACATACTCACAGTATCATGAGCAGTGTAAAAACAAACCAGCACGCACATCTCCATGAGAAACAGTAAAGACGCCATGGGGATTATTAACAGCGTTGCGTTAAACACCTCTTCCGCGAGGGGTAACCTGTCTTCGTCCTCATCCTCGTCTTGTTGTCTCCTTCGAATAACTGACTCGTCTTCATCCTCCCTAACACGCAATCGATTAAGGATACCCGACTCAGTGATAATTCGCTGTTGGTCTTCCTCTGAGATCTCCGCGGCGGGCTCGGATGACGGCAGGTTGCCAGAAGTTAGTTTCGACTCGGATTTGCTTGCGCGAGATTTAGTCATTGTATACTATCAACGCAGTCGTCAACTAGGATGTCCAAGTGTTCGAGTGCCAATTGGGTAGAATACGCCGGCGAAAGGAGAGATACCGCAGCCTGTTGTAGACCGCGGCGAACTAGCGAACCGTCATGAAAAGCAGCCCCACGTGGTCAGTTTACCGAGTTTTTTTGTTACTGGCGCTGACTTTCGCCCCTTTGATCAATGACGATGATTCAAATATTCATGCTATATCCTTTCTGGAAGTTCTCGTGCACACTGCCGCGGCGCTCAGCGCAGCAATGTTGGTACTCGCTAGATATACCGCTGTGCACTGCCGATTAATTGGCACCACCGCCCTAAAAGAATCCCCCTAGAAGGTCACAGTTCGATGGGGTTTTACGCAATGTAAACTCTTTGTTGATATCTGATGAACAGCTGAAATGGAGCTTCGTGGTTGGGTCTCAGCTGGGCTTGCGTGGCTGTGTGACGCGTTTTCAAGTCGCTGTGAACCTTTCGTAGGCAGAAGGGAAACAAACTACAACTCACGTCTTACTTTCAAATACTCTGCCAGCGGAGTGCAGATTCACGTCATGTTCGGTATGACTATGGTATGGAACACGTTGTACTGTCCACCAAGCAGCAGTCAATCGGAAGTGACGGTTGTGTAATTCACCCACCGTGCGTCTCAGAGTGATATTTCAATCTACTGTATACGCAGCGAGTCTCAAATTACTTCCAATCAGTGAGAAGGCCGAGTTTGAAGGCATTTGCATCCGGCAGTAATTATGCAGAAACGAGGCTGATATCTCTTAGCTCTTCCGGGTTGATTCAAGGCGCATGGACACTTGCCGATCCTCCCCAAATATTTTCCAGACGCGCATGCGCGATATAAAGTCATGGATGTTCAACGGGACGCTCGCCATCGCACTTTCCCAGACTCTTCCCCATGTCTCTCGGAATATTGACAGTGTATCTCGCTTCTATCTTCATGGCGATCAGTTTTGCTGCCAGTGCGCTGGGTCGTATTGGTCCGAAAGCCGATTTGCCCATCGTGAACGCTGTAGTGGCTCCCGACGGTATTAGTCGGGAGGCCGTTCTTGCAGGAAGCACATTTCCTGGACCAACGATAACAGGAAACAAGGTCTGCCTAGGAAAGCTTGTTCTCTTGATCATACACCATTAACGTCGCTGATCACAGGGCGACAAATTTCTGATTAACGTCATGAATAGGCTTACTAACGAGACGATGTTGAAGACCACTTCAGTTGTATGTTGGCAAGCTCAATCTTGACCGCGGAGATCAGATAATGACTGTCTCAATATTTCCTAGCATTGGCACGGAATACATCAACACAGTACCAGTTATGCAGATGGCACTGCGTTTGTCACTCAGTGCCCTATTGCTTCAGGTGCCTCGTTCCTGTACAATTTCACGGTACCAGATCAGGCCGGTGAGCTATTAACACTTTGTCGAGAGCTGGAGATTGTTAACTGAACCTTTTGTGGGTAGGCACCTTCTGGTACCACAGCCATCTGGCGACACAATACTGCGATGGGCTAAGGGGTGCTTTCATTGTATATGATCTGAATGATCCTCACAGACATCTATACGATGTTGACAACGGTGCGTAAGATGTTCACGACCGAGGAATACGACGCCTGCAGCTGGAGCTGTCTGCAGATAGCACCATTATCACACTCGCGGATTGGTACAATGAAGCCGCTGCATTCCAACCGTTGAAACCGTACGTTCCAGTTCTTGGATAAACCCTGACGGGTCACAACTGAACGTTGAGTTGTTCTGTGAAGAATCCCAGATGCTGCTCTGATCAATGGTCTGATGCCCAACAATTCCAGTAACACTCCTGCAGCCGTGATTGTGGTTACTCACGGTTTGCGGTATGTACTTGATCTGAACGTGTACAGTCTCACCAGCTGAATGGTCGATATCGCATCAGTTACCGTTTCCGCCTGATCTCCATGTCCTGCAGTCCGAATTTTGTCTTCTCCATTGATGGACATAATATGACCGTGATAGAAGCGGACGGTGAGAATACTGAGCCCTTGAACGTCGACAGCATCCAGATCTATGCCGCTCAGCGCCATTCCTTTGTGGTATGTGGATTCTAAAACTGTAGGCTCTGCAAATTGAGGCTTGTCTGCGTGTTTCTTTGACCTAGCTCGATGATAACCGACCAATCGGGAATTACTGGATCCGCTCAGTTGCAAGCGCTGGTCGCAATGGATCCGCGATACTCCGTTATATAGGTGCCCCCGATGTCAATCCTAACACGGTCTCCGAGCCGTCTCTGAATCCCTTGGTGGAGTCGAATCTTCATGCGCTCACGAATCCAAGAGCGGTGCGTGCTAAGTCCTACCGTGTAAACTATCCTGATTTTGCCAGCCCGGTGCGCCCACTATAGACGGCGCGGATGTTGTGATCAATCTCAACTTCACTGCGGTGAATAATTCCAACATTCTGCAACCCTCCTGTTGGCTGAACTGCCTTGCTCATAGAACGCAACAAATTACTTTGTTAATGGTGTAGCTTTTGTTCCTCCAATGGTTCCCGTCCTTCTTCAGATCCTGAGTGGATCGTATTCTGCGCAAAAACTTCTCCCGCCCGGCAGCGTATATGCTCTTCCTCGGAACAAGACCGTGCAAATCACAATGCCGGGTGGCGTTACCGGCGGTGATCATCCACTGCATCTGCATGGTGTAAGTTCTGTGATGCAAGACCTCACCATGTTGATGATAACACCTATTTCAAAGCACTCGTTCTCAGTTATACGCAGTGCCGATAGTGATTCTATCAATTACGTGAATCCCGTCCGACGTGATACAGTTAGGATCGGCGAGCAAGGTGACAATGTCACCATCCGCTTCGATGTATGCCGTGTATCTCCATTCATCTGCGGACTAGGCTGATGCTTTTGATAGACAAATAACCCGGGCCCATGGTTCCTGCACTGTGATATCGACTGGCATCTCAAGCTCGGCTTTGCCGTAGTCATGGCTGAGGACACCGGAGATACTCCAAATATCGACGCACCTCCTCGTAAGCATCCTCGTAAGCATCCCAGTTGCATGTAGCCACAAGACCTACGGACTGACTTTCTTGAATGGGATTTTAGCCGCTTGGTCTCGACTCTGTCCGATCTATGATGCATTACCGACCTCGAATCACTGAGTCACTAAATTTGACTGCGGCTATTCGTATTGGTAACCAGCGCACAGCATCCTGGGGAGATTAGAGGGATAGATCACGATCCACATCTATACATCAAAGTTCCAGTGAGAAGGTGCGAAAGTTTCGAATGGTTCGATGTCCTGCGGACTCTTCAGCCTCGTGCAGAAAGGCTGCCGATATCAATTCCGACACTGTGTGCACGGACGAGCTACTAATGATTGTATAAAGTCACGGGCTACAAAAGGGCAGAACAGGCTACAGGCGTCAATGGTGGTACACGGTTCAAGCTACAAGGGCACTAAAGCACACAAAGTCCGTCATCCGTCAATTTACTGCGCACAGGAAACGTCTACATAAGTTCGAAAGTGGGCGGATGAGCTTCGAGAAACTTTGAAACATGCTGAGCAACGTCGGGTCCTCCGAATGCTCCAACGATGCGGATTACCGCTCGGTTCGTGTTCGTCTGCAAGGCTGTGAGGGCCGACACCGAACGTCCTTCCTTGCCATCTCCATCTTCGTCGTCACCGGGGTCAAGCCGGGGAGTGATGGGTATATGCGCATATATATACTGCATGACTGATGGGAAGTCTCGGGAGCGACGCTTCGACAAGTCGTCGACACTCCACGTGGGGTCCACAAGCACCGCAGCTCCGAACTGCATATGGTGCATATAGTGAGTCTCAATATCGTTGAATAGACGATTTTGTCCGCTTACAGTGTTGTACAGTTTGAGTAAGCGGTTTCGTGCGGTGACGATATGCTCATTATCCCTCTTCCACTTCTTGAACTCGGAGCCTAGGGCTTCTAATCTCGTCTCGCGTGCCTCCCATGTAAGGCCATCGAAACCAGGCTTGTATTTGGGATCATCTTGAAACACCGATGCATAGAATTTGGATACCCATGCTTTACCCCCAGCTTGAAACGAACGAGCTTGCCAGTCTCGGGCGAATTTGATGGTCTCGATCTGGGACAATATGTGATAGATGCACGAATTGGCGTGAGTCTCGTTGGTCTTCTGGGCTATTGCCTGGACCAGAAAGGAGTGAGTATTGTGCATATATGCAGCTGTTGCACCTACTGTGTGCCGCAACTCCAACCTCAGGTGGACATCGCCCACGTTGTCGTGCGCATCTGACGCAGCAATGGTAGATGCATAGCCTGGAGGCATGGTGAACGAGTGAGCGAGGAGGAGTGAGTCCTGCACGAGTCAGACGGTGTCGTCCGTAAAAATCATTAGCGCAATCACTCACCCATTTTTCATCGCAGACATATGCATAACCGCGTAACAACCTTCTGAGCGCAGCATCTTCGGTCGACGCATGATTGCTCCTCCCAAGCATCCCCAGTGCGACACTGATCAATTCCTCTGGACGAAGCACTGCCTTGCCGAATGCAGCGAGAACCGAGTCTCCGCGCTTTACAATTTGAGGATCATTCTTGTCCTAGAGAGCGAACCGTAGGATTTTAGTGGTTAGAAGTAGAAGTAGCAACAGCAATGTGATCATACCACCTTGTGATGCTGAACCGCGGTACTTTCTCGATCGGTATGTCGGTCGGCATCGTCATTTTGAACAGGGACCTCCTCGAGCTCAGAGGCATCCGCCGGGCGTTGTCTACCACGAACCCCTTCATCGTACAGTCGCGCGCCGGATGCTTTCTGGCATACGGCAGTCAATTGTTGATGAATCCGTCCGCGTAGGTCACTGGTATTGGGGCTGAAGACTGCATGTGGAGAAGGCGGCTCGTATCCATCAAGAAGAGAGCTGAGGGCGCCAAGATGTCCCAAGATTTGTTTCAGTGCCATGGGTGTTGCAGGCACGTCGCGTACCGGGCGTCACGTATCACGATATCGCGTCTGTCACAGTGACGATCGCGTGAGGGCACGAGCGCCTGTTCACCCATGCAATGCATGGGTAAATAGACGCCCAAGATCCAACTAAAAAGCGATACAATCAATACAACCTACACCGAACAAACAACAGTCTGCACTGCATGGAGGCATCCGCGCCCGTACTGTCGCGTAATGTAAATCAGTAGTGTACTCGAGCACCGACCGTACTCGTGTGTGCTAGATATCCCTTGCGAGGCCAAAATCCTCAGCCCGCCGCACCTAATATCCGTATCCTCTCCCCGACCCTCCCACCATTCCAGCCGCGCTCTTCCCTCCCGGAGCCAGGCTCACGCTCACACTCACCGGAGGCCCGCCCATCTGGTTCCCCGCCCCGTTGACGTTCGGCACCCCTACGCCTCCCGAAACCAGGTTGTTGCCAGGTCCTACGGAGGCACCTACAAGAGCGGAGAGGCGCGAAATTTCTTCGCGGGAGGCGCCAAGCGCCGCCGAGAGTCGCTCGTTTTCGTTCGCAAGATACTCGAGCTTCGCCTGCATCTGCGCGAGCGCCGCCTTCTTGCGCTGCCGGCACTTGAGCGCCGCTGTGGGCGTGGTCAGCGGCAACGAGGAAGAACGAACGGAGGAGGGTACCTTGTCGATTGCGCTCGAGGAAGTTCTTGCGCTTCTCTTCCTCCGTCTCTGGCTTCTTCTGCCCGGACGCCTTCTTGGACCCAGTGGAAGTGGCTCGCTCGGTGCTGTACTCTTCCTCCTCTTCCTCTTCCTCCTCGCCCTCGTCCATGCTCTGCGAACGGCCACGACGGGCCGCCGTGCGTGCAGTGGGCGCGGGCGGTGCAGCAGGGGCGTTGGCGGAGGAGCGCGTGCGCTTGCCTACGCCTGCGGCGGGGCCAAGGTCCGACGAAGGCTCGGTGGATGACTGGTACGCCTTCCGCTTCGTGCCCCGGTTCCCGTTCCCGTTCGCGGATGCCGCAGCGGTGGCAGAGGGCGCAGCGCCGTTGGCGTTGCCGCTGGCGGCCTGGCCCGCGCGCTGGGCCTCTTCGCGCTTGGTGAGCTCCTGGTGGGCCTGTGAGAGCAGGAACAGGCCGTTGGTCGCAGAGCTGGCAGCGTTGGCAGCACTGGCAGCACTGGCGGCATAGCTGGCGGTTTGCTCGCGCTGGGCCTGGGTGGAGGAGAACGCGTGGGAGATGGAGAGCGGAGAGGGATTTTGGGCCTGGTGCGAGTGATGCGCGCTGGAGAGCACGCCGGTGATGGCAGAGAGTGTGTTCGGGGTGATGGTGGCCGCAGTGCCGGAGCTGCTGTTCATCATGGCGAGGAACGCGGCGGTGTTGGGTGAGGGCGGGGGGAAGGAGACGGGCCCGCCGATGAGAGGAGTGAGGCCGGTGCCGGGGGTGAGCCCCGTGCGCGGTGTGAGACCTGTGCGGAAGGAGACCGGGTCGAACGCGGGCAGCGGTTGGTCGTTGTTCGAGTTCGGGCGGGGACCGGCGAGCATGGCGGGGGAGAGGGGCCCGGAGCGCAGAGAGTTGGAGAGCGAGGACGAGGAGAAGGCCCAGGTATAGGATGCGTCTGAGGGCGAGCTGATGGACGCGAGGGGCGGGAGAACGGGCTTGGAGTTGGCATTGCGAGGAGAGCTGCTGTGGTCGCCGGAATGCGAGGACGAGGAGGGGCGCGAGTGGTCGCCGTCGCGGTCAGAGAGCGTCGCGGGGTCGCGGGTGGGCGAGGGCTGCTGGTGGGTGCGCACGGAAGGAGCGAAGGACTGTTCGAAAGGGTTCGGCTCGAGCTCGAAGGTGGTCCGCTTCGGATTTACTTGCGGGCGGGGCGCCGAGTCAGGACGATCCTGCCGCTGCTTGTCCGAATGGGTCGGCGAGGGCGCGGTGCGAGTCTGCGACATGTCGATGACGCCGAGTGACGAAGAACAACGAGATGACGGCGGGCGAGCTGGGGCCTGCGATGATGATGATGACGGTCGTCCAAGTGGGAAGCCATGACGAACGCTGACGTCGTTATGTATCTCCCCACCCTAGCGGAGTCCCAATCCATTTCATCACCTGCTGCCCTCGCTCCCCCGGCCACCCCGTGCCTCGATCCCCAACCCCTCTCTGCGCACGCACCCTCTGTCAACCATTCCGGGTTTTGAAAAATAAAAAAGAAGCCATTCCCGGGGTCCCCTGGCGGCACCTCACCGGCTCACCGTGCAAGTGGAGAAGGTTGCCTCGATGCATCGTTTTCTCACCAAATCGCGCCAATCTCATATGCAGTACGTACTCTTCGTCCCTCTGCCCATCTTTTATGCTCACTTGACCTTCTCTCCCGTGGTCAACTCCGTCTTCAGTCTTCAGGTTTTCCCTCTGTCTTTATAACTTCGAGGGTCCAGCGCAGACACCTGCACAACAGACTCCGAAACTCGCCATCCGAATGTGTTGATCGTCCGTCAATCCGCACAAAATTATCCAAGCCCGTGATCGGTCTAGCCCCTAATCATCTTCATGCTATGTGCCAAGTGGTCCCGCTCACGGTTCCGCTTCTTTTCGCCATCATCCTCGCGGCGCCGTCGCGGTCCTTCCGAGTCTTCTCCCCGCCCGGCACGATCACAGGTCGCGATCTGCACTCTTTGCAAGCACATCGCGCATCCTTTGTCGGCCGCAGTCAAAGTTTCAACTCAATCCCCCTGAGAGCCTCGTTCTAGCCATTCATGTGACGCTGAACTATCAAGAATCACGCCAAGCGCTACGCAGTCAGCACACCAGTGGAAATATCCCGTATATTATCAGTGAAGCCTTCTTGCGGTCTTGAAGGCTTGAACTCTAGTTCCTTGGTTCGCCCGGGGAACTTCCAGGGGAATACTCCACTTTCTGCAACATTATGACTTACTTCAGGAATTCTTTTGCTTGCAGTGTGTATTCCGGCATGCGATTATGCTATGTTCTTCCCCCTTACCCTGGGCATGCATGTCGTTTCCTGCTGGCATAATTATCCCTTGTCCTTCTTTCACTGCCCCAACCACGCACAAAGTGGAGTGGAGGACCAGCTTGCAAGTGTCAAGTACGATGAATACTCACTCGCTCGTGGTCGGTGGTTATGTTTACTATCAGATAGTGTTAGCACCTGTTCAGTATACACTCCCTCGCGCACAGCCGCACGTGTATCTCATGCAATTTATCTCACCGCGAATATGAAGCAGCCCCTCTGCGCGCCGTCCCACTGCCCCCCACCTGCAACTTCACGAGCCATCACAAACTTTTCGCACCAATTTCATACCGACAGCTCTTCGGGCTTCGGGCAGATACCGTGATAAAGCTCTCTGACAATCGATGACCCACCGCGTCGATCAGAGTTCCGCACGACTATCGCAACTCTATCGAATCCGCAGGAACAGGGCCGATCGCGGGCACGGTACACGCAGACGCCTGCTGGTGGTCTCCTCCGCGAGCTCAAGCTGTGGCGGGCACGATGGCCCCCGGGACATGCAGTGTATAGCTCCAAGCCGCCAGCGGGCACGAACGCAGCCGGCGCGCGGTGTGGGCACGGCGGGATTCTCGTGACAGGAGTATGATTGAGTTGCACAGGCGAGATTGGAATTCTGAGAAGGATTTGCCTCGAGGACGTATAGAAGCCTATAGAGTGAGATGCAAAGTTGAAGGGGGGGAGCGGCATCGATGTGTCGTGCAGCCAGAACCCGTCGGGCTGGAATAATGGTGTCCGAATAACTAGGGACTGAGGCCATGGTGCGGCTGTAGAGCCTGAATCGAGCTTGTGACATGGCGCATGACCGCCCCAGCTTGCACGAGTAGCCATCCACGAGCGGCGCGCGCTGGTGCCCGAATGCTAGGCCGTCTGAGATCTAGGAGTCGGGCAGCTGCGAATTCATCGGCATTCGAGCTTGGCATTCTGGATCTGGCGCAGCCGGCAGGTCGAGCACCAGCAATGGGATCCTTCGCACCACCTTCGCAGTGCCAAAGGTTCGCAGCCGAGAAGCACAGAGGGCGTCCAGAAGCGCTGGGTGCGTACGTGAATGATCACGACGTCGACCGATCGTGATCGCGAGACGGAGGCGAGTGGAGGCCGTTTGGGCGAGACCTTCCCAAGGGGTGTCCGCATGATCGTGGTGGTCGAATGGAGAGCGGAAAGTACATAGTTTGGAGCCTTCGAAGGAGATGCTGCGTGGAGGGCGAGAACGGGGCAGAGTGTCGGAGGGCTGTATGCGCGATAGGAAGTGTAAGAGAAACCTCTCGCGTGATCACACACAACACACGCTGCATGCGATAGACACTGAGGGAGGGGCTCGAGCGAAACGTTAAGTACTTTGGAGAGCTCGTTGACAAACTCGTAGATCAGGCGACGCACCATGAGATCGGTGCACGAATAGCAGCGCGACAAGCGATGTGCTCAGTCGAAGGGGGTGTTCTGTCACTTGGACTTATCTCAAGGCCCATCTGAAGCGCGCAATATATATGCTCAGCTGGCACTCGAGAGAAGCCGCGACTGACCTGATATCGCTCGGGGAATTCCACGCATACAATCGGAGAAGCGCACCACCAATCAGTCCTACCACGCCGCCATAGACGCCGACGAGAAGCATTCGCATGAGAAGCTGCAACTGCGCAAGGAGACGCCGGGCAGGCAGGGAGGAAGCACGCAGCTGTACCACGTTCCGAAGCCGCCAGGATCGATACCGGCTAGGCACCCCAGGGATTGGCAGGACACGACGCATGGCAGACGCAGTGAGAGAGATGGACCTGATAGAAGGGGATATGATTACCTCGCGTTAGGGTTCGCGGGCTCCCCTGCGAACCAGTATGGCGCAGAGCCGGCCTGAAGTGGAAGCCGAAGGGATACCAAAGCCTGTTCACGAGCTCGACGAGGCGGGTAATGCTTCCAGGCTGCACCAGATGAGTACCCTGATATTCAAGAGAAGGACAAACGAAAGACAAACGCACTACGGAGAGGCGACGGACAGCAGGCTTCCGGACGTCACGAAGAGAAGAGAAGACCTCCCGAGATGATGTGATTATGATCGGACTGTCTGCGCTTGATAGTCGCGAAGTTCATCATGTAGAGTTCAAACCTGTCAAACGTGGATGCCGCGTGAATGAAACGAGGGAGGACGGGCCATGCAACAGAGAGCATGCGATTCAGCGAGGATCCTTTCTTGAAGAGATTGCTGACTAGCAGCAACTGGTAAGTAGACTCAGGCGTCGACACGGATATCCGAGGCACGCAGAGTGCTGCCTTTTGGGAGACTAAAGTAGGTTACCCTGTAGACGAATAAGAAAATTCATTACGGTTAAGTCCAAAACGATAGGTGCGGTTTCATGAATTTCGCTTATGGTACCAAGAGGCAAAGAGGCAGGCAAAATCAGACTCCTAAAACCATCCATCGCTATAGTGTTCTCGCTCCTTTACTATCCTAACAAGATGTATTAGTGATCATGTGACATAGCCTATCAGGAAAACCCAACTTTTACTTAAAGGTGTCCTTATATGACTGAAATGCTTAAGGACAAAAAGTCCATAAGTCATATTTCCTTAGAGACTTCAAAGTCGACTTTTGGGAACTTATGGACCTTAAATAAGGCAAAAAAAGAACAAAAAGTCGGAATAAGTCCCATAAGTAAAAGTTGGGTTTTCCTGATGCTACTCGAAAGGCCGCCAGGTGGCGGAACTTGCTCGGAGATTAGTCTCGTTCCCACGACGTCCTGGAGAGGCGCGCGTTCGCTCGACCCTCCAGAACGTCTGGTGCATTTGGTCGCGATTTCGGACCATTGTGACAGCCGGTCACAACACATGACTTCTGGTGTATGTAATCCTTCCTTTTCTAGTATTTTCCGCGGTGCTTGCATAGCACCTGTAGTGTGAATAGTCATCTTGCAAGACATCCTGTCTCCTGGGAACCCACTTGGAGGGCCTAAAGGTTTCTGTGAGCAGTATGGGACAGGTTCACAGGATTTTAGAAATGTTTAGACCATGATGAACACCAACAATACCACTTTGTAGATTCGTCCATGATTAACTCACTGCAGAATCAGGGGAGGGAAAATTTTTGGTTCCATGGTATGTAAAACACATTTTCAGACACTTCTCACCAATAGTTGCAGTCAGAAAGCTCCCCTCCAATGGCAGGAGAAGGCAAGAGCAAGTAAGATAGACCCACTTCATCCTCGACTACTATCGTCACAGCGTGACACATCAGGTGCCTCAGCCAAAGTCTGTCACGGTGGCGCGAGATTGGCGGGGAAAGGTGTGAATTTGGAGCACTAGCAGCCTAATTTCTCCATCCCTCCTCCAAAATAAAATAATCTGTTTCTGTAACTAAATCTCAAAAATCATCTTCTACAAAGTTACAGAAGCATATTTTTGATGCTTGTCCTGTGCATGGAGGAATTAGCCATTCAGTGTGTTTCTCCCGCCAAGCGTGACAGAAAGGTCACGTGATAGTAGTCGAGGATGAAGTGGGTCTATCTCACTAAGATTATGATGACAATGCAGGTATGACTCCGAGGTGACCCGATGTCACAATGGTCCAAAATTGCGACCAAGTACACCAGACGTTCTACACTGCTCTCTGCACCAGGCACAACCATTCCCTCGTGAGAACTTTTCAGCAACAGCTCAAGATCTGAACGCCCCGATGTTTTCCTCATATTTCCTACTCCGCTGTGGCGGTGGCACTGAGCGTAGCGAAGCCTCTGAGTGTCTGGTGCAGAGAGCAGTGGAGAACGGCTGGACTCGAGACTACTCGGAGACGAGAGTGGACAGAATGGCACTCTAATTATAGGCAAAATGCGGATCGGGTATCCTGCCTTTTTTTCCAAATTCCAGCCCAAATTAATTTCATTTAATTTCTGGTCTACTACTGTAAGTATGAGACTGTCCGTAATATTTGCCTATTCACGTTGTCCGTAATGCCTATTCACGTTTTTGTCCGTAATGCCTATTCGTAATGCCTATTCTCCGTAATGCCTATTCACGTTTTCCCTGCAACATAATTCATGTATTGCTCTGCAGCTATTTGGGACTGATCCGATTGGGGCGAAGCATCATAACTGGGGCAAAGTTGCGACCACTCGGCTGGATATTCATATCGGCAATAGTCAGCAAACAAAGGCTCCCACATGTGTACATGAAAAATACTGACGAGGAGGTGCGTCAACTCTGGGGGTGTCATAGGTGTCCTCAGCCAGGACTATAGCAAATCCTCGCTTGAGGTGGAAGTCAATATGGCAATGCAAGAACCATGGACCAGGATTGTTCGTCTATGGAGGAGTTACAACTGTTTAGCGGTAGACAATGAAAGGAAGAATCAACGCATACATCAAATCGAATGGTCACGTTGTCACCCTGCAGGCCAATGTTTACAGTGTCACGGCGGACAGGATTCACGTAGTTAGTCTGGTTACTTCCTGCACTGCGTATCACGGAAAACGAATGCTATGAAGTTACATCAATTCGAGAGTGGACGCGTTGGATTACTGCATGCTTACGCCGTGCAGGTGTAGAGGATGTGGAATTCCAAGAACGCCGCCGGGCATGGTGATTTGCACCGTCTTATTTCGAGGAAGGGTGTACACGCTTCCGTGTGGGAGAAGTTCTTGTGCGGTATAAGAGCCATTCAGAATCTGCAAGAGGACAGGAACCGTAGGAGGAACAAAAGTAACGCCATTAACCAAGAATTCCGTTGTATTCTGATCCGCAGAGCAATTCAGCCAAACTGTAGTAGATATGATAATCACACGCACAAATGTGAAATTGAGGTTGAGAAGGATATCTGCACCATCAATATTGGGTGCACCCGGCTGATCAGGAAAAGTATTAGTATGCCTCCGAAACAGTCCGAATGTATACAGACAGCCTGCGCATTTGTAAGTGCATGGAGGTTTGTTTCCTCCAAGGGGTTGACAGAAGGACTAGCAGTAGTGGTGGGTTTGACGGGAGGCGCTCCAACGTAACGGAGGATTGCTGATCCAGCGGGACCAAGACTTGCATTAGCACGGATCCAGTAGTTTTCAACAGGTTGGTTGGCCTCGAGCTGAAGGATGCAAATTTTGCAGTCAGCCTTCTGTGCAGAGAAACCATTTGAAGATATTGACTCACAACGAACGAATATCGCTGAGCAGCGTAAATCTGAATGCTGTCAACATTCAAAGGCTGGGTATTATCTCCATCCGCTTCTATTACAGTCATATTATGCCCATCGATGGAGAAAGTGAAGTCGGGGGAGCAAGAGATAGATATAAGTCGGAACCGATAACTGCATACTCCACTTCAGTTAGGTTCATAGCTCTGATTGATGCATAACACATACCGTAAGCCCCTAACGACTGTGAACACAGCTGCAGCATCACTGTAATTATTTGGCACCAATCCATTGATCAGAGTTGCATCCGAAATACTTCACGACGATATTAGTTTCATGAATAAGGTAACAGTGATGATTGTGAACGGTGCGTACGCGATTGGAGGCTGGAATACAGCTGCCTCGTTGTACCAATCTGCCAGAGTGATGATGGTGCTATCTGTAAATGAGTTCAGTAGAGCATTACTCTCCGATCCGCATCTCCGAAGTACCATCATCAATATCATATAAACCTGCATGGGGGTCATCCGGATCGTATACGATGAAGGGACCTCTCAGACCGTCACAGTACTGTGTCTCCAGATGGCTGTGGTACCAAAACGTTCCTGACGGTGGTACGGTAAGACTACCGCATGTAATATAGATTATTACTCACCAGCCTGATCTGGGACTCTAAAGTTATACAAAAAGGAGTTACCTGACACGATGGGGCATTGCGTGACGAATGCAGGTCCATCTGCCCAGTTAGTGGTGTGCTGATTTATCCCGTGCCAATGCTAGTTATATGCATGAAATCAGTATCCTCTTAATAGAGTAGCCGTGGCGATGAAGCACCATCAACTTACAATGGACGTGGACGTCAACATAGTCTCATTTGTTAGCCGGTCTACGACATTGATGAAGAAGTTGTCGCCCTATGATCGAAAGAGTAAATCTGAAAGCCTGAAAGAGGACCACACGAGAGAAACCTTGTTGCCAGCGATCACAGGACCAGGGAAGGTCCCTCCCGCGAGAACAGCGTTCCGGAGAACTCCATTCGGAGCTACTGCAGCATTCACGATAGGCAGCTCTGTTATCGGCCCAATATGACCCAGAGCACGGGCAGAAAAACCAAGGGTTAAGAAAGCAGAGAAGAAGAATCTCATCGTGCAAGGCAGGAAGAGGACAGAACTTGACGAGAACCCAACGTCGCACTTCGTACCTTTTATCTGTTGTTTGTGCGTCTGACGGCAGTCTGAAATGCAGTCAGAGCCGCTCTATATTTTGGGACAATCTATCCAGGACAGCCTAAAAGCGGAGCGCCGTGACACGAGGTCAACTAGGCAGAGGACCACACTACGAACCAAGTATGCGGTAGATGCAGATGGCAATGCACGTTCTACAAAGTTTCCGCTGAGACGAAGTGAAACTGGTGAATATGACACCCGCACTTACACCTTCATAGCCGCATCTCACCGGCTCTTGTCCCTATCAAGATGAGATCCGGTGAGCTGTTGAAACGTTATGCCACTCCTACCGAATTTGTGACAACTTGAGAGTCAATCGGGTCATCAAAATGTTTGGCACCGGCGCAATGTGGGCGCAGCCGTAGTCGCCGTCATTGTACTGCAGATTCGCCAACAGCATAGCACGATAGCATCCTACTTGAGCAGTGGTGGTGGATTGTAGGCAACAGTCCACGTGCCGGACACTACAGAGGGCACAGACGGTGCAGCAAGACGCAAAGGGACCACTGGCACCGGCACCACAAGCGCCTCTTCGAGATAGAGTGAAAGACCGTGACATTGGCACAGAATCGACGCCAACGTCACCTCCGACTACAAGGACGCCATGTGCTCCTGAGGATTGAGTTACCTATGTGATCGGGCTTGATCAGACTAAGCTCGCCAAGGTAAGGAGGACTTCCAGGTTCCTGAAGTCGAAACATGGAATTAGCCAAATGTCTTCGGGACACAACGGGGCGCAATGGCAGTACGGCGACAGTGAGCGCAGCGCTTCAAGGATACCAAGCGCCGAACCTTCTTGAGCGCCGTGCCGAGGACCCGAAGTACCACGGAATTTGTGACAACGTCATCAACATGCCTTGCAGACCGCGGCTGTCCAACTGGACACTTTCATAGAATTTGTCAGCTAGTTTCAGTGTAAATCGGACAACTGACCGTCGAATACTATCGTAGCGCTGAGCATGTTGAGACAGATAGGAAGAGTAGCAGCGATTGAGCACTAGTCTAAGTTGAAGGCTGTGGAGACTTTCTGAATATTATTCGGGCACGGAGGAACTTTGGCACTCATACCAGATTTGCCGGCGCGCAGTATCTGATACTTGAGCTCCGGTGAAGACGGAAGCGCTCCGAACGAGGATGGTGCTGGAACTGGAATGAGACTAGTAGTTAATGGCTACTTTGGCGATGCGAGCGCTCGGAGTGCGAACCCCGATGCAAATTACAAATCTGCATGCAGCCATTGCAACGTTAGAATGATGAACTGCGAGGTCCAGAGCCATAAGGAGTCAAAGCAACGCCACATGTCTTAATCCTGTGTTTCTGCACACAAGGCGCATGATGGGCCATGGGCCTGGGTGGAAATGGATGGCGCATGGAAGATGGCCGGCAAAATCGCATTCATGTGGAACACTTGATATGTCTTCGGTGAGGGCGATCTAACATGGGAAACCTGGATCTGTTGTTGCCGTAGGTTTCTGTCAAAGTGCCAAATTTATGCTGCCGTGTCAGGTTTGAGTCGTAGGGGGTAATCAAAAGGTAGGACACGAAGTCTGAAGGCAGGAGATGACCAATCATACATATCACATACAGACAACGCCTACAGCCCTGTAGTTCAACGCATCAAAAGTATCCAATATTACTTATCATATAGCATAGACAGCACCTATTCACCCGGTATGCAATTCCTCATCGTGTTCGGCGTTCCGAACCTTCTTCCCGCTAGTCCACGCTGCTGTCATCGTCGTCATCGTCTTCCGACACGTCTTCATCGTCATCATAATAATCCTCGTAATCTTCAGCCGAAGCATCGCTATCGATCTCGGAGAGGTCGAAATCCAAGAGCTCCTGGCCATTCCAGTGGACCTTCGCACCCATAAGCTCCAAATCGACGGATTGTTCGAGGATGAAATTCCTGCAGCGGTAAACGTATATCTGTATTTCCTCCTGGCATATCCTGCGATCTAAAACAAACTCCTGCAACTGCCAGAAGAAACTCGCCTTGGAGCGCTCATCCCCAGCGAAGTCTACCCCCTCAAGCTTCAGCACACGCAACGCCGGGAAGAGGAAACTGTAGGTAGGTTGTGCCTCCTCGTCCTCTTCGTCACTGCTGTGATCGGCTTCATCTATGTCCTCCTGCACGAGATGCGTACCACAGCTGCATAAAACCTTCTTCCGAAGCGCACTTGGTAGGTGGTTCGCAGTTTGTCCGTATACCCACAACTCCTCGAGAGACTGCATTGACTCGAATATTTCGACCCACTCTGCGGAGTCCAAAGAAAAATAGCCAGGCACATAGAAAGTGCGAACTGTGTGGAGGGGTAGCGCTTTGCACGCAAATCTCAAACTTTCCACAGAATTGCTTGGCGAAGCCCCGTTCCACGCAAGGCGCATCTCGAGCGACGCGTCTGTGGCAGGACGATTTCGCAGCTCTTCGACGGGAATAATGGTGGTCCAAGCACGCAGGCGTAGGCCTTCAGCTGTTAGTGGAACAAAGGTGAAGCTGCGCAGTAAGTTTTCGGATGCATCGGAGAGGCCTTGATACTTGGTCCTAATCGCGCACGCGACCGCGTAGAACTCCTTGTATCTGCTAAACGGCTGACAGTAAATGCAAAGGCGGGTGTGCGACGGGAGTTCAATCTGATATAGAAGGGTAGCACAATTTAATGCAAGGCCGTCGATGAATAGATACTTCAGGTGCGCGAGATGTACAACACGCCCTTTGCCTGAGGTAGGGTAGAAGTCCCACGGGATATCTGGAGTGATCTGATCGAGGACTGCGACCTCCAACATCGGCATGCGCTCTAGTGCAACGAGGATCTCCTCCACCCTAGGACGAATCCAGATCTTGCGACCATCCAGGATGAGGGAAGTGACAGTGCTGCAGAACAGAGTCGAGGCCCAGCACCAAGTGCACTGGCGAAGCTCCAACCTCTGTAAAGAAGGTGTCTCACCACGGAATAATACCGGAGGAACACGAGTCACTGGTCCGGCAGGGCTCCTCTGAGTCTGTGGATCGAAGACGACGAATGATTCGAGTTTTGGAGCGGGTCTTGTGAAACACTCCCAAAATTGCTGCATCGTGGGCCCACTCTTGACAGCAGAAACAGCAAGATCGCGGACACGCTCCATCTCCCCTACAACATCCTCAAGGCCAGATAATGCGCCGCCATAGGTCATATTTTGAACGTTACAATGTAAGGTCAGAGGAACCGATCTCGATCGCCTGATCATCTCCTTGACCCAACGGGGACTCCGGAAGGTGATGCGGCTCCACAGTCGAGGGCAGTCCAGCGCAACGGCACGAAAATAACGACATACATGTGAAATTTTGGTCCAGCATAGGTTCTCGCCCATGAACTCGGTGTCGCAGGCACAACACAATAATATTAAGGCGACGAGCTCCGGAGGGAGAGCGAGGATGGGTGCGAGGTTATTCCGGCGTTCTTTTAGAGAACACAAACTTCTCTCAGCGACCATTATCTCTCGGTCTATCTTGTCGCGGGTCTTGTCGACGATAGAGTTCTGCGGCATGGTGACGACGTTGGGATCGCCTTCCTGATAAAGGCCACTCAGATATACGCTCAGAGCTCTGCAAAGCAGGATGCGTAAGTCACATAAGGCTGTGAGATATCAAAGGGGCGTACGAGTGAGATTCTATGAGCTGGCAAAAGGCAATCGATGTGGCAGCGCTGTTGGAGTCAAAACAGTCCTGGTCAGAGACGGTGGTCGAGGTGGGAGGGAAGGGAGCGCTAGCGCAATCAACAAGATCCAATTTGAGTCGCTTGAAAACGTTGACTATACGAAGGAGCGCGTATACAAATATACATAGATATTCATGGAATCTGTGGTTTAAAAGACCGCCAAAGCAAATGTTCTCATCGCGGTGTCAACTGCTCGCAGACTCCATAGAGCCTCCGCCCCCACCGTCCACGTGAATCCTTCTTCCCGTTCCCGCGGACCTAATTCAACCGTACTCGCAGGAGTAGTCAACCATTAATGACAATTCTTCTGGCTTCTATGGACTGCATGCACCCAGCGTCTAATCACTCTCGCAATTTATTGGGTGTTTAATGTGCTATGCAGATCGTGTTTGGCGTCCCTTCACCCTGTATGGTCGGACACGGATATCCTGAGGCACGAAGGTTGAAGCAGAGCGTCTACCATCTGCCTTCGGGAGACTACCTGTATGTCGACGTAGCTCTGGCAATCTTCTGCAATCTAAAGGTAAACTTTCTCGTGCACATCAGGGGAGCATTGACTACCTACCTGGAACGCGGCACATGAGTGATATGACCCGCAGTATGTGACGAATTGTCGGCCTTCCTTTCGGAGTACTTAGAACCAAGCGGCCCGTTCTCCTGGTATGAGCTATTCACTGTACATATTGGAATCTACAGCTTAATTTAACGACTTCTCGCGTGTTCCCCAGAGCCACCATTGCGCAGAGCCCTTGCCAGGTTGAGGATGTCTACGACGCGAAACCTTCGTCCCGAGGTCGATATTGTGCCCTTACACACATAATCACCTTGCACATGTGGCCGTCCATGTTTAGACAAGTACGTGGACCATCGAATATGTATGGTATTGATGATCTGTCGATAAACCGCCTTCCCTCATTGGTCTAACGTACGTTGAATTCCAGTGTGACCTCCGGCGTGCACCACCTGTGGAACCTCTTATGGTCACTGTGTCGACATCTCCTTTTCTCGAAATGGCTTGAATCTATGAGCAGCACTCACTTGAGACCCTCCCGGATTTGTCCCTGAGTGAATGTAAGGTTTACCTGCCTTACAATGTCACCGTTTGTCGCCAGTACAAATTTATTGATAAAGTTTACATGTGTGATCAGGACTTAATAGAGACTCAATTGACCAGTTGAATTTGTTACTTCGGCAAATAGAAACTGTGTTTCATCTACAAACGGTTGCTTTGTAGTGGGCACGAAATTCATCATTTGTCGAGGTAGCAAATTTGCGTTGGTCTCGGGTGACTGCACACTCGAGGTGCGTATATGATTCGTCAGTTCCTTAAGCAAAACCCACGCGCTCTGTCCAGCTCCATAGCGTCCCTACCTACAGAACCGCCCACTAGGAGATGTCATCAGGATCTTTACAAGCAAATTACCCACTCTGTTGACAATTAGCGAGCGTGGACCTCAGTCTGACTACATACCGCGCCACAGCACGTCAGTCTGCTGCGACCGCATCCATGGAAAGTATCAGGCCACAGATGCGGTCATGTTTAGCATGAGTGCGGCGATACGATCACTTCCGCTGTCGGGTCTTGCGTTCAATGTGGAAGCTACTAAGTATGCATCTAGAACGCGCGCTCCGTCAAACTCCGCATACCGTGACAGCGGCCGTTCAACTACACCAAGCGGTTAGGTTTGCTGCCATGCAGAACGTCAAATTTGCAAAAGGTACTACACCGAAGTAAGTAAAGTACCGTCCCTCTAGTTGGACAGAGAAACGGCATGTAGCAATGCCGCGTTTAACATGCGCTCTCAAAACCAGTATAGATCAGAACGTTTACCGTTGCTGCTGCTTGAATGGAACAGGCGCAGGGAAGGGCCTCACATGTATGCTGGCGGCGTCTGAACATGCCCAATCGGAAACACGCTATAGGTGTACCTAAGGGTTGAGGCCTGAGGGTTGAATATCTGAATCCTGGTCTGATCCATGTCGTATGAAGCCCCTCTTCCCCCGCTGTGACTCACATGGTGCTGTACGTGACGCCAGGTTAGCAATGACGTTCATCTACGCGCAACGCACGTCGATCAGAAATCTTCCATTGACTTGACTTGGCTGGTACATACATGCAAACTTCTCTTCTCTAGTTAGGATTGATGACAAAACTAGGTACAATATCGATAAATTTACTACAAGCCCAAAGCAGGCGGTAAGAAGTAGTGACATACAAGGAAGTCCACGGCTCCTGGATACAGTCGATTCGCAGGTTGAAACAAATTAGCAGGGGCTGCTTAAGATATAAACGAGTGTCAAGCATTGGAGTCGTCGACTTGGACAGAGGATCGACGAAAATTATAGGTCCTGCTTGATGGCTTGGAGAGCGCACAAGGCGGCTTTGGCAGGTGATTAGATTGAGTAAACAATATAGAGGAATGCACTCACCTCCAACCCCGCTTCCATCTCTAGCCATGCCAATCTCGACACGGCGCTCCACTTCTTCGCCCACCAGCGAACGCAGGGATTCGCGGAGATGGGCATTGAAGTTCGGATAGAACTGGATTAGACTGCGTCGTCGTTGTCCGGTCAGCGATTCCATTTAAAGAGAGGAAATTGTAAGTGTAAGGGACTCACCTGCCATCAACACCGACGGGAATGCGCTCCTCCTCTGGCACGAAGTCACTACTAAGCTCTGCACGCCCCGTCTGCGCGAGCAACGCGGCAATCGCACAGCCGCTTAGTTTGGCGGCACGGTCCGCGACGAGGAACGACGCCCAGCGCACGATCGCCGCGTCGCGCAGAGATACATCTGCAGGGCTGAGAGAGAGCCGCTGGCTGACGATACCGCGGATACGCTCAAGGCGAGCAACATCCTCTGCACTTAGCGCATCGATGTCGATGAAGTGCTCGGAAAACACGGCGCCGTTCGCAGTCGGGGCTGCACCCTTCGACGGGCGACCAGTCTCCCATGCTTCCTCGACCTCGCTCATCACAGCCGTATCAAGGCCATAGTGTGCATTCAGCACATCACTCGACTTCCCGTTGAATAGCAATGGCCGGGGCGCAGCATCAATAAGCGAAAGGAGGACATTGCGTGTAATTTCGCCCAGATACATCCCAGAGATAAATTTCTCGAATGCTTGAAGACGCGGATTGATCGATTCTCGATCAAGTTTGTTATCGTATGGTGTGGAGGGAAGCGCAGTGCGCTACGAGGGAACTGTCAGTACGAGCCTCGTAAAGGAGATAATGGAAGAAGGCTGACGGTATTGTTGAACGCTCCCCATTCTGTGTTCACAATCATGTCACCGCCCTTGGCGCGAGCGGGTGAGTCGCCAAGCTTCGTAATGTTGTGAACCTTTTCAACATATGCACCGTTTGTTCCAGTGCCGAAGATGCTACCTGTGGTCGAAGGAGATTATCAAGATTTAGTGGGTTAGACAGGGCTCGTAGTTCTCAACACTATCCACGTACCGAGAACACATCCTCCGGTGGTATACGCACGTGATAGCAGAGCACCCACAGTCTACAACGTTGTTTCGTCAGGATGCCCTTTCAACCGAGAAGGCGAAGGTACGCGCATCGTTAACCAGGGCAACACACTTCACGTGGAGGTGCTTTCTGTCAAAGGCATCTTGGAGCAAACGGACAACATCATGTCCCACCGCGTTCTTCGCGGAAAAGCCTTTCGTCCAGGTCAAGATCTTTCCCTGGTTCAGCGCGGTCTGCTCGACCGGAAAGCTGAATGTAAGACCAAGAGGGATAGCGGTCTGCGGCGGAATAAGGCTGGCGGAGGGTTGCTCTTCCGTAAAAGACATTTCCGTCGGAGAGTCGCCCCCAGTAAATTCAGTGAGGAACGAGTCAACAGAGTCAGCAAGATAATCTGAAATTTGTCGGTTTTTGACCAGGAATGAGCGGTAAAGACCTGGGGACTTACCGAAGAGAGCAGTAGCTTCGCCGGTCTTGAGCGTTTCGGACACCCTGTACTTTTGCTGCCGAAGACTGAAGTTCTTGTTTCCAAGGAGCCGAACCTCGCACACTCGGCTGATAGGTATACAATAGGCTCGCGCTAACTGTACACCATAGGTAATTCCACTCACAGGTTCGTACCGCCAAGGTCAAGGGCAAGGAAAGTCCTGATATGAAGTTCCATGCATCAGAAGGTGCCTCAATCATAATTGACACGTAACGCTCCACCGCAGAAATAGACAGCAAAGAGCTGCTTTCGTGCTTGTGCATCCTAAGTGCGCAGATCCCGCATTACACACTTCATCTCCGAAGTTACTCCATGGAAAGCAACCAGTAAAGCAGCGCGAACGCGATGCTGCCAGGTGCAGAAACAGCCCAACGCCAGAGCCAATATTACTGCACTTCATAGCACGACATATTGAACAGACCGCCATGAACACGTGCGAAAACACATTAATTCCAGCACGTTTCAGAGAACCAGGACCATCAATCACGCAAAAACCCCATCGAAGGTCGAGGTGCAGTTCAATTCCAGGTTCGGTAACGAGGATACTCTGGACATCGACAGGAAAATTTGACGCAAGGCACGAGCCAGAAGCACATCGTAGATGGCTTGCTTCACCAAATCAGGCCGCATATACTCACCCAGTTTCTGTACCGTCTGGTACGCCAGTGACGAAAGTGGGGCTTCAGCCTAGTATGATCAATCAGTCACTAGCGCATGCAACTTCACACGTACATCATGGCCATCGGATGGTTGTACTCGCCCAGTCCAAGACGGATATCCTGGAGAAACTGCCGTGTGATCTGTTTTAGAGCATCTGGGTCAAGACGGAACTGGCTTTCGATATTGTCGAGGATCTTGCGATTAGTATCTGCGGATGCACTGTATACAGCAGATGTCGGGGCCATGGATGGGGGAAACGGAGGATTAAAAACCTGAAGATGAGAATGAGAGGGGAGGAGGTGTTCAGTAGGCCGAGATACCTGCGAGTCGATCTCTTATGACATACCGCGCATAACACGTGACCCTGCCGCGCAGGTCAAGTTGTGCGATCTTTCTCAGCCTCGTCTACACTCTCTGCCGACGGTCCTCCACATTGGTCGAGAGGGCTTCGTCAGCCTGAGACCGTTGCGCACGACTTGCACCCTTTATGCTCCATCACTTAATCGATACCTGCCCCATCGGATCTCCGTAGCTCGAACTGGAGAGTGTATACTGCATCCTGCAAGTGGCATCTTAGAGTCGACGATTGACAGTGCGGTGTTACTCTACCCAAATGAGGTGACGGAAAAGCAACATGGACATCGATGTAGTTCGGTAGCGAGTGGGTGCTGAGCGCTGAGCGCCGAGCCGTGGCGGCTGCGAGCATGGACACACACCTTGGATAGTCTGGAACTGGCCCGTTGGACTCGGGAGGCCAACGCATACTGGTTTGCATATTGTCTCAAAAATTGCCCGGCAACAATTGGCACAATGCCCATTGTACGAAGAGTAACATGTAACATGTAAATCAGACGGAGGGCCATACGTACGCATGATCGCGGATGAAATGCAGTAGGAAACATAGAAATCACGCTGCTACCATTTTGCATGCAAGATATGGTCTGCCACCCATCAGCCCCCAATGCACAAGAGACCCGAGTAACCACGATGGACCGACTACGCGGGAGTTTAGCAGGTAGCTTATACCTTGAAACCACGCGACTTTCGGCGACCACGGCCCCGCTCGAACTAGGCGAAAGTCGTGAGCAACTAACTCATAACGTACAGGAAATAAGACCGGAACCTACTTTGCGGCCCTTGGAGAGGGTATAGGGCTTCTTGTGCTTGTGAGGACCCATACCAAAGTGCTTGACCGCCTCGCGCGTGTTGCGCTTCCCGCGGAGTAAAATAGTGTTTGAACCAGTTGGCGCGCGCAGTGCGAGCTGGTCAAGGGTGAGGACCTCACCACCTGCTTTGAGGATACGTTCCCGGGCAGCAGTCGTGAATCGCAAGGCTGCGATAGAGAGCTTCGGCACTTCAATCAGGCGGACGTCATCCGTCACTGTGCCAACGGCGACAATAACCTGGCTGTCGCGGTCAGTTGCGCTGGAGGTCTCCTTGACGATGCGTGAGAGGGAAATCGGAGGGCGGTTGATTTTTGAGAGGAAGAGGCGGTGGAGGATGACCTATCGACGCAAGTAAGTCCCTTCATGGGAGTGTATGAACACATAGGACGAAACCTTGTTGAAGGAGGAATCCGTGCGGCGGGCGAGGAAGCGGTACAACTGGAATGTGCATAAGTCATGTCTCTCGTCGAGCGCGATGGAGTGATCGTTGCGTACCTTGACAAGCAAGAGTAGATAGGGATCCTCACTTGCAGGGGCCGTCCGGCTGCCCTTCTTGACGTGGTGTTTCTGGATATCGATACCCTGGCATATACCGCGTCACATCCTGGTCCCGACGTCGTCCCACAAGATGCACTCACCATCTTGCTCTTGCGGCGGTCTGCAGATTCAGGGAGGCAGCCAGGGAACTGTAGCTGGCGGCGCAGCTGTGGCTGAAAAACTGTGTACGTTCTGAAGATAGAGTTTCACGCCACTTCGCGGAGGTCGAATTACAGTCCCGCACAGCCAAACAACGCCACACACCTCTCGCAAAAACCAACCACCATGGTGCGTACGCGTCCCCCTTTGTCGCTGTCGTCGTTCTCCTCGTCGTCAACGGCATTACTAACCTCGTCGTCTTCATGAATGTTGAACAGTACGGAGACAACGTTGCCCCTCCCGTCGACCCTTACTCGGACGCGTACAACGACGCACCTCCCGCAGCCCCTGCCCCCGCAGTAGATCCGAGGGACCGCGACCTCCCTCCTCCTCGTGGCCGCTCTCGCTCTCGCAGCCCTGTGAGGGGAGCTGGCCCCCCTTCAAGCTTCCGCAGGTCGCCAGCTCCTCGTCGCCCGGCCCATGCACCAATTGTTCGTGCTGCTGTGTTTTCGCATTGTTCGAGTATGCTTACCTGGCGAAGCAGGCGCCCAATCCCTCGAATGTGCTCGGGGTATTCGGCTTGAGTATCCGTACTACGGAACGCGACCTCGACGATGAGTTCAGTCGCTTCGGCCGTGTCGAAAAAGTTGTCATTGTCTATGATCAGAGAGTCAGTTGCTCTTTCTCCTCTGTGCGTACCTTTGTCTTAACGTACTTAGCAGTCCGACCGCTCTCGCGGGTTTGGTTTCATCACCATGTCCACCGTTGATGAAGCCTCTAGGTGCATTAAGGAGTTGAATGGTGTGGTAAATTTCTGTGATCTTTCGTCACCATCTAGCGGAGATTGACTTGTATTCTAGGATCTAAATGGTCGTCGAATCCGTGTCGACTATTCCGTGACCGACCGTCCCCATGCGCCCACGCCCGGCGAGTATATGGGACATCGTCGCCGACGTGGCCGGGATGCGTATCCAAGCCGCGATTTTCGGGACGACAGGTATGATGACTACCGGGACCCAGTCCGCGACTCTCGCCGTGATCGTGATCCCTACGCGCGGCGCGACGATAGGGATCGTGACAATTATGGGAGGGACTCTCGTGACTGGCGCGACCGTCGCAGCCCCCCTCCTCGCAGCCGCTATTCGCCGGATTACAGGAGGCGCAGGAGCTATTCTAGGAGCCCTCCTAAAGGCAGCAGCCCCACTCGCGTGCGGGATTATGACGCCTCCTCCAGTGCGCTGCCTCCTACCAACGGAGATACTTCTCGTTGGTAAATGTTTTGGCGAGCTGCGCGTCTGGGCACGGAATGTGTCAGTTCATGGAAATGGCAGTCAATCGGGCAGATCACAGGCGAAGGCTGAACAGTCCAAGTGATGAAGAGCGTCGCGGTCTTCCACCGCAAGTGCAGCCAATTTCCTCAAGTTTTCATTTTGCCTCCTGGTCTCCATTCCTCCACGTTCTCAATAGCACAAAAGAAAACCCAAGTTGTCAAGTTTGCTTTCCGTACCGCCTCCAATGTCTTGTAATCTCGTTCGCTCTCCTACGACTACGTTGAAATAGTTGCAAGTTGCAAGTGCAAGGAAGGCGCTTCCGTGAATGAACGTACGCATGGTAGCCATGTTCCGCGGCGCCTCAGGTCGCTATTGTTGTCAACGTATACCGCTTTTGGAGAGAACAAATGCACAGCCTTCGCAATTGCGGTAATGTCGTTCTTCTACTGTACTGACAGCTGGTTAGGCGTCGAAGATGCTCCGTGAAATCGGTATAGCGTTGCAAAGCTCGTCTGGCCAGGAAGGCAAGCTGCCAAGTTGGAATTATTTGAAGTTGTTTCCAAGGAGACCACAAGATGCACCGATGTAAAATCCAAAGTGTCGAACAAGGCGTGAAGACGCTTGTGGGTCCGGGGAGCGCGCGTGGCCCATTCTTTTGCTATTCTTACACGGTTTGGGCGTCCTTTGTTGCGCATTGTTCCGTGGACGCATACCTTTGGCAGGACGATAGCCGTCGGCGATTTGGGCAGCGTGGTGTGGTACGTGCCACGCCAACAGCTGCAGGTGAGTTTTAATTGTGGTATTCGCTGTAGCTAGTTTGGTTGTAGCATGTTGCGAACCTCCAATATATATTCAGTCGCTTTTGAACGGTGTTTAAGCACTTGATCATGAGTCGCTATAACATGATATTGCCGGTACAGCGTCTTTCGCACTCGTAGGGGCTCGTAACATATATTTCGCGATAGATCTTCTGCGCATGGAGATTTCGCCGCTTTTAGCAGAAGTCGTCCGCGAAGCTCTCAGGCCGGCGCTTCCGCTTTCACATCTCCACTATGCCTCGGATTCGCAAAAGTCAGTTGCTGTCCTTCATGTGGATATGTTGTGTCTGATCCGATGTATCAGAGCCGAGTAAGCGCGGTTCTACTAACCAACGCGAGAAGATCAAGCACAAGGCCGCCGAGACGAGAAAGAAGAGGAAGAAGGACGCGAAGAAAATCACTCAGTGGAAAACAAGTACGCACCACGTTTCTGCATTATACGTGATCATCTCAGCCGTTTCTCGTACACCTCAGAACATCCAAAGGACCTTGGAATCCCGAACAACTTCCCGTACAAGGACCAGATCCTTGCGGAGGTTGCGGAAGAGCGGAGACGGGTGCGTATCTAGCCATGAGTATATTTTCACCTCTGACGGTTGCGGTTGTACCTAAGGCTGTGGAAGAGAAGGAGCGTCGGAAAGCAGAGAAGAAGTCTGCAAAGGCGAAGATTTCCTCTGAGAACGGGTCTGACGCCGAGTCTGAGGTAGCCTTCGACGGAGTGAGCGCAGTGACCGGAGGGGCGACAAAAACTTCCAGCGGAAAGGAGAAGGCCTTGCAAGTTGACGCGAAAGATGTCGAAGAAGACGTCCCCGTCCTCATCAACAGAGACCTGTCTGACCTGAAGACCGTGCTCGATATTGCGGACGTCGTCATTCAGGTGCTGGATGCTCGAGATCCGCTGCCTTATAGGAGCACACACATTGAGGAAATAGCGGGAGAGAAGAAGATGCTACTTGTGCTCAACAAAGTCGGTGTGTGATATTTTCGCACTCAATCGCATAGTGCCTGAAACAGTGTTCTCTCAGATGCCTGCCCTCGGGAGGCGATCGTATCTTGGGTTGCTACTCTCCGTGGCCAATGCCCTACTGTACTCTTCCGCTCTGCCTCGGCATTTCTCCCCAAGGCAGTGGAACCATCGAGCAGAGGAAAGGCCAAGGATCCCGTGGACGATGCATGGGGTGTCGACGCTATCCTCAGCTGTCTAGGATCGTGGGCGCAGCAAAAACAAGATGAAAAACCTCTCGTGGTCGCGGTCGTTGGAGTCGCGAATGTAAGCCAATGCCTTTTCTCTGAATAAATCATGCGTTGACATTATTTCAGGTGGGTAAAAGCTCAGTTATTAATTCCCTACTAAAGAGGGCGGCTTTGGTTATATACACTGTAAATTCGACTGCACTGGAAGGATCGACCACAACGACGCATCCTCAAGAAGTGGAGATCGAGTTTGAAGGAAAACAAATTCGACTCATTGACACTCCAGGAGTATCATGGCATCCTGTACCAGACGATAGTCGGGAGACAACTGAAAAGATTCGTGCGCAGGACATCTTGGTAAGGAGCAGGGGCAGGATTGAACGTTTGAAAAATCCTGTGCCAGTCGGTACGTGAATTACAGAAAACAGTCATTCGCCTTTCTAACGGCTACTCCATGTTTTAGTCGCTGCAATTGTTTCTCGTTCCGATCGCGAAGACATTATGCTATTTTACAACCTTCCGGCTTTTGCAGACAGAGACACAAATGCCTTCCTATCAGGTGTTGCTCGTTCAAACGGGCTAATCAAGAAGGTGTGTGTCTCTCGCACGACAATCGGCACGCAGCACTCTCACTGTGCCTCGTTCCCAGGGTGGTGTCCTCGATCTCTCGGGTGCTTCTCGCATTGTCTTGCGAGACTGGAGCACCGGCAAGTTCCTTCGATACACGATGCCTGCTTCTCCGGCTCCTACATCCGCTTCCGATACTGCGCCTGCGGAGGTGTACGCGAAAGACGAGGAGGTTGTGTCCAGGCTATTCACACTGAAAGAGATGCGCAGAGCAGGGGGTGCGATCAAGATGACAGCGGGCCCAGTGGAGACACGAAAGGTTGTCCTGGATGCATCCTGGATGGTCTCTGACGATGAGGATGGTAATGAAGGTGACGAGGAGGAAGACGAAGATGAATTGGACGAAGATGTATCTGGAGGTGTTGACGAAGAGGATGAAGACCAGGAGAGCGGTGGTGGAGATGTTGACGAGGACGAAGATGAAGACTCGGATGACGCACCGGTGCGCCCGAGCGGCAAGCGGAAACGAGGTGTCACCAAGATCTCAACACCTCCACCTCGACCACTGAAAAAAGTGGCTTTCTCTGCGGAACCCAAGGGGACCAAGCAGGCTCGTGCAGCAGCGGGTGCGAAAGGTTCACGAACCACTACGCTGGAGGCTCGATCGAAATCTGCCGAGGATAAACCCGTCGTGAAATCCAAGGCCGCCGTCGCCGTGGACAAGGCAAGCAAAACGAAACACGCCATGAAAAAGACTGCTCGTCATGCTGTATCACAGAAGGTAGCAAATTCCTCATCCAAAAACACGGCACCTCGCGAGGGCGAGGAGGTGTATGATTTCAAGAAGTTCTTCTGACGGGACAAATCCGTTCCTACATTACGATGCATAAGATTAATTACATTAGTCGTGGAGGTTTCATTACCGTCTACCGTCATTGTCTATCGGGCGACTGGTGGGTATAAATCAGGAAATGCGGGAGGTGAGGAAGGCTATATGCGTATGCAGTGAGAATGCTGGGGAACCGTGTGAGTAAGTATGCAAGCCGATATCCACGCAACTTAATGAAGTGTCCACGGTCGTAGCGTCTGCAGCCAAGGTAGTAACCCGCAATACGCATTTTGAACCATGCGAAAATGAAGTAACCAAACAATATCCATGCAATGAGGACCACGGTGGATCCATGATTAATCGCTGATCTTCACGACACAAGTTCCTCCATCCTTGAGGACACCCAGAGGACCAGCTGCATCCCTCCGGAAGACTTCCGGCGCCCTTTCAAGGGGCAATACCTTCGTATCCTGGTCCTCCGGGTCTCCGAGGCCTGCCCATGGGCGCATCACACCCTCTTCGACCATGGCGACCACTGCAGCTAACGTGTCGCGCACATCTTCGCCTTCGAAATCCACATCCGCCGCCACGCTCACCCACGTGTAACCCACAGTCCGCTTCACACTCTTCTTGCCGTCATTAAGGACCTTGATGGGGGCGGTTTTGCCTTGACTACTGGTGGTGATGGCACGGCGGAGAGAACGGAAGCCCGACTTTAAGTTGTCCTGTGCCTTCGGGATGGCGCGGTTTGGCGTGTCTCCGACAAGTGTAGTGAATTGCGCTTGTGATGGACTGAACTTCGATGTCTTCTCGGGTGCATCTGGGTGTGCTTGTAACACAGAAAAAGCCGGAGACGATTTCGACGCATGTCGGGCGGTCGCGGCTGAGGGGCTTAGTAGCAGCATTCTCTGGGCCGCCTCCCAAATCGCTACGCCGCCCACTGTGTCCAGGACGGCATCGAATGACCGGCACTCGTCCGCAAAACGCTGGAGCACCTCCACGGGCGTCCCAACACAGACCTCCTCAGCACCCCAATCACGGATGCGTGTCTCCACCCTCTCTATACGAGACTCATCTTGAGACGTTCCCTCCGTCGAACTTTCCAGAATATCACACACAGCGGACTCAGGGACTTGAACAGACACTCGAACTCCTTTTCGCGCCAGTAGCTGGAGTGCCAAGCAACCGGGCCCGTCGTGGCCTTGGAGGATGAGCATCCGCGGACGCGACTCGAGGTCACGCGTCCTGGGCGTTGAAAGCACATCAGCGAACGAACGCACAGCACGGTGTGCAGAGAGGCCGATGAGCGGAAGTAGAGCGAGTTCCTCAAGCGAAAGAGGAGCGGGTGGGACGAGTGGCGACGGAGTGAATGTAGGATGCTGCTGTGAGGGCAACGACATACTGCGAGTATGCTTCCGGCGACGCGGTGGAAAGAGTGTGATGGGGCGAGCACACGGCTGAGGAGAACGGAACACTCTGTGCCGCTCGACAAGAATGAACTCGGCAAGGGCACCGCACTGCCAGGAACGTCTCCGTCAGCATACTTTAGACCGAGAATCAAGGGAAAGCGTAACCACCTTCCGCACGTCCAATAATCCAACAACCCACTCACCCCTCTTACACACTTCATCCTTCACCTCGAATCCACACTCCATTGCGCGTCCAACAAAACTACGTCCAGGAATAAACCCAGCTCGTCCCTTCCTCAAGGAGCCTGCAGATGCCCCACCTGAACCGTCGTCAATCTTCTCCTGGACCAACAACGAATCAAGACCGTCCAAGGCCACCGCAAACACCTGCACAAGTACATGTGATGGCGGGCAAAATGACGGCGGCGGAAGGTGCGAAGTAAAAGCCACAGGAAGTGGAAGCGTGCTGCGCAAATGGGCCGGCGTCATACTCTCTTTCCTGTTCACGCTACGCCGGCGCTCTGGCTTCTTCCCCTTCAATCCAAATGACAGGGTCAGCGAAAAGCCGCGACGGTTCCCAGGGCGGGACCGCACGGCGAGACTAGCTCCACGGACAACCTCAATGGTAGCCATACTGCTCTGCGCGACGCCCGCGCGCACGAGGTCGACCTTACCGTCTCTCATTGCTTTGCCCGTCTCGTTTGCATAGTTGGCACGTGGGAGGGTGAGACTCGTGTATCCCGTAGGCGGACTATTCGACACGGACCCTGGGAAGGGCGTCGGGATGGAGTACGTGGGAAGGGAAGACGACATGGTAGATGATTCAGAGGGCACGAGCGGGGAACGCACGGGCGAGGAAGGACGTGAGCGCAACTGTCCTCGCAAACGGGCATAGTCCTGCAGCATAGCATCAGGTGACTCATCCAACTGCGACTGCTCATCAGACAGCATATACTTGTCCATGGGGTTAGTATTAGACAGGAAGAGGGGATGGAGCGGCCCTGGCGAGGACGGCGCAGTGGAAGACGGGGTCAACGAGCTTAGTGACTCCGTGAAATGTACAGGAGTCGGGGCACGACTCGGCTCACAGCTGCTCGGAGCCGTACTGTACTCGCTTTCGTCTTCCTCCCACAATGCAGACATACGTCCGCGCGACTGACGGTGCGAATGTCTGCTTGAGCGGTCGGCTTTCGATCGTGAGCGCGCACCGGGCCGGGGAGTTGCCTGTGGGAAAGTGGTCGGCGGCTCCAGAAAGTGCGACGTTCCTGTCGGTGAACCGGTAGGGATAGGAGGAAGGAGGTCAGGATGAAGCGGACGCGACATGCGCCGCGGGGACGATGTGTTCGTAGAAGTCATCTTTGCCGTGGACATCTTCACTTCGTTGGCCCAGTCCTCATCAGTGTACATGGTCATACGAGCCTCTACCTGTGAACGACGACGAGTAGCCATGGCGTCGCCCTCCATATTATTGCAGGAAGGCAACGACGATATAGATAAAGGCCTTAGCCTCACAGGCGACTCACTCCTAGCGGGAGAATCAGACACCAGCGATACTGTTTGTGAGGCCGTTGTGGTTGTGGACTGCACAGCTTCCTCGGGTTGCTGCGCTGGTTGATTGATTGGACTCGGAGACGGCGCAGACCGATGAGGCGATGGTGAGCGCTGCGGACTTGTTGAAATGGCTACGGTCTCTACCACGTCCTCGCCTGGCTTGAGCGCACCATGGTCGGAACTGAGCGGTGTGGTAATGCGCGTTGATGTCGTCGCGCATGACGATGAGAACGAAGACCCAGCCTCGTCGTGGTCCGTCGACGAAGAGGCGTGGGAGGAGAGAGAGGAGTCGGACGGGGTGCGAGAGACAGGCGTCGCCACCGTTGTATCCAGTTCCGGGGGTGCCGCTGCGGAATGGAGAGGAAGAAGGGCGTTGGCAAGGGCATGGGAGTCGAGCAGCAGGAGTGTGGAGCTACGAGACGCACGTGGGGAAGAATACGTCGAGGAGCGAGGAGTGTAGAACATGTCGTCCTCTGCTGCATCGCCGTCGAGGGCGAGCTCGGCGGTACGAGTGAAGTCGACCTGGTGTCGGTCTGTCCGGAAATATTGTAGTGGGTTTAAGTAAGAAGTATGTCCATGTTGCGCCGGAGGTGCAGTGTGAAAAGAGGCGATTTGGCGGATAAGGGATCGTTTGGGAAGAAGCTTTATCACGGACAGAACATCACAACAAAAATACGATAGTAAGTGGCTACCCAGAATAGGCAAGATGGAGTAACGAGGTGCGGTACTCACATCAGAATCCGTTGTGCGCTCTTTCTGGAAGTGAACGGACCTAGTGGACCCTTGGAACGTCCGGGGCGGGGAGTGGACGTCAGAATTCGGCACAACCTGAGCAGAGACGTGTTCAGACAGAACAGAGGGGCTGACAGAGCTTGTGGGAGGAAGGCCCGGAAGCAGTGATGCCCCAGGAGCTTCGTGGCATTCTGTGCGTGTGGTAGCTATGCGAATCAGCTCGTGCTTCGAAGAGTGGTACTCCTTCTGTTGAGGAAAAGAATAAGTTTGAGAAGGTCTTCCGAGTAGAGATTGTATGAGAGTTGGCTTGGGCATCGTCAGGGACGACGTCAAAAAGTGGGCTGAGGACGGTGTCGATGACGGAGGGGAAACAAGCATTGTCAGCCACAGAACGCACGCCTCGCTCCACGCGGGCGCGCTGCGTCAGCCCAAAGCGTCAGCCAGGCCGCCACAATCCTCAGCCTAGAAGCTTTTCCGACGTCCTCCTTCCAAGCTCTTGCAATCGTCCTGAGTAGGTTTTGGATACCTAGCGTCTCAACTGGCGTCTGCACTGGGTGATACCCCCGGGTTTGTTCCTCGTTCACAGGCGCTGACGCACTTATCGAAGCTAATCTACGTGAGTTCCGTCGTGCTAACCGTCGCGAGCTCGGAGTCCATTCCGCTTCCAACCAGCATTGCAATCACATCAACACGTTCGTGGTCGCATACCCTGTTCCCTGCCTATCAATTTCCCTATCTGTGACATGAAACTGGTGGTATAGCTTCAAATTCTGTCTTCCAGAAGACGTCACCAGGGCCGTGGTGAGTGATCCATTTCCGCGAACCATTCAACAGGTCCTCACATTCTGCTCACACGCAGTACTTGTATCTATACAAACTTCTATGCATTGCACCCTGCGGATACCGCTGAATGCTTCCACACATTCAAATTGAAGTCCAAAATTGATATCGCGCACACGCTGTTCAACATATAAGTACCAGCAATTATAGACGGAAAATTATCAACTCGGCGCCGGGATCCAGGACCGTGCCACTTTCGGCGCCGTGCACTGCTGCAGGTCGAGCTGTGGGGCCGCCGCGCAGGAACCACGTTCTTCGTTCCATCGAAGAGTGGGCGCGCGGAAGGCGGGAGCCTGATCAAGAAGCCACGTTGCAAATGTGCTTATGGCGGCCTGTATGCGATATGTCCACTGCCCCCGGTTTCGACGAACAAGGTCTGTCACAATCTGCCGACTTCACCTGTTTACGCTCGGGATCTGATGTGAACATACGTATCTGTTGTGTGTACGCCGACGCACAGTGGGCGGCATGTGGCGGTGTTCTCACTGCTATGAGGAGCAAACACATCAAAGACTAAAAAATGGAATAGAGAACAGAACAGACGCTGCAAGAGCGAGCCATCAGGGTGGTGAGTCATAGCATGTTCGATTTGGTAAAAGGCGGTTTTACAATAGCCGCGATAATGCTGATAGTTGAAGAGGCAGTGATCACACTCGTCAACATCAGAGTGTATTTAAACATCGCCCAAATTGTGCCAGCGGTCTCGCCGGTCGATGGCATCGATTCACTTCGATTCTGCGAGATTTCCAACATGTCCGTCAGAGCGAGAGCTGAATATGCCTGCAAGTTGGTGCAAAGTCGTCATGATGTCAGACGCGATCGCGATCGAAGATCTTCGAGAAGGAGATCTGCAGGATACATCCGAAATTATCAACTCTGATAAGATAAGATCTGTCTATCACGCGACTTCAGCGCGACGCTCTCCCGGCTTCAGGACATCTCAAACGAACCGCTTTCAAAAGTCAAAGTCAGAAAATTCCAGCAGATCGCATTGATACTCCCATGCTTGCAGCAATGGTCGTGCCAGCACCGCGGCCTGTGGCATATCCGAATCCCGTCGTGATATGGATGAAGGTTACCTTCATTAGGAGCTTCTCGCAACGCACGTGTGGAAAACATTGTCGCCATTGGCCTTGCTCTATTCGCGAACCCAGCCCTGGGCATGAGGGTGGAGCTCTAATGAACGGCGGCGTGCGGGGAAGTGAGTGCTTACGGAATTCCGCGTATTCCAGGCATGTGCTCAACAAACCTCCGTGCGGGCTGGTACATCCCTGAGATAGAACCTCTAGCGTCGAACGTTCTCTACTGTGTGTTGCGATAGTGGTAGCATCACCTGGGAAGCCACCATGCATGAAGGTGCGTGTACTGTGAAATCGATGCGTGATGTGGCGGTTTTCGGAGCGGATAAGGTGCGTTCTTGGCTCTCTCCGGTTGATATGAGCTAATTGACATTACCCGGGCTGTGATACGATAACTCGATGATTCGCTGCTTTCTCCCGGACTCTATTGTGTATCTCAGCATGGTGATGCTGCATTAAGCAGCTTATGGGTGGTATCTGTCTAGGCAGAAAACTCTTCAGCTTGATTCTACTTCATCAATGCTATCTCCTGTCTGCGGTGGTAGTACTAGTGGTATCCTCGAGTCCAGAGTCCTAGCGACGAGAAGGCGAAACTTTGAAGCATCGCTCTGTTCGTCGACCCTCGGACCTTCAAAGTTGACCCTCACTACCTCTTGCATACTTGTTGAACTTCAATATCATTGTCTTCCCACTGTTTAATTGGCCATCTGTGTTCTGCTTGGCTTTCTATTCGACCGCGTGTGACCAGCCTACTCGGCGAGGGTTCCAAGGGTGGATTGCGCTGCTTAGGGCATTGGTGTGTATTACCGCCATCAAGCGAGCGTAGTCGGCGATGAAGGCGAAGGTGCTTACAGAAAGCTCAATGGCCTCGTTTATGTCCTATCTGTTCAGAGGAATCAAGTGTCAGTGTCTCACTTGAAACCCTCCCGGAATTGTGTCGCTGAGTGAATGTAAGTTTTGTCAGCCTTACAATGTCACCATTTGTCGCCCGTACAAATTTATTGACAAAGTTTTGCATATGTAAATAGAACTGAATAGGAACTCAATTTGAATTGGCCAATTGAATTTGTCACTGCAGCAAATGTAGACCTTGTTTTGTCTGCAAATGGTTACTTTGTAGTGAGCGCAAATTCATCATTTGTCGAGGTGGCAGTTAGTCTCTGGTGTCTCGTGTTCTAGTGGGCGAGTCTTATATGACCCTCCTCAATTTGATCAAAGGTGTGGCTATCATCTAGTTGTTCAATTTCCATCAGTCTTCGAAACATCTGACATCAAGGCGAGCTATTGGCTAGGTACCCGAAAGTCCTTCTCTGTTGTGGGCTTGCTATCAAAGGAACGTATATTGTTGCACATCATCGCAACTTCTGAACTCGCGCGGGTCTCTTTACACAATTTCCCGCCTACGGGAGTCATTTCGATATATCTCATATTCGATAGCTCATTGTGTCTCACTCGTTCGTCGTGTAAAATTGGAGATGTTGAGCAGAGATACTTAGTACATGCTACTCTTATAATATACATTCTGGCTGTCCCTCAGAGCTTTGACTTCTGCACCGCAGCCTGTCAATGGAGAGTCTTGTCAATAATGATGGACAAATAGGTTTCTCTTTACCGGCTCTATTGCAACCAAGCTTGGAATTTTTGACTGTCCTTGCAGAACCTCCAATGGATGTGCGGATGTGCGCCAGGACGAGAGTCACTGTACCGCCACAATCCTTGCAGAAGTCTGGCGACACACGTGCGCGATCGACAAGAGATCTTGGATCCACCCACACTGCGCCGAGCACAGAGAACTCCCACTCTTTCTTGTGTCCCTACTCCTTGCATAGAGGACTATACATATTGTACCTTCACTTCGGATTCAAGGTCTATACAATAGTCTTCTCCCGACGCTGTCATCATAATGCTTCGCGGTAATTCTGTAAGGATATTGACGGGTTCGTCCTCCATTCACAGTCTGCCGTATATTTGGACTAATAGTGTAAATTTTCCTCAGGGAACAGTCACCCCGAGCTCGCCCATGCGGTGGCCGAGCGGTGAGGCAGCTTCAAGTTTTCCTGCGGCAGCCACGCAGGAGTGTGTGGGCGGTAATTCACCACTGTGCTACTTAGGCTCAACGTGCCCTTGACACCCTGCAAGGTCAAAAAGTTTTCGAATGGCGAAATTGGCGTCACAATATCGGAATCTGTCCGCGACGAGGACGTGTTCATCATCCAGTCCGGATGCAGCGATGTCAACGACAACCTGATGGAGCTCCTCATCCTCATCTCTGCCTGCAAGGGGTCGTCTGCGAGACGCATTACCGCGGTTATCCCGTGCTTTCCGTATGCGAGGATGGACAAGAAGGACAAGTCTCGTGCACCCATCACTGCGAAGCTCGTTGCGAACATGCTGGCGGTTGCAGGATGCGACCATGTCATCACAATGGATCTCCATGCTAGCCAAATTCAGGGTTTTTTTGATTTCCCTGTGGACAATTTGTACTCCGAACCCCTGATGATTGCATACATCAAGAGGCACATAGAGGATTGGAAAAACGGCATCATCGTGAGTCCAGATGCGGGCGGTGCAAAAAGGTAGAGATCGCACACCATGTTCCCCTTATACTTGGTTAATCCTATGAAGAGTTACAGCAATTGCAGATAAGCTGGGTGTTGAATTTGCCTTGATTCACCGAGAGCGAACCGGGAATTCAGCTAAATCGCCTGAAAAAATGGAGGTTCTTGTAGGCGACGTTCGCGGCAAGGTATCACCTTCATCTGACTCCAATGCAGTGCACTCACACTAGCTAGGTTGCTATACTCGTAGACGATATGATAGATAGCGGGGTTACGCTCATCCTCGCTGCTCGCTCACTTAAGGAGAATGGAGCAGAGAAGGTTTACGCCCTCATTTCACATGGTGTGTCTCACCTCCAGCGCAGTTTTCTTTCCTGCCCCTGCGTTGAAATTCATTCCTGGTTTGGCTGGATAGGATTGTTGTCCGAGACCAATATGAACGCGATCCAAGAGCTTCCCATAGAGGAGCTTGTGGTACGCTGGCTGTCTCAAGTTCTTTGGAGCCATATATTCATGCACGACGACAGGTTACCAACACCATACCGCAGGAACAGCACTCGGTCGGGTGCGCAAAGTTGGTCACCATAGACGTGAGCCCGACGATCGCGGAGAGCATTCGCAGGACTCACAACGGAGAGAGCATCAGTCTTCTCTTCGGAGATTGGACAGGCCAAGGCGTAGGGTTTTGAGTGGGATGAAATGGCCTGCCGTGGATATGCTATCCTCAGGACTATATCAGTGGTACGCACTGTGGAAGACGTATTCTTTCGGTTACTTCATAACCGCTCGTACGTGTACAAGAATTCGCCAATCAATCGCACTTTCATGCAGTGTCCATGGTACAGCCGCTCCTGCCGCTGGTCCTCTCGAGAATATACTATGCGACGGCTTTTAATCCTATATCGCAGTGTCCGACTCGTCCTCAACTTGTATTCGCATCCTCCAGTCAGAGATGTCCTCGTCCGGTTCTTCCGTCGCCCACGCAACATCCTCATCGTCCTCATCATTCCTCTGCAATTCATTCCTTCTCGCTACCTCGTCTTTATCATCGGTCAATCCGTCGATGTCTACTTCCTGCTCCTCTGCTTTCATCTTGCGCAGCGCGAGCTCGCTCTCTTCTTCCTACAGATACAAGAAGAAATACTGAGTAGTTGCTGTGCAAGCTCGAGTGACGGAGCGCACTATGTCAAATTCTTCCTCTCGCTCCTCGTACTCGACGTTCTCGTCTACTTCTTCAAATCCGCCAGCGAATGCACCCCACCGCTCAGGTGTCGGGCAGTGCCATATGAGGATGTTGCCTTGGTTCGTCGTAGACGCAATTGCGGGTTTGTGTGGGTGCCACTATCTCTGCAAGTGAAAATCAAGGAATACACGGGGAAGGAAGATGATCGTACGTGAAGGTATAGAAGCGGCTCGCGACCACCATCTAACGCGCTGGCAAATTGGCCCTCGTTAGATATATCCCATATGTATATCTTGTGAGCCGCATTATCGGCAGCACCTGTACGATCAGACGATCGGATAACAAGGCCGAGAAAAAAATGCGAAATAATCTGAAACGCACCACCTGCTAGCCACTCGCCATCAGGGCTATACGACATGGCGTGCCACGCTGTTTTGTTGATGGGGTCGTTGAAGCGGTGTGTTGGCTCGAGCTCCTGCTCGATATACTCTCGATCTGCCGTCGGAGGGGCATACGAGGGTACGTTGAACTGTCTGAGAGTGCGGTCCGACGAGTTTGTGACTAGGCGGCTTCGCAGAACGTCTGATTTAGTTCATGCATCTAGTCCCTCCGTTTCTCACAAACCTACCGTCCACTCTTTGTAAAGTCAAGACCTCGCATAATTCCTGCACCAGATATTTTGTGACGTGCTACCATCTATTTACGAGGTTGAGAAATGACCACACAGATTGGGGAGCAAGCTCACCGATTTGGTGCGTGTATTGAAAACGAGGATTGAGCCCGATGTTGTTCCAATAAATACGTGTTTCCCAGAGGGGTCAAAGCGAGCTACTGTCATTGCGGATCTAGAAATAGCGTATTAGGTCTATATTGTTTGGTAGGAATTGCTGGCGGACCTTTGTTTGCTCATTTGCCCCTCCTCGTCGCTGTCGTCTTGTACTTCACACAACTCGAAGCGGCCTCTGTATTCTCTACGGAGGTCAACAACGTACGCCTCTCCGCTTCCCAATAACACGAGTAGAATTTTACTGGGGAACGAAGTAAGTTCGAAAATGATACATGAGACGGGTGTACAGTCATACCTGTTCCGAGGGTGGAACGACGCCGACACAACAGGTGCGTCGAACCGCAGTACTTGGCGGCGTACAGGCTCGGTGTCCGACGCAAGGTCCCATATAATGACGTTCCAGTCCTTCGACGAGGTCAGCACGTAGCGCGAGTTACGCGACCAGCTGCCACCCCGCAAAATCACGAATGAGAACACACTTACAAGGCCAGAAGGAACGGGAACGAGCGTCCACGCACTCTACGCTAGTGACACCCTTGACATGACCCTCGAGGTGCCGGATGGCCGCCTTGGTGTCCAGGTCCCAGATGACTGCTGAGCCGTCTGATCTTCCTGCTGCAACGAACCGCCCAGAAGGGTCAAAACGCGCGAACGAAGCATAGGCGTCGAGTGACGACTGTACGGCCGTCGGGTATGTAATGTTGAATGGGTCTGCAGAATGTTCGATGTTGAAATCGTGCAAAACATAATGAAAGAAACGGACTTGACAATGTTCCATTCATCCTGTTGCGTTTCTTTCTATCTCTCAAAGAATTGGATCTGAAATATAGCGAATGAACGAAATCCTGAGTATCAAGGAGCGGGCGGTGGGAATATGGTAGCGGAAAGCAAGATCGCAGGAGATCGCAGGCAGACGCGACGCGAACTTGTCAGTGCACTTCGCTCGCCACATGCATGCGTTTAGCTATGGCCGACACCCTCCAACCACTGCTGGATGACCTCACAATCCCGGAGGACTTTACCCGATATGACACTATCTCAGAAACAGATATAATCGTGCGTCTCGAGAATTGGCGGCGACGGGCCTCCACCGTGCTTTCAGATCTTCGCGACCACCTCGAGGCCCGTCAGGCTCTAACCCTCGATGAGCAGGCGAGGGTAGTCTCTGCAGTTGCGCTTTTTGAAGATGAAGGCCCGTGGGTCCTTCAGCCTGCAAGAGAACGCGCTCTAGGTGCCGTATACCAGATACACAGGTGTTGGTCATGCATGCTCTGTCTGACCGCCGTGAGTGTAACAGAACTCCTGGAACGATACGCTACACCGAATGTCGAGCTGTTGGAGCGTATTCTCAATCGCCACATAAGGCCCCTCTTCCAGTCAAATGCCCACCCCTCGCTGAATCCGTCGACTGGCCGAACGCTACCCCGTCCTGCAGGCGGATCCCTTGCACAACAGGATTACTACGAAGGGCAAGTATGGAAGACTAACCCTGGCTTAGTCAACCTGGTTTCGTGGTGCGTGAAGCACACCGAGGTAAGTCTATGTCGATGTATTGATCGATGTTTCCGGCTCAATTCTCTCACCCAGAGCGAGGTATACGAAAGATTGTGGCATCTCACCATTCCGCCTGTAATGACTCTCCTGGATGATTACGAAACCCGGTACAAACTACGTGGAATCGAAATTGTAGCGGACATGTTGAAGAAGGTGCCTAAAGGTCTTCTGTACCGCACGGGTGTGGACGCGCTACTCTTCTCTGTGTGTCATCTTCGTTCTCGAGCAGTCGATTGTCGCACGTCTCATTCATTTGCGCGTCGATTGCGTGCGTTTGCCTTCCCCAGTCCCTCAAGACGTGCCTGACATTTCTGCAAAACCCTGAGACACCAGACCTCATCCGCTCTGCTGTACGCACCGCGCTGCAGCTCGTCTTGCTTACCACTTCGCCCGACACCATGCAGCGATTCAACCAGCTTTGTGAGATCCTGGGGAATGGTATTATCGGAAGCGTGTGGATGTACGCGACGCTCAACCCTGACGCGCTCGAAGCATCCCTCGAAGTCCTCCCGGAAGTTGTACGCACGCTGGACATCGGTACAGTACGCTACCTCTCGGTAAGCACCTTTCCTCTCCTTCGTTGACCTCCGAAGGTCATCCCCGTATCTGTGTGATCACCTTCTCGGATGTACACTTACGGATCTATGTATGGATCTGTGGCGTGGGCAGGCAATCATTCCGCAACTCGTCTTCCCTCTTCTGCCCGTACCGGAGAATAGCCAGTCCACACGTTTTAAATTGTTATCCGTTGCTGCCCTTGCTGTTGTCATCAGTGTGTGCGCGCCCCGCATGCCCCAGTGGAAGGACAACATTTTGGAAGGCATACTCAAGTGCTGGGTTGGTCTCGTCGATTCTGGAGCGGACGATGAGAGTGAGTGGGAATGCGGCCGCATGCACCAATGCACATCTAACAGAACCCGATGGATTTTGAATTTCTAAGCAGAAACACGAAAGCTCAAGATTGCGTTGAGAGATGTCTGTGCCCGTCTTGCCGACACGTATCCGTCAGTTGTGGATGTACGTTACCTTCCTATGACACTGCGGGTATTGCATGAGTTTGATGTACGCGTCCTCGACAGGTCGAGTATGCACGATTGCTACGAGTAGACTCACAGATGTTCGAGCCGCTCGTGGGGCCCTTACATGACGCGAGTCTGTTCTTCTCCACAACGGCAATCCGTTCAATAAGCTGACTCGGGGCTTTTCCTGCCCAGGACGGGCGTAGCGTAGATCCTACGTATATCTTGCAGCCGTGAAGCCGACCGAGTAATCTGAACTCGTCTTCTCAAGACCTGACGGCAGTTCTTTTTCTCGGAGAGGCTCCTAGTAGCTGGCCTGGCTTTTCGGAACCACATATCACGAGAGAGGTCTATCCGTGCCTTCCTTCTTCTCGATGGGAATGGCGGGAACTTCATGAAGTGTCCCGCACGGGGTAATTCCGTCCAGGATGCAGGAAACAGTATGCACTACCGTGGGTAGATACGTAGTCGCGATGTTCATCAAGTTGTTCGGCACTTCTAGATGTGCAGAATAGGGATGTTGGTTGTAAGGCCCGTCTCCGCCGAGCGTGTATGAATACGTAGCTGTGACTTTCTTGAGGTCTATCATGATAACTTGCGGTACGTACCGACTGTGACAAAGAAGGCACTTGCTGCTGGTGGAGACCAAGTACTGGTCCAGTATGTAAGTGCTGCGATCACCAGCTTAACAGCCAGATCCGCTGGACGGTTGATGGACGTGAGGATGCCAAAAGTGTGCTGCCCAGCGTCCATGCTCGAAAACTTCGGAGTAAGCCTAGTGGCAAGCCTTCATTCCGAATCGGAACGCGGCGTCATGATTGGACATGTGGCTTGGAATGAATGGAAAATATGTCCCACTCCGCGAGTAGAGTGAGCTGCCGTCCCGATAGGTAAGAATTGAGCAGACACCATACACCAGAAAAATATGTATTTCTGGAGTTGTCTGGGTAGGCGCTCGGCGGGAGCCGGGAGGAGTGGCCCGAAATGGAAAAGGCACTCCGGACCGGAAAGAGCCGTGCTGGGTATGATTGCAGCTGCATTAACAGATCTCGGCGCCGGACAGCACTGGACAAAGCTCTGCCATGCTTATGGTTCCGTCCCTTTATCCTCCACCACAACCTACGTGATACCCCCTCCCACCCATGAGTATCTCCGTCGAGGACCTCGTCGCATCCTTCTCCTCAAACCACATCGGCCAGGAGGCCCTCGACCTTGCTGCCTTACAGGTACGTCGCATCACCGCTAACTTGTGTACCCTCTTAGCTGACAAAGAGGTTAGGCTCAACTGACAGAGACCTTAGTAGCGCAGTCCCCTTCGACTCAGGCTATCCCGCATCGTGGTTATGTTCAGCCAGCTAACACACCGTCGCGGACACCATCTTCCAGCATGTGCTGGGATCCGCGTGAGTTTGGCAGGGGCAGGAGTTCTAGCGTGGCGAGCATTGGCCAGCAGCTAGCGAACGAGCGAAAACGGGACTTCGAGGAGACAGAGGAGGATGAGCGTATGGTTGAAGACATGCTCTTCTCAACACCTCCGCCGACGAGCGCCTCCCCACATCACGCGCTTTGCCACTCCTTCTCACACGCCCCGTCGTCTGCGCCACCCACCCGCTCACAGGTGGCACCCGTCACACCCTCGTACGACTACGCACAATACGACTTGCCGTCGCCAAATACCTCGCTCTTCGCGACTACCGACCCGTTCCTTATGGCGCAGCTTCAGGCTGCACAAAACCCCACACCGTCCCCGTTCGCGCAGTCGGGTCGTCCCTCCCCGCACTCGCCATTCCTCGCGCACCAACTGCAGTCTGTGTACTCACACCGTTCCATGCAGGCTGAGGCGGACGTGCACAATCTGTTCGCTGCAGCAGCGGCGTTCTAATTCGTGGGTCGCCCGCATCGCTTCTCATACAGATGTTATAATCTCGGACTTTTAAGATCCCCACGCTCCACTTCGGCTAGACGCTACCCTCATCGCTGCGCGAGGTCTGTTGAGACTCTCTTATGTTGCGCTGCACTTGCGATGTGCAACGGCCATCGGACTACTCCCCTGATGCTCAGTTCAAGTGACAGTCACGAGTACTGTTCACATGCGCAGCATTCGCCTGCGTAGGTACGTACAGCACATCCTGTTCTTTTCATCCAGACCGGTCTTACATTATTTGGCGTCAACGAACTTCTGATCTGGACATCCCCTCGCGTGTTTGCATCCATACAACCCCACTCCACTTTACCTATATGTGCGCATTGCATCGGCATTAGATGTCGCTTGACAGATCTTCTCCCTTGGGTAGTTGTTCTGCGTGATACAGTATTTGTTATAACTTAACTTCTGCGAATATGGTAGATTATAATGTGTATTCCATCTGCTGTCGTTGCACTTCGGCTTGTTTGTTCTGGGGCGTTGCCCGCCTTGTTCGTGCACTGCGTCTGGCGTTTCATGTGCCGTTCCTGGCAGTTCTAGTAGCAAATCTCAATTCAGATGTGTGCAGATCAGGCCTGCATCCCGGGCGCGCTTGCAGTTCGCATGCTCGGACTTTGCGAGCACGTTTGAACGGCGTGCGGGGATCTTCTCATGAGTCTCAGGCCAGTGAGCTATCGCGTGGCCATCGTTGTTCCCTTCCCGGCAGCGGCAGTCTTCTGGCTATAGGCTCGAGGGCGAGCTGGCCTGGCCGAGATGAATGTCCCGCGATGATGGGTAATGTGCGGGAGGTATATTTGGTATCTGAGTACGATGGACGGCTATGCCAGTGGGATGCGATTGTATGGGTACTAGAAGAGAATGAGAAGCGCATGTTTTCAATGTATGGGACATCGCCGAGACTAATTTGATGACTACGGTCCATCATATTCAAGTTCGGTCCTCAGATCCTGTGTATACGCGACGGCGCATGAAATACCAGGGCAGGCGAGCGAACTTGAACATGTCGGCGGAGAGACAGACCTCAGTCATGCGCAGGAAAGGGAGCACTTACCTTACTACACTCACCGAGTCTGGGCAAGAAATTGGAATTTGTACTGGCGCATATGACGGCTTGCAGGTCTATGAAAAACTGAATTTGCATAACTGCCATCTCACCGACGCAACCCCAAGACAGCTTAAAGTGCATGCATGAGGCCCAGCAGTGCGTCCGCTTGATAAAAGCGAATACTATCAACTTGGCAGATGAGTCACAAATGTCCACAAGCATAATACATACTAAGTCCGGTCATCGCCCAAGTTCACAAGTTAACAACTGGTCACGGCCCGAGTCCGCAGCCACCGGAGTACCTGGGACACAGAACCTCTGCGCAGGGACCATGACATCCACACCAAGCACAGCGCGAACACCAGCGTCCTCGCCCATCTCTTTATTCTCGTGAGCTGCCTGCACCTCTCCCAGCGCTCACCACCTACAGCGATGTAGTCTTCCCATATTGGATTGCGGAGGAACCACCAGTACTCCGTGACGGAGCCCGGGAAGAGAGTGAAGTTCTTGCCCGTACCGCCTGTCCGGAACCAAGATTCGCATCCGACGAAATCATTGTTGCCCAGTTTCTTCTGAATTCGCTCGTTGTATGCGTCGGTGACATCGGATTTCACCTCGAACGAGGACACCAGGCCATCTAGGACGGGACCAATGAACTTCATCGAGTAATTTACCTGAGAAGGACGGGTTTTCAATTCGCAAGTTCGTCGAGTTCGTGACTCAGAGGGCTTACGGCGGTCTCAGCGGTGGAAAGTTCTGAACCTGCGGTCACTGTGTTCGGACCTGTAACGTATTTTAACCGAAAGGCTCATCTAAGAACAACAGCAGACTCACCTCCAACCAGGAAGAGGTTGGGAAAGCTCGGGATGGTGATACCGCGATAGGCAGTGGGGCCGCCATGGGAGGTATAATATTCCTGGATCGTTCCTTGAGTGCCAGTGATGGTGACTGGGTGTCTATCCTGGCAATGGCCGGAGACGCATGAGGCATAGAGTCAGCAGTGAGAGCACTACGCGCGTACCGCAACATAACCAGTGGCAAAAATGACGACGTCGAAAGGTAAACTCTCCCCTGGGATGTAGAGGGATATGGATGGCTTCCTTGAAGTGCATAAGCTGCGTACCAGTTTTGGTGAGGATCCCCTGAGAAGTGATCTCGGAGATTCCATCCCAGTTCAGATTGAAGTTAGGAAGATGCAAACAGGACAAGTATCCAGAGTCCATCACTGCGCGCCTGCACGAGGCAGCTGTTGTCTCAGGACAGTCAGCGTGCAAGCTATTTGGAGATACGAGGAACAAACGATATATGGGTATTAACTTGTTATGGTATTCGCCCGGGGCTTCTCGTCTGATCAGCTGTGTGAACTCCTAGACAGATATTCAGCTCGTGGTTTCGTCAAGTACCCATCCGCGACACTCGCCTCTTCAATAGGTTTACTAGACTTCCAAAACACAGTTTTCTTGACAGCAGGTAATATATCCAACTGTACGCAAAGAAATTAATACAATCCTATGCGCATAGCAATATTCGTACCGTCCAGATGAGCCAGCCGCGATGCAAGGGCAAGGCGAAGGGCACATGCGCGAAAATCCATTTGTGAAGAGGAGACCATTCCCAGCGATCCTGCAGACCATGTCGCGAATATGGGCACAGAATGTAATCAACACATACTGGCTTACACGATGAACGAACCATTGCGGTGTACGACAGAAATTCGTTACGTGTACGGTTGGATCGGCCACAAGGTGGGGTATGAACTGCGCCCTGTACCGAAGGGTGAGAACCACGGAATGCTATGAAAAAAGTGTACGATGACTGACGCTGACGCTGCGTTTCCGATAACTGCGACACGCTTGTGTTGGAAATCGACCGAGGGATTCCAACGCGCCGAGTGGAACAAGTCTCCTTTGAAAGTTTCTCTACCGTTGATATCCGCAGGAAAAGATGGGTCCATCAGAATGCCGACCGCAGATATGATAATTTCTGCAGATGTCCACGACCTGTCGCCAGATATTACATTCTCGACCTCGAGATTGTACTGCTGCTGTGCAGCATCCCATGCAGCAGATATGACGTTCGTGTTGAAGATAGTGTTGCGATACAAGGAGTATTTCTCGGCGAAATGTTTCCAATAGGTCTGTAGTTCTGGTTGCGGAGCATGGGTTACGCTCCAATTGGGGTTTGGCTCGGTCGAATGACAGTACCAGTGCGAAGGCGTATCACAGTTGCAGCCCTGTTTTGTTTCAAAGGAGGTTGAGAGAGAAAACCAGAGCCGGGACTGACTGGATATGTATTATCCTGCCGTGCGACGTTGAGACTGAATGATCGAGTATGTGAATCGTACGTTATACATACCCGCCATGTCCCTCCTACGTCAGATGCTCTCTCGTATATCTGAAATTTGAGTGAGTAAATATGACCTGGCACACTGACTAAAAATTCACCTACAGTGAAGTTTTCGAACCGCAGCTGTCTTAGAGCAAATCCAGCAGACAACCCTCCTAATCTGGGATGTCACGCTTTCAGGACAAAAACACAAAGCACTAGTTCTAAGTTGCTCACCCAGAACCTATAATGACAACTCTGGGACCAGGGCTTTGTCTCTGGGATAACATATCGGAAAACATCAACTTCATGGATCGATTTCTAGGAAAGAGTATGGGAAGACGCTGCAATTAGAGTGGAAAGCATTTCCACATTTATGGCAGGATGTTCAGCCGAGGTATTTGCTTCGCGAAGATAAGCACATGATGACCGTGGCATCTGTACCATTGGTTCGAGTTCGACATAAACGCCTCAGATAACGTCGGAAGGCGCGTCAAACGCGTCTCCCAAATTCGGATAAAATTCACGTGCGACTAAAAAATTGCTCAATTTCGGAAAATAACTTCAAATAATTTCGTGTGCATCGACAGTGGTGCTATCTACCTTTTTCGATTTTATTTTTATTTTTATTTTTTCACCCCATCTATCGCTATCGAGCCCCAAGAAATCTTTTGCTCAATATTGTCTCGATCTGTCCGTCATCTGAGATCCGAACCCAGCTAATACTCCGGAAATGAACACCACAGGACACCGGTGTACAGTAGAGCGAGCATCCCGGATTTCCGTCAAATTCAATCCTCTCGGGTATGTTGTAGTCCCGAGGGTCTGCGATTTTGACATCGCTGGAGTCATTCTGGAAGAATATCCACACGATGATAGCGTTATCAGCTCCCAGCTTTCTTATACGTTGGCTTCCTGGCGTTTCGACGGCTGTTCGCCCTTGTCTCCACCATCGTTCTCGCCATGACCTTTGCTGATCCGCAGATGGGTAATATTTTGGCTATTTGCTTCCTGCTGGTTGCGGCCGCGGTCGTTGCATACCTCACGCGGGTCACGCGAAAGGTGTCTCAAGTGAACATCAAAGTCAAAGGCTGTGGTGACAGCGAGAAAACAGAGCGGGAAGCAGGCGGTAGGTGTGGATGAAACATCCATGTTGTCACAGCTTTAGACCCGAGGCCTGAGTTCTGCAGAGTGGACCCCCGTCGTGTTCGATTATCCTAAAATCGAACCCTTCACTGGCGACCTGAGTGCTGTTAAGCCGATCCCGTACCGTCCTTTCCGCTGGGGAGACTATCAGTATGCGTAAAGAAATCATTGTTATTGAGCCGTGCTCATGTCCAACTATCCGTTATTCCAGTGTCACCATGGGCATCAGGAACATGCCTTGGAACGAGTGGATCGAGGTATGTCAATCCCAACTCGTACCGCCATTGGAGATATGACTTAGATGAACGGTCGCAGTTGGATCAGCAATTCTTCGATTATCACAAAATTCGTGAATACCGCCTCCGTACGCGGGCAGATCGTTCGGTAATAATCCATCCTGAGCAACCTGGGATTGTACAATCGGGGCACGCTGGAGGTGCGAGCCACATCGTTGACTGTCTCTGTCAGTCGATGTTCACAATGCACTTCCAGCTGAGGAGTTCCTGTACGAGCTTGCGGAATACCTGCCAAGGCGGTATCCCACTATTTACCGCGTAGAGCGACATGCGACTTCAAAGCCAAATTCCTACTCGTGGTATGGAGAGAACCCTATCAAGTCAATCACAATTATTCCGCTTCAGATCACATATGATCTTGACGAGGAGGATCCCCTGACCATGGCCGCACGTCTGTGAGTAATGCTGGGGCGCGCCTTTCTTGCTTCCAGTATTGAATAATATCGCTTCACCAGCGTGCAAGAGGATTTCGCCATCATGATTGAAGGTTGGTGCATGGAGAACTACAGAATGAATCACGAACTGACAAGTATAAATTTAGGCACCGATGGACGATATTATCTTCAAGGAGGTGCCATCTTGATCCCAGGTAAGAAACCCCATGAGTGATCGTTTGCCTTGTTCAATACATTGTAACGGCTTGGATAGGATTCTGGCGTTTAAAAGACAAGGTTGGCATGCCTCTTGATCAGATCCACGTCTCTGGAGATGTCCCGCAGTGCAAGTGCCAATGCTCGAATATTGAGATACACCTAGTCTGACGATGTGTGCGTACCAGATCAAAGCAAGCTGCACCTCAGCATGGGACGCTTCTTTAGACGACTGCCAGTGGACAAACCTGTCATCCGCAATAACTATGGCTTCCAGGTTGTAAAGAACACTGACCCTACCGCGACGACCGAGGACCCTACGCGCGCTGTAGATCCCACTGAGCTCGCATGGTCCGCATCCATGCAGGGCAACGAGGACCGAACGGACTACGAGCGCAGCGCGCACGTCCGTACGGAGCACGCAGACGGAAAGGTACGCAGCTGGACTGAGCTGTTACCGTCCATGGTGCATCTCCGCACGGAGCGCCAGACTCTGCGCCGCCTGCCTCGCACGGGTGCCGTCGTGTTCACGATCCGCGTCTATCAGACGCCGATTGACTCGCTGGCGCAGGAGCCTGGAGCCCCCGGTAGGCTTGCCAGCGCCATACGCAGCTGGCCGGACGACGTTGCGGAGTAAGTCCTACTTCACGCGCGATAAGACATTGCCGTGAGCTAATTCTCCCCAGTTACAAGGATCGTTTTGCGTATGAAGACATCTTGCAATATCTAGATAAGCGGCATGCTGAGCAGATCGAAGCAGGAGAGATCACTGGCGAAGAGCGGATCTCTTATTATCCATTTTGAATCTGCAGAATAATGATAAGGTCAATGATGTGAATAACAGGGCAACGAAATTGAATTTTACATGCAGTGGGTGGTGGTTGACTCGCGTCTTTGTAGATGAATACTAGTGTAGACCTGCACTAATTTTCTACTCTCATCGAGAGTGACAATGACATGTCTCACTTCATACTGACTCGAAAATGTGAGCGGAAAATAACAGCAGGCTGGCTCGTACATCGAGATGTTGCTCATTGACTTCGACATAAGTTCAGGCAAGCAATGAACATTGAACCTCGAAGTCGACGACGCTTGAGCGGGAAATATATACAGATTCTGAATGTTTGTGTATGGTAAGACTATGAGCAACACAACCAAGACAGTGCCAGACGTACTAGGGGTACACACGCGGAATAAACGGAAACCTGTACAGTATCATGAAATAAATAACAGCGATGTCCGGCACTGTTGCGACAGCGAAAAATATTGATACAGGTCCAAAGAACATCCGCCCGAGGTGGCGCCGGGCAGGCCTTCTAACGGCACTTCTATAATAAAAAAGACAGCCTACTGTCGGCCCGTCATAGCTGTGTGGTCCCACCCTGCCGTGAGTGTCGCCCGTCGAACAGCCGCACGTCAGGCTCGTCGCTACTCCGGTCCTCATCGTCCGTGAATATGGAGTCAGTATCGCCGCTCGTCGAGCTGTGCAGGCTCGTTGTTTCCGATGACGACTCGGACGACGAGTGCGGCGCACGGATGGTCGGCTCGTCGTCTGTGTAGCATTCAACGTCCGTCTCAACCTCGGGCTCTGTCTCGCTCGTTGTGTCCAAACTCGCCATAGACTGCCTCTTTGATAGGTGGTAGTCCATCGCTGGACAGAATAAAGGCAATTCGCTCTGACCGTTCAGGCGGTGGAATGCGCGTTGGGGATGTGCAAGAGCCTGCTGGTGGGCAAAATACGCGCTCACCGCCGCAAAATACTCCGTCGGCCCAACGGGTATATACGTGTCTGGAATCATGGGAGACAACGTCGAAGGGAGAAATGGGGTGAGGGAAATGTCATCGCCGATCTTGGATTGCAGATCTACCATCTTGGTATAATATTGCATTTCCTCGGGTGAGATCGTGAGATGGAAATCATTCAATAGGAGGAATTGCAGCTCGAGAACGTTGAGCTCAGCAAGGGGCAGTCCGCCGACCTACACCGCAATGCACCAGTCAGCAACTCGCGGACGAAGGAAATGGGTGTATAGGAATCAACTCACCTTGGCATACCGCGAGTTTGTGTAGAATACGTCACTGAAAAACTTGCTGGCAACAGTGATACCAGCAATAATCAGGCGGTGAATGTTGTAGAAGTCAATAGGAATGATTTCCCCGCACGCGTCCCTCGCCAGCCTCGTCATGCGGTCGAGGTACACGAGCAACGAGATGAAAACTTCGTTGCTCGCTGGGCAGTATTTCTGTATCCGCTGGAGATAGCTGTCAAGTGCAATGGTGGGTATTTGACGTGCGTGGAAAGTGAGCGAAGGTGAGCGCGCCAGAGATTCACGCGATGCGGTAGTAAGCGTCCGCCATATAGGGCCGTGATGCTCGCTGTCAGATGAATGTGGTGGTCGAAGAGGCGTCGACATGTATGTATTCGCCGGAGGAACGCTATTCAGTTTCGCAATCCGACTAAGCGTGCTGGCGAGCATGCCCAGCAGCGTCTCGGAGTCATAGTCGTTGACGTCGATGTCAGACGACTCTGGCGGCACCACCTCGTCGTCGTTATCTTCCGAGTCGGATGCGGGCGGTGTTTGTGGGTCCTCTTCCTCGTGCTCAAGCTGCTCGCATCGGAATGAGGGTGGTCCAGGCTGTGACGGGGGTGTCGGTGGCGCCACAGGTCGACGCGCAGAGGGGCCTGGGCTATCTTGCGAAGTGGGAGTTGGTGGTACAGATGAATGTGAAGATGAAGCTGCAGCATACGTTGGAAGAGCGAAAGCAGACTGTAGTTTCCGTGGTGGTGGCCGATGGCCAGGGAGCGTGTATGTCTCTGATGTCGCCGCCGACGTATGGGGCCTAAGCGGTGTGGGGTGTACGACAGATGGCGGTTGACAAGGTAGGTGAGACGGAGCGAGTGCGAGCATTATTGTGGTACAAATCGGATGGAGGACGTGTGGAAGACGGAGAACGGCGAAGGAGGGTCACTTGATATCGGCGCAGAGATGTTTCAAGCGGTCGGAAAAAAACAAGCCACCGTGACAGTCGCTGCTTGCTTCGTCACACCTGCAGTCACACCGCTGTCACCCCAGGTGCACCCCGCACTCTCCTCGCCTGTTGGGCGGATTTCACTTGCTTCATTATTCTGCTCGATCATCGATCCTGGGAACAGCTCCTGCAGTCGTGCTGCGTGGCGGAGAACTTTTCTATTGCGGTCTATGAACATGCATCGAGTCATGACCACTCCGCACAGCGTCAAAGGTAGGCTTCTCTTCCAAGAATCTCAGTGCAACGCGTGGTGGACCTGGTCGGTGGTTTGATGCGTCGGTATCTTGATATTCAATGCCATTGGTCAGTTCCAACTAGTGGTTATGTCTACTGTGATAGTGGACTCACCCGCTGATCCGTCGCACTTTCTTCGTTTCCCTATAGCTCGTCTGCCCATCTAAATGCACGCTGTACCTGCTTCACAGATCCTCCCTGTGCATTCATCTTCATCGTTTTTGGAGTGTCCTCCACCATATCTATCTCCGAGCTTCCCTCCACGACTGCCTCATCCTCTACACTCCTTTTCCATGAAGCGCTTTCGCTGCCATTAGAATCCGACATGTTGCTTTCATCTTCTGCATCGCGTCGTGCCTACATACATCAAATGAAATCAGTATGCTTTGTCCTCATGCAACTGTACTGCGAACATCGCTTTGTCTATGCATCAAGCTAAAGCGCAAGAACTCACCGGCCTCGGCTGCTTTCCTACAGCTCGTGTAATATCTCCTGGCCCGAACAACGAATCCAATTTCTCCTTGAAGTTCGCTATCCGCGACCAACGTGGGTGGGTGTATGCGCTCCATTCCCTTGCCTTCCCCTTGTTCACCCCAGGCTCGTCCAGGGTGTGCCGCAGCTGAGTCTCCCTCTCTGGTCCCGGATGCTGTGCGTACCTTTGCAACACGACGCCTGGGGCGACGGTTGACTCCAGCCCCTCATCCACGATATGCCAGTACACTGCACTAGCTTTCCCGTGCACGCTCTTCGAAGGGGGCTGGCGCAACTCACGAGGGGCGACACCCGCGCCTGCATTGGCTTTCGCAGCTTCGTGAGCGCCCCGCGAGCTGTCGTGGGTTGGAAAAGCCGGCGGTGATGAGGCGGGGAAGGCAGCGACCAGCTGGCTATTATTGGCGAAGGCAGCAGCGAGTGCAGACGCAAGATCGCCGGCCGCATTGTCCCTCTGGGTGCGAGGTGTATGCGAGTGGTCGAGCGTCGCCCGCGTGGGCGGGGCGGTGGTAACGCGTGAACGTGACGAATTTACCTTCTCGTATTCATTGTCCGCTGGGCGTTTGGTCGTCTTCTTGAGGAACTTCGGAGAAGTGGTGATCACTACCCCGTCGAAGATCGTTCTCCGCTTGGGAGTAACTTGCGTCGGTGGCGGAGCCGGCGCATGGGCGGTGCCCTGTGCTGGGACTTTAGGTAGGTGTACTGGAACCTGTTGGCTGGGCCCAGCTTCAACACCAGCTGTAGGACCTTTTGATTCTGCTCCCAAGGGTAGAATGGCACACTCTGAAGCCGTCGGGCCAAATCGAAGCAGACTCGTAAGTCCCGCGGGAACGCGCGTGTCCTGCTTGCCCCTCCGTTGCCTTATCTTCGGTAATTTGGCCTCTGTTCGACCCTGCAATTGGTCGTCCTCTTTCTCTGATTCCTCGTTCTCCAGCACCGTCCATGATGGGCTGTCATAGTCTTCCACTGTCCTTGCTCGCAGTGGTGTTTCTGTGGCAATGACGCGGCCTGTGGTGTGGATAGGGTTAGGGCTTGTTGCTATAATGCTGTCACCTCCGGCAATGCTGAGATCCAAGTATCCTGTAGTGTATGAGGGCTGAAAATCTGGTTTTATGTTGTCAGTTCTGGTCCGTGAGATGTGGAAAATCAACAAACCTTGATGGAATGGATTAAGATGATGACTTGTAGCATTCTGAGTGTGGGATGAGTGAGGTGATATCAACTGGCTGAGATCAACCTCCACTGGTCCTCCTGACATCTGTGGATAATTGTCAGCCAGTTAAGACATCAGAAGGTGCATAAAAGAAAGAATATAACCAATGTCATACATGTAATGTATGATGAGAAGATTCATAACACAGAGTAGGCTGATTAAGGTTGAGGATTCAAAACCAGAAGCAATCAATATAGTTACAATGCAGGAATATGAATGTTGGTGAGCAAGAAAAGAGAAAACAGGACGTCTAAAACAAACAAGATCTCTTGTCTTTCTGATTCAATAAGATGAATGTATAAAGGTAAGTTATAGAAGGTCAGTTAACTCAATTAAAGATTATACAGAATGCTCACACTAATTGCTATAGTCAAGTGTCTTAAAGCAAGATAATCTGGAAGGTAAAGAAATTTAATCAAGTACTACTCACCAGATGAAAAATGTGTAAAGGTTAAAAAAAGCGGAGAAATGATAATTGCAATGTTCAAGCGATAACAGCACAAATTGTAAGCAAGGTGCCCATTCTTATAGGGACTTTATTTATATTTGATTGAGAATATTGACATTTATTTGTCCTTATCAAGCTTAGTAAGCCACCTCTTCTTGCAAGAACAAAGCAACCTTTAGATTAATCTAGTATACTATCTGAAACTTATTAACTGTTATGATGGTGTCTACTAAGACACACTCTTTTCTTTTGTCATAACAGTTATGTCACTCGAGCCCAATCTATATCTCTTTGCAACTATCAGAGATAACTGAGCATATTACAATTCCTGAGGTACGAAGGAATCGTTCTTTATGGGATAGGGCTTCCGCCAAATTCTAAGGGACATGTCAAACTGCCCCTATGCGTGAGAACCACTTTTCAATACAAATTTGTATGCATGGGCTACTACACCTAGTCCTGGGTTAGGTCTAGGGTTTAACTACAACTTTGTAGTGCCTGTTGTTACTATACTACAGCTTGCATACAGTCGGTCTTTCAAAGTGATTGTAGTAGAAACTAATGCAACTTGCACAAATAGTGATTAACAGAAGTGCCACAGCAGCCACAGAGAACCAATGCATCATACTCAGTGAAATTATAGAAGCACATACTAATTCCAACACATAAAAAGCAGTACCATTGAAATCTGTGAAGGAAATGGAGCATAATGCTCTCTTAAACCAAGTAAATCTAAGTAAATCTGGCTGAAATATCTCAGTTTTAGATTAAAATGCTCAGTCTGAAGTGCAAAAAATTGTGTAAATGACAGGAAAATTTGAGAATGACTCTAAAATGCACATAAACATGCTAGATAGGGAGCTTATTTCTTACAAGCAGTGCACATTGAAGAAACAAGCAGAAGTGAGAGAAAACTGAGAAAATAGATTGTGGCACTCCAGCAAGTGATCCTGATGTTCTGAGAGTAACACCGTCAGATTTAGCTTGAAAATATGGTCAGAATGGCCACTTGGTTCATCCAAATCTGAGCAGAATTGAGTGAACTACAAGCCTGGCAAGTTTAGCTACAAGTGTGGTAACAAGTGCTTGAAGCCAATAGTGTCATGTGCCACCCTAGTCACGTTTTGCGCCATATGAAATGTGATCTGCAGGGCATGTGATGTGCACATGCTTGTGGCTGAAGACAAACATGCAGAATAAAATGCAAAAAAAGCGCAGAAATACCAGAAAAATTATGGTATGGCCCTTTGATGATATTAGACTTGTAGAACCAACTAGACAATGTTGTAAGTCATTGTAAAGTTCTTACAAATATATGCTAGATGGCATATTAGAATATTATAAGGCCTTACAAACTAATACTAGAGGGTGTAATAGAATTCAAAAAATGGTATAATAAGGTATTGAAGCAGGCTTACTAAACACTATTAAACATACTAGGAGTTAATATAACACTTTATAGGCTATTGTAAGGCCTTTATCAACCAGTGGTCAGTGGTCTACTAGACTATTGTAAGCATCTTACAAAGTGACACTAGATGACATATCTAACTATTGTAGGGTCATTGTCAACATGTTCACTAGGACACTTGATGTATGATTTGGATGATTTAATAAAAATGTCTGGCATCAAGCGAGACTTCAAATCTCATCAAATCCTGAGATAATCAGACTGGTCTTTTTTTTTTTTTTTTTTTTTTGGAGGAGCCTTTACATGACTAGAGTACTACTAACAATGTTAGCCTACTCTGGTCGGCTGGATGCAGGATTTACACCCAATTGACTCGTCCAAGAGGAAAAATGCGTGTTATGCACACCTGTTTGTACAGGCAGTGTGGGACTCATCCCGCTGTCATTGCTCCGGCTGGCGCCAGCGCTCAGGGGGGATCATACCCACTAAAACCTCAGGTAGTGATATCCATTCGTCAGGTAGTCCCTTTTCGTTATGGAGACATCCTGCCCAAGTCGATTTAACTAGCGCGATAGGGAGGGCATTTTTTCTGAAGCGTTTCCGTGTCATAGTTCGGTCTAGGGTAAGTCAGGACGAGATTGCTTTGTGCCAGCGGGAGTAGATTTCTCGGTCCGTGTGTCCCGATGTGGGGAGGTCATCTCATCCGAAAACTCGTTCGCAGCATAGTTTCCAGACGAGGTGTGCAGCTTCGGAGATGAGGATGCGATAGAGGCGGTCAGCACTGGGGTGGCAGGCCTCGCGGGTGGACGATCGGATGGCCCCGCAGCCCATGATTATCCCAATATTTATGGGGTGCCAGGGGAGGTTCTTGTGTGCCCAAAGGGTTGTGCAGAGTTTCCAGATGAGGGATTGGCCAGGGGCTCAGCATTTGGTGAGGATGTGTTCGATGGATTCAAGGCCTCCGCATGTCAAGCATGAAGCTCGTTCTTCGTAACCAGGAATGTTGTCCCAGAAGTTTCCGCAGCGAAGCGCGTCGTGTAGACATTTCCAGAGGAAGTCTTGAATTGGGCGTGAGATATCTCGGGAGCGAATGGAGTGCCAGATAGTTGCATCGGAGGGGAGGTGTTCGCATACTGCTTCGACTGCGTGTCGGGCGATGTCTAGTTGTATCATAGTGTGGCGTCGAGTGGTGAGGGGTTTGTAGCTGCATATGCCCCGGTACGCGAGGCTTTGTGTTAGGGAGGCCATACGGGCTCCGGTGAGATTGAAGCGGTTAGGGATTGTGACATTTATGGTGTCCGGTGTCAGTTTCTGAGCGGCTTGGCCTGCTAGAGTGTCTGCTTCGTTGTTGCCGCGAGATGTGCTATGTCCTTTCGTCCATTCGAAAGTAGTGGGTGCGGCCCGGGCGTGTAGGGTGGCGGCGGTTGCGCGGAAGAGTTTACTGTTGGATATCCTGATCCGGCCTCTGTTTTCCCAGTTTGGGAGGTGTATGGTGAGTCCGTCGATCGCGTAATGGGAGTCGCTAATGATGTGTAGAGGGGCAGCCATCGGGGTGATTTGAGCAGCTACTAGGACTGCGGCAACTTCTCCTGCTTGGTTGGATTGGTCTGAGCCAGGGAGGCGTAGGGCGCGATTGCGTTGGTCGTTGGGTCCGAACCAGACGCCGACACCTGTGCGGGCGTTTGCGTCGCCATTTTTTAAGCAGGATTCATCAGTGTATACGGTAACAGCTTCGTTTGGGAGGCCGCAGCCAGTGCGATGTGCTGGTTCCACAGAACGGACAGTCGGGTCCATGAAGATACGAAAACCATTTGCGAGGTGGCCCGAGACGGTGAGGGAGGGGTTAAAGGTGAGTGTGCTGAGATCTTGGTGGGCTTCTTGGTTTTTTTGCTTACAGTGGCGTGTCAGTGTGAGGTTGTCATGCAGTGAGAGGGATTCCAGGTGCCATTTTGGCTGTAGGTGTGAGAGGATGGAGGACGCTGAGAGCATACATTTATGGGGGTGTTGGCATCCTCGGTGTCGGTCTCTGGCACAGTATTTACAAGCACAGTTTTTCCGTGGGCGATGCGGGGGGTTAAGGTCTTGTATCCGGGAGCGTTTACCTACTTTGAGGAGGTCCTAGATAGTAGAGACCTTGTGATGGTTACGTAGGCAGTCCGAAGCGATTGAAGTGTTGAGACGTCGAGCGGTTGCATTGTATCCTAGGTGGTACCATGCAGGAAGTTTCTTTTTTAGGGAGTGGGAGAGTTTGAGTGTTTTGAAGTTAATGTTGAACCATTCTCCAGCTTGGAGCATGCAAAGGAGGTCTCGGGGAAGGGGGGAAGAAGAGTTGAGGCCTGTACGCCAGGATTGGAGAAAGACATTGATTTGGGAGAGGCATCGTATGTGGCCCGAGGCGTTGGTGACGTTGTCATTAATGAGTGTGTCCACTAGGTATGTCCAGGAGGGACGGGATGGGGTAAGGCAGAGATAGCATTGTAAACGCATAATGTCGATTGCTTCGTTGCGACTGCGTAGATCGAGGAGGCCTATTCCGCCTTCCTCTATGGGGCAATGGAGGTTGTCTAGGCTTATCAGTGGTGGCTTGTCGCTTTCCCAGATGAAGCATCTAATCATTTTGGTCAGGGTGGATTCGATCTGTTGGGGCATACCTTGGACGGTGGTAAGGTACTGGGACATGCCACCGACGATCATTTGCACGATGAGTTTTTTTTCCGCGGAAGGTGGGGTGAGTGCGGTTCCATCGTGTAAGGGCGTGGGAGATCTTGTCGATGACTGTTGACCATGGATTCGCTTGGTCAACGTGCTTTCCAAGCCAAGCTCCTAGAATACGGACTGGTTTGCCATCTGCAGCAATATGGACATGGTCTGGGAGAGGGGGGCTATTGGGGAAGAGGCGGCACGACTGAATAACGGCTTGACGGTAGGCTGCGGAGCCGATTGGGATGATTTCGGTTTTTTCTGCATTGAATCGGGCTCAGGATGCAGTGCACCAGAATGATAGGATGTCTTGGAGGTCGTCAAAGCTGTCGAATTCAGATAAGTAGGTTGTAGTGTCATCTGCAAAGAGTGATGTTATGATTCTGGATGGGAGGCCGGGGATATTAAACCCTTTGAGGTGGGAGTTCTAGGCAGGGACACAGGTCTACCTTTGTAGTACAAAGGCCTGACCCTGACTATACATACAGATACATGGACCTACATATAGTACAGGTCTATGAGGGTCACAGGTTTATAAAAGACAAACCTGTACTATGACCTGTACTATTACTATGTATGTACCTATGTGTAGTTTACTACACATTCTAGACACATTTTCAAATGAAGTAGTACTTAAGAGCAAAGTTTAAGATCCAAAGTTTAAGTTTAAGTAGCTCTCTTACAGAATATATGCAGTTAGCATTTGTGCTTCGATTTATTTAGTTTAATTTGAGTCTCACCCCTGTGTATATAAAAACACTGCAGGTTTATATAGTCAGACCTCATGTACCTGTACTATGTGTACAGGTTTCACAGGTCCAACAAACTCATACCTGGACTATAACCTTTACTATAACTATACTTGGACCTTCCTATAGTTTACTATACTACTATGTCTCTGCCTAGGGAGTTCCTTAGGAGGCACGCTAGGGGTTCAATAGCTAGGTTGAATATGAGGCAGGACAGTGGGTCGCCTTGGCGTACACCACGAGTGACTTTGAAGGGGGAACTACATTCGCCATTTATGATGACTACGGTTTCTGCGTTTTCGTATAGAGAGCGGATTGTGTTAACGAAGGATGGGGGGATGTTCATGTGGTCTAGGATGCGCCATAGGTAGTCGTGGGTGACCTTGTCGTAGGCTTTCTCTTGGTCTAGTGCGACAATAACTCCGTTTTCTTCCAAGGCTTCACCGTAGTCGATGAGTGTTTTGGAGAGTTGGACTTGGTCTAGTATGTTACATCCGGGGACGAAGCCTGCTTGGTCTGGGTGAATAAGGGAGCGGACGACAGATGAAAGACTTAACGATAAGGCTTTCATAAGGATTTTGTAGTCTGTATTTAGAAGGGTGATGGGGCGGTAGTTGGCGATGTCTCGGCGATCTTTCTTTTTGTAAAGGGGACAAAGCCAGCCGGCGGCGAAGTCTGTGTTCGGGGAGACACTGTGGGTTTGGATGTCATTGTATACAGTGGTGAGGGTAGTGATAATGTCGAACGTTGGGATGCCATCCGCCGATCGGGCAGTGAAGCGTGCTTGGAGAGCCTTCCAGAGTTTGTATGGGAGCCCGTTTAGGCCGGCTGCTCGTCCGTTCTCAGAGAGGCGTAGTGCTTCTTCTATCTGGTTAGCGGTAAGGGTCTTTGCAAGCTGGTGGTTGTCCATATCTGATAATTGTTCGGAGGTCGCCTTTAGGGCATTGGTGATTGCTTTTTCACGTTCCGAGTGCGATGAGGGTAGTTGTTCTGATTGTAAGTCATTATGGTAGTTTCGTGCGAGGGTAGCCATCTGGTCGGAACATGTAACATATTCAGGAGGATCTGATGTTGGGCTACGAAGGGAGAAGATGACATCATGTGGTTTTTGTTGTTTGCTTAGGTTAGACCAGTATTTACTCGGGGTCTCAGCTTCGAGGCGGTGTCTTGCCGCGGTGGTTAAGTTTACTTTCTTGAGGCAATCTCGTTCTAGGTCTGTTATGCGTTGTTGTAGCAGGGCTGCAGAGAGTTGGAGAGCGGGGTCTGTTTGGATGTTTGCGGAATTTAGTGTGGCATTGAGTTGTTCGCGGAGGCTGGTGATTTTCGATTGTAGGGTAGGAGTTGCCGACTTTGCTCGTTTACGGGCAGCTGATATGACGGCTTTTTTGAAGAGTGCAAAGAGTGTTTGTGGATTTCGGTCTGGGGAGCGGGTGGGTATACAATTTTGGATGTCTTGTTGGAGTTTTCTGCCAAGGAAGTTGACCTCTTTAGCGAATTTCGAGTCATGGATCAGGAAAAGGGGAAGGGTCCATCTACCTTTCCCGATATGTGGGGATTTTTGGTCGACAATGCGGACCGAGACCATCTGGTGGTTGGTTGGGACGGCGGTGGGGGAGATTTGCCAGTCGGTTGCTGATGCGGTCAAGTACGGGGAGGCGTAGATGTGGTCGATTCTGGATTGGCTTCTGGAGGAGGGTTGGAGGAAGGAGAAGGTGTGGGTGTCTGGGAAGGTTGACCGCCATCCGTCCTGGAGGTTGAAATGTAGACATAGGTCTGTGAGTGCAGATACTGCAGTGGTGGGGTCTGAGTGACAGGGTAGGCGGTCGAGGGCATCCTCTACCAGATTAAAATCCCTGAGGAGGATGTCTGGGCGATGTAGGTGGGCGTGTTCCCAGGCTGCGCGCAGGTCTATCCAGAAGTTTTCGTTGTCGGATGTCCCATTAGGTGCATAGATGCTAAGGATATTCAGTTGGAGGGATGCATGCCAGGGGATAGTTAGGAAGAGGGCCCGGCCGGGGATGAGTACAGTAGTGACTACGTTGTTTACATTAGTTAATTCCTTGTTTAGGATGACTGCCACACCTTGTGCATTGTTGGTGTGGTTGGCCGCGGTGAAGTGTATATCCAGTCATTTTCCGTATAGGTGGTGGAGACGGTCGACGTAGTTTTGGTCCAGGTGTGCTTCTTGTATGGCGAGAATGCCAATTCATTCAGTTTTCATTAGGTTGTGGATCACGGTCCACTTACTTTGCGATGCCGATGGGTCGTTTGCCCCACGTTCCCGCACATTGAGTGATGTGATGCGTATCGATGCGCGGGTGTTTTTTCCCTGTTTCTTCCTTCGGCGTTTTGTGTGTTTGTGACCAGAGGAGCCTGATGGGGCATTTGTGTGTTGCTGGGGCTGGTCCAGCACGCTGGTGTTGTGTGATGAGGATGCCGTAGGAGGAATGGGAGTAGGGTGTAGCAGGGGGCGTGAGACGTGAGCATGGCTCTTTCCGCCCATCCTCGGGGGTTCTGTCGGCGGGAGGGACATGATCCCTTCCAGGTGGGGAGAGGCGTGAACCTTGTGCCGAATCGGGGACCAGAGTGGGGTTACGAGTATGATGTTTTGTAGTCGTTGAGTTACCGTTCTGCGCGTACAACGATTAACGTGGGCAGGGTGACTGATCCTGGAACGCCACAGGTGACTATGCTCATACGTACTAGTACCAGCTGTTTCCGCGCACAGTTGGTCGTTCTGTGGAGCTTGAGCCTCTCAGCGCAGCACGTCAGGGCCTGAGTAGGCCACCACTTTGCTACTAGGTAGCGGGGAGTTGACTTGCCTGGCTTTCCTGTCCCGCTGACGCGGTCAGTATATGTGGGCCTGCAAGGGTGGGGGATGCGGCACAGCCAGCTCGGGGTTGGCGCGGACCCCCATAGAGTGGCTGAGAGGCGAGCAAACTGGTTTTTTCGAAATATAGCATTGATTGTGTTCAGGGTATCGTCAGATGTAAGTAAGAGTATACTACATCTGAGCAGACACACAATAGTAGAATGTCCGAGTAGGTGGTAGTCAGTAAGGACAGGCAAGGGTGGGCTAGGGATCGTCCGCGCACGGTAGAGATGGAGAATGTATATAGGGTGCATAACATCCAGCTTGTCAGGGGTGAGTATTCTGCGTGTCTAGGGACCATCTAGTAGCGACCATGACCGCGGCCTCTGCCTCCAGCCGGGCGATCGTGCGATGGCGGGCCATTGGAGCGTGACCCGGATGGGCCAGCTCCACTGTTGTCCGGAGGGTTGTTGTTGTCATGCTCGTCGTTCCCTCCGTTTTCGGTATTGTTGGGTCCACGCCAGCCAGGGACTCGAGGGAATGGGCAAAGTCCGCGTGGGTGGTCTGAGATGTGACATCCACTACACCTCCAGCCGGGGTGGCCTTGGCCGCATCCAATGAAGTTCGTGGGGAACAATTGGCGGTAGATGTGGTTGCGCCATATGAGCCATTGTTCCAGATCTTTGGAGGGGGAGACCATGTACAGGTTCGCCGCTGGTGCGGGGTAGCCGCCGGGGCCGCGTAGGTCCAGCACTTGTACTTCAAGGGAGTTGATGATCGCAAAGGCTCACGCAACAGCATGTTCATCACCTCCGAGAATATCGATGAGGATCTGGATCGAGGCGTTCTCGCAGAGTCGCGCAATGATGATGTCGCGGAGTTCAGTACTGTCCGAGGACATGAAGCTGCTGAGGGTGCGTATGTAATGGGGGATCTCTCCGGAGAGGTCGTAGATGAAGAACGTGAGGTCGGCGGTCGAGATGCAGTATTGGCAGAGAAGGGCCTCATACTCAGCTGGCGTGAGGTTGTATAGTAAGTACGCAAAGGGCAGTTGGTTCGTGCGACGGATGTCTGTGAGTGCGAGAGGCGGAGCAAGGTGCGGGTTCTGAACGTTGAAGTGCTGCGTGACTACGCGGGGTACGATCGCTAGGACGGCTGCGCGGAAAGCTAGGTCATTGGCACTGAAGCTGTAGGGGACTACTGCAAGGGCTGTGCCAAACAGCGAGCACCACTGGCAACTTTGTTCACCTTGCATGTCTTCTAGGTACCAGAAGGGGTGGTCAGCATGAATGCGGGGGAAACCGTTTGGGGGCGTCAGAGTGAGCGCCGCTTCCGATGATGATCCTGGGCATGGGGCTAGTGGGGTGAAGTGATTCATCCGGTCGAGACATGCTAGGGCCTCTGCTGCATTTGGGTCTATATTCCTCTGCTGCGGTTGTGGGGTGGGGGGACACATGGACGTGTTCTGGTTTCCAAGCCTGGTGAAGGATGGCATACCTGTGGTGCGAACTTGACCTGGGGCGACTATGCGGGGGATGCGGGAGTTACCCTGGAGTAAGCGAGCCATCGTGGTGGGGCTAACTTCGCTCGCATGGTCGGGTTCCACATTGTCGCAGTGGAGGGAGACGTGGTGGAGGGAGACGCGGACATGGACTGGGGGAGGAGGAGGGGGGAAGAACGGGTCATTCAGGGGCGAGTTTGCTATGGTGTCCTCCTCACTGTCCGAGGACTTGCGGGAATGCTTGCGAGCCCCGGTCTCTGTGTCGGAGACCTCTGAGTCAGCCGAGACTTCCTCCGGGATTGGGGTGATGGAGGATCTGCTTCCACTCTGAATTGTTGGAGTGTCTTTGGAGTCGGTCTGGTTGTCTGGTTAGGAACAGAGTATGGTACAGTTGGTAACATAGACGTACATTCTCGAGTGTTTTCCCCATTGCTTCTTTCCAGAACTCGTCATCTGAATCTAATTCGGGCGAGGTGCGGGTCACTCTCCCTTTCCCTTTCCCAGGGACGGTCGGAGTGGTATCCTCCGCTGCATTTTGCACGATATCTTGTCTTCCTGCGGTCTGCTGCTGGGACGTCAGCGGGAGATTGTTCAGGATTTGCTCCAGTCGTTGAATGGAGGGGCGCGCACGTATGGTTGTCGCAGGTGGTTCTGTGGTAGCAGTCGTTGTGGCCGTTACGTTCGTAGTAGTGTTGGTGCTTGTGGGGATCGCACGCACCTCCTGGTCCATCGCCATAGTAGAGAGGACAGGGAGCATGGGGATGGCCGGTGTGGTCGCTGTGGGCTGGGGAGCCACTTGGGCAAGAGGGACGGGGGGATGCAGCACCAGAGGTTCCATTTCGTTGGGCAGCATTTCTGGGTAGATTGGGTGGGTTAGCAGTGAGGTGGAGGACGGTGTTTTTGAGGTCACCTTGGATGGTTCTCGAATGAGTCGAGCGCCTCGTGGCTTTCCCGGCGATGAGACGAGATTTCTTCGAGTTGGGTGGCATGGATCAGGGTGGTGGGAGCGAGAGTCAAAAGAGTGTGTGTTGTTAAAGAGTGTGATTTTTAGAGATGGGGTGAGAGGTGATTTTGTCGTCCTTTTATCTTCCGGGGCTCTTTGGATAAAGATGGGGGAGATAGAGAGTATTTGGGCATGTTGTAGGCAGTCGTCGGGGTCTGTCGATCTGCGGCGAGTGGTTGTCAAACAACCTATATTGTCATGTCAGTGCACAGAGGCGGTTTGAATTTGTGTACTTTTCAGGCCATTCTTAGGGTTTTGTTGCTATTCGAATCGTGTTCTGTTGTTGTTTCTCAGGAGATGTAGGTTGTGGATTGTGTTGCTAGCTTCGTGTGCGGTGAGGGAGGTGGTAGGAATTGTTGTGCTGTGAGGTCCCCATTTGTGTCAGGAAACATGTGGTTGCGTCGTGTTTTACCTCTTTGGTTAGTGGGTGGGGCGGGTCAGGGACGTACCATTTAGGGTGGTACGTCGGCGTTGATTGCGTTGTGGGGCATGTGGTTTTGGGCGGCGTGTAGCTGTCATTTAGGCTCTCAATCGCGGCAGGTATGGTTTGAGGTTCATGTCATGTTCTTTGTTTGGGGGGAAGTGTCATCTATGGTTTGAGGGTTGTACGTATATTTTACTTTTGTGTTCCCATGCGGCGGGTTGTGCAGTGGGGCGGGATGTAGTGGCTTACGTGGCTCTGTCGGGTTTGGACGGCAAGTACAAGCGAATGCATTCGGAGCAAGGTCTAGATACTCGGTCTGTTGTCACGTGATTCTGTGAGTAGTTTGATCGATTTGGCTGGAATGGGACTCACACTCACGTCTGCAGTGGTTTCCCGGTCCTCCAGTTTGAGTTCTCTACCTTAAATCCATTTTTGTAGTGTTTGATTCTGCAGTAGGCTGGGTCTGCCCATTCGAGGCGAGTTGAGAGGAATAGGGTTTTGCACCGGGTGGTTTCGAGAATCTTGAAGGTGACATGACGATCACCGAGGCGGATGATGGTGGTGATGACTCCTCTGCCATAGCGTCCGACTCTAATCTGGCTACCGATGGCCAGGGGGATGTGTGTGAGGAGGGCTGCACACCATGGGTGTGCGCGTGAGGGTCTCCTGATTGGTTTATGTATTCATACAGTTATTGTGTCGGAGAATGTTTCGAGGAGTGGGGGGGAGAAGATGACTTCTTCGTCGATGGATCTGTCCGTTGCGAGGTCAGATGGGTGAGGTAGTGGGATACAGTTTTTTTCAGCAGTGGAATCTGGTAATGTGGCTATGGGTAATGAGGGGGGAGGCGGTGGTGGTTTTGGAGGGGAAAAGAAAAAGGAGGGTAGCCATGGTGTACGGGGTATATTTGGTACGCGCCATGGTGAGCGTGGTATGATGGGGCTCCTGGTGTGGAGGGCCTGGTATGGCCGGCGGTATGGTGGCCGCAGCTCGGTGTGAGCTTGGTATAGGATTTATTCATAGCATTTCCAGGGGGTTTGTACGGTGGACGATGAGCTTTTCACCCGGGCTGGGCGATCAAGCTTGGTCTATCGTTCTTCCGGAGACAGCGACACTGTCTTTTCTTTTACCTGCGCCCATTAGCTTCCCTCCTTAGGAGGTACTAGTCCCCTGGACCACGTAGAGGTCGGTGCAGGCTGGTCCCATGGTGGTGACCGCCAGGGGAATCAGACTGGTCTTAAGTCAGATTATATCCCAGTTGTTACTGAAGTAAATTAGGTGTTAGGAATAAGAAAGTAAAATACCCTTCTTGGATAAAATACTGACTTCAGTAGAGTTGACTGATATGAGTACACGGACTCCGATATCAGACCTTAAGACTTATAGACTCAGTGACTTGGGCGATAGACTTTGTAATCTAATAAGTACAATGTTATGTACTTATAAACTACTAGTGACTTAGACAGAGACTTTACTACTTGGCTTAGTAGTACTTGATTTGCTTGGTACATGATCGTATATGAATATCAGTGTGAATATATGTGTTATTTTTACTGTCTCAGGCAAGGGCCTTTATATACTAAAACTTGGGACAATAAGGTCCTAAGCATAATAGACAAGAACAATAGAAAAAATAATAGGAGGATGAAAAATTGCCTATATATAATAATAGGTTGTTCATAAAATGTACTAAAAAGGGTGTTCAATAGCCAGAAGGTTCAATAGAAACAATAGCAAAGATAAACAATAGCTAAGTAAATCAGTAAGAATAATAGCCACTTGAATCAATAGGAACAATAGTTCTTAGTGTTATGAATAGTAGGCTATTGTCTTGAGATAATAAATAAATGGAAACAATAGCTAGGCTATTGTTGTACTTATTTATATGGCAAATGACAAATAGAGTCAATGGAACCTTTCAACAAGTTACAAAACATAACAAACAGTGTACTAAGCACTGTAACTAAAAGTATGGCCAGCAATAATAGTAAAAGAATACAAACATAATTCCCTATGCTTCGATCAAACCTAACATCTTCATCTCATATTCCTCTCCTTCGTGATCTAACCCTCGACAAGTAAAGTCCATTGAATGTTTGCTCAGCGGATGAATGTCGATTCTGAGAATAGGGAGAAGGAGACTGAGCAGGATCTTGTGCTGATGTGAATGAGGGGATTGCCTATATCAAGCGAACATAAAGAGAGACGAAGGCGATGTATGTGCCGATGGATGGGATCACAGTGTCTCATGTGATGTACTCGTCCTCGAGGGTGGTTGGCATGTAGGTGCGATATATCTTAAGGAAATGTTGGCATTGTCCTTTTCCATTCGCTGCTCTTGCAAGTCGAGCATGGAGATCTTCCTATGTAGGATAGAATCTTTACGTGAGACACAAATCATGTGTGTCACACTTACGAGAGATTACTAGAGACTATCAAAGGTTACTGAAGATTCTTACAAAGTGATTGACTTCCTGAACATTACTAGACAATATACTAAGAGTCAGTAAGCAACTTTGTAGACTATTTAATAGTACAGCCCTTATTAACCCATGCAACTTATTAATATATAGTGGGACATTGTAGGACACTTACTACAGATTATCAAATGGCACACTAGGAGTTAGTAGAGAATACAATAACAATTTCTTGTATACATTTTAATATATTATTATAGGCACATTTGTAACAGATTCTAGTGTTATTTTTTGTAGTGGTTTGTATAGACACATTTGTAACAGTTTCTAGTGGCAAATTTTGTAGTGATTCTTATAGGCACATTGGTAACATTTTTTGTAGTGAGTCTTGTAGGTACATTTGTAATAGTTTCTAGGGTTATTTTTTGTAGTGATTCTTATGTATTAAGAGTCAGTAGATGAATTTGTAAACCACTGTAAGGCTCTTATAAACTCATGCTACTCAGTGTAGTTGAATTAGAATGTTTACTAGACATTATTATATAACATACTAGGAGTCAGTAGTGAATATAATAGACTATTCATAGTTTCTAGGTGATATATTAGGATTTAGTAGATGACATTGTAGATTGTTATAAGATTCCTACAAACTGATAAGGGGCCTTTCAGACTATTATAAGGCCTAACAAATAAAGGCTAGGTGACATACCAGGCTATTATAAAGTCATTACAATACTGAGCAACTTGCTAAAAGTTGGTAAACTATATAGTAAGATATTGTAGGAGGCTTACTAGACATTACAAGATCACATTATAGGGCATTGTAAGACTTCTATTAAAAATAATAGGTAGTATGTCAGACTACTGTAAGGTGCTTGCCAACTGGTATTAGGTGTCATACTAGAAATCTGATAACATAGTAGACTATTATATGGGTAATACTTTCAGACATTTCTTGGTGCAATGAAAAGGATTTGAGTCATATGAGACTCAACTCATTTTTGCTGTTAAATAGGTGCCTATTAGGGCAAACACTTAGAAAAAAATCCGGAACAATTATAAAAATATTAGAAAAATTGTAGCATGACTATAGAATCTAAGATTCTAAGAAACTTTTATCAGATAGTTACCTTGGAGTAAGTACATGACATAATACGCTATTAAGGTGATCCTTGTAGAATGAACATTAATGACTTTTTAGTCATATTTTTATAAAATGACATAGTAGCATCATTTTGAAGCCTTTTTTCAGCTGAGTCTTTTAGAATGCATACTAGTCACTTTTCAGTAATGTTTTAACACACTTTTTGCAAACAACATAGTAATGTCATTTTAAAGCCATTTTTTGGCTGAGTCTTTAAAAATCCATACTAATCACTTTTTAGTCATGTTCTTGTATACTTTTTGCAAAACAATATAGTAATATCATTTTGAAGCCATTTTGAAGCCGAGTCTTTTAGAATGCATACTAATCACTTTGTAGTTATATTTTTATATAGATTTTATAAAATGACATATTAATATCATTTTGAAGCCATTTTTCAGCTGAGTCTTTTAGAATGCATACTAATTACTTTTTGGTAATGTTTTTGTACACATTTTGCAAAACAACATAGTAGTATGATTTTAAAGCCATTTTTCAGCTAAGTCTTTTAAAATGCGTACTAGTCACTTTTTAGTAATGTTTTTGTATACTTTTTGCAGAACAACATAGTATTATCATTTTAAAGCAATTTTGAAGGTGATTTTCAGCAGATACAGTTTTGATAAAAGGAAAGAGTAGTATCATTTTAAAGCCATGTTTTAGATAATTCTACTCTGAGATGCTTAGCAATATATTAGACTATTATCAGGTAGCTACAAATAAATTATTTTCTACATTATATCACATGGTCAATGGATATTAAATGGTATGCAAAAGGTTGGTAGGTGATATAGCAGATGTATAAGACTCATGTGATAACATAACATATTATTGTTATAAGGTGTGTCACATACTCTTATATACT